ATCTATTACGAGACAAAAACTTAAAGTTCGTCATGATAATAGCTATACGTCACTTCCCCTCCGTAAAACAGCTTTATTGGCTATTAAATCCGGGGCAGGAAAACTCTGAATGACTCAATGTTGTTGCAACTGCCAAAGTTCATCATCAGGATGGCATGGCTTAATGAATCGAACATTATTCGCAGAGGTGGAAGCACGGGTAACAGGAGTTTGTTGAGTAAATCTGGTTGCGTGGATCAGCCCACGGCCGTTCCAAGAGTCTGTAACAAATAATTAAATATTGTCTAAGGGGACTTTGAGGTAATGAAATGAACAAATAACGCGCTTCTACAGTAAACTGAGTGGTAGTCGTGTTATCGTGTGATAATCATCCTAACAATAGCATGTTTTGTCTCCAGAATTGTTTTAGTCATTTCAATGGGTCCATTTTACGCTGTGTTAATTAAATCTCCGTAACCGGACTCATGTGAACAGCTGCTAAGTTTTCAAATGAAATTCACGCCGTCGCGTTTTAAAATGAGCGTTGTTGCCTTCATTGGGGGTTTTTAATATAGTTGCAACTATACGAAGTTATAGTTCTATAAAGTTCTAACTAAGTTCAATGGAAAAAGTAGTTACCCATTGCACTTTTCTGAGCTTCCACAACTCCAGCCAATCTCATGATTTCATTTTCTAAAAACGCCTTCCGTTCCTGTAAACGGCTAACACACACTTTTAAATCAACGCTTTCGTCTTTAACTTGTCTGTTTTCTGCATTTAGGTCGTCAAACAACAACTTCAATGCTTCAAATCTTCTCTGATATAAACAACCTTCTCCGGTCGGCTCTGGAGTCGATGACAAACTGGCCTTATCACGTAATTCTCCACGAAGTCGCTCGTTTTCTTTGCTCAAATCGCAAATCATTTTTGTCATTTTTTCGATGACCTCTGCCGATCGACAGACTAAGTTTTCATCAGGACTGCTGGACCTCTTCATCCCTATTGATAGCTATAATATATGGTATTAATCCTGAGCTGTCCAAAATCCAGCCTTCCTACAATCTAAGCAAATTTCAGTGAGGCCTGAAAATTAATTCTGACATGTGTTTAAATTGTTTCTCACACGAGTCACGGAAAAGGTACTGACAAAGATGACCTTTCAAGTACATGCAGTGACCTTTCATATTCAATGTTGACAAACAATTGTTCACTGGCACAATCGTGTTAATCGCCATGAGACAGTCGACACTACCTGGTAATTTATGCAAATAAAATATGCAGGAAATTTCTAGACGCTTCCAACTTCAGAACTTCGAACACGTGGTCACGAATCTCCTTAGTCAACAGCACACCATGTATCAGCGATATATTTATTCCAAGCGATGTCATAAATCTACTCACGTATCACTTACGTAGCAAATTAACGTCTGCCAAAGTGATTCGATGTGATTCAGTTTAGCGTATGTCATTTTTTGGATATATATACTACATTAACGTTCTAACGGATCCTAAGGCTCACATCAGTACGATAGCACACCAGCTCTTACACTATATTTTTGCCCGCTGCCGATCGGTAGGGATGGAGACGGTATCCGAGCGAAACGGTCGGGCTAGGGGTGAAACGGTGTTTCTTTTGAGTTTGCTGTTTTCGGCGCAGATAATAACTCAACGAACCATGCTATTTTAACGGTACCTCCTCCATCCCGTGATCAACTGTCACACGTGAGTCACTGAAGTGAAACCGTGGAATAAACGATACGAACATCAAAGTACACACACACACACACAAAACAAAAAAAAAAAATACCTGTAAATGTGGCGATCATTAATGAATTTACCTTTACCCCAAACACCCATTCCACGACCAAAACGGGTGTGAAAAGAACTGTGCTTAATCCTGCAAAACAAACTAACAAAAAAAAAAACAAACCCCAGCGAGATTAATAAGACGCTTCTCCCGTAGAGTTCACAACATCGCGTGAAGTCGTTAGGGAAAGGGGCGGGATGGGTCACGCAAGCAACTAACAACTCGATCAGGCAAACTGGGCTCATATTTGTACTCACCGGAGGGGGCAAGTAGCCGACCGGACAAGCGTCCTAGGACCCGCGACACTACGATACGAAGACCCGTATAACATTAACTTCCTTTATTATTAATAATAAATACATGTATTTCAAATGCTTTCACACACTATAATACCGCCGGATGTATTTCACCAGTTTTGATCGATATCTCTCGTTTAAGAAAGGCTGGTTTTTATCTTCATCGAATCTCGAGTTTACAAGTTTTAGTTAAAGTATATGAAATATTTCGGAATATTGTTATCAATTGTTATCTGACGTCACACCGCAGGGATAGTTGTGTACACTTGGGGTATTGACATTTGGTCCATAAATTTCCTCTGGCATCATCGCGCATCCCGCGCAACTTTCTGCCTATCACCTGGTCGGTTAATAGTGCCGATCGATATATGTTTTCCGGTGGGAAAATTGCCCACGGATCGGTTACCGTATATGTTTTCTGGCACGAGATTATTACCTCCTACGTATATGTTCCCCGGCGGGGGAATGTTAACTACCGATCGGTTACCATATATATTTTCCACGGGACGAGTGCCGTATGTGCTGTGACCGATCCCTTTTACAAATGCCTTTGTAGAACCCCCGGACGGTGCTATGTTGGACATGAACTAAACCAGGCCTAGGGCCTGCCCCCCCCCCCAGTAAAAGTCCCTTTCGAGTGTAAAAATTTGCAAAATAACCATGTTACAAATGCAAGACATCAACGAATATTTACAGAGAGCTTGAGAACGAAGTTGCCAATCCTCGTAATTACTGGTTACACGAAGTGCGAACAATATAAAGAATATTAGAAGAAAATAAAAAAATCTAAAACTATGCAAATTTCAACTGACACATCTATTATCAAGAGACAAAAAGTCAAAGCAAGTTCGTGACGATAATAGATATCTATTTCCCCCCCGTAAAACTGCTTCAATTGGCTTTTAACTCCGGGGGAGGTGAAATCTCAGGGTTGTTCCAACTGCCAAAGTTCATCATCAGGGTGGCATGGCTGAATGAATCGAACACTATTCACGGAAGTAGAAACACGCCCACGGTTACCAGGAATCCAATTTGGATTTCCCCTTCTCTGTCTGCAACAAGTTGTGAGGTCAAACTTTTGATATCTTTCTCGGCATCTTCAAGCTTCTTCTCACTCATTTTCATCTCTTTCCTCAATTCTTCGCAAGACTTTCTCTCCCTTTCAAAACTCCCCTTGTAAAGAAGCAGCTGACATCTCGTTGCTTCAAGTTGTTCTTCCAGCCGTGTCTGTCTGCTTGCGTCAATCAACCCACGCATCTTCGAAGAAGCTGTAACAAATATCGAGGTAACGTCTAAGTTCTTTGTTTTGAAATAGAATTCACACAATCACATGACGTCGAAGTATTTTGAAATAAGCGTAATTCAAATGGAATGTGTCTCAGCCTTCTGGTCTGGAGGCCCAGCATATGTTGCAATCAGGTAGTTTCATCATGTATATAGTTGCAATTATAAGAAGTTATTGTTGCAAGTTAAAGTTATAAAATGTTATAACACAGTGACACTGAATAAAGATCAAAAGACTGTTGTGAGTGCATCTGAAATAGACACGGTCGTGAGTGCATTTAAAATAGACTGTACATTACGTGTAGCGCATATCAGGTGATAGATATATCAACTTTGTTCCAAACTTCCAAGATCATTGTCGTAACAAGTAGCTATTTACAAGTGTGCCCATGCAGTGTGCTTATAAAATGGAGTTAGGCTCGACACGCATGTCACCTTTGCGTCACAAAAAGCCTCTTTGGGAAACATCCAAGAATCATCAGAGATGATGGTCCAGACCTTTGCTCAAACCTCGCAAGCTATGTTTTCTACTTTAGTTTAAAGATGAAAAACGTAGTTACCCATTGCACTTTTCTGAGCTTCCAAAACTCCAGCTAATCTCATGATTTCATTTTCTAAAAACGTCTTCCGCTCGTGTAAACGGCTAACACATACTTTTAAGTCAATGTTTTCGTCTTTAACTTGTCTGTTTTCTGCATTTAGGACTTCAAACGACAATTTCAATGCTTCAAATCTTTTCTTATAAACGCAACCTGACATTTTTTCGAAGAACCTTGTCGATCCACTGACAAACTTTTCATCAGGATTGCTGGATCTCTTCATCCCTGCTTGTTAATTACAATTCTATGATATTGATCCGAAACTGTCGCAATTGCAGGCTTCTCAACCACAAGCTAAGCAAATTCCCCTTGTCATGGAAACGGGTGCTGGAGTATGGTTGCAAAGTCAGTAATGACGTCAATACATGTTCTCCCCGAAGTTTGATTGGCAGCTGAGTGTATCCATAATAATGATATTAGTTAGAGTTTCCGCGTTTGAAGAGTCTATATTGTAACTCTCTCTACATATTTGATCTTATATGGTCATGTCTTCGAGATAATAGGTTACACATTCCAGGAAAAATTGTATTTCTGTGCACTCACAGATAATATATACTGAATATAGTTTCTGTATGCATCATTTGGTAGACGAACTCTAATAGTAACGAATAACCCTCATGTCTACTCTCCATGCAGTCAAAAAACGACACAAGCAATGCCCTTGATGAAATATATTTGCCTATATGTATATTGCGTGTTCCTATTTTATCCATCGATACTACCTTCAACACTGCAGACGCACTTTTAACTCTAATTAGGAGTTATTATTTCTAAAATTATAACTTGTCTAGCCGGTCTTTGTTGGTCATTGTTCTGCACTTAGACACTGACGCAATTTAGAAAATTCACATCTCGAAGCGATGCGGGGATCGTGGATATAAACTATCTTACTAAATTTCAAATGCTTTTATACTCTGTAATACCGAATGTATTAATCAGTTTTGATCGATATCGCTCGTTTAAGAAAAAGTGATTTTTATTTTCATCGAATCTTGAGTTTACAAGTTTTAGTTACAGTATATAAAATTCGGAATATTGTTATCAATAATATCGAAGATTATGATCACTAATGTGTACCATAAAGATTCTCTGAGGTCACACTGCTGGGATAGTTGTGTACACTTAGGGTATTGACATTTGGTCCATAAATTTCCTCTGGCATCACCGCGCAGCTATTCTGCCTATCACCTGGTCGGTTAATAGTGCCGACCGATAGATCGCCGTATATGTTTTCCGGTGGGACAAAATTACCCATAGATAGATTTCCGTATATGCTTTCTGGCACGAGATTATTACCTCCGTATATGTCCTCCGGTGGGACAAAATTACCCACGGATAGATTACCGTATATGTTTTCTGGCACGAGATTATTACCTCCTCCGTATATGTTCCCCGGTGAGGGAATGTTAACTACAGATCGGTTACCGTATATGTTTTCTGGCAGGAGATTATTACCTCCGTATATGTTCCCCGGTGGGGGAATGTTAACTACCGATCGGTTACCGTATATATTTTCTACGGGACGAGTGCCGTATGTGCTTCCACCATAGATGGATTGCATATCCATTAAACTCTTTGCATAAGCATTCAGTAAAACTTGGCCGTAAATTTCCCCCTGCTCAGGGTTGGGTAAGGATACAGATATATGGCCGGGGTTATATATGGATTCGGAATAGCTGTCGTCCTTAGCTGTCCTGCCTTTCCTTCCTGATCCCTCCTGTTTCCCGGTTCTCTTTTGTGATGGCCTGCCGTCTGGGAAACAAAATTAAGGAATTTACAGTTTATCACAATCACGAGCACTAAACAGAGTAAAATTATTACAAATGGTTAGATTTTTGCCGTTCAAAATCGTTTCCACGTCTAACCTGAGTCATCATCGCTTGATCCACGCTCACTAGAATTACGTATACTTGAGTTAAAATCGGATTCCTCTGAATCACTAAAAGGCGGAACAAAATAATTTCTTAATGCAGTCGACGGTGATGAACCTGTAGTTATAGAAGTGAAGTGGATTCCAGGGGCGTTTTCCTTTATACGGTAAAAACGGCCAGAGCGGTCCTGTTGTATTTCGGTACAGACAGATTACTGGTATTTTAGAGTGTTTCAAGAACGCCGCATTCAAGTATGTCGTTATTCACATCTGCCTAGCACAGGAAATTCAGTTTCACCGCCATATTCTTAACGAAATACTAAGCAAAATTTTGATCGATACAAAAACTTGCACTACAGCTGTAAAGACTAGACAAAATTTGGTAAAAACCTTGAACGTATTTCTCTTTCTTCATTCCGTCTCATCGCTTTCTTTCGCCATACCTCCCGTCGACGCTTTCTCCAGGGGCTGAAAAATAACAAACGTTTGTTTGGAGTGTTGGCAGAGAGATCAGGGAATTCTGACAAGCGTGGGTATTTATATGGAGAAGGAAGTCCGCTTACCTTGTATAAGGAACATAACCTGTCACAAGCAATGATATGAAAACGAAAAATCCAACGACACCCAAAAAACTCAGAACTCCCGCAGCGATTCCCGCTTTTGCTAACGCTATATCTGAAACCGAGAATAGCAATTCATGATGATAAAACTCGGATTCGCTTTTAAACAACGGCTTGTAAACTACACTTACATGCTTTGTTTGACTTCTTTACATACTTCACATCGGCTGAAACAAAAAAAAAATTGTCTTTCACGGGTCTCTTGCATGTGTTTACCATCAAAGAAAGTTTTGCCCAAGTAGGTTTTGATTTCAGCGAGGAATGAAAATCACAGGACACGAGAAAAACTTTTGATGAAAGAACTAACTAATTTAAACCATGATTCCCTGCCTAAGTAAAACATGAATTTAATTTCTCGCCCTATCTGTATTTATGGCTGGCCGAATTAAAAGGTAAGAGGCATCGTGTTCATAACCTTTCCTACAAGTGCCACAGAGCGAGGTCACCCGCCACCCATTAGTTCATTTGGTTACCTTTTCCTGACGTCTTTTGGTGAACAACACTAGGCGGCCCAAAGCCAACGACAGTTCCTGCTTTTACTTCAATAATATACTCCGTCTTTGCCTTTAAATTACTGCAAGTCCAGGAGAGAACTGCATTTGATACTGTCACATTTGAAAACATTTTGAGATACCCGCTATCTAGCTGTTCGTAAACATCAATTGCATACGATGTTAGTACACCGTTCGTCTCGCTTTCGTCAGGGCTTTTCCATGAAACAGTTATAGAAGTATAGTTGAAAGCTGTAACTGAAATTTCGCTTGGAGTACCCGATGGAACTACAAAAGAAAAAGCAATTTCAACCAGGGCATACTAGTCTCAAAAACCGTTTCCTCTGGAAATGTACTACCCAAAAACTCATACTGATTATTTTAGGAGGAAACTTGAAACCAAATCACCCAATGCAAGACTCACCCCACTCCCCTGTTCTATGACGAACCCTGGTGGGGGGACCGTATCCCCCAGTGGTGCTTGCCTCCACGCTTACAGTGTACCATCTATAAGGTTTCAACCCAGCTATAAGTAACAGCCCCTTGCTCCCACCGACAACAACAGTATTATGACATGGCTTGGTATCGCTGATCTCCTTTGAACACAAACGATAGGCTACGATGATTCCGTTCCTTTTCTCTACTTCCGGTGGAGACCACGTAACTTCTAAACCAGTTGGACCGATCCCTTTTACGAATGCCTTTGTAGGACCCCCGGACGGTGCTATGTTGGAGAAATAGCATGGAAACTGAAAAGCTGACATGAACTAAACTAGGCCTAAGGCCTGTCCCCCCAGTGAAAGTCCTTTCGAGTGTAACAATTGTAACAATGCAAAATAAGCATGTTTAGAAGAAGGTAATGTTGTTCTTTTAACAAGCCTTATTCCATCAGGATGGATTCGTCAGTATGTAGTTCACTCTCCCCTGTTCTGTTAGTTCCGATTGATGGTAGATTGAACTTAGAAAAGCGATAAGGAAAACCTCGACTTATAAATAAGAGCTCTCAGTTTAAGAAGTTCAAAGCTAGAGACGTCAAAGCAATAATTTTTCGACAGAAACCGAATGAACCATCGCAATACTTACGGGCTGACAGTGTCCAGTGACGGACTGACGTAGAAGGACCCCAGCCTTTTACAGTTGCCGCCTTTATAAAAATCAGATATTCCTTAAAAGGTAGAAGACCGGAGAGTATAAAACTCCGAGAACCAGATGGTATGTTCTGGAAACTTGCGCACGGATGCTTCTGCTCGTATTCTTGGAAACACAGCGAGTAGGTGGTGATGATACCATTGCGCGCGTCATCGGGTACCTTGCTCCAGTACAAACGGATGGAGTTTGTTGTTGTCGATAAGACTTCAATGTATTCTGGACCAGAAGATGGCGCTAGATGGACAAGTGATTGAAATGAATGGTTAACTAAATCGTCTACTTAGTAGCTAGGGCTTCAGTTTGGAAGATGAAAACATTACTGAAGATAAAGAGAGGCGAAAACCAGCCAGAACATTGAACCAACCTGCTTGCTCAGTGCGATGTACAATGGAGATCGGAGTCCCCTTTCCGGCAACATTGAATGAAGCAACTTCAATCACATAGTCGGTATACGCCTTCAAACCCTCAATCCACTTTGTCCTCAGATCAGTGGACGTCTTGTTCTTTCTGCACGTGACCGATGACGTCTCCCTTGCACAGATTACGTAACCTTGTATATCGCCGTTCTTGTCTGTCGTCTTGGACGGTTGCCAGGCAATCTTTAGTGACGTGGCATTTGATGATGTTACTGATAAAGAGTCGGGAGTGACGGCTATAATAACAAGGCAAAGGTATGTCAGTTAATCCCGTGTGGTCGCGTTCAGCTATTGGTACTCTTGAAAGTCATGCTTACCAGGAGCACAGCCGTATAACTCGACTCTCATGCATTGATGGGGACCAGAGAACGTGACAACTTTAAACCGGATAAAACGAGTTAAAACCGGTTCATCCAGATAGTGCTTCACAATCTCAGCACCAGAGTTTCCAGGAATTTTCTAAACAAAATAAAACGCGGCACGCTTTATAGCAGCATTACCAGTACTCGGTCCAGTTTTCCGACTTCGGTCAGCCTAAGCTAGTGTCAAAAGTGTCAACTCTCTTACCTCTTTACCGCTGACAGTCACCGTCGTCCATTGGGCGCCGTTCTTGCTGTACTGGACATTGTATGATGTCACCCGAGCGTTGAAGTGACTTATATCTCCTTGCGTAGCTACGGCGATTATCCTAATGAGTCCCCCAATGTCCACTTGTATGGAGGCTCCCATTTTCGCCCCGTCTTCGCACCATATTTGCAGGTTTTGAAAACGCGCTTGAAATGCTTCGTGACCATCGCTCAAAAAGCCACTGGCAGAAAATTGGAAATTGCGAATCTTATTTCGGTCGCTCAGAAGAGCGCTGTCGCATTTGCCTGAGATTAGGAAAAAAAGGATGTTCTTAAAATTCTAACTTCCATTTATCAATTCATTGGGAAATTCACCCACCACCATGCAGTAACTCACCAGCCATTTTCTGCACAAAAGCTGATGGTCCATAACCAATCTTTGTGGCAGCTTTGATCTCTACCAAATATTCTCGGTCCGGGCTGAGTTCGGTGAAGAGGTATTGAGACTGGGTACCGGCCACGAACCTCGTGTCGTTACACGCGTGTAGCACACCAAACTCTCTGATACAGAGGGAATAGGAAATAATCGCCCCGTTCTGTTTCTCCCTCGCTGGTGGCAACCACGCCACTTGAAATGTTGTCGAAGTGACATTCTTAACTTGCACGAATGTCGGTGGACCAGATGGCGCTATATCAATACAAGATTTTAAGGTTTGTTCACATGAGCCAATTTTGTTGGATCCAATTCACTTCTGATGTATGAAATAAAGTCGGTTATTGATAAAGCAGTACTGCATTGGCTTCAGTGGATTTGTTGCTCATATACATTACAAGACAACAGACTATAAAACATCCATCAGAAGTGAACAGACCTTTGTACTATCAAAGCTGTGAGCAGAGCCTACTCACGTATGAATAAATTTTGTTCACTTACCTTCCATTAAAGTTCTAACGTTAAGAACAGCTGCTGGTCCAAAGCCTGCCTTTGTGCTGGCGCGTATTTCGATGACGTATTTCACGTAAGGTCGAAGATCTGTTGCCAGGTAGCTGACGTGATCCCTTGGCAACGAGATGGTTCTCTTGCTGGTCAGACTCCAAGGTTCTGGTAGCAATGTCAGACGATATTCTGTCAATACACCATTTTGGTTTTCGGGGCTTGGTTCCTTCCACGTCAAGTTGAGTTGAATGGAGTTGAGAGAATGAACCGTGAACGAAAGAGGAGATCCTGAGGGTGCTACAAGGATAGATAGGGATTTCATGTGATGCATGATGATTTGACACTTAGATACTCTAACTTTCAACAAGATCAGGAAACCACGGTTTGTCCATCTTCGGAGGTTAGGTAACCAGGCCATCATTTTCTACCGACTAACCTGCTTCCGATGTTCTGTTGCTCACCATCACGCTCGGGCCATCCCCCACCGAGGTAGCCGCGCTAATAATGACGTCATACACAGTGTACGGGGTTAAATTCGTTCCGGTGAAGTGTCTTTGGTCTGCAGTCAAAGCTCTGTCCTCACATTTGTCGTTTATCCTCAAACTTCTGATGCAAATTTTGTAACTCACGATAACGCCGTTTTGCAGCTCTTTTTCGGGCGGCGACCAAGTGACGGTCAACGACGACGAGTTCACGAATACTACACGAAGATCCGTCGGCGGACCGCTCGGAGCTGAAAGTTATAGATAATACAGTTAGCACATGTTGCAAGCGCACACGATTAGGAATCCAGACACTGATATAATGAATAGCTATTAGCTGGAAACTCGATAAGTTATCGGCCAGGGACAACGGAGTTTTTTTCGTATTGCTGAGGCTCGGAACCGCGCGTCTGCGTCGGAGACTTCAGGAAAATTTTGAAATATATGCCTCTGAAATGGTCGCAAATGCCTCTCAATTTAAGGATTATTAGGAAATAGAAGATACTTTGTAAAGTTTCCAGCATGTTTGATGCCCATACAAAAACATCAAACAATATAACCATGCATTGGTTATGATGTCAAATATTTTGACATGGATAACCACGCTGTCTTAATGGTCAAATGCTTGTCCTTTTTTGTCTCTGTTTTTTCTAATTTGGCCAAACATATGTACTGAACATAACTAATTTCAATCAATTTGTAAACATGGCGGATTTATCACGACAGATATCGTTGGAAATTAGAATACTTATTTCTTTGAATTGGTTTTTAAAATATACGTTGAAGAAGTAAAAGTTACGATAGTATTCCAGATAAGATACACTGCATATACTTGTAAGCAAAAAATCCAATTTGCTAAAAATATTAAAGAACGAAAGGTCCCGCGGCCCCTGTCATCCTCGATGCCCCCTCCCTCTCACCTGCTTCTGATGTCTTGGTGGCCACCAGCATACTCGGTCCATGCCCTGCGGAGGTGGACGCACTAACAATCACGTCATAAATGGTGAAAGGCGCAAGGCCAGAGGCAATGTAATTATTTTGACTTCCTGGTAAAACCACGTGTTCACATCGAGAGGTTATCGCGAAACTCCGGACGCAAACGTTATAACTTCGAATAACACCGTTTTGTAGAACCAGCTCGGGCGGCGACCACGAGGCGATCAATGACGATGCGTTCACGAAATTTACACGAAGATCGGACGGTGGGCCGCTCGGAGCTAAAAGAATCGAAATCGAGACAAAATTTGAGCTAGTTCTCCAAATTCATGTGCTTGCTTTATTGAGAACACACCCAACAATTACCTGCTTCTAACGTAGTCGCATATTCAATTGTGGAAAACGGGCCGTAACCAAGCAACGCCGCTGCCCTTATTTTAAGTGCGTACCGCACATAAGGATGTAACTCGGTAACATTCCATTGGGACTTGTTCGCGCGAATGTCGATGCAGCCGCTGGTGCTGAAGGCTCCGGTGTAACAGATTTCATACTTTGATATATCGCCTGTGAATTTGTCCGTTTTGGGGGAGTCCCAATCAATCAATAAGGTCGTAGCAGATGAAGATACGCTTTTTATGGTGGGATATGTTGATAAATCTGAAAGTATAAATATATAAAGCTAAATTGAGAGCAGGCAGAGTGAGTATAGCAGAGGAGAGTAGACTGGGGCCCTTTTCTTCAAAGCTTTTATACACATTGCACGATTTACACTATTGTTGCAGCAGTTATGTTACAATAATGAGAGGAAACTCCGAATTTAAGAATGTAAACAGGCAATTTCAGAGCGACTGGAAAACCATTATCCGGTGGATAGCGCTATCCAGCTTTCATACAACCGTCCCCAGTTCATTTACGCTCGGTTTAAACCAGATTTCGGCCCAATTTAGTTACCTTTTGGCAACAAGATTTCAGTCTCAAGCACAGCTGGTCCAGACGAATAGGTTGAAATTTTCGATTTCATCCACGGTGCAGTTCCCGTGCCTTTGAGGCAAATCAGCGCGTTTGATTCACCTTTAGTAAGCACAGAGGGCGCATGAGGACAGACGGCGATCAATGAGGAAGCGGCATCACTGTAGTAGACATGCGCACGATGATATACGACCATAAAAATAAGAACTTTGTCGGGTAAAGTTGAAAGAAACGCCGACATCTTTGCCCCGCTCTTCGTGTCTGTGAATGTGTTGAACGAGTTGCGATGAATCATATTTCCTGAGGAAATAAAAAGTGTGTGAAATAAAAAGAATGTTGAATCTTAGCCCCTGCAAACACAAACAGGCTTCACCTTTGCTCTGCAAACCGGGCTTCACCCTGGTAGGCACTACAAGTGCACCAACCTGTTTTCGCATCAAGAACGAGAAAATTATGTCCGTGCTGGTTAAATTCATAGCTCACACCAGACACAATTATGGAAGAATTAGCTCGTCCATACACGCGATATAATACATCTTCTTCCACTCGTGAGATCATTTGGACGTCGATACGTGCGGCGTCTAAAATCGTATTTGCACAAAACTCAGGTTGCATAACTCTTATAGTTTTGAAAGATCCTTGCAAGCAGTAGCGTAGCCAGCCTGTCGATTTGTCCCGCTATGCTAATATTTTATTGTTCACTGACTGTGAAAACAATAGATTTCTAAAGGCATGAATAATTATAACTCGAAATTTACATAGCGGGACAAAATCGTCAGGCTGGCTACGCCACTTCTTGCTAGACAAAAAGGGCAAAGGGATCGATCAGACGGTCTCTAGTCTTTCAAGCTATTTCTGCATGGGTATTTCTTTATGTTGAGAAAAGCAATGAGATTTGTCAATCATTCAACTGCGTTGCAACTTCCTTTCCATTTGATCTGGCCATGAACGAGATCATCTTACCTGGCTCAATTGTGAAAGCATTTAGTTTGAACGCGTCGCCAAACATGCTCGCCGACTGGGCACGAAGCGTGATAGAATAAAGGGATAACGGTAACAGTCCAGTGAATGTATATTTGAAGTCATTTTCAACCAGAACGCAAGCGTTTGCTTTGAGGTTATCAGCGATGCAGAGACTGTAGTTGAAGGGATAATCATAATCTGTCAGATAATCATCAGGTCTTGACCACGTTAGTTTTATCGAGTTACCATCAGTGTAGACTATTTTGACATGGCTAGGCGGTCCACTTGGAGCTAAAATGTTACAAAAATGATGTCAAACGATTCGTTTAGCTTACCATTGCATCTTCTGTTAAAACCAGTGAAACACACTGACCTTTTCTCAATGTCACAAGCTCGACAATTCTTGACGGTCCACGGCCAATCTTCTTTCGTACCATTTTTCGCCAATAAGGGATCGGATTGTGGATCCCCTTATAACCCAGAAAGGCCCATGATTCCCCATATTCGAGGTCTGCTGTGATTGGTTGATCCACCAGTTGCTCTAAATATGGTATCGCGGCTTTGTAGTATTTTTCGCCGCTGAAAAACACAACCATACACACGATCGTTCCAGGATTGATGGAGGTGTCCAGAAAATCTTTCATTTTGATTTCAGAATCACTGCGAGACCACGTTAAAAAACTGAGAGAATCACTCGCAATATCGTAGCCTTTAACTTTGCCTGAAAAACCAAACACGGACAAATCGAAACAGTTAAATTTTGATGCTTTGCAAAGTTAATGCTACCAGATATTTTCATGTGCGCTTTTTCCTCTGTCTGTTCCTTACTTGACAATTGAAATCGTCCTACATTCAATTAATGCAATTGAGAAACAATACAACTTGCCTGATTCAATATCGTAGATTTTGAAATTAATTCCTGGCTCGGTAAAGATGTGTATTTTATCGTTATCGACTATTTGAGAATAGATGTCCTTGCTTGCACCAGCCTCGGCCACACCATTTGAGATCAACTTCAGACGTAACACAGAAGCCGCTGAAATATAAGGACATATCCAGTTAATTTACTTCTATAATTTCTGCCGAAAGGAATCATCCTTACCATGACGACTATAACACACCACACCTCACAATATACTATACCACACCATACCATACCGCACCACACAACACCATACCACACAACACTATACCATACAACACTATAATATACCACACCACACAACACCATACCACACAACACCATACCATTCCTCACCACACTCTGTCATACCATACCATACCATACAACACCATACCATTTCCCGCCACACTCTGTCATACCATACCACAGCCCTGACATCAATACAAAACTTACGTCTTCTTCCATAAACCTCAACCTCACAAAAGTTCAATACACCATAATTAGCTGGAATGATAACACTGACAAACTGTCCTTTGAGTGGCTCCTCGCAAATGATCTCGCGAGATTCCCCTGGCTCTAAACCTGATTGGAATATCGGCGTACATCTCGCATTTATCACACCACCGTTGATATTATTGTCTCCAACCTTGGAAAAGAAACGTTAGAACTCAAGATCATGAATATAGTTTCATAAAGCAGCATATATGGACACTTATAGCTATGATCTGTGATTTCGCATATCAACAGTTTTTAAAATTAAATTTTCCCGAGGACCAATACCTTCGTTCGTGGTCAGTTAAAATACAAGCGTTCGGCATGGTTAATCTTTCAAAACCTCACAGCTCAAAAAAAGCCCGTGAATAAGCTTTCCAATCTCTCAAAGTTAACAAGAGACTACACAATATCTCAACAGCAAGTCTTATTGATCTGAACATTTCTTTACACATACCTTAATCTCAAAGTTTTGTAGTCTATCGCTGCAACAATCGCGTCTATTGGTGATAACAACTGAGGTTACATAGAAATCCTCTCCCAGATCCAATAACCACCAAGGCTCGAGTTGCTGATCTGTCTGAATGCAAGATTTCTCGGAATAGTCCGGGTGTCTATTACCGTCAACCGCGTTGGACGAAATGCCTTGATCCACAACACTGGACTGATAAGTCTTCTTTCCCAAAGCAATGTTCTTTTCTGAAAGGTTGATAGCAATGGAGTACAACTTAACTAAGTTAAATGGAGCTACACTAAACTGAACTTTGAACACTGAATTGCATTCTGGAATTAAATATTGCTTACCTCTGTAATCTGGTGTCGTCAATGCTACTTTAGTAACTATAATAAAAAAAATTGTAAGTCAGTAAGAGCAATAAGGGAAACATTGACTTATAAATAACAGCTCTCAGTTTAAGAAGTTCAGAGCTAGAGACGTCAAAGATCTTCGGCAATAATTTTTCAACAGGAACCGAATAAGCCTTAGCAATACTTACGCGCTGACAGTGTCCAGTGACGGAGGGACGTAGAAGGACCCCAGCCTGCTACAGTTGCCGCCTTTATAAAAATGAGATATTCCTTGAAAGGTAGAAGACCGGAGAGTAGAAAACTCCGAGAACCAGACGGTATATCCTGGAAACTTGAGCACGGATGCTTCTGCTCGTATTCTTGGAAACACAGCGAGTAGGTGGTGATGATACCATTGCGCGCATCATCGGGTACCTTGCTCCAGTACAAACGGATGGATTTTGTTGTTGTGGATACGACTTCAATGTATTCTGGACCAGAAGATGGCGCTAGATGGACAAATGAATGATTGAATATTGAAGTTAGAACTTATCCCTAATAAAAGAAGTGAAAAAAGGACGTCAGCAATTATACACAAAAGAAGCGCGGCTTCAATCGGTTAGCTAGAGATTCTCCAAGACGTGCTGAACCCTACCGAAAGGGCGCAAGCAAATTTACAAAGAAAAGACAACAAAATTCAGCAGACATTTTCCACAGTTTGGCAGAATGTTGCTTCCAGTTAATTGGAGATCAATTTCTAACTAAATCATCTACTTAAAAGCTAAGGATTAAGTTTGGAAGATGAACACATTACTGAAGATAAAGAGAGGCGAAAACAAGCCAGAACATCGAACCAACCTGCTTGCTCAGTGCGATGTACAATGGAGATCGGAGTTCCCTCTCCGGCGACATTAAATGAAGCAACTTCAATCACATAGTCGGTATACGCCTTCAAACCCTCAATCCACTTTGTCCTCAGATCAGTGGACGTCTTGTTCTTTCTGCACGTGACCGATGACGTCTCTCTTGCACAGATTACGTAGCCTTGTATATCGCCGTTCTTGTCTGTCGTCTTGGACGGTTGCCAGGCAATCTTTAGTGACGTGGCATTTGATGATGTCACAGATAAAGAGTCGGGAGTGACGGCTATAATATAATATATTGTATAGGCTCATATAGTCAGCGGACAGCTTACATAGAATTGAGAGCAGGGAGAAAATTGTACTGGGAGGAAATTTGCCCAATATGACCAATGTGGACCTTTCTAATAGCCTTAAATGAGTCATGCTTACCAGGAGAACAGCCGTATATCTCGATTCTCATGCATTGATGGGGACCAGAGAACGTGACAACTTTAAACCGGATAAAACGAGTTAAAACCGGTTCATCCAGATAGTGTTTGACAATCTCAGCACCAGAGTTTCCAGAAATTTTCTAAACAAAACACATCAAAATGAATATTATGTTTAGAGCGGTATTACCAGTATTCGGTCCAGTTGTCCGACTTCGGTCAGCCAGACTCAGCCTAAGCCAGGCTCAACTCTCTTACCTCTTTACCGCTGACAGTCGCTGTCGTCCAGTGGGCACCGTTCTTGCTGTACTGGACATTGTATGATGTCACCCAAGCCTTCTGACTTATATCCCCTTGCGTAGCTACGGCGATTATCCTATTGAGTCCCCCAATGTCCACTTGTATAAAAGCTCCCATTTTCGCACCGTCTTCGCACCATATTTGGAGGTTTTGAAAACGCGCTTGAAATGCTTCGTGACCATCGCTCAAAAAGCCACTGGCAGAAAATTGGAAATTGCGAATCTTATTTCGGTCGCTCAGAAGAGCGCTGTCGCACTTGCCTGAGATTAAGAAAAAAAAGCATCTTTTATTTCTTAACTGAATTCTAACTTGCGCATCCATTTATCAAATGATTGGGAAATTGCCATGCAGTAACTCACCGGCCATTTTCTGCACAAATGCTGATGGTCCATAACCAATCTTCGTGGCAGCTTTAATCTCTAACAAATATTCTCGGTCCTGGCTGAGTTCAGTGAACAGGTGTTGAGACTGGGTACCAGCCACGAACCTCGTGTCGTTACACGCGTGTAGCACACCGAACTCTCTGATGCAGAGGGAATAGGAAATAATCACCCCGTTCTGTTTCTCCCGCGCTGGTGGCAACCACGCCACTTGAAATGTTGTCGAAGTGACATTCTTAACTTGCACGAATGTCGGTGGACCAGATGGCGCTATATCAATACAAGATTTTATGCATAACACTATCAGATCAGTGAGTAAAACCCAATCATGTATGAATTCATTTTGTTCACTTGCCTTCCATTAAAGTTCTAACGTTAAGAACAGCTGCTGGTCCAAAGCCTGCCTTTGTGCTGGCGCGTATTTCGATGACGTATTTCACGTAAGGTCGAAGATCTGTTGCCAGGTAGCTGACGCGATCCCTTGGCAACAAGATGGTCCTGTTGTTGGTCAGACTCCAAGGTTCTGGTAGCAATGTCAGACGATATTCTGTCAATATACCATTTTGGTTTTCGGACCTTGGTTCTTTCCACGTCAAGTTGAGTTGAATGGAGTTGAGAGAATGAACCGTGAACGAAAGAGGAGATCCTGAGGGTGCTACAAGGATAGAGAGGGATTTCATGTGATGCATGATGATTTGACACTTAGATACTCTAATTTTGAACAAGATCAGGAAACCACAGTTTGTCTAACTTCGTAGGTTAGGTAACCAGGCCATCATTTTCTACCGACTAACCTGCTTCCGATGTTCTGTTGCTCACCATCACGCTCGGCCCATCCCCAACCGAGGAAGCCGCGCTAATAATGACGTCATACACAGTGTACGGGGTTAAATTCGTCCCGGTGAAGTGTCTTTGGTCTGCAGTCAAAACTCTGTTTTCACATTTGTCGTTTATCCTCAAACTTCTGATGCAAATTTTGTAACTCACGATAACGCCGTTTTGCAGTTCTTTTTCGGGCGGCGACCAAGTGACGGTCAACGACGACGAGTTCACGAAAACTACACGAAGATCAGTCGGCGGACCGCTCGGAACTGAAAGTTATAGATAATACAGCTATTTAGGAAGAGGCACCAGACAATATAATGAATAGCTATTAGCTGGAAAGAAGTCACTCTTAACTCCTCTCTCTCTCCCTCTCACCTGCTTCTGATGTCTTGGTGGCCACCAGCATACTCGGTCCATGCCCCGCGGAGGTGGACGCACTAACAATCACGTCATAAATGGTGAAAGGCGCAAGACCAGAGGCAATGTAATTATTTTGACTTCCAGGTAAAACAACGTGTCCACATCGAGAGGTTATCGTGAAACTCCGGACACAGACGTTATAACTTCGAATAACACCGTTTTGTAGAACCAGCTCGGGCGGCGACCACGAGGCGATCAATGACGATGCGTTCACGAAGGTTACACGAAGATCGGACGGTGGGCCACTCGGAGCTAAAGGAGTCGAAATCGAGACAAAATTGGAGCTAGTTCTCCAAATTCAAGTGCTCGCCTCATGCAGAACACATCCAACTTACCTGCTTCTAATGTAGTCGCATATTCAATGGTGGAAAACGGTCCGTAACCAAGCAACGCCGCTGCCCTTATTTTAAGTGCGTACCGCACATAAGGATGTAACTCGGTAACATTCCACTGGAACTTGTTCGCGCCAATGTCGATGCAGCCGTCTGGTGCTGAAGGCTCCGGTGTAACAGATTTCATACTTTGATATATCGCCTGTGAATTTGTCCGTTTTGGGGGAGTCCCAATCAATCAATAAGGTCGTAGCAGATGAACATACGCTTTTTATGGTTGGATATGTTAATAAATCTTAAATGAATAAATGTATAATGCTAAATTGAGAGCAGGCAGAGCGAGTATAACAGAAGAGGCATTGCACGATTTGCACTACTACTCACTTGTAGCGACAACAATCATTCATGCATCCGCATCAAAACGCATTCAGGGGCTGGATAACGCTATTCACCAGATAGTGATTTGTTCAATCGTTACATGGTTGAAAGCAATGAAGTTACAAATTTTTGGAGTTATTTTTCGCAGTTATGATAGAAAAGGTTTAATCGAGTTAATACCGGACAAAGGGAAATTTTAAAGCTATTGAAAAAACAATATTTTAGTTCATTTTTCATGCTCTCGGTTTAAACCAGATTTCGGCCCAATTCAGTTACCTTTTGGCAATAAGATTTCAGTCTCAAGCACAGCTGGTCCAGACGAGTAGGTTGAAATTTTCGATTTCATCCACGGTGCAGTTCCCATGCCTTTGAGGCAAATCAGCGCGTTCGATTCACCTTTAGTAAGCACAGAGGGCGCATGAGGACAGACGGCGATCAACGAGGAAGCGGCATCAGTGTAGTAGACATGCGCACGATGATATACGACCATAAAAATAAGAGCTTTGTCGGGTAAAGTTGAAAGAAACGCCGACATCTTTGCCCCGCTCTTCGAGTCTGTGAATGTGTTGAACGAGTTGCGTTGAATCATATTTCCTGAGGAAATAAAAAGTGTGTGAAATAAAAAGAATTTTGATTCTTGCTCTGCCAACCGGGCTTCCCTCGTAGGCAGTAAAATCACACAAACCTGTTTTCGCATCAAGAACGAGAAAATGATGTCCGTGCTCGTTAAATTCATAGCTCACACCAGACACAGTTATGGAAGAATTAGCTCGTCCATACACGCGATATAATACATCCTCTTCCACTCGTGAGATCATTTGGACGTCGATACGTGTGGCGTCTAAAATCGTATTTGCACAAAACACGCATATTAGGTTGCATATTATTACTCTTATACTTTTGAAATATCCTTGCAAGACTGGAAAGGGAAAGGGCTGTTTCTAGTTTATGGTAGTGAAAACAAGATCAATATTTCATTGCTTTCCGAGTTATTTCTTGGTGTTTTTTACGTTGATAACATCAGGGGGAAGCATTGAGTTTGTGCATGATTCAATTGCGTTGCAAAATGCTTAGCATGTGACATAGTTGTAACTTATGACTTTACTGATTATTGAATGAACGAAATCATCTTACCCGGCTCAATTGTGGAAGCATTTAGTTTGAACGCGTCGCCAAACATGCTCGCCGACTGGGCACGAATCATGATGGAATAATTGGTCAGAGGTAGCAGTCCAGTGAATGTATATTTGAAGTCATTTTCAACCAGAACGCAAGCGTTTGCTTTGAGGTTATCAGCGATGCAGAGGCTGTAGTTGAAGGGATAGTCATAATCTGTCAGATAATCATCAGGTCTTGACCATGTTAATTTTATCGAGTTACCATCAGTGTAGACTATTTTGACATGGCTAGGCGGTCCACTCGGAGCTAAAATGTTACAAAAATGATGTCAAGAGATTCGTTTTGCTGACCATTGCATCTTCTGTTAAAACCAAGGAAACACACTGACCTTTTCTCAATGTCACAAGCTCGACAATTCTTGACGGTCCACGGCCGATCTTCTTTCGTACCGTTTTCCGCCAATAAGGGATCGGATTGTGGATCCCCTTAAAGCCCAGTAAGGCCCATGATTCCCCATATTCGAGGTCTGCTGTGATTGGTTGGTCCACCAGTTGCTCTAAATATGGTATCGCGGCTTTGTAGTATTTTTCGCCGCTGAAAAATACAACCATACACACGATCGTTCCAGGATTGATGGAGGTGTCCAGAAAATCTTTCATTTTGATTTCAGAATCACTGTGGGACCACGTTAAGAAACTGAGAGTATCATTCGAAATATTGTGGCCTATATCTTTGCCTGAAAAAACGAAAACTGAAAAAGTTAAAGTTGTCTGCATTGCAAAGTTGACCGGTGACGCTAACATCAGTAGCATATATTTCTATGTGCACTTTCTCCCTTGTCTGTTTCTCATTACTGCCGTTTGACAATTGATATCGTCTGACATTTACGTAATTCAATTAAGAAAAAACTTGCCTGATTCAATGTCGTAGATTTTGAAATATATTCCTGGCTCGGTAAAGATGTGTATTTTATCGTTATCGACTATTTGAGAATAGATGTCCTTGCTTGCACCAGCCTCGGCAACACCATTTGAGATCAACTTCAGACGTAACACAGAAGCCGCTGAAATATAAGGACATATCCAGTTAATGTACTCCTAATTTCTGGCGAAAGGGTTCACTCTTACCATTATGACTATAACATACCATACCTCACAATATACCATACCACACCATGCCACACCACACCACACCATGGTCACAGCACCACACCACACCATGCCACACCACACCATACCATGCCACACCACACCACACCATGGTCACAACACCACACCACACCACACCATGGTCACGACACCACACCACACCACACCATGGTCACAACACCACACCACACCACACCATGGTCACAACACCACACCACACCATGGTCACAACACCACACCACACCATGGTCACAACACCACACCACACCACACCACACCATGGTCACAACACCACACCATGTTCACAACACCACACCACACCATGCCACACCATGGTCACCACACCACACCACAAAATCACAAAATACCATACCACATCACACCACACAACACCATACTACAAAACACCATACCACATCATGGTGACCACACCACACCTAAAAATCACAAAATGCCACACCACATCACACCACACAACACCATACTACCAAACACCATACCACACAACATGATACACATGATACGAAACTTACGTCTTCTTCCATAAACCTCAACTTCGCAAAAGTTCAATACACCAGAAGCGGCTGGAATGATAACACTGACAAACTGTCCTTTGAGTGGCTCCTCGCAAATGATCTCGCGAGATTCCCCTGGCTCTAAACGTGGTTGAATCGACGTACATCGGGCATTTATCACACCACCGTTGATATTACTGTCTCCAACCTTGGGGAAAGAAAATGAGGACTCAAGATCATAAATAAGTTTCATAATTCACGTATATGGATACTAAAGGCGATTCTCCATTACCGTCCGCTTCAGCTGCGCGGGCGAAGCGTCTTTTGAAAATCTACCCTTGCGACCGTGACGGGCCTTAAAAAAAAGCGCGCTTCGCCCGCGCGGGCCAATCTCTCAAAGTTACTCAACAGCAGTCTTATTGATCTGAACATTTCTCCACACATACCTTAATCTCAAAGTTTCGTAGTCTTTCGCTACAACAATCTCGTCTATTGGTGATAACAACTGAGGTTACATAGAAATCCTCTCCCAGATCCAATAACCACCAAGGCTCGAGTTGCTGATCTGTCTGAATGCAAGATTTCTCGGAATAATCCGGGTGTCTATTACCGTCAACCGCGTTGGACGAAATGCCTTGATCCACAACACTGGACTGATTAGTCTTCTTTCCCAAAGCAATGTTCTTTCCTGAAAGGTTGATAAAATGGAGTCCAACTTAACCAAGTTTAATGGAGCTAAACTAAACTGGAGGTATAAGACTGGAACTGAATTGCATTCTGGAATTCAAGGTTGCCTACCTCTGTCATCTGGTGTCGACAACGCTACTTCAATAACTATTATCAAAAGATATAACTTTAATATTTGAAATAACATTTCTTTTAGTGTTATTTCGCATAGTTCAGTAATGATGCACGAGCATCTTCGTAAATTACTGTTGTGTAAGGCTTCATTTTAGAACGCCTGTTGTGACGTTGATAAATTGCAATTCTAATTTGACGCGGGTCGCGCTTGCACTTGGAACGCGCACGTTTATTACACGTGAACACGTAAACGTTTGCTGGTATTAATGATATCAGAGCAACAATGACTAAGCGCACGAAAAAGATTTTTATAGGCATTGAGGAAGGTTGAAAGTGAAACACTGAATAAAACATTACAAAGCAGTAAGTACTAGACTAGTCAGGCTAGTATTAGTAGCAATAGTAAACACTCAGTCAGACTAACAGTACTGCAATGATCAACTGACATTGAGGAAGGTTGAAAGTGAAACACTGAATAAAACATTACAAAGCAGTAAGTACTAGAATAGACTAGTCAGGCTAGTATATTAGTAGCAACAGTCAACACTCAGTCAGACTAGCAGTACTGCAATGATCAACTGACATTGATGAAGGTTGAAAGAGAAGCACTGAATAAAACATTGCAAAGCAGTAAGTACTAGACTAGTCAGGCTAGTATTAGTAGCAACAGTCAACACTCAGTCAGACTAGCAGTACTGCAATGATCAACTGACATTGAGGAAGGTTGAAAGTGAAACACTGAATAAAACATTGAAAAGCAGTAAGTACTAGACTAGTCAAGGAAGGTTGAAAAAGAAACACTGAATAAATTATTGCAAAGTAGTAAGTACTAGACTAGTCAGAACTTAGTGTGACTAGTGGTACTGTCGTGACAGGAACATGCGCACTATGATAGTAAATGTATAAAGGCGTTGGATTACTTTAACGCACGTAAAAATAAAATTTCAAATCTACTTGTGTTCGATTCATTTAAACGACACCTTCATTAATTAGTGCAATCCATTAAATACAGCTTTAAAAATAATTAAATGTTTTTTTAAATAGCGACTGACATAGTTATTCATCGCTCCATTCATTACAAGAAAGCTGCGACAATGTATTCCCAGTGCAGTTTAATTTGTACATTTTAAATGTCCAAATTTCTATTAAAATTCGTGGCGAATACGAACACCTTCATATCTCAATTTAATTTGTCGGCAAAATATCGGCGTGTTCTAACGATTTAGTCTGATTAAAACCATTTAACTTCCCATGCCGACTGTCGTATTTCTTAATTGATATTATAAACTAGGACGTCTAGGACGCTGTTAATTATATAAAAATTATTTCACCCTTCTATCTTCAATATAACTTTTTCATCAGTGCAACGTTTTTTAAAACAGCACTGTGTATGCAAAAAGCGATATAAAGTAGTATTACTAGGCTATTACGATCGAATAGCAGAAGTCAATACTCGAGTGGTCAGACTGAACTGACCAACTGACAGGAGGGTTTACTGACATTGAGTCTTGTTGAAAGTGAAACATTAAATAAAACATTGCAAAGCATTAAGTACTAGACTAGTCAGGCCAGTATTAGTAGCAACACTCAGCACTCAGTCAGACTAGCAGTATTGCAATGATCAACTGACATTGAGGAAGGTTGAAAGTGAAACACTGAATAAAACATTGCAAAGTATTAAGTACTAGACTAGTCAGGCCAGTATTAGTAGCAACACTCAGCACTCAGTCAGACTAGCAGTATTGCAATGATCAACTGACATTGAGGAAGGTTGAAAGTGAAACACTGAATAAAACATTGCAAAGCATTAAGTACTAGACTAGTCAGGCCAGTATTAGTAGCAACACTCAGCACTCAGTCAGACTAGCAGTACTGCAATGATCAACTGACATTGAGGAAGGTCGAAAATGAAACACTGAATAAAACATTGCAAAGCAGTAAGTACTAGACTAGTCAGACTAGTATTAGTAGCAACAGTCAACACTCAGTCAGACTAGCAGTACTGCAATGATCAACTGTCATTGAGGAAGGCTGAAAGTGAAACACTGAATAAAACATTGCAAAGCAATATACTAGACTGGTCAGGCTAGTATTAGTAGGAACAGTCATCACCCAGTCAGACTAGCAGTACTGCAATGATCAACTGACATTGAGGAAGGTTGAAAGTGAAACACTGAATAAAACATTGCAAAGCAGTAAGTACTAGACTAGTCAAGTTAGTATTAGTAGCAACAGTCAACACTCAGTCAGACTAGCAGTGCTGCACTAATCGCCAATATTTGTCCTGCTAGACCAAAATCTCGGTGCTCTGACAAAGACAATAAGCACAGTAAGTATTCCGATCACTACGGCCGCATACATAGAAAAACGATCAATAATCCTGGAAGCTAGTACCCAATCTTTGTTCCATTCATTGGGACCTTCATTATTCTCAACGTGTTCTATGTTATCCATTGCGTCCTTGTTATCCCTAGCCGTCCTGTCACAGGAACTTGAAATTGAACTTCTTTCGTCCATAGATTTAAAACTTACAAGACCCACAGTGGAGCTATTCAAATCGCCTTGCAGAACATCAGTTCGCGAAGACCCTGTCTCAGTTAACTCGATATCAGACTGCAAATCGAAATTGGTTTCTCTTGAGCTCAAAGAGAGCTGAAATTTTCTTTCCGATAGCCTAAACGAACGCTTTAATTTCTTCGTATTTATGCCGTCTTCCGAAGGTGGTTTTATACGAGTTATCTTTCCAAGGTAGTTTAGTATCATAGTTTTCATGAAGCCGGGCATTGGCGAGTGAGAATGATAGTAGAAATTGAGTGTTAACGTGGTGATGAGCAAAGCCACTCCGATTTCGATCGTTGTTACAAGAAAATACTGCGAGATGAGCGGGAAATCTTGCAAAGGAACCATCTTCATCGTGAGTTGTTGGAAGAAGGTCATGGCAAGCAGAATAAGCATCCCCAAGCTCATTCGTTCACCAGATTCAGGGGGGGAGAATCCTGCAGCAAGAAAGAAAATTAGATAGGATTATGTAAACAGGAGTGTGACGCACTTGTGAGGTACAACAGCAAGTAACTCCCCCCCCCCCCCCCCCTACGTGAAAAATTTGTTTCCACATGAAAACTACATGCTCACACTGACTCGAAATGATTTCGCGACAAATGAGCAATTGATACTAAGGTAGTCGGAAAGATGGTTTGATCACAACTCACACTTTTCCCGATCATACTGAGGGCGATTCAGATATGTATTAATGTTATTGACAGTCATATCCTCACTTAAATATAATCAAATAAATGCTGTTGATACTAATCAGAAATGTGGTTTAAATTGACTTGTCAGACCATATTGCTTGTCAGACTTTTCATATATAGCGATTTGTCGGAGCGAATCAAATATAAGTTTCAAATTAAGCTAACGCAAACGTCGGCATGACGATATCTACAACTGGTATTTAATCATCTTAACATCATCAATACTATTGATATAATTCAGAAATCATCAATCAATACATACCCAAAATTGTGAGGCATGATATCAGGAAACAGGGCACAAGCATTTCGATAAAAAAGTAGACCGAATCACGTTCCATGCTGAAGGAAACCTCGACAACTGAGTAATTGCTCATTCTCTTGACGTCCCAGAATCGTGTGTGTCTCGTGTCTGCCTCGAACAATATCCATTCCTTGTTCTTATAAGGTGGTACGGAATTTCCCAGTTTAAGATGGGCGATGTACATTTCACTGGATGGATACGAGAAAGAGCCGAAGCGCAGCGAACATTTCTGGAGGTCTAGGGGAAAGTAGGAGACATCTATGGAACACATGACGTGAAGAAACAGTGGATATCGCCAGCGGCATGTCCCATTTGAGTTCACGACGACAAGGGTTGTGATACCCGTCTTTTTGTGATCCTTGTTCTCAATTCTAGATCGGAGAAAAACACTACTTTGAAACACAGATGTCCTTGAAAAATAACTAACTTTATATATTTGTACTGGATAGCTCTTTCAGTTCAGTTCTAACCGTTCTTCCTAGAGGTCCAGCAAGGATCATCTCTTATTGATCCAGTGTTACTACAGGAGGAAACCTAAACTAAACTAACTTCATTTATACTGGATAGCTCTATCAGTTCTAAACTGTTCTTCTTATAGAGCTCCAGTAAGGATCATGTCATATTGATCCAGTGTTACTACAGAAAGAAACCTAACTCTAAACAGTTGTTCCTGGGTGTTTTATTATAGTCGCCTGTCAAACAACTCACTCATTGTATAAGCCAATATCAGGAACCCAAATTTCATCCGGTGAAATATTGATTGAAGAAAATCCAGAATATTCCGATGGATTCCAACGAAGCGTGTTATCCTCCCACTCCTAAGACGAAATATTAAATAGCAATCATTCTGACTTTCCCTTCTAGAAGGTAGAAGATAGAGCTAGCGGAGCCGTAATAATAATAACGTTGATGTTTTTTAAAACTTTTATGCAGCTCAATTGCTTACCAGTCGGACCAGTGATACCACACTCATTCTTTGCTGTTTTGCGTTCTATAAGGGAGAAAAGAAACTGAGCACTATAATTTGGATCAGTTTCCTGTTAAAAGTTTGCGTGCCTATCCCTAGTTCTGAATTAATAGTTATCATGTTAAGTAATATAAAGGGTCAGAAAATAACTTCGGATCCAATTCACTTCTGGTAAAGAAGTATACTGCATTGGCTTAAGCTTATTTTTTCCTCATATACATTGCAAGTCGGCAGTCTATAAAACATCCATCAGAAGTGAATTGGATCTGACAAAGTTGGATCGTGTGAACAGACTTTGCGTCGGCCTGTTTACGCTGAAGATGAAACCTAGGCGAATCTAGAAGGCGGCTTGGGCTGGGCGCGTATATCATAAATGTATGATTTATTAATGAAACTTATAGCAACATCGCAACGCATAAATATCAGACAACTAATATAACGGCCCTATTATTAAACCGGTGCCCACCTGCAGTTTTACTAATTGACGAAATTCCATAAAATTTCGCGAGAATGTAAACATTCAGAGCAACTGGGCAAACATGAAATGAACCATGGCGATCGCCGCTTGTTTTACCGCCTTACCGGTCATGCAAGTCAGCAAGAGTGTTGCACGCATGCGCGGGTTGGAATTGCATGAAAGTTGTTGACAAGTTTTGAACGGCTTAATTCAGTGCGGTGTCTAATTTGTAGGTAACACGGTTTAACAAAACGGTTATATCCGTTTCGGATTTCGTCAATTTCCACGGTATTTTCAAACGATTCGACTGTGCCACTTTAGTCTAGTTTAACCGAGCATTGAGCGTTTTATAAAAGCTCTCAGAAACTCTTGTCGCTCAACTTGCATCAATTCAACTCTCATGCATATACAAACAAGAGCTGTCACTACATGACATGCATTTAAAACGTGTATGTCAATTGGTCACGCAAAAGTCGTGAAAATTGTCTGACGGTCTGACCTTAGTGAAGTAGTACATGTGATTGCAAGCGAGATATATTAAAGATTGCTATGAATTGTGTAAGGCATGCTTCAACTCACCAACTGGACAAGCATTCAAACCGGCGGATAAAAATGTGAAAAAAATATACGAGAAAGCGCTTACGTACCACTTCGAATATCTTAATCAGCTCAAAACCAAACGAAACATTCAAAGGTAAATTCTCAAAGATCACTGGCCTAGAATTCTTATTGTATCTTCAGAAGTCTTCGCATAATCGTTCTGCGCAGTTTGAGTTCTGCCCGGCTGGAAGGCAATTACGTCCTCTGTAACTAAAAAACAAAATTCCGCGATTTAAAAAAAAATTCTGAACTAAATATAACCGGTTTGACAAATATAGCTACCGCGTGATATTTAAAGGACAGATTTAGAAGAAAAACATCGTTTCGTTAAACAGAAAAACAATGATAATTATACTCGTTCAAAAATTGTTTTCAAGACAACTGCATGACTGATTTCCACGACTGTAACTAACTATATATCATTTGCAACACACTTTATCTCAACTATCTTTGATGCCAAAAGGTCAAAGGTAGAAACGTCGAGAAGTATTTTCGTCTATTATAGGCAGTTGTCATACCACATTTAATTGAAACGAAGTTGTTTGAAGACGCTGCCACAGCACACTGCTATTTGTAATATATTTAATTGCATGGAGACTGACGCATGCAGTATGGCCTAGTGATGTATATATACAGTTTATTTGCAGTCAAACTCTCTCTATATATAGCTCACATTATGGCAAATTCCTTGAAATGTATTAGACATATGGAATATCATTCAGTCATTATCTCAATATTTCTATGACATATATTCATATTAAATTCTGGATATAAACAAGATTATGCTAAAAGCAATTAAGTCTTTGTGAAAATAATTTCAGATGTAGTCAGACCCGCCCTACATGAACGTTTGCCAATCATACAAGTGTTTGAAAAGGTGCTAATAATCTGGATATATACTGTTTCCATGCATAACTGTGCAGTGTATCAGACCACCGATTTAAAGCGTCCAATTATTTCGATATGCATATAGCCTGCAAGGGTGGCGCTCAATTGCAAGTTGCAAGGCTTACGTCAAGAGTTTAGTTGAAGTTTAGTTCTCTGCATGGATATTTTAGGTTTCAAGGTGATATATTGATATAGCTATAGGGGAAAGAGCGAATAAAAGTATCCTTAATGTTCATATAAATTATAACATAAGGCATCAATCAATCAGAAACCTTCGCAACAATTTCTTCGTTCATATTTTAAAACTGAAGTCGTAAAAACAAGCGATGGCCCATGGCCATGATGTATATGTAGTCTAGTTTATATATTAGTGAGCTTACATCTCGGCGCCAGATTTAATATTTAGCTCGATCAGGACCAATAAGTAATTTTCTTATGCACGTCCGAAGATATAGCTATCGTTTTAATAGTGGTTACATATATAATTGTCCTATACATTTTAATATTTGCAAAAGGTTAGATCTTAATTTTCTTAAAACAATACCATAACTCCACTAGGCGATTCAAGACAGCATCTGAACATCCCACTATAATAACTATTAACTATGATCTGAAGTACATATTTTATACGAAAAAAAATGGCCATGGAGTCAAAGAACTGTCAGTTCAGTGTAGTTGAAAAATCATTTCACGACTATATAAATGCGAATGAGCCCATGTGAATTTGCGCACGTTTTTTTTATTATTATTCTCCAATTAATTGCTATAGACGCATATTCAATATTTTCACATTCTGAAAATATCATTTGTTGCAGCTGCCACTAAATTTAGATCGCGTTTCCAGCCCCATATATAGCTATGGTCATACTGACATGCATGCATATATCATTTCTAAACTTTTGCGTCTTCTAACTGTGCATGGACGTAAACACATGCAGCCTCTAATAAATCATAGTTTCTTTCTGTGAAAAACTGTAGCTATGTATATAGTTCAAACGTTTAAACGAATCACGTTCAGACTTGTCTTAATCTGTTCCCATGTATAACAAACATTGATAAGCATTACAGATTGTGATAGCCAATGGTCGGATTACAAATGTTCCATGCAGGGCTATTGATATATCAGTAAGCTTGACATATGAATAAAGGCGTCTGTTTTACTGCACTTAAAGTCCTAGAGTCCTAGACTTTACTTAGTTATATATTCAAAATAAATTACTATTATACTATTAGAAAGAGTCTTTCCTGTGGCTGTACTGGTTTGCAACCTAAAGAATTATGCTATAGGTATATGACTTTAAAGAAATGCAACTATATATAAGTTCTTCAACATGCCCCGGTGAACTTTTAAATAACTTGTGATCATGCATGAAGATGTCGAATGCTTTCAATCATGCATATCGTATATATATATATACAGCATGCATTTCTAAAATAAAGCATTTTGATCAGAAAGCTTGTCCTGTATGATCAATACATACGTCTAAACTTTCATCAACTTGGCTCAAAATTTAGATTTATATCAGCGTTTCTATACATGACTTTGTTTTCATTAATCAAGCGTTGTCATCTGTCACCAACAGCATGCATGCAGGTTTGTGGAAAATCTGAAGCTCAATAGTTAAATACTTTTACCAATATAAAGAACCAAAATGAACATTCGGCTTCCCAGACTTCAAACATGAAGAGTTATTGAAAGAAATATATCATATATGTCAATATGATATGAACGCGCGGTGGTTGTGATGAATTGCCAAACTATATCGATCTCGTTTAAATTTTTTACTTTGAAACTTTTCAGTCAAACTGGATTTGCCAAGGCCATGCATATATCAGGCATAAACTAAATACTAAATTATACATATATACGTATATAGGCTAAACTATGGCTGAAATGTATACTAATATATTTCCTTCTTTGTAATAAGCAAACACGAGAGATGCATATATACTACCAAATAATGATTGTTCGACACAATAAACGTTGGAAACGTTTTGGTGAATTTAATAGTCAGTTATATAGTGAAGACGTCGGCTATATAATATAGTTTTACACGAACAAAAAATTCAAACTATTGCCAGTATTACCCATTGCAATTGACGGACGTAATATATAGACCTATAAAAAAGTTAGGTGTATAAAAATGTTTATACATAAAATATATACACTACAAAACGTCTCAAACAGGAAAAGCAGTAAAAAGCCGATTTTTCCAACGTTTATGGATACTTCAGGCTTCGCTTTGCAATGTTTTCATATGATCATATCGCCTGCTGGCCTAACAACACCGCGTGAAACAAGTTCAAGAAGTCTCTAATCCTGTGGCGACACTCGTAAAGATTATTGCTATCAGTGATTATACGGAACACAAGCGGCGATATGAGATAAAAGTTAAACTTTTTAAAATGCTCTCTGCGGCGCCGTAGCGCTATTCATGGGTCGAAACGACAAAATGTAAAAATTAGCATCTCCTATATTGAAACCAAAGTCGTAACTTAGCATCAAATCTGGTATAACAACTATCTAAAATAGACAAAACACTTCTCGATGTTTTCGACCTGGGCTGAGGGCCTTCGTCAGGAGAGTTTGACTAACTCATATTAACTCTCCTGACGAAGACGCTCAGGTCGAAACGTCGAGAAGTGTTTTGTCTATTTTAGGCAGTTGTTATACCACATAGATGCTAAGTTGTTTGAAGACGCTGCCACGCTGCTCCCTGGTTATATTGGAACGTATCTACAAAGCTCTAACTTATCCGTCTCGCAAGGGGGTTTTCGATTTCTTTAAGTTTCTTTAGGCGCGAGGAGCAGTCCCTCATGGAGTGGAGAAATATAACGAGAATATATACAAGATTTTATCATTCTATATCGCGCACTGTTTTGCCTTTCAGGGCATAAACACACGACCGTTTAATGCAACTCTAGCATTTCGTTTGCCATGTAACTTCTATAGTACAAGAGGAAGAAAGAACGAACTTTGTTTAAACGAGAAATCATAATTGTACGGTTGTTGGTTGAAAGTATCAGTGAACCACACTGCTCGTACAATGCGGTAAAAAGTAAGTGATCCCGAATTCAGAAGTTAAATCATTAGAGCGCATTAGGATTAAAAAATAAAAACAAGATTTTGTGATAAAACGCTAGCGATTAGTGATGTTTTTCTTCACGGGTCTTGTGAGTTGGGCATAGTGGTAATTTCTTAATTTTTCTGAGTCGAAAACTAACCTGAAATGAGCACGAATTGAAGGCATAGAATCTTGATTTTCATAGTAGACTATAGCGAACACCTTGAACGGTCTTGGAAGCTGTCACAAAAGACACTGGCTTGGCGAAAAAACTAGATACATCAACACATTCAGGTTCGCAAATAAGGTCCCCCTTGTCACTTTACGGATAGCACCTTCGGTATATCCTCACAAAACGTTTTCAAAAGCGTCCATTCCACTGTCTGTAACTTCAATCGTTGCTCGAGTTAACGACCGTCCGCGGCAGACGTCAAAATCAATCGCACAAGTTTATTCGATATATTCAAATTTCGAAATACAATTAACAGCTCATAAATAATTAAAGAAGGTGCTTTGCAATTTATATCACAGAACAGTGTTGATTGTTATAAAAAGCAGGTTGTATAATAATATAAACTATATATGCGAGTATGTGTTCATTACAAATAGCGCTAAAGGAAGGAACGATGTCAATGGGATATTCATAAGATATTTATAGGAAAATAATCGTTGAATCTTAACAATTGTTACCCTGTCAGGCTCGCCATTTGGGTGCCATCTAGTATTATATATTATACGACAGACGAAGCTCGGCAAAGGCGATATTTGAAGGGGAATCAATATTTATCACTTTGGCTTAGAGCAGGGAGACCTGATGAGTTTTAACAAAAACTAATGCGCCTCAAACCATCATTTTTAGGAAGGATTTGATTTTCAACATAGCACATAAAACGCCTTTTTCAATTTCTAAAAAGATCTAAAACTGATCTCCGGAACCTAGTCTAAAAGGGTCAACCGTCTAGTTGGCCATTTCTGTAGAAGCTCTTTGTTTTTTTTATATCTATTTTTTTGGGCTCACAGCCTTTCTCTTTCTGCTGTTAAAACAGTGAGTCCCGAAATTGCTTACTGAATCCCTGAAAATATCGTACGCCCCCCCTAATGCTCTTTAATTGAACCACAAATAAAAACACGTTGCAAGTTAATTCAACAATGAATTACGACACGTATACAAATTTGACGTTGAATTGCAATTAAAAAAGGAACCTTTAGTTACAACAGTGAAATCTCGGACGTTTTAAAACATCAGTATATTTTACAGAAAAAGTATAAGAATGTCCAGGATAATCATGGAAAATCTCAAAGATTCAGTCAAGTCGTGATTGACGGAATTTTCACTTGAATAAGAGCTTTATTCTCAATGTTTCAGTTACTGAATCAGTTTAATCCTTCCATTTAGAAAAGACTTTTACATTGATCAGTATAATAGCATTTCTTTGTCGCGAGCCCGCGCTGAGCTTTTTTAACACGCTCAGTTGTAAATGGAAAAACAGGTGAAAAATAAGCTACACAAATAATTTAAAAAACGGGCAATTTAAGACCATTACGACGACACCATTTAGGAGAAACCAAGGAACAGACAGTCAGGTCCATTTCAGGTCGAACCGATTTTACTGATGTGCTGAATCGAATGCAATTATGTAAACGAATTTAAACAAAGACTTTAGGTCGTTAACATGAAGTTTGACGCTGAAACAAGCCTCAGACACTCACGAAATCAAGAAAATCTTAATAATTCGAACCCGGCTGTTAATTTTGATAGTACTAGTTATGAATATAATGCACAAAATCTAATGGCACAGCACGCCTAAAATTAGTACTGCCAATACTCAGTTTTCGAGCTCAGGACACAATACAATAACGAAACACAGAATAAAATAAATTGCCACGTACGGGTACCCGTTTCGGGTCTTCAGTTTCAAACATTAGATTTAGTTGCTTGGCCAGTTGGCCATTCACAAAGCACGGTGGCTATGTCACTAATTGCCTCACATTGTCAAGATCTGTATGAAAGCGCAGTATCCGACGGAGTCTTTGTTCCGTCATGACAAGAGATCTTTGGCTTAGCATTAATTACTGTCATGCAAATTGCTGTATAAGTATCAGTAAAATTTCTCATGTATTTAGGTGCTCATGAAATCCTATCGCCAAAAAACTAAGCCCGAGTTGTGCTCAATGATTCTGTTGGAAGGAATTCTAACTTGCCATTTCTATGACTGAACTATTTTACTCATTGACTTTGGTTTTATTTCATCGGTTTTGAAATAGTTACTGTGAATTCCCAGTGGTAAATTAACATTTTTTAACATTCACTCGCCACGTCCACTGGGCAGGTCAAGGCAGTGAGCTGGCGTCTCAAATTTCGCTCCTGTGGCTCGGGCGGACGCCCGACGACAGTCGGGTCAAGCTCGTACACCAATTATCATAATTTTATTCATTTCTTATATTTTGAAAATTTAGTGGTTAAATTAAAATAAATACAGACGGTAGAGAGAACTAGAAAGAGTCCATGTCTACAAAACTATAAGTGCATATAGGAACAAAACAACCCCAAATAAAGCATAAAATTTCGAGGGTAAAAAGTGAAAATTAATTTTACAAAATGGCGGACAGCCATCGGATTTTGCCGTGAATATTCGTCGAAGATCTCGAGGGATGGAAAACTGTGCGTTTGCGTAGCTACAGGTGTTACCCGTTGAATATATCTTATCATCAAAGGTGAAATATTCATACGCTTTTCTCAACTTATGACCTCACTTGATATTGTTTTTTTGCTCACGAGTTGCATTTTTTATAGTATACATGCAGCGACAGCTTCTGGTGGCGTCTAAATCTTCTTAATCGTACATATAAAGGAAACTTTCGAAATCGTATAAATATCAAGATGGCGTCAAACGGAGATGAGATTCCAACAAAGAAGAAGAAACAAGTTCGTGTTTGGGCTGACGGCTGCTACGACATGGCTCATTTTGGTCACGCTAACTCGCTACGTCAAGCGAAAGCCATGGGCGACTATTTGGTCGTCGGCGTTCACAGCGATGCCGAAATAATAAAGCACAAAGGGCGACCAGTTGTAAGCGAGAAAGATCGCTACAAAATGGTCCGTGCTATTAAATGGGTGGACGAAGTGGTCGAAGGAGCGCCGTACGTGACCAGCCTCGAGACGTTGGATCGCTACAACTGTGATTTCTGCGTTCATGGCAATGATATCACGACGGATGTGAACGGAGTGGATTCGTATAGGTTCGTCAAAGCAGCTGGGCGTTACAAAGAATGCAAACGCACCGAAGGTATCTCCACAACCAATCTTGTCGGAAGAATGTTGCTGCTTACCCGCGATCACTTTCAGGTCAAATCCCCCATCGGTTGCCTGGATACGGATATGTTGGGGCAGGGTAGCTCGGATCCCTCCGGCAAGAGCCCGTGGACCTCTGTGTCACACTTCATGCCGACCACCCACAAGATAGTTCAATTCTCTGATGGCAAGGAACCGAAGCCAACTGACAAGATTGTATATACCCCCGGGTGCTTCGATCTTTTCCACACTGGTCATGTCGACTTCCTTATGCATTGTAAGGAAATCGGAGACTATGTGATTGTTGGCTTGCATACCGACATGGAGGTGAACCGGTACAAGGGCACCAACTATCCAATCATGAACCTTCATGAGCGGGTGTTGTCTGTCCTGGCATGTCGTTATGTTGACCAGGTTATCATCGGTGCACCATACACTGTCACAGCAGAGCTGCTAGATCAGTTCAAGGTATAGAATTAACAGTTAGAGCTCATTTACCAGGTCGGTTATAGCTTGATATGACCCTGATCTGACCATCATAACGAGGTGACATGCTAAGCAGCCATCAACTAAAAAAATTGTAATCAAAATGAAACATTAAATGGTTCTAACATAGGGCTTACATACTTCTATAAGTGGTTTGATTGGTATGTACTTTCAGATTTGTTTGTAGCTGTTGCAGTGGCCTTGCCAATTCTGTCTTAAATCTTCCATCTTCACAATTTTCTCTACCTAGGTTGACTATTTCTGTCATGGTATGACTCCAATTTCTGCAGACGTTGATGGAAACGATCCTTATGCCATTCCAAAAGCCCGTGGTATATTTAAGATTGTGGACAGCGTAAGCAATTTGACATCGGGAAAGATCATCCAAAACATTATCATGAACAGGTGCAGTATCTTATCTTTCAATATTCAATTTGATCCTCAGAGCTGACAACCAAGCGTTGCAACTGAAACCCATCTATATTTAAAACTCCATCAAAAATTCAATTTCAGGTTGACCTACGAAGAACGCAACAAGAAGAAAGAAGCAAAGGAGTTCAAGGTGTGGGAAGCCATTCAAAGCAAGGCGAAAAAAAGTCAAATCAACGAAGGAAGCGAAAAAGTTGACTCACCAAAAGAAGCATGAACTGCTACATGAACTGCTACATGAACTGCTAGGGTTATGTAGTAACCTTGTGCCCAGTTACAAAACATCAAATTTTTAGGAATTAGCTTTAGCCAACATTTAGTTATCCAATGAAACTTTAAATTGCTGAAAAGACAATTGAACTGACCAAATGACTTAGAGACAAATTATTTTGTTCTTAGAACAACTGTTAAGTTTTAAACCTTAGACATTATTTCTAATTACTAAATAAGTTTTACCACCGATTGGGTAAGATTCAGCTGTGATGTATGTTATAATTTTTGGCAAACGTTTGATTCATGCACATGGAATTGTTGGAACATATTTAAATCACTTAACATTCATAATAAACTTGTTCAATATCGCAAATTCAGTTATCTAACTATTGAATTTCTATGGCGAAATTTGCAGTTGACATTTTCTTCAATAGATACAGCAACCTACGGGCAGAATAGATTGGTATTTTATTGCCACTAGAAGCTACAGTTCACTAATGCCAATGTCTATTTTCATGTGGCAGATAAAAAATTAATGAAATATCAAAGTGTTCCCAATATTGCCTAGGAATTGACAGGTAGGTTTGTTGTTCTATCAATCATGCTGGGCCAAAGATGTCACTCACAATTAGTTAACATCCTAACTATTGTTATATAATAAAGAAATTAAGAAATTGCAATAACAAGGTGCTGTTGACAGAAAGTGTGTTCATGCATGAATGGAAAATGGTCAGATATGCTATAATTATAAAATATATAGTTATATGAAAGTGTATGTTATCCTGATTTAGTTAAAATATATTTCTGCATAAGACTAAGAGATTATCTTCACATAAATCAACTGCAAGAATTTGGCAAATATTGTAAAAAGTTCGACACAATTTATGATTTAGAGTAGCATGAATGAGAGTCGACTGAAATAAACTGCCCATTTTGTAAAGGATTTTGATCATTAACATTGACCATAAACCCTGTCAGTTTTAAACCATATAAACACCCTGTGTCTAAGCCAATTGCATGCTTGTATTTCTGAAGCCGGCGCCTTGCATCATGGCCAAAGAAAACAAACTCTGGTCCAGGCCATTGGCTACCCCAAGAAATGCCATCATCAATGTTACTAGAACCACAAAGGCATTCTTGGACGTAATTTCGCATGTTCAACATGTCACTTGGATTTTGGTCTTGCAGTTTTACCCCAGGGACTAAACCTCCATGGACCACAATAACATTCAACAAAGGAATGGAAATTGTGAATGGAAGCCTTTCTAGAAATAACCATTCTTCCTGTGATAGTTGGGTTATCCAGGAATATTTACTGGGCAGTTCAGCAGTTTCGTCAAACTCTTTTAACCTATACAGAACAGCCTGTTCATGGTTTCCCCGTACTGAACATGCCATGGATCCAAATTCCCGAACCAGCCTGATTGTCTCCAAACTCTTTGGACCTTTGTTGCAAATATCCCCGACAAATACTGTCAAGATGTCTGAAACCTTGTCAACTCCAGCTTTTTCAAGTAATTCAATCAATTCATCATAGCATCCATGGACATCTCCAATGAAGAAAACCTTTTTGACTTCTTTCTGTAAATCCAACCTTACATGATATGCAGGAGGGAGACTACATACATTAGTTTCCTCTTCAACATGAAAATACCTCTGGAAAAATTCAAACTGGTCCAGATATGTTGTAGCAAAGGCGAGTGATGACAGCATCTAAAGGATCGTGTTTTCAACTCTATTTTACGCACAAACCTCAAATCTCAAACCCACGTATTTGTCAAAAAACTTTAGTGACTTGTCATTTCTGCGATCACTGTATGCCTCTCCGAGATCTCCCCCCGGGATAATACCGAAGCCTTAAGATTCACGGGGGCGTATCCGTTACCTTAGAAAACGGAACAGTCCAGGTGTCGACATAAAACGAAGATCCGTAATGCTGACTCGGCAATTCATTGTTTACTGTTTACATTCATTTTCGTTTTCGTTTTCAAAATATTTTAGTAAAAGCTGTTGTCCTTTTGATGATAATTTCTGTTCCAAATATCGTTCAATTGGCGAGGGCTCATCGGGGCTGTACCATCATTCCCGTGGCATTATTTACTTTCAATTTTCACTACGGTAAGTGTTGACAAAATACTGCATAAAAAACCCAATATTTTATCAATATTTTTACGGTAAAAGATATTTATAAATACAGTAAAGGCAAACTCTAGCGAGTTTTGGGATGGGAATACAACCTTCCTTTATAAACGCAAGTATTAGCCTAGCATTATCAAATCGTATTAAAGATTTACACACCTATAATCATTTAAGAACCTAGCAAGCTTATGCGAGATGGATATTTTCTGCTAAAACTGTCTGTTTTTTGAACACATAGTACACTCAATACTAAACGCCAAATGCACTTCACGTAAGCAACAATATCCCCCAGAGATGTTCGCTTCAACAAGCTTGGCCACTCTGTTAGCCCTTGAAGAGCCAGCTGCCCAGCTCTAGTAAATTATTGTTGGTAGCTACTAAACTTCATATATTCGACCTTTTTCAGTTGTTGTCACAAACCGGAGAAGAATGCATACAAAAGCTCGTGGACCTAACTATCCTGGGACATCCCTGGTGAAGAAGTGTCAAGTTGGAGATGAGTTTGTCAAGTGGAGTGTTGCATACAATGATTACAAACCAGTCGAGTACACCAGTGATACTGTTTTGAGTAAACCCTTGTGGGCAGATCCAGACATAAGGTACCGCAGTGTCAAGATATTTCCACATTTCAAAATCAACCACATGGGAACTATTGTAGGTATATCCAAAGTATGCCTCAGATTTTCGGTGTAGCAAATCAATGCTGTATAGCCATGTTAACCCATGCATTGACTGATGCTAATTTCCTATCCATGTCACTGATATATATAAACCTTTTCGTCATGTTCCTTTCCTCAGCCAATGCAAACCAGAACCAGCTTTTCAGTACAACAGCAGAGATGATCACTACAATGTTGATAGAACCAGCTTTACAGGAAAATACCAAGTTATTGACGACAGACCCAGGTAAAATTCAGTTTAACACACTGCAATTGATGCAATCAATAGATGGAGTGAAACAAGAAATTATACAAGACGGTATTTTTTCTAGGAATCCAATGGGTCGTACAGGCATGACTGGCAGGGGCCTTCTTGGAAGATGGGGACCAAACCACGCTGCTGATCCCCTTGTAACAAGGTGAATAAGATAATCTATCAGGTTGATCCAATAAAAAATCAATAAACTAATAAAATATAATCAATAATCTTTTTCAATAAAAATAGTAATCAATGCCTTTTAACCAATCAATACACCTAGTGAACCCAAATAAATATGTATCTACTGTAATTGGTATAGTCGTTGTAATCAGTATATTCAATATAATCAATAACTTCCATATAACCTAACAAAGCAACTGTATACTGTGTAACCCCCAAATTTATTTGTAGGTGGAAAATCAATGGTAAAGGCCAGCGCGTACAAGAGAATGGAAAACCAATCCTGGAATTTGTTGCAATCAAAAGGAAGGACAATGAACAATGGGCCATTCCTGGGGTAAAATGAATTCTTACAGCTCTGTGTGACCACTTGTGTTCTATACTTCATCCTTGCTCAATACCGCTTTGTGATAGATTTACTGGTTATGACCATCAAACAATTAATCCTCATCCTTTGCAAAACCACATAGGGTATGGTTGACCCCGGCGATACAGTCTCAGCAACATTGAAAAAGGAATTTGGAGAAGAAGCTCTCAACTCACTAGAACTTTCAGAGAAAGAACAAGAAAAACTGCACAGCATGTTGACGAAATTATTTCAGAAAGGACAAACGGTAATACAAATGTTGAGATGATTGTTGTCTGACTTTGGAACTAGACAAAGCCAAGTATTTGTCCTTGCCATGACTTTACAAACCAGGAAACATTGTTTCTGAAAGGTGAACACAAACCACAAGGGTGAAGTAAGGTTTTCTTGCCAAGTTTTCGATATTGAAAAAAGCAGAAAACATCTTTTCCTGTAGCCTGAACTCTATCAATGGTCTTTGTAGCCACATTTCCCATTGTGAAAGATTATTTCTCAAACACTGTTTCTTTGTTTTCTCTGTCCAGATTTGGAGTGGCTACGTGGATGATCCGAGAAACACAGACAACTCATGGATGGAGACGGTCGCTGTGAACTACCATGATGAGCTGGGTGAGGTGTTCAGAAAGTTTCAGTTGCAGGCAGGGGACGATGCGGGTGATGTGAGGTGGTTAGAGGTACGAGGGGATATCGAACTATATGCCAGCCATAAGGACATCCTCGAAAGAACAGCAAGATTTCATTTTGCATTTTGGTGACCAAAATGATCCAGTTCAATCAATTTTAAGACTTTGAAACGACTTTCCTTATTTATAACTGTAGGTTTTAACAATTCTCAGGTTTTATTTGTCTGTAAATAGGCATAGAACTTCTTACCACAACTAAATTACCAGTCATGCATGGATATGGGTGGACACATTCCAAGGCGGTAGCGCGCAAGAGGTTTGCTCAGTAAGAGGTTTGATAGAGATAGAAAGAGAAAAGAACTCCCTCCTATTTCTATAATCATAGAGGTTTAAACTTTCTTGTGTGCTATTGAGTATAAGATAGTTATCTTCAAAAGAGGCTATCTGAATTATTTTATTTAAAATAAGACCTCGTAATTATTTTAGGCGCTAGCAAAGTCTTTCATTAAAACATATCTTCTTTACTAGAGAGTTTGCATGTGTTTATATATAATTTAATTTTGAAATAACTTACTAAAAGACCACGTACCACAGTGTAACACTATGATTCACTACGTGTGCTAGACTCTATCATATTGGCTGATATATAACGGTAATCTTGACGAAATACTATTGACGAAGTATTGTTTTAAAATAATCCGAATACGTTTTTTGTCTGTACGACTCCTCGATAACCTTTAGCAAAATCGCAAACTATGGCATATCTTATGTGACTATTAAATAGGGTATATAGGGTATATACTATTTACTGTTACATATTTATATTCTGAATAGAGTACCGTACATTTTTGCCTTAAAAAAGTGTTACTTTTCGTCATAAACATGTTCTATAAAATGCGGTAAAAGTAAAGCGAGGCTATGCTGGGTTATCTGCTCGTTAGGCCTAGTTCATACGTTTTGGTCGCGTCGAATGCAATTCAAACAATCGATAATGAGATGATAATGAAGCCTAATAAGGTTTACGATCTCATTATCTATTGTTTGAATTGCATTCGACGGGACCAAAATGCGACGTATGAACCTTAGGCAGTTTGCAACTTGGAAAATTAAAAAATTTACACCTACATATACACAGTACTTATAAATATATAACCACACATGATTATGACAACACGGCGACAATCACGCAACAAATACGTTACCCAAGTCAGGAATCGTCCACGGAGAGGTTGTACATGGAATAGTCCTTATCATTCGTTATTTCCTTCTCGATTTCCAGGAAATCTGGCAGCGGAAGGTCGCTGCTCCGATTCGTCGTGTACGTTTCCAGGATTATCAACCCTTTACATCTGCAAATAAATTGATTCAAAAAATATTCAGAGTCTCCCTGATCTTTTACAGAAGTTATAATTAAGAGCTTTCCAACAAACTACATTGTTGTGAAATATGAAAGAAAAACACAATGTTAACTGAATGCCAATTTTCACAGTCAAAAAATTCAGGTGCAAGGTTTAGTTATATGACCCGCCGTTTCGATATGCAATTCTCACCTTTCATTGCACGGCTGACAGTAGCTATCGAGTTGGAAATATTGATTTTGCCACAGAAAACAAGTTCGTCTTTTCACCACTGATTTACGGGTCGGGTCCCGCTGTTGTAAAAACATCTGAAAGAATCGTTTTCATTATAAGTTTATCTTTCCTGCAATCTGATTCGTCAACAACTATCGCAACATGTGCGAGCTAATCAGATTAATCAGTCCATCTACCACAAGAACCAATCAGATTGAATTATGTAGAATGCATCTGAACAATGAATCTCCTGGGAAAATATGAAACATACATGTACCTCGTAATCTCTTGATGAAATAATCTTTCTTCGTTCGACTGTTTGGTCTTTTACAAGCAAGCGTACCGTATGAGTGTAGGTAAAATGTCCTGAAAGAGGCAAGTGTGGATGACAAAGCTTCTCACCATTAGACCAATGCCTCAAAGGGAACCTGTCATTTTACTTGGCCCAAGGCAAGAACTAATTACTTTGCCCTTGGCGCTAGAAAATATACCGTGTTTAGCCACGATATGGTAAAGTGAGAAACAGGCACTCGTGTGTTCTTGATAAGAATACCTACCACCTTGTCCTCGTTTTCGGATACGAACTTGCGGACCGCCCGCGGCGACGAGGTAGTCGTGTTGAACGTCAAAATCTTGGTATGGAGGAAAATCCTGTAAGAAATAAGAGCGATAATTACCATCCGTTCCTAGAGGTCCAGGAAGGATAATCTCTTATTGCATGATCCATGTTACTACAGGAGAAAACCTGAATTAAAATAGCTTTATTTATACTGGATAGCTCTATCAGTTCTAAACTGTTCTTCCTAGAGGTCCAGTAAGGATCATCTCTTATTGATCCAGTGTTACTACAGGAGGAAACCTAAACTAAACTAACTTTATTTATACTGGATTACCTCAATATTTGGAGGTTTTGAAACCAAGAATTTCCGTTTCTTGCTGTCCTTGTCGAGACGGTCGTTTATATCGATCCCAATCTTTGCGCAAACTGCCTAGAAATGTTGTTCAAAGATTTAGCTTCTCAGTTGGACGCTGTCAATCTGTCTGATTCACTTTTACTTCGCATTTTTCATCCGCCAGAAGACAACGACGGTTGGCGAACAATATCGAGCGTGATTTTCGGGCAAACCTATATACTAGCATGATTTGTATGCATGGTATAATGAACTTACTGCAATGGTTCGAGAGACTTTGTCGTTGAAATCTTCAGAATTTTCAATGACATCAAAATATGGATGACCAACCCAGGCCTGGAAAAAGAAATTCTCTTGATTTTAAAAACACAAGCTTGGAGATCTATCACAACTTTATTTCACAACTTTAATCGCTCTTAATCTATTGGCAAAAACTTGGCAATCTATTGCAACTTGATTTCATTCATTTTAATCCAATCCGCCACTTCTGATTCTAAGGTCAGACACAGCAAAAATTACCACTCACCTGACAAGCTTTATCATCCAATTCTCTGGCCAATGCTAGTCCTTCCGTTCTTGTGTTGTTATTTTCCAACTGATAAAAAGCCGTCGCGCCCTTCGCTGCTGTAACCTAAAGCGATTAAAACGCTGTAAGTTGTACGTTTGTAGATAAAATGATTAAAATCCAACATGCCCCTAACACAGAACTTCAAGACATTCCAAGTAATCAGTGATTAAATTAAACACCTCGGCTACAAAGACTATGATGTTGCAACATGTCGGATGATTAAAACAAAGCAGTACAAGCAGCATTAATGTTTACACCACACAAAATAATCTGGGTTAGTTTTTCAATTTGACTCAAGAACCAGTCTTGGAAAAGGGTCACATTGCAAACTAATCTATTAACTTGTAAAATGGTAAAATCTGGGCCTGTGTCCAAGGGGTACAAGGAAAGGGGGTGTGAGTGTCTTACAAGATGAATGACTTGATTGTATCTTTCATCACGAAGTTTCACATTGTTCCAATTATTTTTCTTCAAATATGCCTGCCATTCTTCTTTGGACACAACTAGAGTAAAAAAAGATACCGAGTTTAAATTTTTTTAAATGGCATAAGTAATTATATGAACTTGGTATATATAAAAATGTCATGTTTCAGAACTAACTCACATGCTGAGGGATCCATGACTCCGCGATCACAAATAATCAAGCAATTCTGGTTGCAAGATTCTGCCAGCTCAAAAAACGTGGTTTCCAATTGGATAATGGTTTTCAACAAATTCTCTTGAAATTTAACACCTGGATATAAAGCAAGGTAGTTTTATATGCCATTCATTGTTAAGAGTTGGGTAACTTGGGTTGACCAGGTATTCTATGATTACTTCATACCATCTGTCTTAATGCATTAAAAAGGTTTGTACAAAACTAAAATTTTCATGCTTACGTTGATCAGAAGTCAAATCTGGGAACTTTACTCCACCTCTACAAAATGGACATTATATAATATTGAGTGTTTAATTTGTTAATTGACGTACAACATGTTATTGTTCAATAGAGGCACTCGCAGCGTCAAGTGATTCTAAGTTATTTAAAGTATGGTGGATGGTATCATGGTAGTCCTAGATACACAACCAAGATAATATGTAAGTGCAAAAAGTTTCAATAAAGACTGCAAGACCTTCAAACAACCTCACAAAGTAACAACAGGGCATGCAAATGACACTCACCCAAGTAAAATGGTAGAGGCTTCAGGTACACGAAAGACCTTCAGAATAGAAATGATCAAATTACGATTTGCACATACGTTACAGTTTAATACAGATATTAAAGTGAGGTAACATCATGCAAGGGTTTTTTCATCATCTATAAAGCGCTGGCAGTATAGGTAGACTTTCTATTCACAAGCAAAAACTACCTTCCATCCTAAGTTTTCAAAAAATGTAGACAATCTTGCTTGAGAGGTAGTCTTTCCTGCACAAGGACCTAAAATACGTTACTTTAATATTAGACTACAACGACTTTATATAACGGAAGCGAAATTGCTTTCAGTGCGTTTCCCTGTTCATATTCGAGTTGTAATTTGTATTTTTGACTTTTAAATTACATAATTGCACAAAATATAACTTTATAAAGGCACAGTTTCGCCTAATTTTAACGACAGAACAAACATACATTTTATGAACCTAATATTTTGTCAACACGTGAATTGTATTTCGTCATGTTTACAAAACATCAAACAAATTAATACCTACCTCCAGTCAATGCTAGACGATAAATTTGATGCCCTTTTGAAACTCCATTCTCTGCAACACCATATTCTGCCATTTTTCTTGTAAAAGAAGTGAAGATTTTTAAAAGGATTGTAGAATGTTAGGAAATATTTTTTTGTTGTGAAACCTTGCGACTTTCTCGACCGGCGAATGCTTAAAAAATGCCGCGAATCACGTCCAGTCTTTCCCGCGCATTTCTCGCATAGACCAATTGCGAAACTTAGTAACCGCGCCTTCGCATAACATGGAAGCGAGGCTTATTGTGCAAAAACCAATATTTGTATTTTTTGCAGTACAAAGCTATCCGCCGAGTTATATGCCGGTTTTCGCCTTTGGTTTACGTATTTTTCGATACCTTTAAAGCTCGGTTTCATCGTTGTTATCATAGTTTTCAGGTGAGGGAGTTTTGCCTTTCATTTCAGGCGTTTTTGTGATGTTTTCATTAATTTTTTCGGCTGCTTTCGTCGGGGAAATATGGAAAAGGCCGACACAAACTCAGGTAAAAATTAAGTTTTTTCCAAACTATTTCGTCTCAAGTTTTAAAAATTTATTTCATTTTTCTTCCTCTTATTTGTGCAAAATTTGGCGATATATTATTGGTGCAAAATCTATGTTTTTGTGACAAAAATTATTGAAAACTCATGGTCGAACAACCACCATGTTTACATTTCTCATTTAAAATTATTTTACACCAATTTTATCGATCGATAAGCTGTAATTTTACAACAATTTTACAGCTTAGGAAAAAATAAGCAGAAATCTGTTGACAGAAACAATCGGAGATAAAATATACAACGGAGTTTTTTGGTTTATTTTCCCTGTGTATATAGACTACAGTACATGTGATGTCATGCCTACTCAAAAGCAAAACAACTCTTCAACTTGGCACACATGCATGACATGGATAGTAAAATACTTATTACCAAGACATAATATCATTCTCTATTTTGAATTGCCATTTAATATTCCTTTTCCCACAATATTTTACTATAAAGGTAGCCATAATGCGAGCAGCAGCGTTTTTTAATTAAGATATACCTTTACATGATGGCAAAGCCGAAGGCGAAAAAAATATACAACCCGAAGTTCGGAAGTGTTTTCCGTTTTATAATGCGATGGTGAACGGAATCCTTTCCGTTTAAAGTATTCCTGGACCCTGGTTAACCCTTATTTAAAACATCTATGGCATGGTAGTAGATAGAAAGAATAGTGTTTTGTAGTGACACAAAATATACAGAACGTCAGATGCGTTCGAATTCGACTTTTAAATAAAATTCGGCCTTCATGTCGGTATGCAAGCCATGCATCGTCTGTACTTTCTTAAAACGAAATAAACAAAAACATTTCAGTTAGTTACTTTTTGCCATTTTCACAGTATTACTCTGGTATAAAGATAAAAAATATAGTGATATTTGTGAATAAATTTGAACCATTTCAGTCATTAGGTGTGAAATTATACAATCTGACTGTCACTTTTCATTTAGTTTTTAATAATTTTTGTCACAAAAACATAGATTTTGCACCAATAATATATCGCCAAATTTTGCACAAATAAGAGGAAGAAAAATGAAATAAATTTTTAAAACTTGAGACGAAATAGTTTGGAAAAAACTTAATTTTTACCTGAGTTTGTGTCGGCCTTTTCCATATTTCCCCGACGAAAGCAGCCGAAAAAATTAATGAAAACATCACAAAAACGCCTGAAATGAAAGGCAAAACTCCCTCACCTGAAAACTATGATAACAACGATGAAACCGAGCTTTAAAGGTATCGAAAAATACGTAAACCAAAGGCGAAAACCGGCATATAACTCGGCGGATAGCTTTGTACTGCAAAAAATACAAATATTGGTTTTTGCACAATAAGCCTCGCTTCCATGTTATGCGAAGGCGCGGTTACTAAGTTTCGCAATTGGTCTATTCCATGCAAATTTTGCGCAAAATATTCCGGAAAAGTAAATAAGCGCGCTGTTGAAAGCCGTCTAAAAATTAAAAAGTCTCTCACAATATCTTCTTGACGTACTACAAGCAAATTACGGAGAATCACCCTGAACCTACTAGCAACAATATAACTTAGAGCAACTTAGTATATATTTATTCTGTAATATATATTTCTATACAATATGTAATATACATACAACTATCATAATTACGCAGGGAAAATTCAAGTCAAAACCAGGTACAAAAACACCCTGAAATCTCCCGACATAACTACAGGCGTTCTTGCAAATCTCTAAATATATATTTCTACACTACAATATCTCTTATACACTACAATAATTTGCAATACATTAACATTTCCCGAATATTTTAACTTAAATTAGCATCCTTTTTACTAAATTTTACTCTAAACTTAAATTATGGACTCACGTGTTTACCCACACAGATCTCACTACACAACTGGACCAGAGAATTCGTTCGCATCCTACAATAACCAATAAGGAATTTAGTAATGCTGGAACAGAAAGAAATTTCAAACATAAACGCAACGAATAACTGAGCAGCACGCTAGGTAGTAACTGGCTACGCAGTCCAACCCAAAAAAACTCGAGATCATCGTCTTCCACTCAGTCGCTCATCCAAGTCGTGTCTCATGTAGAAAGGGATGTCAGGTGGACGAACCAATGACATGCTATCTCGGCCACTTAGAATCATTCCTCGTCCAGGCTCGGGGTGATAGTCTGTAATGAACGGCGATCCGGGATAATATCCTGTCATATGCGGTGTTAAAGGCGGCACGTGATGTGAATACAGCGCGTGCATTGGTTCAAGTCTGGGATAGAGAGAATTTCGATTCAGATCAATTGAACCCGCGGTCGGGCGATGATAATCCATCGGGCGCTTATCCAAACTCACTAAACTTGGAACAAGTGGGTTATCCAAGAATGATCTCGTTTCACAGGCCCGGTGCTCTCTAGAAGAATGGGTCCGACTTGAGTCTCCGAGTATACTGGGGCGAATTGCTTCCGTGCGGTCACCGGCAAGGGCCTGGATAGTAAAATTACTTGGCCGCCCAGGAGACTTTGCGTGAAATTCCCTTCTGTGTTTTTCTGACTCTAAATCAGGCGTTTTCGGTTCGGATTTAAGCCAAGGATAAAGCATTGATGTACCGGAACTTGGCGAGCGTCTACCGACAGGTTCCGACGATGAACGAGGTATAATAAGAGGGCTACTAGGACGGCGCGAAGCCAACGGTGGAGAGGAGACTGAGGAGAATGCTGATATCGATGACGTCACCGGATTGGTGGTTGAAGTGCTTCGGGGAATAAGTAATGGAGGTTTACCGAAAGGGGAGCCTAAAATAAGCCGAAATTAGTATTGTGATGACTCATATTTGTAGAAACGAGCCATACACTGAATATTTTTGTTGCTTTCGAAAAGGACGTTCGTTGCCATTGAATTTTCTATTTTTTAAACTCTGTCTGTATTAAAGTAAGTCTATCCAGAGAACTAACCGGAAAACCTTCTGAAATGAGGGTGAGAGTATCCAAGGTCACCGCCAGTCCCGTGACGTGACGGTGAGGGAAACGGAGGGATAATTGCGGTGCTGGGTTTGCTGATCGAAATCCCTTCAAGCTTCGCGTGGGGGTCTTTTGATATCTCTCCCTGGAAAAGACAAAGAACATGAAGAATTGATACTGATTACTTCATTTAAGCACCCTTAAACCTCCACCCACAAACTAGCAGAGGAGATTGACCGCCGGTTTAAGCCAATCTCAGCTGAAGAGTTTTTAGCGCAGATATTCCTATAACTATACAAGCAAGTATCCACTCACCCGTTGATTATAAAATATTTCCCAAGCAATTCGTACATGCGCTGAACACCATTTTCCCGTTTTCTAAACATGGGTAAAGACACAAATTAGGTCTAAAAATGGAGGAGTCAGCCGAGTCTTTTTCCCGCTAAATTCGCTTATATTATCCTTTACGACCTTATACATAACATAAGTCATAAGATTATTACAATTTATAACTAGTTAACATATTGTTTAACTGAAGCTTGGGACAAGCATTGAGAAAACAGAAGACCGCTACTTGGAACCCGTATTTCTCAGCAAAGACAGCGCGTTACAATCAAATGTCCATTGCTCAATTCTCTGATTTCTCTTACCTTGTTGAACGGTGAAATCACGCGGGAATGGTACGTGGGAACTGGGGTCGAAAATGGCGACAGCACTCTTGGCTGGATAAGAACAAAATGTTGTATAGTGCGGGTTTGAAAGATTAACCAACACGAGAACCGAATCGTTCACTGCCTGTAGAGAATTCAGGTACTTACCGCTGGGGCTGGCGAGGGGAAATACGATGAGGCGAGGAGCGGCGATGGATAATAGTGGGTATGTTGGTGTTGGTGATGATGGAGATGAGAATGTTGGTGCATCTCGCGACTGCTCGGTTTGGAATGTTGAGGGTTTCTCTCAAGCTCCGAGTGAGATTGGAGGAAACGGTTGTTTAGCTCCTGATGCAGAGCTTCAGGACCTGTGATAAGGAAGAGATGTCAATGACGAATGCAAAGTTTTTAACCCAGTTTTTAACATCGCTTTATACCTGAATAAGTTCCCGCGCCATAGCAAGGCTCAACTACGGATAATGGTTTCTTGAATGAGGACGTGAGTCGGGGTAGCCATGAACTTTGAGGGATAGTCCGTGGTGATTGGGAGATAGTGAGGGATGAAGACGATGAGAACGACAGCGACGGAGTGTGAAAACTGCTCGACTTGGGAGATAAAATTGACCTGGAAAAAAAAACAGTATTGTTCGTTTGCATATGACGTCATAATCTTGCCGCCATTTTGGTTGGTTCAACAAAGATTACTTTGAAATAACGGACCAAGAAATAACTTAAGAAATAACCAAGAAGTCTTTGTTTATTTAATTCGAGACAGTTTGACATATCTCTATGGCATTATTTTGCAAATCTTCTCAACCAAAATGGCAGCAAAAATTGCGCCTTTCTTTTAACAAAAATAGGTTTTATTATAAGATTAAGGAGTTGATTATAAGATGATTGCGAGTTTGGCGGTCATAAAGGCGAATATAACCTTAACCGGAAGTTATGTCAAGGACATGAGACTTGTACTTATGCAACCTGGTTTGAGCTGAAGTGGGTTTAACAGGAAACCCTACTTAAAGTCTTTATAAAAAATGGAGTAGATAATGACAAGCCTTGCGTATAAAGACATACTTTTGTGTATCAAAAGCAATCTGAAATGATTTTTCCTTTTTAACAGCATCTTCTTCGTCGTCGTCTTTTGAGAGATCCACAACCACTTCTTCTTTTGGCTTCGTTTCTGCAACTGTAAGATGAAAATGCAGTTGAATGTGAATCTACGAAGGCAAGAAATATCACTAACAGAAGCGTTTGAACTAACAGAATAAGATTAAGAACGCTATCAGGGGGTGAAATAAACCGAAAATTTCACGCTGGAAAGTTACAATACGAGCTTAGCACGACACTCGACCAGGGCGAAGTCTAAAATATAGCATTTTGATTGGTTCCTAACCGGTTGGGATAACCTACATTAATAATCAAGGGCAGCTAGGTCAGTTGTCTTTTGAAGGGGAAAAGACGAATTTGAAATTTTTGAAGACCCAGACTGTCCAGAGGCTTTTTATTATCTGTAAATAAAACTCATTTAGGGGGCACTTTCTTTCAAAAAGATTGATTATTTTAATTAACTTCGGTAGCTTACCGGTAGCTCCTTGAGACAACAAACCATTAATCAGTATTTACTATTCACGTTTCGTTATTACCTGGTGCTGACAATAAAGATGGTTTAGGTTTCTTCTCTGGTGGAACCTAATAATGAAAGTAGTGAACACTTTAGACACCTCCTCACACAATGCGGGCGCTCTCCAGCTTTCGTTTTAAACCCAGCCCCTTCGCAGAAAATGATTTTTTTACATTTTACATAAATTTGGATTTGTGGTTGTACAGGATTCGAAGTGATTCTGAAAAACGTACGAAAGGAACAGTTTAAAAATGAACAAAACTGCAATGTTTGGAATTGAAATGCCGTAAAATGTTGAAAATATAGCCTTGGGAAGCTTCTATATTTGTATATTTTGCCCACAAAACAACGTAATATCTCTCAAAAATCGTTATTCTTAGTCTTACATTGCTTGATACAAACTATATTTAAACGTTGCGAGCTTTGCACATGCTTTTCCTAGCTGGATTTTCTGCATAATTTTACATCAAAAGTCCATTGTATTCCAGGTTGCAATAAAAATTGACACGTGGAAAACTAGTGGAAAAAACTTAGATGGAAAACTAGTAGCTTTGCTAAACACAACTCAAACATGTTTTGACTGAGAATTTTTTCAATCACTTTTACAAAACTCACTTGTTCATCATCGCTTTCACCATCACACTGAAAGGTGAAGAGTTTACAGGGTTCAAAATACAGGCAAAAACATCTCAAAAAACACATCATTCCATCTCTTTTAGAAGTACTTACAATGTAGCCTTTTCCAGAATTGCCTGAGTCTGAACTGTCCTATAAATTAAACAATAAGAACTAGCTTTAGCATATGAGAAAAAAACAAGGGGCCTTCAAATTGCTGTGAAACAAACAAATAGAGTGGGGTGTATTAAGAGCTAGTGTATTCTTTAGAACCCTAGAATCAAACTCTTACATCAGTCATACGGCCAGGTGATAATTGTCTTGACAAGCTGACTTCTTTGTGGGAATCATTACCATTGCTGATCTCTCTCACCACAACATCCTTGTTTTCTTTGGAATCAGATACTTTCTAATCAGAAAGGAATAATGAATGATTATGAATACATTAGAAAGCTGGTTTAAACAAACTAGTGACGATCTACTCTAGCTTGTGGGCCTTCACAGACTCCTTAAAATAGTCCTTTTAGGATATGTACAATAGGGTATGACCAATAAATTAATTGATCATCATAGATGAGTCCCAACTAGAAATGTTGAAAGTAGGATGTTTTGCCAATTATCTGACTTATTACTTCATCAACGGCAACACCCACATACACTGTCTTGGATTTTCTACTCAAGTTAATGCAATGTTTGTAGTGTACTAGGAAGGTTACCTCATTGCTCAAAACAGCTGGTCTGGGCACCTTTTCGTCAATCTCTTGTATCCCCTTTGATTTCTCAACATCATTTTGTTCCAATGGAGGTAGACTATCAGATGCGTTGCAAGAGGACAGAATCTGCATGAGAAATGATGCAGCTACTCAGCTAGTTATTTATCTAACATATATGCCATATATATATAGCCAGATCTTGAAGTGATTGAGAGAAATGCCTTGAGCTTATTAATATGAGAAGCATCTCTTCAAACAACTATTTTAAATCCACATTCAAAATTGACAGGCATGAACCATTGCAACCCTGCACCATGTCAAAATGGCAAACCAAATGATACAACAAGTGTTGGTTGAAAATATTTATTCCAATATGTTTATTGCAGCGTATGTTGGGCCTTTCTTGAACCTTGCTATTTGGCTTTCAGGTAATTTTTCAAGAGGAAGTGCTACCCTCTGTACTTTGCCACCTAGTCTTCTTTAAAGCATGTGTGAAATTAATTTCACCAAGTACTACAAGAAACAGCTGCAGGGTTTCAACTTCATAATTCGTTGTCTGTCATCTCAATTCTACATGAATTGCTTCCATGGGAAATTCAAGATAGACAGAATCCAATTATCAACTTGGAATCTCATTTTTGCCACATATGTACGAATTAAAATGGCAGAAAAAGAACAGGTATTTTAATACAACTTCAGGGCACATACACTAATCCGGTATAAAGCTTTGAAAAAAAACAACAAAAAAGAGTATAATTTTGTTATGGCCTTTGCATTGTTTACATTTCGAAAATTCTTGCTCTTTTATGTTTTAAAACATCAGAAAATAATCTGGCTTAAATTGCTACAAAACGGACGTTCTTAAACACAGATTCGAAGCTTTCTAATGTATTTTGGCAACAAAGAATATCACATGTCAAACAAGGCGATACTTTTAAACAATTTCTTTCGCATTAGTAAAGCACACAGCGACTCGTGCTGACTCCATTTAATGCCTCTAATAACATGCCAGTTGGACATTTCATATTAGATCCTTTTATTCTAAAGCTAAACAAACGCTCAGATTCCAAGGTAATGGCTTTAGACTTTACCACAAAGTGTTTATAGAAGAAGCGATCTTTGATGTAGCAAATGCGTACGGTGTTTACATAATAATTTACAATCGTGCGAAGCGTTCGCAAAATCGTAACTAACTTGCCCGAGTTTGCTCACCTCTAAATTGCAAAGACTTGAATACGATGCAATCACGAAACCATCGATAATGTCCTCTTCAGGCGAGCTAGAGCCTCGCCGTTTTCGCAGCTTTTTCCTCTTCTGTTTCTCCTTGGTATCTGAACGGCGTTTCGGGTCACTGTCGTCGAGATCAGAATTGGGCCTTGAGCTTTTGGGACCGCTTGCATCTTTCATCTTTCCTGACTTCACATTGCTCTAACTCCGTCGTATTTTTGCCTGGAATATCACTCGATACGATTCATTATCATGGAAATCTCCAAGCGATGAAAACCCTGCTGTTTAAATGACTTTCTTTCCCATCTTTTCGAGACCATTTACAGTAATCGCACTTTATTTATCCCAAATGTGGGGTTCAGGCACTGAGCTATAATATAATTCCTGGAGGACCGGCTCCTAATGTTTTGAAATACAAAAAGTGAAGCAAAAAACATGGCGGATTTTGGCCTTTGCTGACGCCAGATTGACGCCACTGGTTCTTATTTGCAATGGTAGTTACCACTGACCAACCGCGATCCAAAGCATGAAAAAATGCGAGCACCCTCCTGGTTTTCGATAAAAACAGGATTTGGTTTTTACGAAATTTTTTGTTTTTGAACAAAAACATGGATTTTTTTCCTTTTTTGCTGGTTCTTTTCAACTTCAACAAAGAAGCAGCTATTTGCTCTGCTTGTTCCTACCGCAATTTACTCATTAAAGAGGAAATTTTTGGCGATTTGCACTCAGGTAAGAGTTAAAAAATTCGCAATTTTGATGTTTGAACTCTGAACGTCAAGTAAAAAATATAGCTTCGTTGTTCGACGGCTATGAAAGATCTGAAAACAGAAATGATATATTTACTAACATTTAATTTGTTTAACTACAACATATTTCTATTAATATTTGTTTATCCATTATATTTTACACTGATTTAAATCCATGTCTGTTGAGCCAAAACTCAGGTCTAGCCAGATCAATCATCAATGTGTCTATAGCCCATCTTTTGATGAAAAATCACACAAGATATATTAGATCAAAGTATATAAAGGATGCAATAGGAACAAAAATATAATCTGAAGGAGCAAGGTCGGAGAATAACTTCCTTAAATTCACTCACACTTCCAACTGAGGCATCACCATGGCCTCAGTAGCTGACACTAAATTATCTGTACTAATTTTGTCAACACTTAGACTATGTGCACACGGTAACGTTTTCGAGCGTTTTCACATTCGTTTTCATCCCAAAACGGTTTCAAACACCGTCAATTTACAATAGAAGTTGAAGCTAATTTAACATATGAAGCATATTTTTCCTTGGATCGCATAGACAGGGCGTCTAAACAATAAAATAGGGAAAAACGATTTTGAAAACGCTCGAAAACGACGCTCGTGTGCACATAGCCTCACAGGGTGTATTATACATACAGTTAATCTCTGACATATCTTTCTTTTCGCAGGGATAACATAGGGTTTGGTAGATCAAGTGGAGGCATGTTATGCAAAATTCTGGAGAATTAAATTGAGACAAATTGAGACTACACACATTCTTAAATACAGAAACTGTTTTATTATTTTTACAAATTACAATGTTTTATTAAAAGAAAATAAATATTACAATTGGTAAGGCTTTGTTTATTTCATTTCCAAAAAACCTTTCAAGTCATTGCAGGCTAATCTGGAAGAAGCTGGTAAGCCCCTTTTGCATATAATCAATAGCTAATAATTACCATGAATATCTTGGCCTACAAACATCTCTGGTTCTAATCTTCCTTAATGCAGCCTCTGCATTATCAATTGCAAATATAGAAAAGCATATGACCTGCACAGGGGCCATAATTATTGGTTTTATAACATGGAAAGAGCATGGCCTGTGCAGTCAGACAATTATAGTGCTGACCACTGCATGTTGCTGACTACTGGAAGCTTTCAATTTACTAGTTCATCCTTATAGGTTTAAGCTAATAAGCTCTTCAATATACATGATATATGCTGATATAGTTCAGTACAGAAAAACTATTTCTTCTGGCTAATGAAATCCAGCTAAACAAATAGGCAGGCTTAACCCTTGGTTGAAATTGCACATCTTCATCCTCCCAATGATTCTTAGCCTCTGTTTCTTTGGACTTGAATTTACATCATGTTACCTTTTAGTGTTCTTTGGAAGAAAATGCCTGAAATATGTATGTAATAATTTTTATGTAAAATAAATTACTTCCAAAGTATAGTATAGGGTAATCTTTTTAGTAGTTGTTCAAACTTCAAACTATACATTTCACTTCTCGTGCCGCCGTCTTTTGGTCAAATATTAAAATATATAAACAACGACATCTATCTAAAGACTGTTGACGAAAAAAATGGTGAAATTTTATCTAAAAAATGAAATTTATGAATAATATATTACCTGTCGCTGTCAGTCAACTGCATTTTCGTTTCGGCAAATTTCTTGAAGTTTTATGATTTATCTGTTATTTGTTTCCTGTTTTTGACAGAAGTAACGTGTACGACTTTGATATCTTCACAAAAACGTCGAACATATCTGGTCAAAAAGTTTTCAGTTCAAAAATATTGACTGACGTTTAAATTTTTTTCGGAAAATATAATAATGAGAACTGAATACTATTTTAACAAAAACCAGGGGGGAGTGCATTTGTAGCGGGCTCAGACATGAGCCTTGGTCAGTGGTAACTACCATGGCGAATAGGAACCAGTGGCGTCAATCTGGCGTCAGCAAACGCCGAAATCCGCCATGTTTTTTGCTTCACTTTTTGGTCGCGGGCCGGTCCTCCAGGAATTATATTATAGCTCAGTGGGTTCAGGCTTCACGAAAGACTCGGCCTTTAATGAAGTGCACACGTGATGCGGATATTACATCCAGTTTTCCAAGCAAAAATTTGTATTATGTCCACTAAAACGCACAAAAATGCAAAAAATTTCACAATATAAAACACGCCCGCCGACAGGCGACAGATTGTACTAATAACAATCGTTACCAAAGGGTAACGGGGAGGGAAGAGGCCTAGAGGGGTATGAAGCAAATTAAAGTCGGGGGGGCGGTTCAGGTTTTCCGGAAGACTTTCTTAACAAGTCTATGAAAATCTTAACTGAACAGGAACATGGAAGTTTAAAACAGCACCTTCTCTTATATTACTGGGTGTGGAGTTTCGAATGGGGGCGAACCTTTGGATTTATCCGGGATCACGACCCTCGTTTCCACAAAAAATTGGACTTCCGGATATAAACTTTTTTTGCCATCTAGAAAGATGCTACGTAGAAAAGTGAAATTTGCAGCATCATAGTGTAGTACTCAGTTTGAAACCCCGATGGCGACAGCTACGAACAGCCTTGGCGGGTTTGCCGTTTGCGACATTTTTGGTCGGCGATGACGTAATTGATAAAAAAATTATTACGTAACGTCATATTGGCCGTGTCGTTAAGAGGATTGGTTATGACAAACGAAGGAAGTATAAACAAACGATAACAATATCTTTCTCTTTGTTTTTCTGCGTGAAAATCGCAAAGAAATCTTAAACGTTTGCGTTGTATTGAAGGCCAAGAACCAGCTGAGGATATGAGTCAAGGATACACGAGTATGCCAATGCCGACACCTCATTATTCGTCACAAGCACCTCGGCCGCCATACCCGGGGAATACGAATACTACAAGTAATCCGACCGATTCTGTCATGTCGACATTGAGTATTCAGCTTGATCAGGCCGATCAGAGTGAACTTCAGGAACTTCACGATAAGGAAGAGAAAATACATCAGATATTGAACGAAATTACCGAGGTATTTGATATGATTTATAATTTCATCGAAAGTGACAGTGTCATGATGAAAATGACTTTAGTAAATGACGTCGGTCGATTTTATTTGAAACTCTTTCATGAAATGATCCACACATATATTTGAAATAATTGGTTATTTTGAACACACTTGTGTTTGATTTTCTGCTATTTGGTTTAGAGTAGATACTGGATTTGAATTCTGGGTGCATTTCCAAATGCTTGGTTATACAATTTGATTATATTAGCTGGTTAGCCTAGTTGGTGGTCAGTTGTATAAAAGACTATGGTAGTTAACTTTTACCTGTAGTTAAGGACAGAATTGGCCAATCAGAGTCGTGTATCTCTGAGTTAAGTATGCAGAATGCAGTTAAAGAGTTTTACTCAATCAGCCCCAGTAAACAAAGTCACCCACAACGGACACCTGTCACCCCCCTAGGAAAATTACAGGATGCAAGCAATAGTGTATTCAGGTCATTTAACAGGAGTTATTGTGTTTTATAGGTGAAACAGGTTCAAGCTGAGCGTGAAATGCAGGTAGCAGGAAACAGGAGTTTGGCGGAGTATAACATGGACCAGGGAACCAGGCTGAAGAAATCCAAACAGAGATTAGCTCAATTATATCAACAGCTAAATGAACAAAGCACACGTTTTGATGAAAACAAAAATAATTTAGGTTAGGGCATTTTCATTTAACACTAGTTCTGTTCAATTGTTATCATTTTAAAATACTTGTGCCTTGCTCTCAGTTCCAGCCTTTCATTACTCTTGCATATAGCTACACACTTACTGTGTAATCTTCAATGAGTTTTCTGCCAATGTCCTGTGGTTTAAAGTTATTGCACAAACACATTCTTCGTTGTTCCAGACCTGAATGACCTATTTTTAACCCGAGGGCAAAGCACAGTCACCAACCATCATGACCACAGCATATTATTGTAACCTGAAAAAGCTCTCAGAAATTCACATGCGTTTTTTAACATCAAACACAAGATCTCTGTCCAAAGGCAAAGACAAATATCTCAAAAAACGCTTTCAAAAATGAATAGATCCAATCAGATATGTTCATCTTTTACAGATAGTCTTTCGAGTCAATACAACCCCGATACGATTATGGCTTTGTTACAAACTTCTGTAGCACAAATTGAGGAAACATCTGAGGCAAGTGTTTTTGAAGGGAAATTCGTTTGCAACCGATTTGCATCTTATTTGTAATACTTAAAATGTTGTACATTTTGATTCTTAGAAAACTGCTGATGGTTTCCTGGATGGCGACGTAACGGTGGAGGATTTCTTAGAAAAATACACCAAAGAACGATCTGAGCTACATATTCGACGAACTAAAGTCGACAAACTCAAAGAACTCATGAGACATCGAAATATGTTGACATCGTGACATATTTTCACGAATATTCGCACGCTAATAAATACATCGTAGTTTGAAAGGCCGCATAATCGTATATGCCTTGACTAAGTCCTTAACTGAAAAAAAGCAAAGCGTTTCGGGTACACGAAATTATTCTGAAGATCTTTGAACATAATACTATTATAATACTATTATATTATATAATAGTATTATAATTTTATCATAATACTATTATACTAAATTACGCTGTAAAAACGGAATATATATAATATATGAATGTATAAAGTTCTATGTCCATCTTAAAATAGGTAAAAATGCAAAGTTTTGTCGCATGTAGTTGTAAAATGTTGAACGCGTAATGCAAGTATATTAAAAAATTGGAACCCTTTACGATCAATCTTTCATATTCTCCAACTTTTCGCAATGCAATATTAGATGAAAAAATTGGAACCCTTTACAACCAATCTTTCATATTCTCTTACTTTTCGCAATCAAAATTGCAGTTTTCGACTTCCTTGTAAGATTTTCCCTGGTATGATGTCAGATTTCACAACTTGCATCGATTGAAATTTATGCTGGGTTGAAACCATCTGTCGAAATACACTGAATGTATTAAAACACACGTAATGATTACTGTATCGATCGACAGCCCTTACTGCACGGTCAAGAGGCAGTCCTAAGGACACAGGGCGCCGTGTTTTTTTCTGCCGGGGGTAGGCTGCTAACACAGCGCAAATATGGCCCGTTTATTACCACTCTAGTAAAAAAATGCCTCGAAAAAAACTACGTATTAACAACTTCAAAAACAATATCCATCGCATGTGAAAATGATAATTGGACTTTACGCGAAGACTTATTCAATCAAAATTTGATTAAGTACGTCCCAATGGCATTGACACACGATATATAAAGTGGAATTGCGGTCTATATGTGCGCGAATATAATAGCACCACAAATCAGATATACTTCAATAACACAGTCGCCCATGTAAGGCAGTCAGGCCGCGCGACTTCGCTTGACTGAGCTGGCTCAGAAAGGCTAGAAATCCATAGAAAAAAATACAGAACAAGGTAAAAAAAATACTTTCCAAGTGTCGTCTTATTGTTTATTGGAGCTAATTGTATTGTGTTACGGGTCTAAAGATGCAGACGTGCAATTTGTAACTACGCGTTTTAATTTTGCATGGATTTTGTCCAGACTTGTACATGTTTGCATTTGTACACAAGAGTTTACAATATCTAAGAAAGTGTGTTTCATAGCTTTGTATTCTGTCATTGTTAGATGAAGCTAGTTATTTTTCAGTCTTTGGAATATAGTGTTTATAGAAGAATAGAAAGTGACTGTTCTCTTTGAACTTTGAAGCAAGAAAAACGAGTTCTTGCTTGACCGCGCGAATATATTTTCCGTCCGTCGGCATTGGCGTAACATAATTCGTTCGTGTTCATAATTGCAAGTTACGGCGCAATTTGCCTCGCGGAACGTAATGTAAAGAGGAAAGATGGATTTAAAAAAACCCTAAACACAACTCGCGTGCGGTGGCGTATCAAAGATAAGTTTTGAGTGGGTTCTTAAAAAGAATATTGGCGCCATGTCAAAAATAAAGATCTTCAAGACCGGCTGCATGCATGGTTTAAACTTCCAATTCATAGTTTAGTTTTTGAACATCAAAGGAATAAGGTTATCAAGATTGATATATCTTTGGCCAACTGATCGACCTTAGGCATCGATACTTAAGTACTGTCTATTGATCAAGTATTTAAAACAGAATTTAGTACAAGATATACGCAGTTGTGATCAGTTAAAAATGTATAGTCTTTTGAAATGATTGCGGTTTTGCCATGTTTAAAAACAATATACCCCCCAAAACATATATTAAATTATATGTAATATGGTTTTTCCATTGTTTACGAACTAATCCTTGCTTGTATGAGTTGTATCTATATAATCATGCATTCTCAGCAAGACGAAAAGCAAATATGAAAATTGAAAACTACATGTGTAAGTTGTAGCATTCACATCGATAAATCAGAATTAAAGATAGTCAATAATAATTTTGTTGATATGGAGCCTATCTCATTACCCAGACCTATGTTTTGAAGCGTTTACAAGAGTGTTTAAATTTCGGTTTTTGTTTCCAGAATTAGTCCATGTAGGTTTGCATTTGTTTGTGCTTCGGTCGAAACTCAAAACAGGCTGGCGCGCTTAGGTTTAATTATTTAAGAATCGAGTCGCCGATTGAACGGGCAGATGGATATCCCCCATTTTAGAAGCAGTTCGATTTAATTATAAGTCTGAATAACGAACACTGCAGGATTATATAAGTGCATGATTATAAGACAGCAATCGCGTCTGCCTCACCCACGCATGTCCTTCAAACACAGATGTTTCCATTAACGTTCCTCAGTTTCAACTGTACTGTATGTGTCGCTAGACCAACGGGTTAGAACGACGTGATTCTTGCTATACTGTAGTGATAGTTATAGTACTAGAAATTGCTTTTACCGCGGTTAATATCACTAGCTTAGGCTAAGATGATGCGATGTACGGCGCATGTGTTTCGACATGTTCAAAGACACAGCTGTGGTCACAATCTACTTTAGGCGATTTAAATAATGCATCCTCCACAAATCATAAGAGGAATCGTATCTTTTAAGATAACGTAAACTTTATCAAGAAACTAAATTAACTCGATATTTGTTTTCAAATAGCTCCCATCATTTCAAGACTGTACTACCTTAAAGTAGTTTAAGTATATGTATAAAGTTAGTTTAGTTTAGGTTTCCTCTTGTTGTAACACTGGATGACTAGGTGATGATCCTTACTGGACCTCTAGGAAGAAAAGTTTAGAACTGATAGAGCTCTCCAGTAAAAATAAAGTTAGTTTAATTTAGGTTTCCTCCTGTAGTAACACTGGATCAATGAGAGATGATCCTTACTGGACCTCTAGGAAGAACAGTTTAGAACTGATAGAACTATCCAGTATAAATAAAGTTAGTTTAGTTTAGGTTTTCTCCAGTAGTAACACTAGATCAATGAGAGATGATCCTTACTGGACCTCTAGAAAGAACAGTTTAGAACTGATAGAACTATCCAGTATAAATAAAGTTAGTTTAGTTTAGGTTTCCTCCTGTACTAACACTGGATGAATAGGTGATGATCCTTACTGGATCTCTAGGAAGAGCAGTTTAGTTTCTTAACAATGAAAAGGCAGCCACGAATGTGCTATCATAAAGACGTTCTATTCTTTATTCTATTTCACAGAAAGAAGGTTAGAAAGTTTAAGATGCCACGCGGAGGTGCTGGAGGCGGGAACTCGGGGGACAAAACTGGCTTCGCCGAGTTCGTCGACCGCGTCATGAAGTACTTCTGGGACAACCGCAACACGGAGACAGGGAAAAACGTTAGGAGCACCTACAAGTCTTTCACCCAGCAGTCCAAAGGAAAGTGAAGAATCGAAAGTGGAAGATTTTCCGAAGTGTAACTGCGTTTGCCCTAAATTTTTCTTTTCTTTTCATTGGTGTTCATTGGTGTACATGATATATAAGACGTTGTGAACTAATTATATCTGTTTTAATTTGTAATAATTTAATATCCGAATCTGATAAGGTTTGCCGTATGACGAAATGTATTTAATTAATGGAATTGACATTTAATTAAGAACATAATTATGTACTTTGGTGGGAGGTGATTAGTATTAATCTAGTGTAATTTAACGGTTGATTGGTGTGCAAATATAATTTGTCCATAAAATGTTTTGCTTCGTGCAATTACATTGCAAGTGATCTTTGTATCAAAATGTAAAAAACCTAAAGACAGCATTAGCTGACACAAAAGACGGCATTAGTTGACACACATTATGGCTAATTTTGACCAATTCGTATCATAAAAAAATGGTTTCCACAGGACAGTTTTATAGACGCGCAATTGGGAGTTGCTTTTCACATATTCTTGCTCGTATAATATAAAAATCGCTTTCAAAACAAATCAGTCGGAAATAAGATAAATGTATGTAAATTCACCCCCTCCTCTTAATTAAGAATCCTGGGACGGATCTTTGCTTCCACAAGTTTAAAACTGTTTATTGCAAGTGTTCTACATGACTAACTGGTGCATGATTTCATATCTAGCTGTTCCGCCTTTTTTCGGTCATCATTTTTCACCTTTGTTGAGTAATGAAACACCGACTACACTCGCGTTAAATTTTTTGCAAGTTCCTGACTTCCCGCGACGCGCGGGTAGCCGAAAAGCGCCTTGCTCGCATTTATTTCGACCGTTACCAATGATTTAGCGTGTACTTGTGTAAGGTCGGGTACAGTAATATATGAATGCGCACGGTTACGAATTATTTTGAGAGATGAAGGCTCTTTAAAAATCTGGAATGTCCATATTGATGCTCGTTGCCAAGAGGGAAATTATCTCCAGAAACAGACGAGAAAGTTTATAGTTTATCTGCGAGTCCTCGAACATCGAGAAATAATGGTTTCAAACTCATACAAAGCTTTCCTGTCCGTTCCAGACTTCCAGTCCTAAACTGGATCATTTTCCTGCGTAAAATCAGCCATCAATTTATAAATTCATACCAGCAATTATAAAAGCATCATTCCTAACCCCAGGCCCTAACGCGATGAGTTAGTTAGATCCAGTCTTTACAACAAATTCAATTCCTAAAAACATTCACTTCATGCTTCATGAAGTATGTTATGTACTACCTTGGTTTATCCGCTGGCTGATCAGGTCGCCGCGTACTGATGAACAATCGGCAATGGCCTCGTTTGTTTAAATCCCGTTCTGCTTTCAACTCTCGATGCAACCTGCGAATCTCGTCTCTCATCTTCCGTTCAATACTCATTCTCTGCCTTTCCTCTTCCGCCATCTTTTTAGTCAGTTCTTCAACTTTCTCCTCCAGGCCCCTGCATCGCTCCTGTTCGCGCTCCACATGCGCGCTCTCTCGATGTCCATTTACCGCAGAGTCCGTGTCGTTATTCGTAGAAACCGGGGGGAGTGAAACAGGGAGTGGCACGGGGCTGGTTGGCGAGATTTCTTCGACAGGTTTCCGTCTTTCCTTTGTGTATTTTACCTTGAGCTAACAGAAAAATGGAATGTCTGGGATGAAGATTATATTCACACGATTAAGAGAAAAAATCTTTCGGCAGCCCTATTAAACTGCCACCTACAATTTTCGGGAAAACGTTGTATTAATGAGGCTCTATTTATCCAATGTTGCCTACTTTGTATGAAAGCTATCGTCAGTTCTTCCTAGAGATCCAATAAGGATCATCTCTTATTGATCCTGGCGGTGTTACTACAGAAGACCACGAAGAATTCTACCTTTTCAAGTTTCAAAAACCTCCTTACCTTTCTATAACTTCTGACCGTCTTTTGAAGCATATCATACGCCTCGCTGTAACGCTGATTTTGCAACCTTGCCACACTGATGGCACGCAAAGACGAGCACGCAGAAAGATAACGCGAGGAATCCGCGAGAACCGCGCGATCACGTTCGTTCTCTTTCATAAATAGCTCCGTCCATTTATGATGGCTGTAGACGCCGTCTCGCTTCAGTGCTGAAAACGGATCGGTTTCCTCAACACCAAGGACTTTGTTCAGTTTGTTCAAAAGAGCTTCGTCTTTGCTCCGTCCTTCCTATATTAACAAAGATCACAATTTACTATTCGTTTGACTTCACAAGGTGATCTTTAAATCAAAGAAATATGGCTTGGGCTTTCTTCAAACATCGCGGTTTGAATTTGGCAAATGAAATCAGAAAAAATGAAGGAGATTTTGCTTTATCAAAATGCGAATATATACGAAGGAGAAAAACTTCAGGTTCGTCGGTGCACTAGGTCCACTATATGTGTTATGATGGAACAAGGGCTCTGAAGAGAGTCCTTATAAATCGCTAGGCAACCTTATGTACATCGTTAAAACGTACAGGGGGTATACAAGTGTTTCCTATATCATTGAAAGTCAAGGCCGAATGATTAAAGGATGATATAACTACGGCACTTCTATAGGTCTTTGATCTTAAATCGACCGATGCCCTTAAAAGGTTGCTCGCGAGCTATCGTGAGAATATATATATATGAAGCTTGTCAATATTATAACTTGTCTCCTTCGGTTCAACTGTAAGAATCTTTTTACAACACTTGAAAAGAGGTGCAGTACAACAAAAGAAATCATTATAAAATTGGGTCAAAATACAAACTTATAAGGTCATAAACGTTTCGTAATTATGAAATCACTTGATATTTGTTTGAATTGTTTTGTAACCGTTCTCCGACTGAGAACTGATGGATGGGGTTCTCAGTGATTCTTCAATTGCTGTGCAACGCGATACTAGCTTTTTTTTGGCTGTAAATTCATGGATGAATTGGATCGTACGATTGCAGACGACTCCCTATTTTGAAAACCACTTCTCGAAAGGCAATCTTTGCGCTTTGCATAAATGCGGATGAAAAAATTCTGCCTACTCTGTGACGGAAACTTTGAAGTCGGGTATGGTTGGTAAACACCGGGCATTAGTGAAATGTCGGTTCATACGAACGGTCATAGATCATCAAACGGCTTGAATTATTGCGGATAAGTTTAAGTACGATTATCGCTTTTGCGATGTACATATGTCACAAATGAAGACGACAGGGGTTGTCTATAGCCAAAAAATCCAATTCTGATGATGATTCTGGAAAAAATTGCCGATCTTTTTTTCTGATTCCTCCGTTTTTTACCCGGACCTCTCATTACTTGGCTGGCTGACAAATTTCACCCAGACTTAAAACACAAAAGATGAAGTTTCACAATGAAAGTCGATGTTGGAATCCTACCAACGAAATCTCATGATGAATTTTTAAACCAGGAACAAGAGTTGGCCACAGATTTGTTTGTTTGTGAATATAATAGCGGCAGACAAGCTAGGGACCTAGCTCGTCATCAGTTGTAAGTCGCTGAATTAGTGGTATAAAGATGGTGGAAGCCAAAATACGAGACTATAATATTGATACCGTTATCATGAAAAAAATTTACCCATTTCCTAACTCTTGTTTCATAATTTCCTGGCGTCAAACAATCGATAATTAACGTGTTAAATCAGCATGTCAATACCAAAGGTTTATGGCAAGCTAAAATATCCGCTATATGACATGTCATTGCCACAGAAGAGTTGGTTAATCACCCCGGTATAGATACAATCTAATCTGGTTAAAACAAGCTTCTTTTGCAACGAAATTTGTAGTCAATTTAGGCAAACTTTGCTAACTCGGAGTAATTATGACAAAGGTCGTTAACCAAACAAACTGCACGCAAATCAACTACTCAAACATGAAAGCCATGCAGCCAGCCTACCATTAAAATCTCTATGATTGCTTCCTTCGTCTGTAACTCTCCTTCCATCATTATCAGCAGCCGTAGCATGGTATCGAAGGCTCTGTCGTCGTGTGATTCGGTCGGACGAGAATTTTGACCATTCTGTGTAGTTTGATGCTGCGTGTGGTCACCCTATAAAGCGGTGAAAACAAAGCGACATCAAGATAACAAATATTGTTGCTACTCTATCATCGGAATCTTACTGATCTTACCTACTATTACTACAAGTGCTTAGCATGTGCTCTCTACATGTGTGGTGCTCAACTTCAGGGAAATGCAGGGCAAGTTTAGAAGAATCCCTACGGATTCAGTCCCTACTCCTTCGGAATGAGCTGATGTAGACGTTTCATTTGGGCAATTAAAACTCACAAAGAACTAAGGTTATAAACTTAACCTGTGAATTGGCATTTATTATATGCTTTGAGTATAGGTTGCGTGTGGAACAAGTTTGGTAATATCACATGCAATGTTCGCGTCGAGGGAAGCAAATTTGTTAGCGTTTTACGACGATTGCTTTACTATAATATAGTCTATAGATACACAAATAATTATATACTCCCACAGTAAAAGAAAGTATACAATTTCGGGCAGCAATTTGATAGCTAGCACTCACTGAATCAAAACAAAACGAACCTGTATAATTGAACGGTGAACGTAGTGGAACTTAGCTCAACTTACCATTTTCGAAGAGAACTTTTAACGGCCGTGACTTCAATTAAAACTTGCCACGCGTTCTAGAGTTACTGACAAAAGTGGAAATATTCTCGACGATGCTATTCGAGCAAAGGGCACGCTCCAGTGACCCGCTAAATGGTGTCTGCAAACGGAAGCATGTAGTTATTTAAAACGATGAATAAGCGTTTGAGACCGCGTCGCAAAGAGAGCTTGTATGTAATATGCACGCGCATGAATGTGGATCTTAACGATGGATAAGAGCCTGTCCAAGTATGGTCTTGGCGTTGTAATAGAAGGCGATAAATTAAAAATGCGTTGTTTTCATGACAACTAAATGATGTGTGATAACTTGCGGATAAAAATCTGAGGAATTATAGGACATTACGATAAGCACGTTTTTTACAAATCCGCAGCTGAAAGAAAACGATTTTAAAAAATTGTATAGCGAAATTTGCTATGAAATTTTCAGAACGAGGAACTTTGGCTTGCAGTTATAAATATTGGACAGCTTGCTAGGAAACACGTTGGATAAACTACACGTTTCCATTATAATGGTGCACAATTTTGATGTGTGAACAGTGATGTGTCAAACTTTATCAGAAGATAAATTCAATAATTGGTATTTGGTAGCCGGTGTCGCAAGGAATCCACGCACCTTCTTTTCCCCACGGCCCAATTCCTCGGAAATAGCCCCCCCCCCGGCCACTGAAGGCACTAAAAATGTTACATCGCCAACAAATCTAACTCTTTACTCTTCCAAATCTATTTATTACCTTTAAGTCTAAGAGCATTATGTGTATAAATAAAAGTGCTTTTCATTTCTAATCCCGACATTTTCTTTATCGCTTGCTGAAAACGTGACTTCATGGTGAGTAAAGACACAGTGAAGACAAGCACTTTACATCGAGCTGTTAAATGAGTTTTTTGCTATTTTCTGACTTCAGTTGCCCAAACCAAATATCTTTTTAATTAATTTTGGATTTCGAGATGAGAAGCTTTTGAGACCGCATTTTGGGGATAGCATTCGAACACGTACTGCTAGAACACGTACTGCTAGAACACGTACTGCTAGAACACGTACTGCTAGAACACGTACTGCTAGAACACGCACCGGTATCAGGTTGATTAATAAATTACCCACAATTTTTTTTACAAAAACTATTTCTCTGAATTGTAATAACCTATTAGTTATTGCTTTCTAAAATACGATATTCTTCGTTATGTGTTGACAACGGTAATAATTTAAAAGGATTGCTTACGGTAATCCTACGGGCAATTGTAAGTTGGTGGAAACGTGGCATTTAAAAATACATTTATCCTAAACATAGAATTTATCTTCGGCGGGATTTCGAAGTTTAATTGAGGCACGTTCACCAATCTGTCCCGTCGTTGCCCACAGAAATGTCTCGAGAGTTGTGGGGGAGGGGAGAGGTAAGAGATTGTCGCATGAAGTGCGTGCAAGAGATTATTAGAGGGGGTTACCCTACACCTAAAGTTAAAAGTATGATCTTAGTCTTGGTATATCTTAGTGGGTATTATACCTTGTTTCAACGAAACAAGAGTCAATGCTAGTTCTAACTCCTGAGAAATAATAAGAAGCCATGAGTGTTTAAAGAGCTCGTGTTTTACGAGGAGAATTTGTTCGCGCGAAAATGTGTAAATCGGTAATGTGATTGGCTGCCGAGATACAGGATTTTTTTAACCAATCACATAGCAGAACTTCAGTTGTTTTTCGTGAGAACAAATCCACATTGTGTAAAACAACGAAGACCTAGTTTTCAGCATTAAACTGCAATATGTAAACAGTTTCAAAACCTATTAAAATTTTCGCATGATTTCATCTTCGTTGCTTACACTGAACGAACTGAGGTTTGGCGCGGAATGGTTGAACATTAAATAACTATCATTAGACGTGAAGGTCGGACGCGGTCGAGCCTTCGTCGGACATCGACGGTTGCCCGACGCCGCTTTGGGACGATGTCGGTGAGCCGAGATCATCAAGAACGTTCAATCTACGCGTTAGTCTGTCTGTTATATCGTGTGCATCGTTTAAATCTTCGTAAGACTTGTAGGAACGAGGCTCGGACGAGACACGTGACCCGCTCAACGCTCGGTATGACGACATCGAGCTGTGCGTGACGTCATCATCGTCGTCGTCGGATTCCGACGTCATGTCGCTGTCGTCATGCAAATTGTCTTCCATGGCTTGTTGCAGGTCCGCAAGACGTTTCTTGGTCATATTTAGTTCACTCTTTGTCGCTGCTAAAACGACCTCTATCTCTTCCAATTCACTTTCCTGCCAGGGGGAAAGAAACGCATTATTAGCTCCGTCAAGACTGGACACCATTGACGTAATGCTTCAGTCTCACTGAATGCTGATTGTAGCGGCTACTCGGAATATCGTTCGATGTAGTCACGATATTTCATCCACCTCTCAAAATCTACTCTCTCGGAAATTTTGAACTACAGTTTCTCAGAACTGTTGAACTGAAGATACCTTCTCAGAATTCTGAACTATATACACGTTCTCAGAAATCGGAACTTAAAAATACATTCTCAGAATCTGAATCACGCACCTTTTCAGCTCTTCGCTTCTTTTGTTCATTTTCCTGTTTTTCAAGGGTTAGTTTTTCTTCCTTGATATCTACCAATTTCTTCTCGAGTCTATAGAAAAACGAAAAAGCTGTTCGTAAGGGGAAATTCAAATGGTAAATTTCATATGCATTTTTACAATTGTCAACAGCCTTACTTGTTTTTCTCTTGATGGAATCTCGATTCTTTTTCAATAAAAAGAATTCTCTCTTCCTCGGTCTTCTCGAGTTGTTCCCGAAGCCTCTCGTTAGTTACTTCTAAGCGATGTGAATTAGCGATGGCAGACTCTAGTTTTTGCTCCAAATCTCTCACCTAAGATGTCAAAACAACGGAACGAATGTGACAAAAACCGTTAAGAGGGGGTGAGGACGGGGGATTGTATGCATCGGTTGAGCTCGTAACAATGGATGACAATAGATTTATCAAGTTGAAAAGATTGTTTCACAAGTCTTCATCCATAGACTATGAAAATGGCCCAAGGCTAGCGTTAATCAGGGATGGAAGAATTTGCCACTCCACTAGACACGTCTGCAAAGATGAACTCACCTTATTTCCAATCTTATCGTGAATATTCTTCTCGACGGATGTCTCTTCAAAGTACGACAAACGATGTTTGAATTGCGAGACCTAATTACACAAGAATATTTGTTTTATCACAAGCAAGCTGAGGATTGCAGCGCTCGGAAAACGAACGAGCGAGCAAAATGACAAACACAACCAGCACTAACCTCGGACTGCAGATTCTTAACTTCACTCTGAAGCTCGTGCTTCGCTTCGTTTAACTCCGCGTTCTTGGTTTGCACGGCTGCATTCTATTCAGAATCGTATGAAAAATCGTATGAGGAAAAAAATCTTAACCATGCAGATTGGACCATGAGCTTTTGGAATACATGCGTTAATCATAACACTAACTCTTATATTCGCACTCTAATTCTTAATCCAAATCTTAACCAGAAGTCTAATCCAAACGTAATTTCAGGAAATAATGTGGAAAGACACATGAAGAAAGGTTTACGACCACGATAACTACGTTGAGTTCAACTAAACTCACTTGAGCGACCAGAATTTTATTTTTCTGCAGAAGATTCTTCATCTCCTCTTCATCCTCCTCGATTTGACTTTTCAGTTCATTGTTTTCGCGAGCAAGACCCGAGAACTTTTCCTCGATCTAAAAGAAAGAATTTTTCAAGGGGAATCGACACAAAAGTCAAGCAAAGCAAATCTCTTTGACATTTAGTTGAAACCCGAAGAAGTTTAAGCGTAGACTTTCTACATGTATCCCATGCAGGAATATTTCTTCAAACAAAACACGAGCTTACCTCAGTTTTACTGCGAACAGCAGTGTCGTATTGCGTTTGGATTTCTTGCAAGTCCAGCTCTTGTTGTTTCTTCGCTTTCAAAGCCGCCTGACTCGCTTGAGTTTGATCTTCGAGTAGATTTTTCAACTGTTTGATCTGCAGCCGATCCTTCTTACTCTGTTGTGTCTAAATATAAACGAGAAATATATTATCAACTTAATGCAAACAGGGACTCAAGTAGTTCTGCGTGTATAAGAAACCAACTCATATATCTTGTCTATTTTATAAAACTTTCACAGTGATTCACATAAATTCTATTTCTTGTTTAAAAAATTCATTTAAGGTTTACAAAAAAGGGCAAAATCTCGAGTTTACTGGCCCGTTCACTCGTCGGACGAATGGGATGTATATTGATAAAGCAGTACTGCATTGGCTGTGTCCCTTACACATTGCATTGCAAGTTAACAAACTATATAGAATATCCATCAGAAGGGAATTGGAGCCGACAAATTGGATCGTGCAAACAGGCCTTTATATAAAATGCAACCTTTTTAGCTCCGTGAAAAATCGTTTCAACAGAAAAATTACATAATCCGGTAAATTAGGGAGGATTCATGCATGCATGAAATTTTGACAATTTTGATAAGAAACACAAGTCTGTGTATCTTCAAATATTGACTCGTCGCATGGGGCGAACTCAGAGGGTTTTTACAATCGCAAAGAAAATCAAAAAGAAACGCGGCAAACAAACTCCATTGTTCTGGGCAAAAACACCGAGGCTATGAAATTTATTTCTATTAAACCTATCCTTAATTTCAGCGATGCTTTTAAACATAAATATTACGCAAGGATTCGCGTTTTTCTATTGTCAATATAGTACAGAAGTCTGAGAAGACATTTCCTGTGCAAGCACTTATTATTAATACATGCATGGTCGTCCTGTCATGGCGCATAAAAAAAACAGGATCGGATGCAGTCTTGTTTTGACGTGTGTTGCCTTTTGAGCTCTGTCAGAAGGGAGAGACTGTTAGTTCGCAAATGACGAAAGAGCTGTCCGTTTCTCGCCAAAAACGGGCAAGGCAGACATGAAACATAGATTAAACTGCATCAGCCGTGGTCTGCAATGTTTATATACGCGAAAAACCCACATAAACCTAATTACAAAGTCATTTATTAACATTTTCTGATTCTCGTTACCCGTTCTTGTTCTTATCTTAGCATTTGTAGCGGACTGGCATTTGACAACCAAATGGTAATTTATCTCAGGCGGTTGTCACGCAGTAACCTGGCCACAACGAGCTATATTTCAGTCTGAGACTCTGAGAGTATGTGTACAAACATAGATATGTAGTGCCTACCAGTTGATCAATAGCTTGCTGAGCATCACGGAGCAAGGCTTTGGTGCTCTTCAGGTCTTGCTTGTACCGCTTTCCCGAGCTGTTGTGATCGTTCAAATGCTCCAGTTGCTGGCGAAGTTCCATCATCTTGCGCTCAGATTCGTTTCTGGCTTTCACCGCCTGCGACACTTCGTGGTGTTCGTCTTCGAGCTGAGCCTCGAGTTGTTTGATCTGCGGTTAAACATAACAAATTGCTGATGTGTCATGTTAGCGGAAACGGGGAGTGGTTTTACTTAAATCACACAAACCCCGGAGAGCTCTAATACAACTGGACGACGACTCTACGAAGGAGGGGAAGGGGGGGGGGGCAGTGGCTTCCACATTTCACTGCTCGGAGAGCGAATCCTTGAAGGCTTCGGCTTGGATCCTTAAAGGCCCAGGAAGCGAAACCGACATACCTCAGGGATAAATATCTGCTTTGCTATGGTGCAAACTGTAATTTCCCAGGGATAGAATTCTCTGTCCTGTATGCTAGCCATATTTGGAAACCGCTCCAGTCCTGCAGTAGTTTACTTTTAAATATCCACTTAGATATTGTCCAAACTGCGGTTAGCCGCGAATAGAAATTCTTAGCAACTCGCCTCCCCCCCCTTCCAACTCACGTCAATATTTGGGAAATGCTTCGCGTAAGTTTTTCATTTCAACTTAATCAAACTTAACACTGAACAGACTCGAAATAAAGTATATTAGCTAGTTGCCAAGGGGGCAGAAAGCCTGGATAATTCCAATGTAAATGAAACAGAAAGAATGTGCACTTTAATAAAACACCGTTCATCAGGATCGCCACATATCATTATCATATATGTAGGTAAAGCAAGAAAGTTTATATTTTATAATAATTCACAGATATCTCTGACCTTTCGAGTATAATTTGATTTCATGTCTTCCATATCTTCGTCCTTTCTGTCCGACTCTTTCTGAACACGTTTCTTCATTTGTTCAATTTCCATCTCGAGTTTTAGTTTCGCCTGAAATTTCAACGAACGTTTGGGTTAAACAACACACGACTCCCAGGTGGGGGGCCACCTGCATGAACTGGACTAAAGAAAGCTGCAGGTGTGCGGGTACCACCTGCAGGAAACCTCGCTATATTCGAGGAAGGTTTAATGTAAAAAGAAGCCCCCCGTTTAATAGTGCTAATAGATAGCAATAAACAAATAAATTCATGTTACTAAATCAAAACCGTTTCAGCCAGATGACTAGTAAATTAGAGCTAATCGATTTACTTATAGAAGTAAGTTTAAAACAAGCTCTTTGGGATGCATTAAAAAGAAACTTCAAGAGCAATAATATCATTTAGTTTTGATGAATATTTTCATGTATAACTTAGAATCCTCTTATAGAGGAAGCTTGAAAACTTTTTGAAAGTCTTTTGCAAGCCACGGTAGAAACAGCTAGGTTAGTTTGACATTACGTGTTCCAACAGCTGTATCTGTTCTGCCTGTTCATCGACTTCTTCATCAAGTTCCTCGATTTTCTTCTCCAGTTGCCTCTTGCTGCTCGCCATTTCCACCGCCTGAACACAACAATAACTCACATAAACAACTGAGGTATTTGGTAATACGGAGTTTTTAATAACTTGAAAAAAGGAAATTGCATGCAGTGGGCGTTTTAAAACAAAAGCCTTTAAGCTTATTGATCGCGTGAGATAGAAAACAAACCTTAGCGTCACCTTTGTTCTTTCCCAAATCACTCAAATCGTTTTCTAAACGTTCCTTTTCGCTTCTTATTTCAGCCATCTTTTGTCGGTAGCGCTAAAAGGTTAAACCATATTTATGTCAGTAGAAATAACTCAGTTTCATATAAATTTCCGAAGTAGAGACAAGTCGGGAACTAACGTAATCATTCCAAAAGATCGTCAGTAAATAGGAAAAAGAGAGCAAATAAAAGTGAATATCTGATCGTGTCAAATAAGCGAATTCGCTAGAATTATTTAATATTATCCATTCGCTTGCACTTTTTTAAACATATCTCTTTCACTTGAAATAATTTCACTTTTGTTTGATCGTTTCTGATGTCTTTAAGTGCATGTATAATAAAACAATTATTGGATTCGGCTTTTGCATGATATCAAAAGACCTATACATTGACCTTGTCAAAATAATTCCTCATAATAATTGCTTAATATATTAAATATATTTATGTTTGTCAAATATATTTATTTGTATTTATACAAATTTATTTGTCCAATATTTCATAATGGTTTTTTAAAAGTCGGTCATTTTTTGATACACAATTTTCATTAAAACTTGCGGTTTTGTTAATTCGCATCAGTCAGCAAAATAGCTGGATCCGCCCCGGCATCAACAAAACACTTCCTTGGTTACTGTGTTTTTTGTAAGCTCATATAAAGTAAAACAGTCTTCAAGACAAAAGAATCGCGTCATATTCACTTTCATTAACCCTCAGAAGAGCGGTGGTCGATGTAATTGGAAGGGAAAACTTTTAAAAAATCTTGGAAAACTATGAAAGAAGTATTTGGCGTTTTAAGAGTTCTTTCAATTCAAAGAATATAAAAGTATATTTTGAACTACACCCCGCCCTTGAGGGTCGTTTTTCACCGTCGTGAAACCAACTCACAACCAAGCTGCGAGTATTGTGATGCAATCAGAATGCTTCTTGGCTGGTTGTATGCTCGTATTTAGATGCTTGACGAGCGCCCTTGATTATAATTAACTTCCGAGTAGGTTTTTGCGACAAGTGGAAAAGAGGCCTGCTTAATTCGGCATCGCGGCGGGAATTTCGTGAAAACCAACTGACAAGGTAGATACACAAATATTTTCAAAGCCATAGCAACTATATGGACCGCCACCAGCCAAATGTTTGTTAAATCAATTTACCAGGTTCCACCGACAGTGACAGTGGCCCAGTGCATGGGAGTGGTCGAGTAGATATTTTGCGCCACGTCGACTTAATATTGAGAAGCAAATTACGTGGCGTATATATATTTGGTGACGCCTGACGTAGTATGTTGAAATAATCAATTTGATATTGTTTTGCGGCCAAAACAACATATTATGTATGTGGCAATGCAGTGCTCTTTAAGATTGTTGTATATAGGCAGGGTTTTTATAAGATGTGATCATTTTTGTATTTCTTTTTATGTCCTAACCCCTTTCGAAATGCGATGAGGTACTTGTGTATATAAAATGTAGGGAATACGAAAATTGGCCTTTACTGTAGGACACTCCTGTCTTGCCCATGTATCACGTCAGTGTAACTCCGGATGTTAAAATGGTTGCATAATAACGCGCTTAATTTTGCATACATGAGCGTTGTAAACACATGCCATTCCAATGTATCGCAATGATCACCGGCGTTAGAAATAGGCAGTTTAAGGTTAAACGATTAATGGGATCAAATTCAAAATCCAACAACAGTTTCACAAATTTTGCAAACAAATGATTAAATGAAGTTCAATTTCATTTGCTAAAAAATATGAATCCGGTTGCGGACATAATCCGCAACTCTACTCAAGTGTTAGTATTTTAGCTCGGTTGTCTGATGTCGTAATGAATGTATATGATGAAAAATTTCGTTTATATTTTTTCATCGTTACCGTAAACAGGCGTCAAATAGTAGCCCCAGGTCGAAAATACTTATGAAAGCAGATAGGTTACGTTCTTGTATGAATATAAATGTATTAATATTCGCGATTTTACGGCGATTGATTATACGGCTGTATGATTTGAATATACAGAACATAACAGTAAAATCATCTTATATTAACTTGACGTGAAAAAATACGAGAACTGAGATAGTTATTGACAATATGATAATAGGGGTCACTATAGACCCAGGGTGATATAGCAAGGTTAGGGATAGTCTATACTGAGATAGCGCTATATAAGCTTTTGTAGTGTTACTATACAAATCTGTCATAGAAAAAGCCGGTCAGAAAACCTACCTCTAGTTCTTGTTCAAGATGAAGTCTCTCAGAAACGCTTAAATCTCTCTCGCGAACTGCTTTCTCTTTGAGCGATCGTTCCTGTCTCGTCTCTTCTTGTACTCGCGACAAGTCCGCATCGAATCTACGAAGAAAAACCACGCTTGCCATATTTATAGTTGTTTATTTTCCTGAACTGTAATTGTTTCGTCAGCGCTTTTCCCAATAATATGCACGTTTTGACAGAATGTTTGCTTCCTTAATCTCTGTAGAATCAGTACAATGCTCTGGTTCGCTGATACATTTAAAATCATTACACAAAAGAATGCCTCGCGTGTTTCGACAATCTCTTTCATATATTTCTACCCACGCAGGTCAAACAGAAGAAGATTATTAAACCTCATTCATATATATTGGCTCGAAGAACGGGACTAAGAGGCGAGAGGAAATGAGATATGATGGCATACTTATGTTAATGAATGTGTTTGTAGGAAAAAACCCACGACAAATACCACCGCTTTGTCACATGAATGCTGAAGTTTTCCGTCGGCGCAATTCGTGGGAAAATGCATGGCCTGGTTTTGGCCGACAACGAGGTAGTACGACTTGAGTAAAATAATTCTTTTTGCGACAAGGTTCAGGCGTAAGATACACGAACCATTGGCATTCAGAGTATTGTTGGTCGGAAAGTATTTCATTTCCTTATCACAGTCATTGTGAGTGAAATGTCAAAGGCTTTTGTTTCCCTTGCAAGTCGTGTTGCCTAGGAAACGAAAGCTTCATCGACATGAAGCGAACACGTCAGATATTATTCTCTCGTATACGCTATAGAGACCTAGGCTTGACACACTAGCTTCGATTCCTAAGCGTAGCGTGAATGCTGCAAATTGATGGAGACAGTTTTCTGTTTCTATGTCTGCTGTATCATTCCTACCTTCGCTGTTTCTTTTCAAGTTCGGCGTTTCTCGACTGTGATTTCTCCAGCAATAATTTCATGTCTTCCATTTCTCCGGAGGTGCGGGCTATTTTACGTTTTAAATTGCTGACTTCGCGAACCAACTCTTCGTTGTGGGCATCCTTGTCCGATAGCTGAGAAACAGGAAAGGCAGGTTAGAGCTGATAGAGTTCAGTTTAGGTATTTCCTGAAGTTACACTGGATTAATAAGAGGTGATCCTTACTGGACCTCTAGGAAGAACAGTTTAGAACTGATAGAGCTATCCAGTGTAAATAAAGTTAGTTTAGTTTAGGTTTCCTCCAGTACTAACACTGGATCAATAAGAGATGATCCTTACTGGACCTCTAGGAAGAACAGTTTAGAACTGATAGAGCTATCCAGTATAAATAAAGTTAGTTTAGTTTCGGTTTCCCCCTGTAGTAACACTGGATCAATAAGAGATGATCCTTACTGGACAAACAGTTATTTATAATAACCACGAGTTAACTTGTGTCTCACCATTCTTTCAACTTGTCTTTTCTCTGAACTCATTTTACACAATTCTTCATCCAAGTCATTCACCCTCCTGTCAGGACTCCCTGAAGAGACAAAACGAGAACGCTTGCATGGTTATGATAAAAGTTATAAAAATGCGATGTAGATAATCCTTCGATAGATTACCTGTTCTAATCTCGGTGGGCTCAGCCTCGTCCATGACAGCTTCAGTTGTGGTCATTGTTTCAGGTCGTATTATCTCAGGCTGCACCTGCAATGCCTTCTTCGCCTCCTCGAGTTGACCCTATGAAGCGTTTTGAAATGTTTTCACATTTTGCAACCAAACTTTGCAGTTTCACTCAACTAAAAAAGCTCTTTCGAGCTAAAGTTTTGGGTTTCACTTTGCACTTTGCAGTTTTACTTATTCTAAGAGACTCTTTAAAGCTGAAGTCTTGGATTGCACATTTTGTCTTTAGATCAAAATGTGGTCTAAACGCCCGAAGGGAAATCTCAAGCGTTTTTTACCTTCAAGGATTCAATTTCCTTTTCAGCACTAATCCTCAACACTTGTTCTTCCTGTAATATCGCCGCCTTGCCGTGACCAGACTCGCGCTCATCTTCCAGTATTCCTGACAACTCTGTCACCTGATTCAAGAAAACACCGTTTATTAACACGAACATTAGTAATAAACGTGAAGCTGCGCAGATTCAAAGAAGCCTGAAACAATGTATGGAAACACATATTCGATCCGAAACGAACCGAAACTTCGCTTTCATTTTCATTTGCCCCCCTCCCCCCTGTTGATCAGTACCCCAGATGACGAGCTAATATTACTACTATATCCACCAAGACTAGAATCCAATATACGACATGTATATATATACACCCGTTTGCAAAAACGTTGGCCGCAGATAGATATATAGATAGATACCCGAAATCTCATTAGAATTGCATATGTTGTGTAATATGATTGAAATCCCATGCAAATGTATTCATATGCAATTCTAATTAGACTTCGAGTATCTATCTATCTATCTATCTGCGGCCAACGTTTTTGCAAATGGGTGTATATATATATATATATATATATATATATATATATATATATATATATATATATATATATATATATATATATATATATATATAGTTAAACTCACTACAATACATGGTAGAACCATTTAGATGAACAACCATGGTGTCAAATACTCCTCATCGTAACTGGTAGCACTTACGTTTTGCTGCAAGCGTTGATTGTCCTCTTGCAAAGACGCTTTTTCGCTTTCAAGTCTGGAAATCGTCGCTTTCAGGGTACCAAGTTCATCCTTTAGAAAAACGTTTTAACATTGATATTTAAAATGGTCAATCATCTCTTTTCACACTTGTATCCAAGCATTACCGTTTTAGCTTTGAGTTCTTCTTCTGTGCGATGGATATCTAACAGTGGCACGATCTGCAAGCGGAAACAGAGCGTTATTATTCACGCAAAGGTCATATTCTTTTCAATTCTCATGACATGACATACCTTGGTATAAAGTCGCCACCATTCCCACTCGCGGACCTGCAGGAACTGTCGTACGTTGCTTTGAATGCATCTGATCGCCGTTTGTTGAACCTGTACGATACAATATATCATGATGATGATCAAGGTTTGATGAATGATTATATCGCTGATTATGTCGGTGTAGATGTCGACTATAATTGCATTATCGATGATGATGTTGATATAGATGATTATATCAATCGCGATGATATCCGTGATGACATCGGTGATGATGATGACGGAAATGACCGTGGTAGCGATGTGGATTAAAGGGACCAATACAAAGGTTTATACATCGTGGACAACTTACTTTAAGTTTGGCCAGTTTCTTTCTAGCGAGATAACCACGACAGAATGCTTGCAGTTCGATCAAGTTATCTGTGATTGTCTCATCTCGGGAGTCTTCCAACTGCGCCAGAGTCCCAGCGCGCAGGAATATCTAAGGCAAAGACAACATTTGAGCAAATGAAAGTGTAGGAAGAAAAAGATCAAATCATCTTACCTGGGACAAACCAATCTTGTAACTACTCTCATCCACATCCAGAACACCTATTAAGGTCTCTGCAGCCTAGGAGTATTTACGACACTTGTTAAACAACCGATTAATTTTCAGCTCATATCAAAAGTTAATCGTCCAGTTTATATCCAGTCAAAACCCACCTTCTTTTCATCAAGAACAGGTTGAGTTTGTCGACTTTCAGGAGGAGCCAAGATGCTAAATCTGTGTTGGAACTCGCCAAATGTCATGTGCTCCGGATAACCTTGTGTTGGAATGATCATAAATTTGTTAGAAAACATCAGTCCTGGACTTCGGTTTAGGAGGAAAGGCCAAACTAAACTAACTTGATTCATGACTACTATTTTCCATCTACCTTGTCTGTGAAGTCTGACGGAGTCCAGGACCTGAGCCCTCTTCAGCTGATCTCTCAGTAATGGTACGTCCATCTTCCCTGCTGCGTTGGGGATTTTTCCCGCGAGTGCCGGGTCGTTGAGGTCATATTTCCCGGCGCCAGCCACCGGAAGCATGCAGCGTATGAACGATATGTGAGTCTTGCGAATGCAATCCAGCACATTGTCCTAGATTTGGCAAAGAACGGAATAGTGTTTACAATTATTATGGATAGCTTCTATCACGTCTAAACTGTTCTTCCGAGAGGTCCAGTAAAAATAATCTCTTATTGATCCAGTGTTATTACAGGAGGAAACCTAAACTAAACTAACTTTATTTATACTGGATAGCTCTTTCAGTTCTGAACTGTTCTTCCTAGAGGTTCAGTAAGGATCATCTCTTATTGATCCAGTGTTACTACAGGAGGAAACCTAAACTAAACTAACTTTATTTATACTGGATAGCTCTTTCAGTTCTGAACTGTTCTTCCTAGAGATCTAGTAAGGATCATCTCTTATTGATCCAGTGTTACTACAGGAGGAAACTAAACTAACCTAACTTTATTTATACCGGATATCTCTGCCAAACCTTAGCTACTAAGAAATACTCACAACTTGATAGATAAGTTGCAAACACTGCGAATCTTTCTTCACCGACATGGTTGTGATGGATTGTTTGCGATAAAAACTTCGAGTTCTGCTCAGGCCATCGGAATGTTTTAGCGACAGCGTAACAAGATCATCTCTGCAAAACCAAGAAAAATTTAATAGGAAGTATTTTTGCATCCATGATGGCAAATTTTGTCTCTTACCTCTACAATACACCCAATGAAATCTGAATGCAAAATTCATTGTTATTTGAAGAACCTCTGGGACTTACTTTGAAGACTGAGCCAGCAACGTGTGGGCTTGCTTGACAGCGGGATGTTCTCGCGCCAATTTGAGCCACCCTTGGGCGTTGTACAGCGTGGGTTGCCGGGCTTGGAAATGCTGGAGGAAAAAGCTGGACTCGTTTGGACCCGGTCTGAATGTATTCGCACCTGTTGAAGATTAAGAATGGCAAAAAATAATGCATTTAGTTTTAAATGTCAAGACGGTATGCAGTCAGCTATAAAGCTGTCTACAGTAGCACACGTTCTTTGCAAGGTAAAAGGTCACTTCTGGTTTAGTTTTTGCCCCCGAATCATTTGTACGAAGGTGAATGAAGACAAGCAAAAATCTACGAAACTTAGCGCAGGAGGCTAATCAGTGATTTCACGCGGTTGAGATCTTGTATTGCGCACACCTTGTCGATCGCACAGACGTTTGAGGAAGGTCTGTACTGTAGATCCAGGGAAGATGGATTCTTCATCGAGAAGCCAAAGAAGACCTTTTTTCTCGCCTCTGTGATCCATACTCAGACCTCCTCCCTAGATGGAAATACAAAAAAGTATAAAATTTGAACACTGGACTCTACCAAGAATCGTTTCCTTCGTTCACCCTTACAGTACCCATACTCTCCTACCTGTCCCGCTTTATCAATGACCGTCACGACCTTCTCTGGTGATCCTGAGACACTGTCAAAAGTACAGTCAACATTTTCTTGGTTATAACGATCCAGCTGCTGCGTGAACATCATGCCGTGGAAAAACTTCTGCAAACGTTCTGACTGATAGTTGTGACAGAAGTCTTCAAAGAGAGCACCAGGTCCGCTGTCAGCGCCCACCGGATCAGAGAAACCAGCCGAGTCTAAGATATTGATGGAAGCTATTCTTCTTGGGTCTCCCTCTTGGATCGACCTGCACGAGATATAACAGTTTGTGAATCATCTCTTATTGATCCAGTGTTACTACAGGAGGAAAGCTAAATTAAACTAACTTTATTTATACTGGATAGCTCTATCAGTTCTAAACTGTTCTTCCTAGAGGTCTAGTAAGAATCATCTCTTATTGATCCAGTGTTACTACAGCAGGAAACCTATACTAAACTAACTTATTTATACTGGATAGCTCTATCAGTTCTAAACTGTTCTTCCTAGAGGTCCAGTAAGGATAATCTCCTATTAATCATCTCTGCTTACTATGAAACTCGGAAAACCTAAATTATTGACACAACTACGCTGTACCTGTTTATAAGGTAAACCATTATCCCAAAAGCCTCTTGATATAAGCCCATGGCCAATCCTTCGAGCGCGTCCTTGCACTGGGTCAATCTTTGATTGTCTACTGGCTGTTCCACCGCTGGCGACGCGGGCTCAGAGGACTGCGATGATAGGCGACCGGCGGTCTTACGTCGTGGAGAACGGATCACAATTTGACTTACGATGGGTGGGGCGAATATGAGTTCGGAGATCTCTTCAACGCTGATCCCAAGGACTGAGGCCGCACGTTGAGTACCAGCGGGGTTCGTGAACCTGGGCTTGTTATCATTACCTAAAAAATAGTTCAAGTGATAGGTACGTTTTAATAATTCTACTATTGAACCAATTTTTTTGCCCATTTGCTGTCGACGTAGTTCTGACAACTGCACTGTTGCCCTGGGGCCGGTTGTACGAAGGTCGTTTAGCGCTATCCATAGGATAGAAACTTTTCAACCGTTGTAAAAATACTTGAAAAGCAATCAAACAGCAGATTTGAAATTGACATTCAGTTAAGGAAACCCATTTCGTTGAAAAATACTACGGTTTAGCCCAGGTTATACCGAGCAACGGGAATTTCAGAACGATAGAAAAATTCACTATCCGGTGTATAGCGCTATCCGGCTTTCATACAACCGGCCCCTGATCTACAAAGCCTTGGACTGTCAATCACGGTTACCTACCCATCGACACGCCCGCCGTTCCTAGGTGATAGATCGCAGCAATAACGGACCAGAGACATTTCATTTCGCTAACACTAACCCCCAGGACCTCCAAACAGCGCTGTAACTCGTTCCAACGTTCAAGATCCCGCTGATGGCTTGCTTGCTATCAAAGAACAATCAATAAACCATTAAAGGGGGTCTGCTACGTTCGCGACGACCGTTTGCTACCTTTGAAATTCGCGACGACCGAAAATAAAAGCAAAAAATATTATAGCCAGTAATGAACCTATGGTCTTAAAACAACATTGGAAAAGATACCCTAGACTTATTCAATTGACGATTACTGTATCTTAAAAGGGCTCCATATTTCATAATTTTATTCGTTCAAATAAGATACTTACGTCTGACTCGCACTTCACGAAAGCATTTGGGTCCTGTAGAGCGACGTCCAAGTGAAACTCTTGTCTGAAATATTACAAAATAATCATTTCATCAGAAAAAGTATACTTTTTAGGTTTGCTATGAATATGAACCAGTTTATCTGGTTAATTTGTAACAAAGATTATCTCTCACCGGAGTTTCTTGTTGCAGCCAGCCAGGAAATATTGAAAAATTTTGAAGTTACTCTCGAATTCGGGAGTTTGAACGACCCTTATCTTTTGCAATAAAAATGTCTAAAACGATAAATTTGTGAAGATATTAAGCGGTTGATTATTACGTGGAGCATTTTCAATCCCGGAGTTGTGGACAGCTGCGTTGAACGTGCTGAAATTCTCTGCTCCGTTGCGATAATTTATCCCATTATAACCCTATTGTTGAAAGTTCATCCTTAATCATAAGCACCCCACAATGTATCTTCAAGAATTCACCCGCACCGCAGACACCCTGGGGCGTGGGTGTCGTGTGGTGGTGGGGAGAACGGACGGGGGCAGGGGAGGGGGGTTAATTGCGCAGTCACCCACCTGCAACGAGCCGCTGCTCAGCATCCCGGAGGAATCGTAGTCGAGGGTGAATAACATAGTGAAACGACTGGCGTTCTGGTTAAGTCTGGTTGAGCAGTTACCAAAGGCACCGAGGAGAGATAACATTGCTCCCATTTTTGCATCTAGACAAAAAGCATGTTTCAGGATCAGTGGACCTGAAAGGCCTGTTAACACTTCGCAATCATTGCTGCGATTCTAGACGGAATATTCTTCTTTTGATAGATGCGAACAAGTGTGCATGTTACGGATGTTTAAATAAGAGCACTCATGCATCAGAGCATTCATGACTATTCACTCGTTTGCATCTGTCAAAATATGAAAATCGCGCAACAGGTCTTGTACCGATGTGACCATATACCGAAGTGACCAGAACCGTAGCTAGACCGATTAATTGGGCGGTGTATATTCATATATTCATGTTTATATACTGTAGGAACAATAGCGTACAAAAGAAATCAGTCGGGCATCAGACGAGTATATGAACATAAACCCTCCCCCCAGTTAAGCTTCTAGCTACAGCCCTAGACGTGGCTCCGTCTAGTCCTCAATCTTTTACAATAAGCTTGGATATAGACCATACATAAACTAATATAACCAAGGAGCAGCGTGGCAGCGTCTTTAAACAACTTAGCATCAAATGTGGTACGTATAACAACTGCCTAAATAGACAAAACACGTACGTTTCGACCTGAGGGCCTTCGTCAAAACGTCGAGTCTAAGTGTTTTGTCTATTTTAGGCAGTTGTTGTACCACATTTCATACATAAACTAAGTTTAATGCTGCGCTGATTTCTTGTGAAAACTTACCAGTCAAAGACGATTGTGGTGATACGGACGTGGAACAAAAGTAGTGCAGAAGATGCGCGCAGTTGATGGACTTGCCAGAACCACTGGGTCCCATGAGCACCAACGATTGGTCTGCGTTGGTGGCCAGCATATTTCTGTAGGTCGTCTGAGCCGAGGCGTAGATATGAGGTGGCATATCTTCTTGCTTACAACCACGGAACATTTGAATCACCTGCGACAGGAAATAAAATACAAGGTGATGAAGTTGTGGTGATGGGCAAGCGCGCAAATCCGTCTTAATTGGTGTGGGAGGGGAAGACCGGATGGACCAAATTGTACTGATAGTTTTCCTAAGAAAAGTTTTATTATGCCAAAAAGTGGGGAAGGACATGTCCCCTCCGTCCCCCCAGGATTTGTACGCTTGGTGATGGGAACTTTCAGAGTATCACTTAATTATGGGTCATTCAATTGTTTCTCTATTTTATTAAGGTTAAACAAGAATTATTCTGTTCCCCTTTTTTTTTAATATCTAGAGCCAAAGGTAACTGATAAGAGCTGACATGGGTTTGAGGTGGGGCCCTCTGCCCACCTGCAAATTTGAGATCATGTTCTTCTCCAAACATATATAATTTCAGTTTTTATCACTTGAACTTCTTTGTTGCTTTCATTTTTATCAACAGTGCCCTCCAATAGATTGAGAACAACCAGATTCTGGCTTGCACCTGTTTAATCAATCATATTCTACTCACCTTGTCGTCATATATTGCCATTTGCTTCAATGGATTGATAATGATGAGAACTTGACCGGCATAGGTGTGGATCAAACTGCTACCATAGCGTTGTCTCAAGGTGTGCAGGCAGCTTGGCTCATTGAGATGTCGCAAGGCTGCAAGGTCTTCTGCTCTGTCATACTGGGGTGGATTTGCCTGCCAGATAAAATGATTGTTTGAGAGAAAGCTTCACATATCACCCTTTAAATTTCCCCCCTCAGGATTGCTTCTAAATTGCTCATCTAAAAGTTATACTTGGTCTTTGACAGAGGGGAATAATTACTGAGTTACGCCGATATTAAGCAGAATCATCGACTATCTTATGGTTGTAAATATATGTGCATTACCCATGCCTGTAAACAGGAAACTGATATCTCAACTGCATCAAAATATATTATATAAACCAAGGCAAATTGTGGTTTTTCATCATGTGTTTATTTCCCACAAAACCATGCAAAGCTGAAAGGAATTTATCTCTCAAATATGAATGAGGCTCTATGTATGAACAAGATTTTATCCATGGGAAACTATAAACATTCCAATCCTAAAAAAACAAACAAACCTTTTCAACACAATCTTCATCAACATTCATGATGTCTCCACCGTGATCAAGTTTTACTTTTCTTGTCGGGTCAGACTCTGTGTTAGCTGCAGCAGGAGATGACTTGAGCATCCGACCTCCCGAGAAACCTCCTTTGTGAACGACCCAGACTTTTTCCGCCTCGAGCCATTCCTTCTCTGAAGCAACTTCAGCTTCTGTTTTGGTCTGCAAACATTTGAATACAATCAATTGAACTTCAGTATACTACCTTACATACGTTGTTCATAAGTTTGCACAGATTAGTCAATGAATGGAAGGTAATATTACACACAATTTGTTTAGATTCTTTGGTTTAAATTATTTGTTCAAACATTGTATGAACTTATTTGTGGATATAGCAATATATAAAGTTGTCTGTGGACAGAAGTATTGATAAGTACACTTTATTTCAGAGGGTATTTGAGATTTATGGTATTGTGGTATTATAACATAGCCTCCTTATACAGTATTTCTGCTTATTTACTAAAAAAATTGTGGTGTTACAACATTGGAAATCTCCTGGTAGACAGCGTTTGCAAATTGGGTTTCAAATTTAGGGTTTGACAAGAGAAACTGAAGATGATTCTGGCAAAATGATTTAGGTAAATCAAATGGCAGTGTCTAGCCATATATAAATAAATTTGTCTTGACAAAACAACAGATACTGTTGTGTAATTTAAATGGCAATACCTAACCATTGATAAAAAGATTTGTCTAACAGAAGACTCAATTATTAATCATAGTCAAGCTAGCCTGGCTGGACACAAATTGCAAGGCACTTTATGTAAATTGCTTAATCAAATTGACAATGTTTGACCAGAAATTCACCAGCCATAAAAATTCTTGTCATACTAATTGCCTGTTGATTGACAACAAACTAATCCACATGATTAGATCAATTTCCAAGTTTTTCGGCAAAAACCACATCCAGACACTAAATAACCCACACAACTCAGCCGATTATCTTGTCTAATATTAGATCGCACGAGTGTTTCGTGTAGGGAAAGTGAGAAACCCAATATACATAAAATTAGAACATTCCTTCGGAAGTGTATACTTGTGGTAAATGACTTAGAAATATTCAAAATTGCCATTAAATATTTGCCACCAAGCTGTGAGGGAATTAGTCACTCCAGCCGATTCATCAAACCGGCTGGAATACGTCAAAATCTCTTGTACAATATGTACATTTCAGGGGAATATCTAAACATGTTCTAAAGTACATTTTGTTATATTTGCATGTATCAAATGTGTTAATTTGTAACATTTGAAAATATGAACTGCTACACTGCCGAATATATTTCAACCAACAACAACAATATCGAACGGTATTTCCTACCTTTTTCTTGATTCTTTTACTGCCACTTCTCGCCAGAGAACCTGAACGTATAAAGTTCTCATCGACGTGAACTCTCCCTCCATCCAAACCGCTTCGAACGGTTAGTTCAGCAAGCTCTGGCACAGGGACAACTTTCAGTTGTACTTCGCTTCCCGAAGATGCCACCAACTCGACGATCTTCTCCCGGCTAAGATTCTCCACATTATGCCCGTTCACTTCAAGCAATTTATCGCCAGGCAGAAGGCAGGTCGAATAGGCTTCCGCTACAGGCTCTGCGAGATATATTTCTTTGTTGTTGGCTGTTGTCGATCGCCTTAACGCGAATCCAAAACCACCATTTGACTGACGACGTAAGTTTATAAGCCTGGGCAAGCCTTCGCCGGCTGGCTTTACGGCTGGTAAAACCAAAGGAACTCCGGCGTTGTCTAAAACCTTTTCACTAGGAGGGATGAGGTCTACTTGCTTTTGTTTTTTACTGGTTTTTCGCCCGGGAGTTAGCACTAAAGATGAGTTATATGACGGAGACGATGGTGAAGCTGCATATCGATTTTTTGCAGCGACTGGCGGTTTGCTCGACGGCCGTTTTGCCGTTGTGTCATTATAACTGTCAATATTTTCTGACATAACTGTTTGCGATTGAGTCGGTTTGATATTCATAGGTTCCACTACGGGTTTTGCTGTGGTTTGAGGCTGTTTTCGGTTCATTTCAGCCGATGATTGCCGTTCGTATGCGGCCTTTTCTTGTCCATTATCGACAGACGATCGTTGTGGGTTCAACTCGTATGTTCTTGCTTGTACTTTTTTAAACTCGCCTCCTTGCGACAAGGAATCCTTTTTCTTGCCACTTGTGCTTGATTCTTGAAAGTCAGAACCATTGTAAAGATTTCCGGTTGGTTTTTTAACGTTTGCACCGACTCCAGTCGCCGGAGAGTTAAAATTCTCAAACGCACTGATACGCGAATGTATAGACTGCCCACCATGTTGATCAGATTCAGACGAGGTTGTTTGCCCGTTTGGGTAGCTATTTTCGAATGTCTCTGCAAAATCCAGGCTCTTTCTGTCGTTTTTCTTTAAACTATGAAACAGGCCATGTTTCTCCCGTTTAACAACTGGTTGTGAGCTCGTCTCGTTGCTCCTGGTACTCGCTATAAATCCAGCCATATCTCGACCCGACAACGTCCTCTCTGCACGAGCCTTTCGATCCTTCTCCCGTTTTCGTTTCTCTTCCTTTTTACTTTCCTTAGCATCCTTATCCTTTTCTCCCTTCTCGCTTTTCTTCTTGAAGTTAAACATGTTCAAATGATGTGGTTAAAGACCTAGAACTCGGCCATAAAATTACAAGTGTCTGCTCTCATGTCACTTTAAATTGTTTATAGTGACGCAGTCACGCGCGGTTAAATTTAAATTGCATCATTACGACACTCACGAAAGCACTAAGGAGGTGGGTGGTTATGCCCACCGCGTATTCCGGTCCCCTGGGGGTTAGTATGTCAAGAATTCCCGTGCACTTTTCGACCCACCCCGCCTATCAAGGTTTGCTTTATACAACAGTCCAAAGCCATGATCAATACGTTCCATTTACAAGCGTAATAGCACCACCACCTTTAATGATTATAAAATTAGAAGGGCAGGCCCCTAAAAGGAGAGCGATAAATGGAAAAATTGATTAATTCTGATGGGGAAGGTTTCATATATTTATTAATATGTGAATTTTCCCACTTAACAATGGTAGGGGGTAGGCCGATTAGAGCAGGTAGGTAGCCCAGAGTCTGACCCAAAAATTAACAACAAAATTTCTCTCTTCTCCTAGTCTCCAAGTGTTTATTATTACAAAGTTAGAATTATTCTTCAGGTCAAAATGCTAAAACAATATTATGTCTGTTATATACAATGTGTATGAAAGTTTTCTTATATTGTCCCAACATCCAGGATTTCCCAGATTAAATATACTGTCCCATCATCCAGGATTTCCCTGGTCATTTCTAGCCATCTTTCTTCAGGACAAACCCTGAGATATTCCAATAATATAAATTATGTATTTGCTCTCTATACATTGCAACTAAGGGAGACACATTCTGAGAAATTATGATATAAACATTCAACACTACAACCACACATAAATTATTCAACAAAACATCCTCAGAATTGCCAGAAAATGTTAAACAACAGCCCTGCGTTAACAATTTAAAAACATTTTTGTGTTCCCTGTTAACTGCACCAGCATCTGATGCACATAGACTTGCTATATTTCTTCCACCATCAATTTGTGGAAACACCACATGTATTTGTCATATGCAAGGTACAAAAAATTGTTATATCACAAATACATGTGTTGTTTCCACAAATTGCAGATAAAAGTTATTAATTCACCATGCAAAATTTCAAGAATATTATGCTATATTTTCCTATTCTTAGGTTGATAACTGATGGTATTTGTTTTGGGTAAACAATCTTGAGATTTATCTTTAAATATATTTGGTTCTCCATCCACCACATGATCCATGGAAAGTATAAAACTTTGCTATAGTCTTCCAGTGATTCAATTATTTCAATCTACCTTGGAACATCTAACAACACAAGAGTATTCTTTTAAAACAGTATCTCCCTGTCTGTGAACGGTGTGCAATAAAGTCACAACAAAGATACAAACTCTTCTTTGAGTAACCAATTCTAGTATAAACAAGTCTTCCTTTAAGACCTAGTGGTATTTAAATGCAAGGACTTTTTGTACCTCTATCGTCACCACTATCATCATCTATTAAATTTGTCCCGGACATCTGTTGATATGTTGGACTGTTGAAAAGCAAAACAGTTTTCAAATCATTGTCAATGCATTCAAATCAAACTCTGCACAGATATGTTCAATATTCAAGCATGGGGTGCATCATAATACTAACTTACCCTTTGCTAGTTTTTGTTTTCTTTCTTTTAAACTTTCTGGACATTTGGCCAAATTTTTTGCTCTTTCCTATAAAAACAAATGTGTTAATACTTGGTATTCATGCATATCAGTTCATTGCTTTAACCATATGACAGTGTAACACTATGTAAAACTTTGTGTAGCACCGGGCGACAACATGTACCAATATGTAACACTATGTAATATATGTGAAAAAATACAATATATTTGAAAGAAGTATTCCTTCTATGGTAATCTCTTCATATGTAGTCAAGTGGGTGCAATATAGTAGAGGCGCTTGTATTGTTCATGACCACGTCGGGAATGAAATGTCATTATGTCCAGGCATTTTGCAAATTACTGGCTGCAAATCTGTAACTAGGTCCACCCAGCTATAAAATTAAATCTCCGATCTGTTAGCGGAATATGAAAATCGATGAGACAACAACAATATATATTATGACTTTTTCCATCGATAGATGTGAAAGATGATTTCGTGATGTTTTTTCCGTGCAAACAAACCACGCGATCAATTTATAACTACTGCATACCTTTCTTCCCACAGGATTTAGCCTGACTTTGGTCGCTTGGTATCGAGTCGAATCCGTGATCATAGCCATTCACGGCAGTTGGTCCTGACACAGCCCTTGAACTTGGCCCAGGATCTTATGATAAAGAAATATATAAACAAGAATCGTGCACGCATCAACGTCAAGATGACAGCCACAGGAAGTTGATACGGTCTTTTGTAGCATATCATCTCGACTTTACAACAGGAAAATAAATACTCGGATTTTCACAGCGATCAAAATAAATCATTTGTGATTCTAATCGAATAGATTTTTGCAATGTATTCAATTAGAATCTCAAATTGTTACAACATTACGCCAGTAATGCCCGATAAACGGTCTTTTCAAAACCACACATTATACGACAACTTAATCGCTTCGAATGGCAATCAAAGAAGCAAAAAATATACACCAAACTTCCTCCAAACCTTGATTATAACGTGGTGTTCCAAAGGAGCCCATACACTGCTTTCGTCCCACCGAACTAACTTCGTAAAGTGGGTTTTCCGCATAGATTCCTTCATCTTGTCGAAGCTGAGGCGAGTGTCCTGAAGGTCTATTAAAGTTCGCTCCATTATCGTCGAGGTTTAACCTCAGAAAATCGTTCGGTAGTGTTCCTACAAGAGGCGGCTGAAATTGCGAACTAGCCCTGCTCGAAGGCGGCGTGTTTTGCGAAGATGGGTAAGCGTTAAAACTACTCAAATGTGGCTCTAAAAACGAAGAATCGTATCTGAAATTTGGGTCTTCTTCTACTCTAGGTGTGTAGGCCGGCGGCGGCTCAAACGTTGTCGATCCTGCATCGTCATAACACGGCAATCGCACGTTCAATTCGGGATCTAAAAGTCCATTCTCTTTCGTTTCATCATTTTCGTCCTGCATTTCCAAAAGCTGATCAACCGTCGCATCAACCAGACCATTGTTTGCCCTCAAAACCATCTCGATAACTTCGTAATCGAAAGTCGGAAACATCACCTTAAAATCCGACATAGCTTTGTTGAAGTCGAGTTGTCGCGAACGAGGAACGCTCGCCGCTAGTTCAGCCGTCCTGGAAGACATCTTTGATTACAGGAGGAGTACTTTGCTTTGTTTTTGTCAAGAACTTAGTTTGAAACCAAGAGTCAATAAACAACTACTCATTTTCCGCTTCGCCATAGTTCGTAACCCCAACTTCGTTTTGGACGTTTGAAGTTACCGAAGTCCGAAGTTGACTAGAAAGTGACTGATTAAAAATCGGGCAGCATCATTCATTGCGGGGGCTTCGAACTTACAACACATACATTGAAAGGTCACCGAAAACCATCTTCATGTTCTCCCTCCCGAAAACGTGCATACATGATACATCTTCTTTCGACCAAACATCTTCTTCCATGGTGCTGGGACCATACCATTTCAACCTTGCTTCTTCCCTCTTCTGCATCTTCTTTCAATCTCTGAAGTCTGAAGGTTCCATGGTCTCTTAGTCCTTGACTATTGAGAATATTGTCTACCACTTCTTGTAGCGTTCTCTTCTGGTCTCCTTATTCCATGGTGTCTTTGACCAACTTTACTTCAACTCTTCTTACCAGTATTCCTGTCCATACCATTTCAACCTTGTACAAATGTAGTTACGAGTCAGTGTGCGAGTATGCATTTTATGCAAATGACGTTATTCAGCCATTTTGAGATCAGTGACAGACGTTTGAACGATGTTATTTAGCCAGGAGTGTTTGTTTTATTTCTAGCTATCAATGCCATGTTGTTTGGGTGTGTTTTAAAATGGTTCTACGACGAAATTGAATAGTTTACTGCGTTTTTTTGACATTTGGAGGACGAGAATTGACGTGTGTCTCTAGTTCGAAGCCTTTCCACGGCTAATATGTCGGGGGACACAACGCAAACAGCGACTACGGTAAAAGGGGCGCCAACGAAATATGTGAAGTTGAATGTTGGTGGCTCGTTACACTATGTTACTCTGGGAACGTTGACAAAACAAGATAACATGCTTCGAGCTATGTTCAGTGGCCGAATGGAGGTTTTGACGGATACGGAAGGTATTTGATCGTGTTAATTTAGACTGGCAAACTTTACATGTTGATTGTTGTATTTTTTGTTGTGTCAGCTATATTTGTGTTTACCAATAAGTTGTCTAACTTGTCTTGGCTTAGGGATCGTGTTAACAAACTTGTCCTGCAGCTTCTTTCCTTTATTCTACTTATGATTAATCAACCTTTTTTTAAGACATCCCAAGGTTGTCCCCCTCCTCAGGTAGGATTAGGCCTATGTCTCAACAATGCCCCATTTAAACTTGTCCGGTACTGCACCTGACAGGAATTTTCAAATTTGAAATCATATCAATCATTAGGGTGGATTCTTATTGATCGCTCGGGGAAACACTTTGGAGGCATTCTCAATTTTCTCCGAGATGGGACGTTGTCCCTACCAGACACCCGTCAAGAGCTGGAAGAGTTGTTGGCCGAAGCTAAGTTTTACTTGATTGAAGATCTTGTAACGCAGTGCGAGGAAGCATTAAAGAAAAAAGATGATGAGGTTCTGCCATGTTGCATTGTACGGCTGGCAACCTCTGTAAAACAAGAGAAATTATTAGTCAGTCAAAGTGATAAGGTAATGTGTAAATGGTTGAGAAAGTGTTGCTTGCAGCCAGTGTTTTGTGACTTTACTATTGAAAAGGTGTTTGTTATGTTGCACATTCCAGGATACTGACTTTGATTAATGTCATTATATTTTGTAGCCCGTGGTTAAATTCTTATACAACAGATCCAATAACAAGTATTCATACACAAGGTAGGCTTTTACAGATGCACTTCCAAATAACCATGAAGCAATGTTGTAGCATCTTCAATAACCTTCATTTGCAAAATGGAAATAGGCTTCATACAATCACAGGCATTATTGCACTTGCCCTAACTTCGCCTCTTTCTTTTTAGTCACTCGGATGACAATCTTCTAAAGAACATTGAACTTTTCGATAAACTTTCCTTGCGTTTTCACGAGCGCATTCTTTTCATAAAAAATGTTATTGGAGGTGGTGAAATATGCTGTTGGACTTACTACGGAAACGGGAAAAAAGTTGCGGAAATATGTTGCACTTCCATAGTCTATGCAACTGAAAGAAAGCATACAAAGGTTGAATTTCCAGAAGCGAGAATATATGAGGAAACATTGAATGTTCTATTGTATGAAAAAGTTGGCAACAGTCAGCCTGATGCAGAATTATTGCGGGCATTAGGAACTACTCATGTTGTGGACGACGAAGAGGATGGGCCTGTTCGCAGGCACAGAAGTGGAGCGGGGGAATAGAGTTATATCTAGATACATATATGATTATATAATTATATTTAGACAATGTTTATATTAAGTCTGTTGTGTTATTTACTTTAAGGGTTGATCAGGCACATTTCTACAATGTGTAAAGAAAGTTTGCTCACAGACTACACTATATTTGGGTCTACAAGAAGACCAGCTCCATTAGAAGTACCTTAAATTTTTCTAAGGGGCTTTTAATTAAATAAGGGGATTTTTTGGTCTGGCCAACTGTTCTGTCTACATGAAATTGTCTGTCATATTCCAAATAAGATTAGGACAATAAAAGAGTGTTACCAGATGTTAAAATCTAGAAACCATACTCTCTTAATGAGATCAAAATATTCTAGGATTTTAATAAATACTATTTAAAAAAAGTACAAATGAATTAAGTTCAAAATACACTCTTTCCTACTTGGACTGACTTCTAGAACGCATTGCATATGGTGACTGATGTTGGTTGGCAGGGTTGGTGGACTGTGTTGATGCAGGCGTGGTAGACACCACCGTACTTACCACAGCAGGACTGGGTAAGACAGGTGGTGATGTTATCTGTTGCCCAGCAACAGTTGTAGTAGCTGGTTTGGTAAGAGGTGGCTTAGGTTGAACAACAGGATTGGTGCTTGTAAGTCCTGGTTGTAAAGTCACTAGTTGTACTTGGGTGGTTGGTGTGCTGGGAAGTTGACTTTGTAAACTCTGTAAGAGAAAGCTACAGTTATTCCTTCTGTAAGGTCATCAGATACTTAATTTTTATCTACTTAGGGCAAACTAAATTTTGATTTAAGCGAGGCAATGCAAAGTCAGTGTCTTACCGGCGAGGCGGACTTTGGGATCACCTGAACTGTTGTAGTGCTTGGCTGTGCCTGTACCGGTTGTGTTCCGTGGGACGGTTGCCGTTGTTGCTGCTGTTGCAGAGACTGTTGTTGCAGAGACTGTTGTTGCAGAGACTGTTGTTGTGATTGTTGTTGTTGACGCTGTTTGATCAATGACATACGATATACTTGTTGTTGTGGTGTAAATTTCTGCGTGTTCTTAACTAAGCCCTGTATCGTCTGCCCTGGCAGCATCACCACGTGTTTAGCAGCTCCCCCTACACCAGTGGTTGTGACAACTAGAAAAAAAGTAATACAATTTTTAAGCTTATGTTTGTTCCACGAAACGCTTGGCGAGTATTCCTTGCAACTCTGTTTTTTATCCAATGTTAATACAGGATCTATAGGACCAGCTCCAGACAAAATCAGTCCTAAACTGTTTTTCCTAGACGTCTAGTAAAGATCATCTTTTATTGATCCAGTGTTACAACATTGGGAAACCTTAATAAACAAATTTTATTTATACTGGATAGCTCTTTCAGTTCAAAACTGTTTTTCCTAGAGGTCCAGTAAAGATCATTTTTTATTGATCCAGTGTTACTACAGGAGGAAACCTAAACTAACTTTATTAATACTGGATAGCTCTTTCAGTTCTAAACTGTTCTTCCTAGAGGTCCAGTAAGGATCATCTCTTATTGATCCAGTGTTACTACAGGAGGAAACCTAAACCAAACTAATTTTATTTATACTGGATAGCTCTATCAGTTCCGCAGGAGGAAACTTTAGGCCATTTCAACAATGAACATACCTGAGGTAACTTGCTGACCAGATGGCAACTTTACTCGTTTGATTTGCTGCGTTGTTGTCTGTTGCTGTTGTTGCTGGGTCGCAGCCTGTTGATGTTGTTGTGCTGCAACCTGCTGCTGTTGTGTTGTGACCAGTTGCTGCTGTGTTGTGACCTGTTGCAGCACGCTTTGCTTCTCCTGTTGTTGTTTTGCTGTCTGCTCGGGCGGTTGCGCTGCGGTAGCTTGCGACGTTGGCTTCTGTTGTACTTGCTGCACCTTCTGTTGCTTGGGTTGTTGCTTCTGTTGTAAAATTTGCTGCAGTTGTTGTTGTTGTTGTGCGTAAATGTGTTTGTTGTGCTGAATGGCTTGTTGTTGCGAAGGAAAGGCGACGGTCATCGTTTGCGTCAGACGTTGTTGATCGACCTTACTTCCAGCTGGCAACTGCTTCTGAGGTGTGGCCGTTGCCACCTTTCTCACAGCTGTCTGGACACCTTGTTTCCCTTGTTGTGTTTGAGATGGTTGCACTGGTTGTTGGCCCTGCTGTTGTCGGCACTGCCTCTCCAATGCCAGACGTTTCTGCAACATGTTATACTGTTGCGCTGTGATTGTTTTCGTTGTTCCTGCGTGAACGAATTTGCCCGAGACTATTTTTGCTGAAAAGAAAAAGAGAGCAGAAAATCTTACGTTTGTACGTGTGAACTCAGTGAGGGTGGGTGAGGTAAGGGTAAATATAGGTGAGGTGAGGTAAGGTGTGGTGAGGTTACGGTAGGGTGAGGTTAGGTAAGGCTAGGTAAGGTTATGTGAGGTAAAGTAAGATAAGGTAAGGTGAGGTGAGGTGAGGTAAGGTGAGGTGAGGTAAGGCGAGGAGAGGTGAGGTAAGGTGAGCTGAGGTAAGGTGAGGAGAGGTGAGGTAAGGTGTGGTAAGGTGAGGTAAGGTGAGGAGAGGTGAGGTAAGGTAAGGTGTGGTGTGGTAAGGTGAGGTAAGGTAAGATAAAGTGTAACAATAAATCCACGATTGAAAACATAAAACCTTACCTGGATGTACAGACTCTGGGAGTCTTTGTGCAGCCTAGAAGAAATGAAATGGCTACAATGAATCGGATATCTTCTTTCATCAATATCTACACCTCACTCTAATTTTAATGTTGAAATTTTCAGACCGAAAGAGATCTACATTAGCTTCGCTTTGATATATAGTTGAACGTTTGGGCCAAGTACTTCAGCTTATAACTCTGTGATTTCGGGGTCAGTACAGGCTTGTTTTTTACTAGTTATCCGTCCAGTTGTATAGAGTTCACTAGAGTGAACCCGACCAAAACCAAACGCGAACCTACCTGAGGAGACTGGGAAACAACCACGGAGTTTGAAGCTGGTAATTGGGTGTTCGAGAGGCGAATTGTGCCATTGGCGGTCGAGGCCAGGAATTGAACCGCGTTTTCGTGCGAAGGCAACGTTCGGTTTCCACCTTCAGATGTGACAACCGCCTTCTGAAAGCAACAATCAGATGTCAACCTGTGAACTCTAATACAACTGGAGCGATCATTCAGGGGGGGCTGGGGGAAGAAATTGAAGCCAGTGCCTTTGAGTTTTTATTAACTATGTGCAGAAATACATAACGCTGAACTTTGTACATGAAACTGGAGCTATTAAGAAACTTCAATCGGCGAAGAAATTTCACGACTGTAGACAACAAAGTAATGACAAAGTAATTGCATATAATCGCCTATATTTGTATTTTTAACACATTTGCCTTAAGCCTACACCGGGTAGAAATTTTCAATAGCCCTAATTTGGTACACAGGCAAAACGTTTGAGTATTTCAGCTCAAAACTCAAAACAATTATTTTGGCTCCAGGTAAATACAAGCATGTTCATCACCAGTTGTCGTTCCCATTGTCACGGCTTCCAACACCATTTTACCGCGTTGTGATCAAACACGTTATGCTAAGAAGTTGCAACCAGTAAAACGTGCAGCAACTTGATATGACAACACCGTTTGCAACAAAATCCCATTGAAGAAGGGAGCTGAATATTTTCTTACCATTGTAGGAAGTGAAGCTCCAGCAATACCAGAATGAGCTGCAATTCGCTTGTTGATAGCCGCATACGGTTTAATGTTGCTAGGCGGTGTCTTCACAACAATGGTAGAGCCTGCGGCACCTTTGACCAGCGTACTCTGCAGTGACGTCGCAACTTGTATGTTCGGGGATGGCTTCGTGTTCAACGTCGTAACCTTGGAAATATAACACGAAGTATTGAGACACCTTTGCAGCTGACACCAAACATTAAGTTGTCCGAAAAAAAGTCAATATAAGTATATTTCAGTCATAAAGATAATCTCCTAATAATGAACTAATGTCCCTTACCATTGTCATTTTTTGGTTAGTCGAGGTCAAGATTTGAGTATGAGCTGCTGCTAGTCTTTGATTTGGGTATGCTGGCACTGCTTGAGTCTGCTGCTGACCAGCGGTTGTTAGTTGACCGGGCTGTGGAGTCTGCGATACGGTGATCTTGGCCGAAGCGGTTGCCGGAAGTTGTGAGAGAGCATGCGCTGGTTGTTGCGACTGTTGCGCGGGTTGTTGAGTTTGTTGTGCCGGTTGCTGTTGTTCCTGGGTCGATTGTTGCTGCTGTTGCTGCTGCTGTTGTTGTTGTTGTCGCTGAAGAGAAACAAGATTTTGTTTACAGTAAATGCACGTCATAATAGCGTATGAGGTTGTAAAAAACAATTAGATGTTGAATACCATTTGAATACTAGTACACGGTTGGTGCTTCGATTTTTGATGTGGTTAGATCAGAGGCCTGTTGTATCAAGCCCGTTTAACTTAAACGGTGGTTAAGTTCAAAATAGAAAGCAAGTCTATCGTTTTATTCAACAGCAAACTAAATGTTTTTAACCTTAAAACAAAGCTACTGTTTACAACAACATATATTCAAGTTGACTCATTCAAGAGAGATGTAAGAGTGTTATTTAATTTTCACTTATCCACCGTTTAAGCTAAACGGGCTTGATACGACCAGTCCAAGATTTCTTTGCCATTTCATCCGGATAACGGTCTTAACGATCTCTCTATCTCTAGGAAATTATCTTTAAGACTACTCACAAGAGCATCGGCTTTTTCTCGCTGTATTCTTTCCACTTTTATTGCAGCGATTCTCGCTGGGTCAAGATAAACATCTTCCACTTTCACGCTGAAAATATTGAAGAAATACTTCTTTATTACCTTGCCATATAATGATTGGATGGAGAGCGGCTGTGTATACTTTATCAATTCATAGAAATTTCAACGAACTTACGTGGATGTTGAGGAAGCTTGCCCAGCTGCCTTCTGGTATGGTTCAACGCTCAGACTACAGATAAAAAGCATTTTAACTTGCAATGCCTGACTAATATCGCAGGCGGTTTCCCTACTCCATCCCAATTTATCCTGCTCTACTACTCCAATTTATCCTACTCTACCACTCCAATCTATCCTACTCTACTACTCCAATCTATCCTACTCCAATCTATCCTACTCTACTACTCCAATTTATCCTGCTTTACTACCCCAATTTATCCTACTCTACTACTCCAATCTATCCTACTGTACCCAACATTACCCTACTCTCTCTCTATACTCCCGACTAAACTCAACTCCTGAATGAAACTCGTTATCCCGAGACCTTTGTTTAACACTTGGCTTTCGTTTCACCGACGTTTTCCTAACGAGATCAAAGACGGAGGAATGATGTAAGGTGCTTGAGCGACCGCCATCACTCGTCTGAATGCCATGAAGCCTGGTTCCCTGTCCATCCTTTGGCTAGCAAAGAGATGTTAAGAGATCAAATCTTCATTTTAGCAACATGCGGGTGAGATGCAGAATTTTCCTTGTTGTAAACATGAAAGGGGACAACTACAGAGGTTTGGGAGAAAACTACAGAGGGGAGAGGGCAACTTCTACAAAGGGGGGGGAGACAACAACAGGAAGAGGGGACAACTACAGAGGGGAGGAGGACACCGACCTATACTTAAGGTCAGTGGGGGGGGTTATCAAGAGGGGTTTTGGGGGGAGTCTCAACAGATTCAGTGTTGTACCTTGGGGAGTGGCTGGTTCCCGGAAACGGCAGAATAGTCTGGTGGGGCATAAGGTGCTTTGAGCTTGGTCTTCATTTTCTTCTGATTCTCGTCGATTAACTGGAAAGAAAAGAGGATGATTGAAGAATGATCTTTCACACCCACGAAAAGAATCCTTTTCCAGTTTTATCATCTCTTAATTATACGATATATCTTACCGGAACTTTACCCTCCTCTCTGGGCATTACCACATTCACGTAGCGATCTCGGCACTGCAAGGAAAGGAAAGAACATTACATCAAATCTGACCGCACTCGCTTAGGCATTCTGGAGTACGGTACCGAGCACATACCTGTCTGGCAGTTCTGTATGTACGACTGGAAGCATTAACGATGTCGCTGACGAGAAGCCAGTTCGGCGTGTGGCCAAGATCTGTGATTGTCAAGTCCACCGGCATTTCTTGAAGGTAATGAACAGCCTGAGAGAAATGGAACGGGAGTTAACACATGGCTGGCTACTAGTGCAAAGGTTGTCCTTTTGACACGTGAAACTTGCAGGGTTTAACGATTCTACACGCAACAAACTTTGTTATTATGATTATATTTATGGAGTTCCAAGCTGGGAAAAATAAATAACTTCAGAATCACAGATTGTTGCGAGCTCAAAAGCCGTTACGAGCTGTTCAGACGCTTCTTGACAACATCGTATTTGTGAGTTGAGAAAGCGTTTATTATTACCTGGAGCAAGGCCCAGTCTTCATGGACAAACCATTCTGGTCCTGTGTCAACCTGAAATTAGTAATGGACATGATATCACAATAACGTTTGTAGGCTGTCGACTTTAGCATAGGAGTGTGCATAGTTACACTGACTGGTATAATCTTGCACTATTGCTAAGTTTCATTACACTTCTATCAGTGATTTTGGAGGTGGTCAGTCTAAATGGTTGGATATTCTGCAGCACTGGAGTGAACCATTGATACAAAATTGCTCATATTTATAACCAATGATAAAGCCAACGCATCAAGTATTAAAAGAATGCCGATTACAGAATCTCAATTTCGAGTTGACCACCTTTGGAAACTACGACTTCACATTGAACCCAAGAATGAACGTAATGAAACCATTCTTGTTTATCAATCGAACCTACCATTTGTATATCACCTTGCTGCCTCATAGCGGCAGGAACGGTGTGTTGTTGTTGTTGAGGTTGTTGTGGCTGTTGTTTCGTTAGCTTCATCTTCGCTTTCTTGGCGTTGCTCAAAGCATTACGACGATTCTTGAAGAAGGCTTCCAATGCTCGGCGATCAAACATCGAATGAGGTTTACGAAGACGACGCCTGGGAATCGAGAGATGAATGAAAGATTTGAGCAAGAGATCTGTCAGATTTTCCTGAGCATTCGAAAGCTGAGTGTGAAGCTTGAAAACGGATAATTTAAAGGCCCGTTTACTTGCTGCGATTTTCTTCCTTTGATAGATGTGAACGAGTGAATTAGTTACTGATGTTCAAATGAGAGCTCTTATTAATCAGAGCATTCGTGACTTATTACTCAATCACATCTATCAAAAGAAGAAAATCGCACACGTAATCTCAGCAAAAATTGCAAGTGTAAACGAGCTCTCTCAAAATCGTCTCTTACCGAGAAGAAAGGAATCCTTTGATAAACGAGCTAAATGGATCCATTTCGCAATATTGATGAATAAACGGATTTTTACCTGACAGAATCTTTGTAAGGAAGTCTGAAGGTAGAAATGCTTCGTTTCCCATGTTTCTTAAACTCTCCAAGATAACGCCTGAATTTATAAAATATATCATACCGAATCAAGGACAACCGGAATATCTCACGGGACAGTTGCCCCCTTCCCTGCCCCACAACGCCTTGGTAGAAAAGCGCTTTCAAATACCTTCATCTCGCCTTAATCCTGCCTGCGTGCAGGAGCTTATTTCTACTAACCTGGTGCGTGTCTCGCGAGGTAACTGGATTTCAGGCAATGGCGTCGATTCGTAAATGAAGTTCTGTGCATGGTCCACGAAAGGTTCGACATCGCAGGGTGGGGTTGGTGGTCGCCACAACTAGAACATAATAGGGTGGAAAGTTGGATATAGGGGTGGCTAGCGCCTTTGGGCGTGGCAGAGATTGCATCGCAGTTAACGTCAATGTTTAGACAGCAAAGAATTAAAGTAATTCCGAAATATGATAGCATAATACAAATTTTATTCTGTATATTTCATATCAAGATCGATTTATCTTCAAATCAAAAGATTGCAAAGCAGTAAGTACTAGACTAGTCAGGCTAGTATTAGTAGCAACAGTCATCAATCAGTCAGACTAGCAGTATCGCAATGATCAACTGACATTGAGGAAGGTTGAAAGTGAAACACTGAATAAAACATTGCAAAGTAGTAAGTACTAGACTAGTCAGGCTAGTATTAGTAGCAACAGTCAACACTCAGTCAGACTAGCAGTACTGCGATGATCAATTGACATCGAGGAAGGTTGAAAGTGAAACACTGAATAAAACATTGCAAAGCAGTAAGTACTAGACTAGTCAGGCTAGTATTAGTAGCAACAGTCAACACTCAGTCAGACTAGCAGTACTGCAATGATCAACTGACATTGAGAAAGGTTGAAAGTGAAACACTGAATAAAATATTGCAAAGCAGTAAGTACTAGACTAGTCAGGCTAGTATTAGTAGCAACAGTCAACACTCAGTCAGACTAGCAGTACTGCAATGATCAACTGACATTGAGGAAGGTTGAAAGTGAAACACTAAATAAAACAATGCAAAGCAGTAAGTACTAGACTAGTCAGGCTAGATTAGTAGCAACAGTCAGCACTTAGTCAGACTAGCAGTACTGATTGATAACTGACATTGAGGAAGGTTGAAAGTGAAACACTGAATAAGCAGCTTAAGGACTAGTCAGGATAGTCCAACCCAGCCGATTGTCAAATTGATTTCACAAGCAGTATTTGAAACAAAGACCTACCGGCATTTCCTCTCCAGTCACTTCGTCCACAAATTCCTTTGAAAATACATTTCAGTCAACATATTAGTAATATTCAAAAATCTTTCAAAATTTCTCATTTGTAAAAAATCATTGGCGCGATCAAAACAAAAACGTTCGGCCAATCCGCCCCCCCCCCCTTATCTCTCATGCTTTGAGATGACTCAACTGAGGACTGATTTGAGCTTTCAAATTGTGGAGAATCCGTTGAAGGTTTTTGTCTGTTCAAATTTCGAGAAAATGTAATGCTCAAACCTTCCCCCCGCGAATGGCGGTTGTCCAAACGGCCTGTGTGGCTTGCAAAGTATCATTATCCTAGTGTATGCCTCTTTCGACAGACCATTTTCACAAGGTATTGTGGTGCCAAAACGCCGTATTCAAATGGAATGGACCTGTATTCTAGCGTTAACCATCGTCCCCTGGAAATCATGAAGCTTATTTTACTAAGGGAGCCAGCTACGAGGACATTGAGTTTGATCTCCTCAAAGGCGAACGTTTACTAAGTTAGTTTATTTTAAAATTATTTACTGCAATGCAGTTTTAGTTGCCAACTCAGGAACAAACAAGTTGTTTTAATAAAACATTGTGCCAATTCCAGGTAACTTACAAGAATATTTCTTTCCCCAACTTCGTTAAAGAAACCGTAAAACCGTGCTTCAATTATTCAACTTAAACTCAAAAGCCAGGAGGATATTTGTGTGATTTACTTGACTAAACGCGTTTCCTAATGTACTTAGCAAGCCATAACAGACATTTTGGACACCAACAACCTTGCAAAGACGGACGTTTGATCAACGAAGTCGCTTTATCCAACAAGCAGTGAAAAGAACCGATAGTTCACGAGATCTCCTGTTTCTTCTGTAGCTACACAGGGCCAGAAAAAGCAATGCTGGATAAAAAGCGGACTTCAATGACTTGTTTTACGAGAGGCAATCTAGAATAATGAGACGACAAGATCCACACACGCCGTTTGTTTGCAAAAATATATTTTTATCCAGGAAATCTTCAGATCTTTTACAAATAGATAAATTCATGGAATTTAACAGGCAATTCTTAATTTAGACAGTCCACGAATGTCGGAATTCGCAAAACTAACTGTAAGACGGTTCGGGCTTCAGAGGCTCAACTCAATCTATACTTATGAATCTTTCGGGAGCCGAAGACGATGCACTGAATATTTAGCGAACATGCATTCATCCAACTGACCTATATTAGATGGACTGAGCGCTCTAATATATAGGTCAGTGATTCATCCCTATCAATGCTTACTGGACGTAAGCCTTTGAACTCAACTGGGTTTTTTCTCTACCTATTTCATTCTAAGGCATAAGCTATTTACCAAAATACTTGGTTGGATTATAATCAAATCGATATTCTACGTAAAGAATGCGTCTGCTCAGGTCGGAGATCTTTCTTCACTCCAGCAGATAATTGAACCAATAAACGTTCAAAAGTGCCAAAAGTCTCGTAGCCATTAAATTATGAAGAATTGGACTTGGTACATCCTTCTGCTCCCGTGAAATTCATCACAATGATGAATAATTTCGGTACAATATCACACAGGGAACATGCAGTCGCTCCCTTTATTTACCCCCCTGGGTAACGCTAGGATATATGGCGACACATGGCCAGAGCCCTTTACTTTAAAGCCCTTTTAGGGATCCGATACCCCGCAATCTCCGCAACCTCATTGCGTCCTCCTGTATCCCTACACATCACCCTGTTCTAAACTGTCGCTACGCCTTGCGCCCCCGCTACGCCTCGTGCTCCTGGTGGGTCTGGGTGCGACCGAGCCTTGAGAGTCTGCACTAGTTTCGCTCGGCGGTTTTGCGGACGTAGAAGCTTGTGAGCCCGCGCTAGGCTTGGTCTGCGGTTTGATCTTAGAGCTTGCGTTAGGTTTGTCCGGCGGTTTCTTAGAACTAGCACTTCCTGCCCGTTCTTTCCTAGAATTAGTAGATTTATTCTTAGATTTCTTAACCTGTCGTGATTCTTCAGTGGTGTAGGTGATCTCCAGATTCTCGTCCAAGTCCTCTGCGACGGCGCGCCGCTCTTTTTCGTCTTTCAACGATTGTATATGTTCCAATTCCCAGTCCTTTTTAGAGAGCTGAAGCTTCTTCTATACGAATGGAAATAAATGCATGTCAATAAATGTGAAGTGACAGAGATTTTTTCAGGTCCATTCAATACTTTAATATACAAAAATAGCCGGCTGCCGCAGTCAAAATAATATATTATGTATTACTCAAGGCATTAAAACCCCGTTAACACTATACTAGATTCACATGGTCAGGACACCAGTTTAAGTTGTGTTACGGTATCACTGTCCCCAGAACTTTTTCATTTAGCAGATCATGTTAAAGCAATATGTGTTATCATTACACTACATCTGACATGGCTAGTTTTGATATCGTGACCATGCGAATCCGGTATGGTATAAACAGGGCCTAAGAAAACTATTCAACTAAGCTTTCTTGTTGCCAAAGAAACAAGTCTCTAGGTAGAAAACAAACTTCATATTTCAATATTACCTGGTCAATATCCAGCTCTTCCTCAGTAGCAAAGGTTTGCGTGGATTCGAAGAAATGTACGGCATATCTTTCCACACCAGAGAGCTAAAAAATAAATAGAATGATCAACTCCGAATCTCCTACCGTACTGTATTGCGATTAGAATTTCAGAGATCGATCTTGAACCGTACCTGACTTTCTAACTCTCTGAGCTCCTCTTCAACTTTAGAGATGCCTTGACCATTCTAAAATAGAACAAGTCATATATTTAGACCAAGTAACTTCAAGCTGGCATTTTAGCTAATAAGCGCTCAGAACGTTTTTGCTGGAAATCGAAATCAATTCTGCAGTATTTAATCGATTATATCTTTTGTTATTCTTTATGAAACTACTTGAAATTTTGTGATTATGTTTAGTTATAAGAACTATAGCTTTGACATAAATTTAAAACCGAGATAAAGAATCCTTCGAGAGTTATTAAGTTGTTCTAACCGAAAAATGGATTTTTATTTGAAAACTAGCCCCAACTTGAAACTATTCTCATTCCCGTAGTATCGATTACATCTGCTCAGAGCTTTCAAATCGTCACATTTACATCAGAAACACGGACCGAAAGCAAATCATCATCGCAGAACACAACGCAGTCGTTTCCACTCACACCATGCACCGGTAGTCATTCGACAGGAAAGCACACGTTTGCACCAGGGGCAAGAGCATTGCACCGGCATCGCAAAAGCGTAGGTTCGATTCCTGCCGAAGGACCTATAGTTGACTCATTTTTCCATCAACTGTTCCTGGCTTGAATTTGAAGTGTGTATAACAATACCACTCGAAATTAAGACCCTCTAAACCTCTAGTACATTTTGCATAGTTAAATCCTAGTTAACACAGAGATACACAACTCTGAGAGTGGCCAATTCTGTCCCTAACTACAGTTAAAAGTTAACTACTCTTTTATACGACTGGCCCCAGGAATTCAAAAATGTTCAGCGCTTTTCATATAAAGAACTTACGGCAGAGTTTTCATCATCAAGCGGAATACTTTCATTAAACTCCGCCAGCTCGGCGTCCTGTTCAGCCTTGAGAAGCGACGCTGCCTTCACATCCTGCTCGTCCTCAGCTTTCATTAAAGCCTGGAAAAAAACAAAATGCCCGTGTCAAAAAAAAGCCAGGAACTTTTTTTGACGAGAAGTGGCAGAAGTTATTAAAAGGCAGAACCCATATCGCGAACACACCTCTTCAAAAGCGTTCTGAGATTTGGGATTTTTCTTCCCAGCATTCTGTTCTTCTTTGCTTTTATCCGCGGAGACAATTTCTTGGAAATCTGTACCGGACTCGTCGATGGAGAACAAATCGCGAACGGTGCTCTGAAAATACAACATCGTCTTAATAAAACCTGCCGCCCGGAAAGAATATTTTCTGCTCCCAAACCACAAACCTTACCTCCCGTAAGACAGTGGTGGTAAAGTTACCACCCTCGATAGCAATTTCACCCAACAGTCTCTTCTGATGAGCTTTCTTCAATATGTTCTCCTCGATCGTCTTTTCGCTGATCAGTCGGTAAATATGAACGTCCCGAGTCTGCCCTATCCTGTGACAGCGGTCTTGCGCCTGCGCGTCCATGGTCGGATTCCAGTCACTGTCGTAAAAGATCACCGTGTCTGCCCCGGTGAGGTTCACCCCCACTCCACCGCTACGCGTCGACAAGATGAAACAGAAGATCTTCTTGTCGTTGTTAAATCGCTCCATTAAAACCTGAAATAAACGGAGTCGGATCTTTTTAGATGCCGTTGTTCGTGTACTTATGAAATCAACGATTGAACAGATACATAGGGTTGAATTCTGTTGATGATTTGCTGTGTTTTTCTGGCATAAAATTAAAGAAACCCTTAGGGTGAAATTTTTACTTCAATCTTGTCCCAACCTGTCCCTTGTAATCCCTTCTTCCCAGCTCTAATCCCCTTATCATTCTACTTTGTTGGATAACACAGAGTTACTTGTGAGGCAGACATGGTCGCTTTTTTATATGTGACTTATGTTTATATGTGAATTTTACATACATTCTCGAATGAGCCCAAGTGTGACCTAATCTTTATCACGCCGTGAAATTGAAAATTGTGTATACATATAGGATGAGAAGATTAATGTTACGTGCGCTCGGGCAAAGCGGCAATTATTGTGTCCAGAATTCAGAAATGACTGGCCTCTCTGGTTCGCATATGACAGTTTTACACGGAAACCTAAAGTTTAATACGATATTCCCAAACACTAGAGATTTATTTATTCATATTGAAGTCAACTGTCTGTGACTGATATCAAAACATTGTTATGAATAAACCCACACAGCAAGCAAGCAAGCAAGCACGCATAACAAACATTTTTTAAGGTCCTGTATCAAATCACAATTAATAGAAATAGGGTCAAATGAATACGTTCCTTGTGTTACACTAAATAAGCCAACCTGTCAATTTTGCCCGATATTTTTCGATTGATTTGCACTAGCACGTCACATAATAATAGAGTAATTATAATTTTCTTCGGAAACGAAAATGGACGTTTTTAGTTTCTTTTCCGTCGGATCGCACGTTGCACTTTGCAAGATTCAAGTACCCAAAACAATGGGCTCACGTGAAAACTGCGGCCTGGGAAAATCCCGGGAACACGTGAGCACTATCGCATGCTCGCGTGAGGTATGTTAAATATTTCCTGCAGAAGTACCGACAGTTTACGCCTTTCGACTTTAGAAAAGTCCTTTCCTTAATATGCTAGGCAAATCATCGATTTTATGAATATCAAGATATATTTTTGAATATCCAAGCTTTATCTATTGTTAACTGGATTGCTTGGTTGGTTATGCAAGACGGGAAGAGGAATGGCGAAATTGAAAGTCTTATAGAGTTAAGTGGTAATATCGAGGATAATATCATATAACTCGCCAGTATGCATCACTTGAACGTGAACCGAATATAGCATTATACTGCGAAGTCGATCATTGTTGATAACACCAAATTGTGTCATACATGTATTTGAAAAAACAGATCTAGAAGTTCTTTATATGTGTTCAAAGCATGTAATGTTTCTCAAACCCCAGCAGAGACTAAGTGACATATTTTTCGGGTGAAATTCGAAATGTTGATTATATTATCCACGGTTGTAACATTCACAACATATTTCAATATTTTGACAGTTGGTTTCGTCAGACCACCAACCAATCATAATACGTGTTTCAAAAATTGCAACATAACGTCCCGATAATTTTAGCCGTAATTTGAGCCGGCAATGACATTGCACAAAATCGATTGCATATAATTCCCACAGCCCACCAATGAACGCACGAATAATAGATTAGCATATCTAAATATATATCATCGACATCTAATTTATGCAAACGTAGTAATTTATGGCATAATTTAACCCACATCGGAAGATACTAAAGGTCGGTTCGAAAGCGAGGGACGGCAAAACAGAGACGGTGATTCAGAGTGTAACAAAGTCGGAAGAACAGTTTCTCAAATCTTTCTTTTTTTTATAAAATGGTTCTTATCGCAGCAGTGTTGGTCGGAGTCGTCTCGGTGGGCGCATTAGTATCGGGAGTCGTTTCTGGAAGCGTACAAATCGTGAAATCGGTCGAGGAAGAGAACAGACGTTCTAGACCGAATTCTAGACGGAACTCGGACAGCAGTTTGGACGAGATCTCGGACGCAAGTTCGAGAACGGAATCTCTTTTGTTGAAAAAGTACACCGACGTGTACTAATTTATGATCTAGCGGAAATCAACTAAATACAAAACCACAACAGACTCTATGATGATCTGTGTCTGTTCGGGGTTGTACTTCCAGCCAAGCGATGTTTTGGAAAAATGCCCCATATGCATTGGGGAACTCGAGAATGTGTCCTATCATATGCTCGCAGAGTTTAAATGCGCGCCAGGTCCATGTTCTAACGCGTCTTTAAAATTTATAACCATTTCAAACAATTATAGCACTGTGTTGCATGTTATGCCTATTTAGTTTAAAAAAATTCAAAGTGACAGCAAGTCAAACAGATGTTTAGATAGACTTTACATATGCTGTATCACAAACAGTATTAAGCAGGAACCGATCATTTTTCTCCGGTATCGGCTAAGTAATAGAAAATTGAAATATTTTCTAGCAAATAAGTGCATTTAATATCTTTTCAATTTCAAGTTGGAAATTTTACGGAACTTTTTCCCGCTCTTTATAACGACCGTTTCTGGTTAAGTAAGGCGCGTTTGCTACTTCTGCCTATTAAGAATTGTTTTTAAAATCCTTTTTAGACGCGATAGTGGAATAAAAAACATTGACTCTGCACAAAAAAACATACTCAATTCTAAAATTGCTTGGCGGTTTTTCGAAACATTGTTTGGCTGGAAACAGTATTCTAAAGAATAGGAGATTAGTGAAATGGCGTCACATATTTAACGATGTCGTGACTCGTATTAACACTAAAGAAAAAATTTAAAGAGAACAAGAAACACTTGATGTAACTTTGCTTCAAGCCATTAGAAAACGGGCGCTGTATAGCGGATATTTGTGGCGTTTTATCCAGCTCTGTTAGCCGGTTCAACTGGCTTAACTGGTTATTATATACCAGCGAACTCACAGACTGAATTTTTGGTCGAAATCGCCAACAAGAATGACGAGTTTGTCAGGTTACCGCACGTACACAAGAACTTGGTTGGAAATTGTTTGCGGTTTGGCAGACATCATTTGGGACTTGACTTGAAATTTGAATGATAACCACTTGATGTTGTGAGATGTTTGTATAAACGCAAAAGTTCACGTGAAGTGATAGGATTGGAAAATTCCGAACACGCGTTGGAAAAGTACAATTTAAGCAAGGTCGGAAGTGTTGAAAAATTCATAAAGACATGACGTCCGCAAAGACCCCCAGCTGTCACGCGCATTCTGATTGGTTAATACGAGACAGTGAGAACAATCATGACTAGACACATTCATAGAGAGATAGCTATTAATAGGGATTTGGAATTAAATGAAATGATGAATATTTATTAAACAAATTTGTAAATAGGCTAAAAATATGTATGTATAAAAGAGTAGATATCAAATATATTATTTTCGAATTCGAAAGTGTGGTATATTTTTCAAAAAATAATTGGTTTTTGGAAGAAGTGAGATTTGAGATTTTCATTGAACAGTTTGAATACGGATTATATGGCTGGCATGCAGGGATGTCGGCTTTTGCTTGATCTGTTTTGATCTGTTATGATGAGTCATTGAATGGATGGCCTATAGATTGTACCAGATTATTCGGTTCCAGATTATACGATTAACTGCCCTAATCGGCATTATCGCGTCGTAATCTCATTACCCGGCGGGTGATTATATGACATTCATGATTGACAATGGTCACTTTGTTTCAGTTGGATGTGGACTCTCGAGAACAAGTAAGATTCGAAAGAGTTTGTATCCTATAGTGTACCCTTCTGATTCCAAGTGACCACTGTCTATCCGAATTAAACCATCGCCATATATACACGAAGTATAATTAATACTTGATATATATTTTTGAGGGTTTTTCCGCGCAGAAAAATAACATCGACGGCACCACTGCGATAAGAACCGAGTTATTAAAGCTAATTAAACTAGGTTTCATCCGACCTATGTATGATACAGGCCTTTTGAACTGCCGTTCAAACTCCCTCCCAGTTCCTCCCCCTCCCCTCCCTCCCAGTCCCTCCCTCAACCTACCTGTCGTTGTTCCACACGCGTGGTGCCATCCAGACGGAGATAAAGGTAACCATGATGGTTGAGAAATCGTTCCAAAACGTTCAACATTTTAGTCATCTGGGTGAAGATCAGGACTCTATATTAAAACAAAAACTCCGTATTTTCAGCAATTTGACCGATGGTAAAATTGATGTAAACCAAAGGGGACTATTTATATCATTGTCTGACTGGCGTGCCTAATACCTGGTTTCCATTTAATCATGAGTATCGTGAACATGTCAAGGTGGTTGATGTGATTGAGAATATTTCTATGAGTGTGCAGTCAACAATGACCGATTTAAATACAGAAATAAAGACATATTTTACATCCGGACTATTTTTCATCGGCGAAAATGACTTGTTCCCGACAAATTACAAACTAAATGGAAACCAGGCGAGTGAACTCTAATAAATAACTGAAACGATACCTCTTCATTGCTTTTGTGAAGCCAAAATTCGCGGGACTTTATATAATTTATTAATACCTCCCAGAAAAACAACGAGGAGGTATCGCTCCAGTTATTTATTAGAGTTCACTGGACCAGGCATCGCCAGGCTGACCGGTATCTTTCGTGAAGACACGGAGGCGTGAGACGCATTAAAAACAAACCTGTGTTTTTCATCTTTCAGTTTCCTCAGCAAGAGATCTAACGTTTGAAGCTTTCCTGGAAAGAAAAGAGGCGCACGATTTAGATACGCGCTTAATACAAATCGCGCTCTTTTACCAAACCACACGTTTTACCCACTCAGAGCTTTCAAATCTTCAAACAAATGTCAGAAACACGGACCGAAAGCAAATCATCATAGCGGGACAAAACAGATCGAAATACACAATGTATCCTGCTTTTTAAGAAGGAGACTCATCCATTTTTAGGATAAGTCTCCTTCGCCAAAAGAGAAAGCAATCTAGACCAAATTCTGTGGGTGTTGAAATGCTATTTTGGTTGGTTTAAAACTACGTGTAGCTATTACTGAACTTATGAATAATGTTTAAATGCACTTCTTACCACAGTCGTATTGTATTAGACGGACTTCAGGAAACTGCAGCAGTTGGCCGCGAATGATCGGATGTAAGATGTCCATCTTGTCGGAGAGTTCGGATTGCAAGCGTTCCTCCATGTGTCTCTGTCTCGTGAGGTGCGAGGGCGGTGGGTGACTAGTATGCATGTGTATGCGCTGTGACGATACGGCCGGGATGGTGAACACAAACCTGCAGGGAGGAGGGGGAGAAATTATCAAGCTTTGTCTCAAGACTTGCTCGAAACTCAACCATGAGTTCACTGAACTTAACACAACCGGCACAGGGGTCCCAGAAACACTCAGAGCTTTCAAATCGTCAAACAGAACGTCGGAACACGGACCGAAAGCAACTCATCATCGTGTTAGGGATGTTAAAAATTAGAGTGGCGACTTTCACCCGCGTTTCACCGCCACAAAAGTGCATGTGGGGGAGGGCTCATACGATTTTCTAGGGAGGGAGGGGGCTCCTATCTGTAATTGTATACTGAATCCAATAAATTCAACATTAAATCCACAACTTTAACCAACCTTTTAACAATCTCCGTCATCTCATCGATGCGTTCTTGCGGGGATTTGGTCATCGTCTGAAGCGTTTCGCATATCGAAGGTCTATGGCTTGAGGTCTTGCTCCAAGATTGCTCCATGGGATTTCTTAGAACCGTCACGGAGCGCAGCAAATCTTGGCCGTACACGGGTTGAGCCGTGCAGCGCCGTTCGTTTACGGCCGCCAGGAAACGGAGCTTGTCTTGACGTGCGTGGAAACGCTTTTCTTCGAGACGAGGCTGCAAGGAGAGAACAGCTTGTCAATGATCGTCTTATTAGTAACAATTCCCTGTTTACTAAAATCACAATCAGAAACTTACCAGCATGAATGGTGACGTGCCCAAACTGAGCCCTTTGTTAGGCGCACTTTCAGCGGCTTTCTCCACAAGTAATTTCTTCTGTTCCAGAATGGCCGCAGAGTTTACCCCCACATGACCGTTCATGCTTCCGTACGCTCGAACCTCGCCCGTGTTCAGACTCCTCGAGGCTTTCAACAAAGTCCTGGTATTGTACGATAAATTATCCATCTGTTTCACTTCTCCGGTAACCTGTCCGACAGGGGTCGAAAACCCACCATCCCGCATTTCAGCGAACATTGACGTCCCCAGGGGGGTAGCGTAGGGATCCGCGGCACCCTCCGATGAGTTGAAAGCATTGTAGTAATCTTGTTCAGAGGGAGGGGTGTACTTGTGTCCGGCGTACCCGGGGCAGAGTGTCTCAGGTTCAGGGTAGGTGTTCCCCCTTCCTTTTGCGGTATCAGTGCCGCTGAGCTTCTGAAAACTAGGCGGTCCTGGTGGGTTGTCATGATTGAACACGTGACCGTTTTGCGACTGCGCACTGTGTTCAAACTTCACGGGAAAGAGTAAAGGGGTTTCTGGAACCGCATAGCTGTCGATTTCTGTGATCAATGCCTGAGGCGTTTGTAACTGTCGGACGCGATGGCTCGCAAAGGCGCTCAACGTAAACTCGAGTTGGGTAAGCAAAAAGTTCATACTTTGAAGGCTGATTGTGTTCAGCGGATTCTGATCTAAGGCCGTGAGGACCAGAGAGGCAGTAGTGTAGACTATCCCAGTCATCTTCAACGAGGTCACTGTCGGTCGGGGCTCAAAAAGATCTGGATGGTTGCAGACCTAAATGAACGATGTTCAAATGCAGGTTGAGACGTATAGTTGTCAAAAAGAACTGCGAGTTTAAATGAACATACGGTCGGATACCATCTTCAAAATGGGACAAACCTTTCTCAACTGCATCAAAATGTTGATAACACTTAGCAAATGACCGCTTTCAAGCGTTTCTTTAGTCCTTGTATAAGAAAAAACAAAATATTAGCAAAGCTTTTATATTTTGAACATTTTCCCGCCAAAATGTCCGACATGTAAAAAATTTCTTGTTGATAAACGCTTGCGTTCATGTCAAATCTATATCAAAACGTTCTCGCAAATGAAAAAGACTGCATTTTACTTGCATGTCGCTCCTGACAGGATCCACTAGAACTACAAAAGATCTAATGGGTTTTTAAAGAGCGTTTTTAATTTTTGGCTATCTGATACGAGTTGATGAAATAGAGATCTTTCAAAAACCCTTGCCTCGACAGAATAGCCATATGGTTTTTCAGCAAAAAGCCGTCGGCACGATGACGAGTACTCACGAGACCCTACGAGAACCTACCTGGTTTGAGACATGAAATCATCGTACAGAACTCGCTGACGTTTCGACAACCGACATCGGATCACGTGCTCGTATTTCTGAGGCATTTGTTTCTCGACTTCGGATTTTAAACGTCGCAATAGGAACGGTCTCAGCACCTGAATTGCAAAGCAAGAACACGAACAATGAGAGTGTTTTAACCGTTGCAGTATAATAAATACCACAAGGAATTCAATCACTTGCGCTGAAATTGCCAATTTAATAAACAGGGGTTTTAAACGAAGATTTTTATGGAGGCCGTGTTCATAATCTTGAGCATCAGAAATAATTAAAATTGAATAAGTATGTACAAGAGGCGTGCAAAACGAACTGCGGGTTTAATGGCCTAGAGATTGAAAGACCATTATATTTTTAACGAAATACTCCATTTAAGCTGAATGTCTTTTTTTCATAAATATTTTCAGGATCGACAAAAATCATATTTTCTAACGTTTTAAAACGAACATTGGTTCAGAGGCACATAAACTACACACTCGGGATTAAAAATTAACCCATGCAGGGTTAGCGCTAACGAGCTGCAGTGGCTAGCTTACACACAGACCTGCCTTGTATTGAAGTGTGCCGCTGGCTCACCTTGTGAAGTCGCTTCACGAGATTTTCATTGTACTCGCTGCTGCCCTCGATCATACCGGACAGCGGGTTCGAGAACCAATCTTTGAAGTCTTTGTGAGACTCGAAGAGATGAGGCATTAGGAAATGCATCAAAGACCAGAGCTCCATCAAGTTGTTCTGCAAAGGCGTGCCAGTCAATAAGAGACGATGCTCCGTGTTGAAATTTAGAAGGTACTGCCATCGTTGCGATTTGAAATTTTTGATGTTCTGAGCCTAGAGACATAACAACAAGAAAATGTATGTTAAACTGATCTCAAAAAAATGACTGGATGGTGCCACTTCTGCCGCCACGAAGGTCTTGAAATAAGACCTCGTATTGATCTCAAGATAAAATCTGGATGCTGCTTCTGCCAAGTACTGATTTTGAATGAAGTAAGGGCAGAATGCACACCCTATGATACTGATCTTATTATGAAGGGTGGATGGTGTTTAACGGTCATGGAACTTATCTTACAATACGAGCTAGATAGCTACTAAGATAGTGCGTGCCCTGAAGAACTGATCTTAAAATAAGGACTGGATGGTGCGCGCACAAATGTACTGATCTAAAGTTAACTTTTTACATTAGAACGTAGAGTCGGTTATAAAGAGTACAGGTAAAGGTCACGTAAGCATCAATTGTACCTCGTCTAAGATCAAGTACTTCCATTTCTTCCTGCGAAACGATTGGTGATCTTGAACAACGAGCTTGTACGACGTGATGCAAACATGAAACGCATTTGGCTTGGTCCAACCCTGAGAACAGAATACAGGAAACATAAAACTACAGAAATTCCTTCAGTTCCATGCACATTTCGCCTCTCTTAACCTCACCACATCGTGTGTTGCTCCTGACAGGATCCATCAGAATCATAAGAGATTTCTAATGGGTTTTAAAAGAGCATCTTGTTTTTTGGCTATCAGATAAGGCTTGATGGAAACGAGTTCTCCCAAAAGCCTAGCCTCGATGAAATAGCCGAAGTAAAAAAGCGCGGTTGTTCCTACATCCTTGCATTCACGTAATGTATGTTTGTTTCTATGACTGTGCATACTCCTGTTCAAAAGACTTACTGTACGTACCCCGAAATGCCTGGTTTCAATTAAGTCGTAAGTGTCGTGGAAATGTCAAGGTGGCTGATGTGATAGAATATGTGACCGATTTGAATATAGAAATAAAGACACATTTACAACCGGACAATTTCTTATCGGTGAAAATGACTCGTTTCAATAATCACGATAAACCAGGCATAATTTTGATTATATAGACCATTAGATGACCTGAAATTTATTAGGCCCAGAAAGAGGGTACCAACCTCGGTACAAAAAGTTGTAAAACTGCAAAGTTTGAAGGCGAAATGTCGTAAAATGCGAAAAACATACGGCCTGGCGAAGTTTAATAAGGATATTATTATTATGTCAACCATACCGTTCTTTTAATTTTCCGTTCTTTCTGACTGCCATAGTAGGTCAAGATCTTGAACCCCGGGCACCATTTCTTAAATTCCATCTCCCAGTTTAACATGACGCTCGTCGGCACGACGATCAGGTGCGGTCCCCAGCAGCCTCGTTCGCATGCAAGGTGCGCGAGCACCGCGATGGTCATGATCGTCTTGCCGAGACCCATCTCATCCGCCAGAATACCGTTCAGCCGTTTCTCGAACATCGTGACCAGCCAGTCGAGACCAATGTACTGGTACTCACGCAAGGTACCACCACGTAATAAGAATGGTATTGGTGTCTTCACCTACAGAAAGAAGACGCAGCATACAGTCAGATCACTCAGATGCATAGTTAGTTCTTGGACTCTAAGCACCTTAACCATTGAGATCACCAACCTCCGTTGTTTCTAACGTGTAACCAGTTGGCTGTAGGCTTTCTGCCGTGGCTGCGGCGTCGTTGAGTTCCTGATTAGGACTTTCAGACTGAAAAAAGGATCGCATAGATGTGTAGTTAGGTTGGTGACTGTTATTTTGCCCTAAGTGCTGTTCTCCACTGTCGCGTTTTTTGACGAAAATGGAAAGCAGCCCCAACTCCACAGCTGGGTATAAGGATAACATGCTGGTTTGGAGAGACTATCATCAAAAACTAAACATTCTTACAATACAATGATTGATTGTGTGTGTGTGTTTGGAATCAGGCGAACTAACATTGTCATGGTGTTACTCTGGGTAATTGGTCCAATTGCTCTACAAGCCGTACTACCATGTCAACGACCACAAAAGTACGGTACGGTGTAAATATTTTAGGGATTTTTTTACAACTTCTAGCGATGCTTACGTGAGTGTTAGTTGCTGGCGTCGTCTCCTGGTCGTTATCACTTTGTAATAGACACTCCATACCTTCCTCCTCAGACTCACTTGAATCTAAACGAACACAAACTCAGAGGTCAAACATGGCTTATATTTTCCACCCAATAAAATAAGCTGAGGTGTAGTTTCCCTCTTGTTCACGACCTTTGTCAACGGAACTTCAATCATCTAACCTTCTTGAGAGCTTTCTTCACTCTCTTCACCCCTCCATATCTCATCAGGATCCTCACGATCCTCGGCTGTCCCGCAAACGTATTTTTTAAGAAGTTCCTCGATTGGTAACTCGCCTGAATGGAGAATAATCGACGATTATCATATATCGCTAGTTCGACCGTAGATATCACGGAATTAGTCAGATCGCCTATATAACCTTGTAAGCCAGGGGCCTGTTGTTCAAAAGCCGGTTATCTTAAACCTGGGTTCAAGCAAATCTTAACATGAATTTTTTTAATCGCTTGTTTACAAAGTTGAATGTCTTTTTTCATAAATATTTTCAGGATCGATAGAAATCATATTTTCTAACGTTTTAAAACGAACATTGGTTTCAGAGGCACATAAACTACACACTCGGGATTAAAAATTAACCCGGGGTTAGCGCTAACCTACAGTAGCTTTGAACAACTGGCCCCTGGTTTACAAAATTCGCGAAATAACTAGAAAGACCCACTCAGAGCTTTCAAATCTTCAAACAAATGTCAGAAACACGGACCGAAAGCAAATCATCATAGCGGGACAAAATATAGAGCCTACACCAAGTACCTTCTTGCTCAAGCTGCGATATTTCCTCGGCATGATCTTCTGTGTTCTCCATCTTTTCTTCTTCATCTAAGGTTCCTTCATCGTCGGCAACAACCATCGTATCGCGCAGTACAAACTCGTCATCACCGTCGCTACAATAGCGAGTTTTACCATGAGGACGTGAACGACGAAGAACACGTGAGAATGGCGAATAAATGGCGTGGCATGCCCATATATAGACGCATGACGTCGGTTATGTATTCGCCATTTTTTCTCAGTGTTTTCACGTCGTCTTTGACGTTCTCGCCCCATGCTTTACATAGGGAACATCTTCCTAATATTTTAGCATCAAATGTGGTAGAACAACTGCCTAAAATAGACAAAACACTTCTCGACGTTTCGACCTTAGGAGAGTTAGTATGGAGAGTTAGTTTTCATACTAACTTTCGTGACGAAGGCCCTCAGCTCGAAACGCCGAGGAGTGTTTTGTCTATTTTAGGCAGTTGTTGTACTACATTTGATGCTAAGTTGTTTGAAGACGCTGCCACGCTGCTTCCTGGTTATATTGGAACTTATCTTATGTTTACTCGTCAGTACGCCAGACGTTTTAGCGCAAAAGGACGGCAAAAACATCGGACAAAATATGTTTACAATTGTTTGTAATTTGTTTACAATTAATTCTTACGTGACTTCATCGTCAGCAATTGCTTCTCCACCCTCCTGAGACGTCGATGGTACATCCCCGTCCTGACACGAACTTCCTTCAGCCCTTAAAAGCAAAAGAAAGTCGACTACTTAGATTGAAAGCAGCCTTGGAGGACTGTTTATAACATCTACCTCCTTGTACCACCAGATTTTCTACAGTATATTGACTATATTCGTTCAAACTTACTTGTCTTTATCGTCAGCCTTGTCTTCATCGCCTTCCTTCTCGGAGTCCGACTTATGTTCCGTGAACATTTCAAGCGGCAAACTTTCAAGCAGATCATCAATGGGGATTTCGCTCTCCCGTTGCAATGCAGAGATTTCATCTTCAGCACTCATGAACTCCTGTCAAAGTTTAAAAGGAAATGCGGGACTCATAAACAATTGTAATACAGTACGATTTTAGTTGAAAACGTGTGCTGAAATATGATGGCAACTTTCTAAAGCTGCTAATAATATGTCAATTAGGACCTTAATTGGCTCTTATAGGTGGGGAGTGGGTCAAATTAATAGTTTGAAAACTGTTTCAAACTGTTTATCAAAGTCTTTGATTTTGTCTGAAGAAGATTGACTTTTCAAAATATTGTAACAAACTGGGGGGTGGGTGACCCCCTCACACTTAAGGGGTGAGTCCCCCTCCCAGCTGGCAATGCCTCCTGTGATACAGCCCTGATGGTCCTCCTATAACACAATGACTACAATCTTTTCACAACCTTAATTTAAACAGCCATGTGAGATTGCAAATACCTTGGTCTCGTAGGATTCTTCAACGTCTATTGTTTGTTCATCATCGCTCTCGTCTGTGATATCCAGATCACTTTCATCACCTAGAACAGGTTTTTCACTTTATTATGTGTTTACTTATTTCACCTCACAACACAGAAGTTACTGAATCAATCTCCTGTAACTATTCAGTTTACTTATAGTTCAGTGGGCCCAACATCATCCTCAACAAATGCTGAATGTGACATTGTTGAACATCTTGTACCCCCCCCCCCACTACCACAAACCTACAATTTACCCCAGGGACCGGTTTTATCAAGCCTGTTTAGCTTAAACGGTGGATAAGTTCAAAATAGAAAGCAAGTCTATCATTTTATTCAACAGACAAAATATATCTTTTTAACCTTAATACAATGATACTGTTTACAACTATATACTTAGTGCATAAAATTCAAGTTGACTCATTCAAGAGAGATGTAAGAGTGTTATTTAATTTTGACTTATCCACTGTTTAAGCTAAATGGGCTTGATACAGACGGCCCAGCCCCACACAGTCAAGCTACCTAAATAGTGGATCCTATATGGATGCATTATAATCTTAAGAAAATGTTGCTCCTGACAGGATTCACTCAGGTTTAAAAAAGATCCTGAACGAGTTTTTAAGAAGCATGTTGCTCTTGGCTACCTGAAATGACCCGAATAACAAAAATGCCACAGGTCTTGGATTAAGCAGCCTTTGGAACCAAACCTCCACATGAAAATGATTTACATAAATCCCCCCCCCCATCCTCATTATACCCCCTAAACACACACGCTACCCACCTGTATCCTGTCTTGAGGACATGGGAGAAGACGCTGCAGTCGAAGATGCCACAGAGCTGGCAACGCTGCTGGATGGTTTAGACTCCTTCAAGCTTTCCGCAAGCCATGACGAGTATTTCTCTGTTTGCCCGACAATGAAATTCAAATGAACATCAAGCGCTTTCTTTCGCTTCTCTTCAATTCGGCTCTGAACCTTGTATTGCACAACCTAGTTCGAATGAGAACCGTTACTTCCTGAGTCAAATAAAGTTTAAACTTCACCACACCTTGGTTTGTTTTTCAAGAGATACTTTAACAATCATGTTTTTACTTTTTACAGCAGCTATATATGAAGGGTCACCTAATAATAAGCATGGTAAGCAAGGCCCTAGCCTTGAAGATGCTTATTAGTTTAAAGAGGGATAACAGTTACTTCTGTGCATCGGTTCTACTTATGACAACCGGTAGTCTACTTGTTTCGAAACTACTCAAATTTTACATGTTTCGCACATCTCTGAACACAAACTCTCTCTCATATTCAATTAAAAGTATAGCAAACTAAAAGTGCGTCAAATGTTTTGATATTTTTGGAAATATATGGATTCAAAATGTAAGCAAAGTGTTTGTTTACATCACAGACTGTACCACACCTTTAATCGGGAAAGTGAATGTTTCAATGCTATGTAAACCTGAATATATGAATATAAACCCCTCCCATCAATTAAGCTTTCTAGCAACCATCCTTATGGCATGTAAGTGGTTACAAAAACAGCCTTAGATCAACAAGGAACGGCATAGTTTTCCTTAATACCTTCTCAATGTTCAGCCAAAACTGACGGACTTCTTTTGCAATGCTGCTTGCAATCTTCTGCAGTTTCACAGTCGACTCTTTCTCTGCTTTGACCTCTTTTGTTTTAATTTCTTGATGGTATCTCAAAACAGCTTTGCTAAGCTAAAAACATATCATTGAGCAGTCATATATTATTCTTTATCAACTCTTTGCACTAGACCCTCACACAAAGAAAGGCCTCAAAGGAAACATTTGAGGTCACAACAAACCTCACACAAAGTATTATGACAAAAAAGCCCCAAAAAGCTATTTTCAGAAAAACAAAAATACCTTTCTGGCAACACCTTTTTTCCATCGTCTTTCTTGAGCAAAATCTGTCGCTAGCCATGCCATCTCTTCCAAGACATAATCCCAATGTGACTTATTGCGTCCAGGCTCTTGCACTTTTGGCAACCGCTTTGCAGACCACAGTCCCTCTTTCCTCAGTTCTGAAACCTGCTTCAGAATGTCTGCTTCACGCTTGGCTTCAAGCACTATATCTTCTTTCGAGTTGTTAAATGCGAGCGCCCTAGCATTCGCTAGATCATCCTGTGCACTACTTTGAGTATTCCTCCTATTTCGCTGAGTGTTCAAAGCTGCACCGAAATTAGCATCCTTGGACATAAAAAGTTTAGAACTTGCAAGGTCTATATGGCCCCCAATAGGATTATTAGGAGCACGAGCCGTGGCATGAAGACTCTGAGATCGTTGAGCATTTCGAAACTCCATGCCTCTTGCAGAAATCATCTTCCCCTGTTGGGTATTTGCCGGGAGATTTCCAGGATAGAACTTATGCTGTAGAGCAATGTAATCATTGCCGATGTTCTGAACCTGAGCATTCTCCATCGGACTTGAGGTTACATAGAAATCAATGTCATCTTCGAGTTTATGCGTGGCCTGGAAATTAATCCATTGCTGGGTTGGTTTGCGTCTCCAGTGGTGAAAATCGACAAGGTTTCCACCATGCTGTAGAAAGAACAGCTCCTGTAAGCTGTGCTGGTATCGTTTTTTCACAATTTCTATGTTTTGATAAAAGTATTCAACCACTTTCCGCCTTAGTTCTTTGACCTCTTCACTGGCATTTCCAGGGATAGCTATGTTTTGGGACATACCAGGATATGCAGGGGATCTCAACATCGGTGGGGGATATGGTGAGCTTGTAGGGGTATAACCTTCGTGGCCCATTTCTGTTGCCTTTGATGGAGAGAAGTCAATCTTCAGGCCAGGATTGCGTCTTGTCCCACCCTTCACTTGCGGGGTACGTTTTGGTATATTTGGAGTGGGATAAGGTGGTACAGTTGGCATTTGCTGAGATAAAACACCTACAGGATAACTAGGAAGTTGGTGTGTGGCACCAGTGGATGAGGTTATGGGTTGCTCCTCAGAATAGCTGGGTCGTCGGCCATGGTAATATGGTGAATACTGGTAGTGCATCTGTAAAGCAGGATCCATAACGTTCCGAGTGCTCACAGGAGAAACACGGTGTTGATCTCCTTGATACATTGGGTGCGTGGGTGATCGTAGGGGATATCGGGGGATACTGGTTGTGCCCATGGGTGGCGTTGTACAAGATGGTGTAACAGGACCTGGCAATGTGGGGGTACCAGTAAAAATTGGACTTGTGGGTGGAAAATGTTCTGGACGAGGTGACTGCATGTGGGCCTGCATATGCTGTTCCTGGTGCATGGGGTCAAAGTTATATGGTGTACCTCCTGGACCAACACCACGGCCCATTCCAGGCTGGTGGGCCATAATCCCAGTAAATATAGCAAAATTCAATTGTTAAACAACACCCAAAGTAATGCCAATAATCTTTTTGAATAGTTCACACAGGATAAAACACCAGAAGTATGTTTTAGCGCTGAATATCCGCAATTAACAAGTAAAAAATTATAGTTTTCTGACATTATAAGCCAAAAGAACGGCATATAAACATTATTCCTGGCACGTTATCGAGCATTCCATCCAGAATCTGCAATTCCAAACTAAAAACAATAACAAAATAATAATGAACGCTTTATACCGATGCGATATTTTCAATATGACAGGTCCGCCATGATGGATTTTCCAACTATGCAACGACACAGAAGCCTTGGAGAATTTCACAAAAACACTAAATAAAAACTAACCATCGACGCTCAATTTCTATCAATCCTTGTAAATAGAAGTCCAGTGTACCATATTTTGATAAAAGGAACTTGACAAAAAAGAAATTTCCAGTATTTATTTCAGTTTATGTTTCGCTTTTCGCCTCTTCTCGCTAACCGCCTCTAAACATCCAAAATGGCGGAATTTGTAAATAAGCCTTGCGCGTGCGCAGAAGTCGTAACTCGAAGGCTGACGGGAAATTCTTTGTTTGAAAATTTATTTTAATTTTTCGAATATTTTAAATAATTAAATTCCTTCATTCAAAGAATTTCCAACTTTCATTTTTCGCAACGGTCGAACTAAATTGAACTTTAAAGCTAGCCGCTTCAAACCAGAAAATTGAGGCCAGACCTTCGCGTGTTTTGCCCTTCAGAAACACGCGGGAATTCTGGGTCGTTTCGCGCAATGCCCTGGGAACGAGTTTCCAGTGACCCTAGATTTAATTTTACTGGTATTCTAGAGGGTAAAGTTCCAGTTTATTGGCTTCATTCATTTCAATGTATTAATACCGCGAAAACTAAGATCACGCGCAAACACACACATACCATTGGAATTCTTTCGTGTGTTTTTTTTACTTTTATTCAAGGTGCATAACAATGGTCTTATGAAAACCCATATGAGCCCCTGAAATTAGAGGGAGTGTCGGAGGGGTGTGTGTAGGAGGGTGAAGGCACCACTCCAGAATTGAAAGGTTGGCGAGGCAAATCCAACAACTCGAGTTAAAACACAAACAACAAGTTATGAGGAAAGTAATAAAATGTAATTTCACTTTAGACGATCTATTTGAGCAAAGTTTTGAAAAAATATTTATAGCATTTCGGGCAGTAAAACATTTATACAAAACATATCTCATACATTGCAAAATAATTCAAATTGTTGATTTATACGTTCAAGTTGAGTCGAAATTTTGTTCGACCACAAATTTACAGAGCATTTTATAGGCAGTAATACATCTCTACAGGTCTTAATGTCTTGAATCAAGATTTCGGGTAATTCAATTTGGTCAGGGATAAACCATTCATTTTTCTTTGAGTTCTTTCACTTCCTCTTCGAGCTGTGCAATTTTCTTTTCATTCTGTTCGACTTTCTCCTTCAACGCTTTCACATCATTGATGAGACTTTGAACATCAGCATTTTGCTAAAAATAAACGAGAATATGTCATCTATTTAATAAGTAAATTAGCTTGTACCTACAAAAGGTAAGTATTTAATACTGCAAAGCTTTCAAGTCCATAAAAATCAGACATAAAATAGAACAACCCAACTCAATAGCCTTCACCTAACTCAAATATTGCTTTTAGCCCAAACAGCTATTTACCAAAAATAACTTACGCTAGCGCTGCTATCAGATTTGTCCAATTTTCTTGAGCTCACTCCAGCCATAACATTTTTAGTTCCAATAGACGTACCACCTTTCTCCCTGGGTTTGAAACCAGCTTCAAGTGAGATTGTTTTAGGTTCTGCATTCTTTCCTGCTTCCCATTCTTCAGCTGTCAAGGCTGGTTCATCTGAAGCAGTCTCTGGGAAAATGTCTTTTTGAAACAATTCCGACTAAAGAAAAACATATACATCCTTACAGACTAGCAGTATTGCAATGATCAACTGACATTGAGGAAGGTTAAAAGTGAAACACTGAATAAAACATTGCAAAGCAGTAAGTACTGGACTAGTCAGGCTAGTATTAGTAGCAATAGTCAACACTCGGTCAGACTAGCTGTACTGCAATGATCAACTGACATTGAGGAAGGTTGAAAGAGGAACACTGAATAAAACATTGCAAAGCAGTAAGTACTAGACTAGTGAAGTTAGGATTAGTAGCAATAGTCAACACTCAGTCAGACTAGCAGTACTGCAATGAATTACTAACATTGAGGAAGGTTGAAAGTGAAACACTGAATAAAACATTGCAAAGCAGTAACTACTAAAATAATAATATCTTATATCAGAATTTAACACACACCTTTCTGGGCACTGTAAAGCTGATAGGTTCACAAAGTGGTTTTGTGCTGTGGATTTTGAAAAACCTTGTTACTTCATTCTGGTTCACATTGCACCCTCGTTTCGGCATAAAACCACAGCCTTTCTGTGGATCTGAGCTTTGATATGTGCTCAAATAATGACAATATGGTGCTTCAGAAACCAATTCGTAGTAGCGAATAACACTATCACCCTGTAAACAAGGAAAAATAGATGTGTTAAAAGCCAGCTGTCTTGAAAGTTAAAATTTCAGGTTTCTCCCAACAGTTTTTTAAATTTTTAGATGCACATTTTAAACATGGATATTAACTAGAACTCTAGAAGACTAAAATTTATATACCTATCTGGTAACATATCTAAAACTGAAATCTATTCAGAAGTTGGCAGCCATTGCTATAGCAACAGTGAGGTTTCAAAATGGTTTAATGGAGTTAAATCTTATATCGCAAACAAGTTTGGTGACCCAATTTTTTTTCATCAAAATTTTACACTATAGATGATTTTAATAATGATAGTGGAGTTTTAAAAAAATTCTGTCTAGTGCAATTTTTTCTATTGCAAAAAACGTTGCACTACACAGAATTTTTTTAAAAATTCACTCTCAATAAAGCATCCATAGTGTAAAATTTTGATGAAAAAAAAATTGGGGGTACCAAACTTGTTTGCAATATAAACTCAATTAAATTCTATATAGCGGCCATTTTGAGAAGTCTAGCAACAACTGGCAAGCACAAGTTCTGATCAATAGACTTGGGCTTAAGGTGTGTTGCCAGAAAGGTGGGTAAAATTTTAGTCAAAATGCTGAACATCCCTGTTTAAAATGTGCATTTAAAAATTTCGAGAAACTACAGAGAGTTCATTCCTGTAGACTTTCTCACACAAGTTGCATTGCTTGTACGCTATTAGAACGGAATTTCCAGGGTTACCAGTCCACCAATTTTATAGAATAGAATAGCTAAAAAAACGCCAAACCTTTCCAACAAGATAGACCATTTTTGTGTCGGGGTCATAGTAGGGAAAGTTGACACCATTGCTTGAATCTAATTCATCTTGGTGAAGGGGTTTTTCCAAGTTTTTCTAAACAAAAAGAAAAATGGCTATTTATACAATAGTGTGGGATCCATATTAAAGAAAAACCTTTAATTTTGCAATATAGAAGCACTAGAATGATACACTGAGCTACGTATAATGCCCTGAATGAGAATGATACACTGAGCTGCGTATAATGATACACTGAGAATGACACACTGAGCTGCGAATAATGCCCTGAATGAGAATGATACACTGAGCTGCGTATAATGATACACTGAGAATGATACACTGAGCTGCGAATAATGCCCTGAATGAGAATGATACACTGAGCTGCGTATAATGATACACTGAGAATGACACACTGAGCTTACTAGCTCTTTTTGGCATGGAAAATGTGATAAAAATACCAGACCTGTTATATCAGTATTTGGTATTTGCAATATTTAGATATACACTCTATTACAAGATATGAATGGTGAATTATGTAAATAAGTAAATAGTTTATTAAATTAAAATGTGAACTTCTACTACATACTTTTAGAAGCACCAAATGTATCCACAAAAAAACATACCTCATCCCAAATGGCCCAAACACGCTTGCTCATTCGAGTGAAACCAGTTGTGAAAAGGAATCCCATGTTGCTGCAGAACACAACACGCTGTGGTTTAGCACCTTCATGGCACTTGCCTTCCTGTTTAAATGAGAAACAATGGTTTTACAGTGACGACAATAATAGCAGGATGTCTCAGGTCAAGTAACTCTACACCACTTGCAAAGATTTGACAATCACCTGTAAAACTTCACCAGAGTGTGCATCAATAATCCGGAGTTTCTTGTCCTTGCAAGTGGTTGCAATCTTGCTGCCATTATGGTTCCATGAGATGCTGTAGATAAGGTCTTGATGACATTCAATCACTCGTATGGCCTGTCCGGATTCTAAATTCCATATGGCAACAACATTATCATGGCTTGCACTAAGCAAAATATTTTCAGCAACGGGATTCCAAACAACGTGACCAATTCTGCGTTGATGAACGCCTTCAAGCGTTAACAATGGGTGAGTCAAGTTTTCCACCAGTCCACCATCAGGGATTTGCCAGATTTTCACAGTTGCATCTTCTGATGAAGAAGCGATTAAGTTATCATTGAAGGGACACCAGGCAATGTCAAGCACTTCTTGCTTGTGTCCAGCTACCTTTGGAGCATTGAGATCAACCCTTCCAACCTTAGAATACACAAACCAAGGATCAAACAATAGACTCTATTGCAACTTGAATGATTACTAGTTAAAAAACATGCCCCTATTTGCCAGAAGCTAAAATGGTTTTTCCAAAACAGAAGACTGAAATGCTTGGCAATAATATATCAATATAAATGAATATACTGTAAAAAGTTATTATTCAAATTTGTAGACTTAAGCAAAAAGATGTAACTAGTTTTGTATTTACTTTATAATTAGCTGAAATCTCGAGATTTCAAGTTGAGTTTTTCAATAACTTTAGTTTTATAAATAGCACAATATTTCAGTATTGTGCATTTGTGGTCATAACTCAGAAAAACTGAAAGAGGCTGGCTTCCAATTCAGTTATGGTTTACAATTTCTATAAAAAAATACATTAAAAGTTTGTGCATATACATGATATACGACAGTCAAATTGGAATTAGCATTCTTTTCACATGCAATTGAAGTTAAACTATAATCAGACAAAAAAAATTTTCTCTCATTAAACACAGGCTTATTTACACTGAATATTTAGGGACGTGCAGATAAACTAAATTTCTAAACTGAAATATCAACTTCAAAAAACAAATCAACCTGAATGTGATTGGGGTTCAATTCACTCAATGATAATATGCACTTCCTGGTTTGTTTTGTTCAACATAGAATTGAACAAAGACTTTACAAAAACATGAATCAAGCGTAGTGCATTTAGCTATTTGTATAGCAGTGATTATTTTGACCGTAGTTCTTTAAAAGGATGATGTTTGAAAAGTAATAATCATGTGTTTGTCAACTCACTTGAGAGATACCATAAAAGGCAATGAATTGAAACACATTGTTTCTTGGATGTTCGAATATTGCTCAACATTCAAGACAGTATTGCTGTCTTATTCAATGACACCAACATTGTCAGATGTCATTGTGGTTATCAGGTCCAGTAATGCATCTTAATTCGACCAAATGTTACAGGATTTGGTACATCATTTACAGCACTAGTTTTATAGCGTGCCTTCAACTTAGAAAATCCGATATTTCAGCGCGAAATGAAATACAACACGACGCTAACTTATGAATATTTAGAAGATTACAACCAAATTTTATTAACTAGCTATATTATAAAATGTAACATTGCAATCAAGAACGCAAATAAACAGACCTAAATATAAGCGATTAGAGAAGGAGGAAAGATCGCTTTTCGAACAGCATGGGTAGTGCTTGTGCAACCAATGTAGGCAGAGCAAATTCATGAACAGAAACACAAGTGAACGCCCATACATGATACATGCTTGCTCAAAGACCTTGCTGAAACGCGTCCAAACGAGACGAGTCAACATCATCCTTTTTAAACAGAATTGCTTTAACATACCTTCTCTAAGGGAAGTACAAGAAAGCTTCCACCTCCAGCGGAATCCAAGACGATTGCAACGAATTTAGGATTGACTGCACAGTACGGAGCTTCCCATGAATTCTTACTGACTTTCATTCCGTCATAACAATGTTCCCTTTTCGATCCCGTGCCAAAAACATGTCGAAATTTCGATGAACGAACGAAGTTTGGCATTTTGTGATCTCGCTACGGTATACTTGTTCTCAAAACCGTGACTTTGCAGTGTTTTTTTGGACGTTTTCCTTGCGCTGATTTGTAAAATCTTTGCAAAAGGAAGTGCTACGGAATCGACAGCAGGAAATGATTGAAGATTGAAGTCTGAAGGCAAGGCTTCGACCCGGGGGGGGGAAATTATGTGACGTCATAATTTATGAAGTGTATTTATTCAACGCGGGCTCGTTTCACACTCGAATACACGGCTGAAAAAGTGCCCAAAAGGCGAGAGGTGCAACATTTAAAACAAAACTTATCTCAGCTGTTGTTTTTGCATTTATTCGACAATCTAAACTCGATACAGTTTTACAGAGCCCACTGACAAAACGGAAGTGGTGATATAATATATTCAACATGAATATTGAAATGCCGTGAATCAGACCATGTTAGGCATTGTTTGCGTTTTTGCAAGAAAAAGTTTACTTTTATTATAAAAAAAATAATTCGGTTTTTTTGTGGAAGTCACCTACGTCAGGGGGGTTCGCCAAATTATTTTCGAGCCTTAGCCTGCACGGCATCGGCTGACCCGAAACTGATCAGCCTTTACAAAAAGCCCGCGGGGAAGGAAATATTGTTTGTCTGTAGATAAAAGTCCTTTTATGGATATTTCATCTGATCGATTATCTGAACGCCATCGTCTTGTTGTCCAAATTTGCCTAGATCTGATGTGCAATTTTTCGATGATTCTGATCCATCCAGATTCAACGGTACTTCAAATATCGACACTTTTCTCCAATTTCTCGTCGCAAGCAGTGGGGTAGCCAGCCCGACAATTTAGTCATGCTATGCTAATATTTTGGTGTTCATTAACTGTGAAAACAATGAATTTCTAAAGAATGTATTAATTCTAATGACTTAAAATTTGCACAGCATGACCAAATTGTCAGTCTGGCTACGCCGCTGGTTACAAGTACCGTATTTTCCCTCACTTCACCACACCCTTTCTCATAACCTCCCTCTCAAATGATAACCTCTGGGCCTTAATAGAGAGATAACTCTGAATATTAGTAAAAAAATTCAAAAAACGTTTTAGCAAATAAAATATTGCAACGTTTTTGAAAGGATTGAAAACGTTTTTCAAGGATTTCTATGTTCACTGTTTGTTTAATGTACACTTTAATTTTTACAAGAGAGAATTTCTCAGTAATGAAGAAATCATTTAAGGCTTGCTTTCAAGTTACGCGTTTTTCATACGCACGAACACGCACGTGAAAGTCTAAATCCTTATACCTGTTACCTTTGAAAAAACTATGTGAATAACTCGAAGAAAGTCAGTTTTCTGCATTTTTTAGTATGCATTAATTGACCTAGATGTTAAATAATAAAAAGTTAAAAGCATTTAAAATTTTCCGTACGTGTACGTGCGTATAAAACACGCGTAAGTTGGAAAGCAGCCTTAAAAGACTCCAAAAAGCAAAGTGTTATCTTTTATATATAATTAATATACAATGATATACATTAAGCATGTTTCATGGGGAGAGACACACAAGGGCATCGAGAGGATGAACGGGCACGAGGACGATTTTCTGCGCCTAATCGGCATTTTCAGAAACTAATAGAACCGAAACTAAACACGGACCAGAAACTGATCAGTTAAGTGAAAAACACAAGTAGCTAAAATAATATACAGATGAATATTAGCTTGTAGTCTATAAATATATAAATATACAATTGCACAGTTCCTCTGCGGGTTGCGGGTTGGGAATTAAATCTCACTGTAATTGAAAATTTGTCTTCAGTACATGTGCCCGGGCACCCTTTCGCGCCAGGCCCCGGTGTAATCACCCCGTTTCCCCAACCATCTCGACGCTACTGGGTGGGGATATATGACTGACAATTTGAACAATACTAGCCGCTAGCGATTGCAATTATATTATAAAAGTTACCATACTAAACCTATCATTAAAAGCATGAAAGCGAAACCATTTTATAGTAAACCAGAGCAGATTATATCCCAAAAGCACCGTTCATTATTTTATTTACACTTTCGGTTGCTAAGAAGACAGTAAAAAACTTGGGTTTATAGTCGAGAAATTCAAAGCCTAACTAGAGCAGTAAGCACTAGACTGTAGTCAGTGTCAGGCAGGTATTAGTAGCAGGTATTAGAACTCTGACTCAGTCCTGGCAATGACCGACTGGCAAAAAAGTTTACAGTATGACTTTCGCAAAACATTGAATACACTTTGAAAAAAGCTCCTTATTTATATATAATGGTTCTGTACAGATTACGCGGCAAATTTTGACAGATAATTTCCACTTGTAGATTAATTATAACACGAACGTGACTGCACATCATCACCGCAACCCCCCTGTGCAACAACAACTGCGCGGAATAGAACATCGACCTTTCGCGAAAACACGAAACTGTTTATTATTTTAAAAGATTTTTTAAAAATCTTCGGACACCACGAGGGCTTGTAGGCGGTAAGAATGAATATGCTGGTTTTATAATTTCATTTCAATCGAGTTATCCCATAATCCAGGGCCGCTGAGGAAAATACCTAAGAACGTAGCGATTCCGATAAATCCCGAGCTCCATAAGAAGAATCGATCCAGGACCTTTGCGGCCAGCGTCCACTGTTGATGGCGCATGCGCATCTCCTCCTCGCTCACGGCCGCACCAGTCTCGTCGGTGAACAAGCCCCTTTCATTTTGAACAGTCTGTGAATTCAATTCGCTTCCAATAGAACCGAGAGTTAACTTGAGAACATTACGATCGCCCGCTGGTTTCGTTTGGCTCTCGTCGTTGTCCGAGCGTCCGTTTTCGTGGCGCTGGGTTCTAGTTGCGCCCACGACATCAGCGTCCAGCGGATGCTCGCCCAAGGCATAACCGTTGTTCACCACCGCGTCCACGTTTTCACGGATTCCGCGTTTTATGGTTTTGCGTCGCGACTTGTTACACTTCTCCGCGGACTCGTGGAGGAACACGACCCTCGACAGCCAGTCCAAAAGCAGCACCCGTAACCAACGTGGCATGTGGCGGTTCGTGCGATGATAGAAGTTGAGGATAATCGTTGTTATAAGCAGGGCAGCGCCGATTTCCACGATCGTAGCGAAGTAGTACTGGCCAAGCAAGGGGAAGCCGTAGGAAGGCATAATCTCTGAGGTGAGCTGTTGAAACACAGTCATGGCCAGAAGTACGGTGATGCTGAGGCCAACTCGTTCTCCTGACTCAGGCGGTAGAATAAAACCTGACAAAATAATGCGCGTGGGCATAAACACGTTTTCTAATTGCTTCTGCGCTTTAATTGGGTGGATCAGATTCTGCTCACGGCACGTGCAACAGTAACAATCAGAGCCGAACTGAAAGGACGAAACAGAGTCGAAACTCTATCTATTCCTAGAACCTGGTCAGATTCAGCTTAGGATGAGATGAGAACTTCATCAAGTCCTAGGACAAGACTAGAACTTCATCCAGTCCTAGGACGAGACCAGGACTTCATCCAGTCCTAGGACGAGACCAGAACTTCATCCAATCCTAGGACGAGATCAGAACTTCATCCAGTCCTAGGACGAGATCAGAACTTCATCCAGTCCTAGCACGAGATCAGAACTTCATCCAGTCCTAGGATGTGTTCATCAAGTTCTTGGACTTGTTCACAACATCTTAACTTGTACTTACCCAGAAACGTCATGCTAGATATCATTAAACAAGGAATAACCAAGTTGATAACATAATCAAGATACTGCCGTTTCATTGCGATTGTCATCGTAACATCCATGTAGCTATCCTGAGACTCTTTGTGGTACACTCGGTCGTTGGCTTTTGTCTCGACTTTAGTAATGGCCCATTCACCGTTTTTTATAAAATCAGGGGTAGGAAATTTTGCCTTTTGCTTCGTTACGAGTTTCAGCTTCTTCGAGTCATATGTCCAGGAGCCGAATTTTAGGCGACATGTTTGCTGGTCGAGTGGAAAGTATGAGACATCTATCTCGCAGATAGCTTTAAAAAGCGCTGGACTTGACCAGATGCTTGTGCCGTTGGAATATAGTTTGATTAAAGTTTTGTAGGTTTCCTCCCCTCCACCAGTACGGTCCTGTTCGTCTACACTAAAACGACATAGTGTTCAATGGACGACTTGGCCTTCCGGTTAAATATTTTATCTTGGCGATAAAGAGAAAATTTTGGAAAAGAACGTACTGAAATAGATAAAATCGCCACGTTTTACTACGAATATGTTTGCCGCTATATTTTACAACTGTTTACGGCTATATTTTACTCGCAAAAACTTCGCAACTAAACTTTGCAATTGTACGAATTTTAAGTATTCTCTTACTAGATGTGACGATTTACTTAATTCTTTTAAATTTAATCCTTTTATAAATCCTTCGGGTAGGGTTACATAACCCAGCCACTCCCCCGCACATATAAAATAACGCAGACGCGGACTTTTACTTACTTGTTATAAAGTATTATATCTGGGATCCACACAAGACTTGGTTTAACATTGATTGATTTAATTCTTTCAAACTTCGAATTATTGTCCCATTTCAGGAATGGATTCACCCAACTCTGTTGAAAACGTACAAGGAATTTTGAACACTGGAACCGGGATTGGATATTGGGCAAGAACTACTCACCGGCCTATGATAGTTTAAACCGAATTTGACTGGACCGAAATGACTTAAACTAAAAAAAACTGAAATGGAATGAAACGAACTGAATTGCAATGAAACGAACTGAATTGCTCTGAAACGAACTGAATTGCAATGAAACGAACTGAATTGCACTGAAACGAACTTAATTGCACTGAAACGAACTGAATTGCAATGAAACGAACTTAATTGCACTGAAACGAACTGAATTGTAATGAAACGAACTGAATTGTAATGAAACGAACTGAATGGGAATAAAACGAACTAAATTGCACTGAAACGAACTGAATTGCACTGAAACGAACTGAATTGTAATGAAACGAACTGAATTGCTCTGAAACGAACTGAATTGCAATGAAACGAACTGAATTGCAATGAAACGAACTGAATTGCAATGAAACGAACTGAATTGCACTGAAACGAACTGAATTGCAATGAAACGAACTGAATTGCAATGAAACGAACTGAATTGTAATGAAACGAACTGAATTGCACTGAAACGAACTGAATTGTAATGAAACGAACTGAATTGTAATGAAACGAACTGAATAGCAATGAAACGAACTGAATGGGAATAAAACGAACTAAATTGCACTGAAACGAACTGAATTGCACTGAAACGAACTGAATTGTAATGAAACGAACTGAATTGCTCTGAAACGAACTGAATTGCAATGAAACGAACTGAATTGCAATGAAACGAACTGAATTGCACTGAAACGAACTGAATTGCACTGAAACGAACTGAATTGCAATGAAACGAACTGAATTGCAATGAAACGAACTGAATTGCACTGAAACGAACTGAATTGCACTGAAACGAACTGAATTGCAATGAAACGAACTGAATTGCACTGAAACGAACTGAATCGCACTGAAACGAACTGAATTGCAATGAAACGAACTGAATTGCACTGAAACGAACTGAATTGCACTGAAACGAACTGAATTGCAATGAAACGAACTGAATTGCACTGAAACGAACTGAATTGCAATGAAACGAACTGAATTGCAATGAAACATGAAACACAACAATTGCACTGAAATACCTGTGTAACCCAAACATGAACTTGGATGGTCTGTTCTTTAGCGTTCTACAAAAAGCATAAGTATCGCTGGGTTAAGAGATTGTTTAAACGCCACTTCTTAAACGAGTTTTAAACGAGACGTGACATGAATGAATTATTTATTTGAAATTGTTCAAAAAGTGAAGAGTGAGGTAAAAAACAAGTTCATTACTCACTTAGCGGAGACAATTACACTTAATGAATAATGTGCGACCGCTTTTTAATTTTGGAAAGACCTTTTTACATGAGGACAGGTGAGTGCAACCCGATAGCTCTTAATCAACTTTGTCAAGTAGTATTGTCAGTAAGGCCTATTTAAACTACACGATAAGTTAACAGACAGATTAGTCAAGTAATAGTTTTGGATATAATGGTGCTGTGGTGCGATTGCTGTGGAAATCTTCCTACTAGCTTACCTAACACTACAATCTTGACTTTACTAACGACTTTTTTCTAGATCTTAATTTACTTATTTATAAAAGAATGACTTACACAATAAACCTTTCTTATAATGACGTCAAACGCGGAAAGTCTGCTGTAACATGAAATTTGATTGGCTCCACAAAACTATCGAGCCAATCAAACTTCGTGTAACATCACACTCTCCGCGTTTGACGTCATTATAAGAAAGGTCTATTGTATACACCGCGCTCTTGGAAAGCAGGTTGAATATGAATTAGGTACAAATGTAAATATTTAATGTCTGTATTAGTAGTTGATTGTAATTTTTTTGTTTATATGTTCATCATCATAACCTGAAGATCAGCGCTAGACATCACTACATTATATAGACTTTAGCCCGTTTATCCGGCACTAGACAAAAAGTAGGAAGCGATTCTACTTTTTCGCGGCGATTTTTTTCGCAAACCAATCACATCACCGGGTTTTAGATATCGCTTTGCGTCGCGCGAATAAATTCGCTCAGATACGTCTGTGCGCAGGCTATAGCCGTCAGATACGTCTGTGCCTGTTCGCAGGCTATGGAAAACGGGTTTATGGTATAACTCAAAGGGGATGTTGACGGATGTGAACCGAAGCTAATTATACAATAACAATGTGATTATTCATAGGAAAAAGTTCTTACGAGTCTTATCTAGCCATCATGCATAATTATATAGAATGTGTCGTTACTTACAACATCCTTAATCTTTATTAGAGTGATTCGGAAATCCACAGTGACTGCGTCGGAATAGTTGAGCACAGGTAATAGATGTTCCTTTTTTGTGTCATTCTCGGGAAATAAGTATTCCAACAATTCGTTTTGAGCGTTTGCATACTGCGCGACACTAAACTCTAAAGAGAATTTTAAATTCTGTACTGACTCATCACATTCTCATGCACATAAAGACTGAAGTTATTTTCAGCCACATTTACACTAAAGGTAATGCTACACGAAACAACTTTCAACATCAACTCGCAACACAAAAATGTTTTGAAAAAGGTTTACGAGTCGAATATGATATATATGAGCTAGTTTGTAACACAGAAATTGTTTTGGAAACAAGTTGAAAGTTTGTGTACATGTTTTTTTTTGACACAACATTGTTGTTTAGATATTTGTTGCGTTGCGAGTTGATGTTGAAAGTTGTTTCGTAGTTTTTTCAGGGTAAAACACGTTTGTCGCTTGACTAGGCTAAGTTCGACTGCTAAGTTCCGAACCAAGTTTCTGGGTTCACTTGAGAATATATCTGGGTGAGAGTTAACCCCAGCCGGTGAAATCATTACTATGGCCCAGCCTACAGCCTATAGGTTAGTTTGCGTTGTGTAAATATCAGTCTTTGTATGTATATACAGTATACTGCCCTTTTACTGACACTGCCTGGTTAGACAGAGAAAGTGACTTGTAATATTGACTCATCAGTATGAGATCGAAACTTTATATAATGAAATTGGCGAAATTTGCATATATACAAGCCATCTTGTATGCCCATTAATATATCATATTTCAGGATCATTTACGGAATGAAAAACGCCAATATATATGTATTTTTGAGAGAAAAACAGTCGGCATGGCGACCGTATAAATTCAGTTCCAATCGTGGCTCGGTCAATATTACCTGCCAGACGCGATAAAAAGTCGAAAGCTATAGTTATGAAACGCATGAAAAACAAATAAAAACGTTATTTCTGCTGCTCTAAGTAATTAAACGACTTGTACGTATTTTTAAAACCCCGTTACAACTCAAAAACGACAGTGAAGCTAGATCCACATTAAAAAAAAATTAAGAAGATGCATTGAACTTTGAGGAACTTTTAACATTCTTTAATGAAATTTTGACCTTCCTGTTTCAAGACCTTCCTTTGGAGAACGTCATTTCGACTTTAATTTATAAACAATTTCAAAATGCATCTTTTCATTATTATGATTTAAGGTTGAACGAACTCAAAGTTAATTAATGTTGATGAGAATTTGTCGGTGAAAATGGAACGCAAGTTGATGAATGACCCTTTGGGTTAGCAAAAAAGGATCGCCCGTGCATGCAAGAACAACTTTTACGTTTATCGGTTGGCGTGGCGTTGTAAACACGAAATAAACCGAAGTTTTGCGAAAAATGATTGGCTTGGATAAAAAAGATACTGGTATAAAACGAAGATAATCCCCATTAACTCGCAACAACACACTAAATTATAAATATTAATTCACAAAGATATATATATGACTAAGGGCAGGCTCTCTCGCGCGTAGCCTGTGATGAAACAGTTTATCGGTATTCAAAGGGGGTTTTATTCATGACAACATTTCACAATATTGACCCTTAGAAAAAAAGCATCAGTGTCTGTATAAAGCCGGACATAAAATTGAAACACAATATACAGTATACATGCATGCATTCATTGTATATCAAAAACGCCTTCAAAAAGAATCGTTATTAATGTGATCAGTACTAGTAATTTATAGATTCCACTGCATCGAACTAGATGTCCCGAACTCCAAAAACGTATTTTCTTGTTGTTAATTTATCCTGAAGTCAATTGATTGGGTTCGCAATGTCATTCACCTTGTCCTTGCATAAGTAAAACGGACAAACCGCGTTAAATTATTAAAATTGTCAGTCTAAGGGCGCTTTCCATTATACAGTAAAAACGACTAGACCGGTCCTGTTCTATTTCAGTACAGACAGATTACTGGTATTTTAGAGTGTTTCAAGATCGTTATTTACATCCGCCTAGCACGGGAAATGCAATTTCACCGCTATATTCTTAACGAAATACTCAAATTTCGTTTCAAAATATGACCATGCAGTCTGACCATTTTGGCCGCCTAAAGGGAAGCGCCCTAAGCCGCCCTTCAGAAAAGCATCAAGCATGCATCGTTTGGTGCGACAGTTTCCAACAAGAACTTTGGGTTTTAACTTTCAACACAAATCAAGCGAGCTTTCCGATCTTGTTTTGGCCCCTAGCCAAGAATAATTCTCCTTGAGACTCCGTCAGAACAAAGAGTATATAAAGATTTTATTGATTTAAACTTACTAAAACGCCGATGTTCGCGCGGTTCCCCAATGAATGCATTTCGAGGTTCGTATATTTAGAAACTGGAAAATATATATCGTAATAATTATAATACTTAAAATACTTATGCAGTATATATATGCGTACGTTATAAGAATAGGAACCCTCTTAAAAATTCTAATGTCAATTATAGATAGAGATTTTCGGCAAAGTATATACAACCCCACGCAGGTATATACGCGATAAGTATATATCATTGCTTAAAATATGTTTTAGTAATTTCAAGGTAGTTTAACCATCAACAAATGGTTTATAGCTACAATCGCATAAAGACACACTACAATCTATATATAGCTGCGTTTGAAATACAGTTAAACATATATATATTCAAATATAATGATACAAACATATAGTTATATAAATATATAGTCGGCAGTGATGTATTTTTCATCCGAAAATGAATTGATATATACGACTAATAGTGATATCGATGATAACAAACAAGCCTGACTTAATCTATAGTTTGAATGATCCATTTCAGATAAACATGCAGTTATCTCAGTTCCTTTAAATGTTTACTTCTTCGCAACTCATACGAGAAAGAGAACTTTTTCTTTCATTATAATCATGCATATATATATAGTCTTATATAGAACATGCTTTTTGATTTACAAATATACGGAAGTATATATTATAGTATTTCATGATGATGCTATATATATATGAAACTAGTTTTTGGGGTCTATATTTTTGGGAAGCATATATATATATAGACTATAGTTTCATGCAATAACAATAAAAATTGTTTAAAAGCAAAGCAGTTTCTTTCCAGCCGCATAAGTTTTGTCGTATAATAACTGATAGTGATAGTGATTCACTAACAAATTTCAGTTTAGAAATTCGTCTTCGGTCGTATTTCATATGACCCATAACGTAATTATATAACGCTTGGAATTTCAATATTTATGTTACAACACTCCCGTCCTTCTGAGAATGATTTTAACTTATTTCAAGGCCAATATATATGACATACATATATGAAACATACGAACTATAGACATGCCGGGTTGAAGGCGAAGGATGTAGCGGTTGTAACGGTCAACAAAAGGCTAACCGTCATTACAGGAAGGAAAAAAGGACAAATTGCATCAAATATTTATGCAGAGACTAGGGCAATTTTAGTGATCTATAACGCTTTACCGGCGCGAAATTACGACGTTAAACTAGACAATTTACTACCGGCGTCTACCATTTAAACATATACAAAACAGGCTACCAAACAACTTACCTGGAACGTGGAAAATCGTGAAGATAAAAACGAAAAACAGCTTCGAAGCCATGAGAAGATAGTATGTGTGGGACGACAGCTGTGCTGCAAGGCAAATTCATGAATGCAAATAAGGGTGCTATGATATGTATAGATATATCAGTCGTATGAATAGGCGCAGAAGAAAACAAGCTGACAGTTCTTAATTAAAACTAACAATGGCTCTGATCTCCTCGTATTATAATCCCGCGATATCACGCTTGAACGAAACGAATCTTTGCACGAACACTTCTGAAGGTACAAAATGGAGGTTAAGTCGTCGCGACCACAGAGTTTTGGATGAATCGTAGCGAGCTAAAAACATCCAGCGTGGCCGGCAGTTCGCTTCACGATATATAATCAAATATATGATCGATATTTCTGATTTTAAGCTATTGTGTTCGGAAACCCCTGTGGGCATCTTAGGAAACAAAACAAACGATTTCTCATCGCGTATATTTCTATGTGCCTAAAATTTCTTTCTGTGTCTAAAAACGCGTCGAAATCTTCCCGGAAAACTGATATAGGCCGCATTCACGACCAGTTAGGGCCCGGGAAGTTCATGTCGAAATCGTAACGGGGGGTAACGCAACGGACGGGGGGTGATTTTCTCAGAAAGGACGCTTCTACATTGATATATTATAAGAGAGAACTACAACTGCGGTTTGAATACAGTTTATTCATCCTGTCATCAGCAGCTTCAATTCCTTCAACTCTTACCTCAAAACTCTCAATCTTTCTCACAAAACCGTATTTGCCAACGGGTATCGTTGTGTGGTCAGTTTCGCTACGGCGTTCTTAAATCTGATGTTACAAAAATCTGATGTTACAATAGAAAAATAAAGTTTTATTAGTGTCCAGAATACCAAAACAAAGGCCGAGCAGACGAAATGGGCACGGGTACCAATTTTAGCCGTGCCGTGCCAATAAATTTACTGTAGTTTACACCACACTCAATTTATTGGCACGGCACGGCACGGCTAAAATGGGTACCCGTGCCCATTTCATCTCTGCCCAGCCTTTGTTTTCGTAGCCTGAACACTAATAAAATTGGGTACGGGTACCCATTTTAGCCGTGCCGTGCCAATAAATTGAGTGTGGTGTAAACGGGGCTTAATACATCACTGACGAATAACCAACAATTTGCACGTCAATTCATATGAGGACAATTTGTCCCCCATAGGGGTAAGAGGGGCGTTGCCTCCGCTGACATCTCCTTCCCAAAGTAGCCTGCGTCCATCACCATGCAGGCTTTCGCTATCAACATTCACTGTTTCATATAATTAGACCGCGATCTACGGTTTCAACGAACAACACAAGCATCAAAACATTCAGTTCAATGTTTCGCCGTGCACGTGCACACTCGTCTCAGACTGCCACCTGCTCGACCTAATGCTGGTTTAAGGCATCGAGAACGCCGGCGTTGCGCTTTAAAAAACATTTCGTTTTCATTTCCTACATATTCTTTTTTATTCGTTATCAGTTGTTTAACTATTCCGTTTCTCAAATCCCGGGGTTGAACGATTTTACCAGCACTGTCCGATTTGCCGGTTAGCGGCGAGGCACCTCAGTGAGTGCTTAAGCAAGTTGATTTTTATGTGTTTCGTTGTGTGTGAAATTGGCAAATATTAGATGAAAGTTGCGCGGGTGGTCTGGAACGGCAAATTTGGCATAAATTGAGCCTCAAAATGAGTCTTTAGCTTTAAGCTGAAAAGGATGAAAGCGATCCGCTGACACTTCAGTACCAGCATGCCTTTTCTCATGCCTATATTATATTTAGCTCATGCGCACGGCTCACAATCAAGATCCTGGGCCATTTGCCATATTCTCGCCATAATGAAATTAATAGAACTCAAGTGCGAACGATCTCATAAAAACTTATTGCAATTCTGCAAATTCACGCCGCCCTGTGATTAAATTACGTTGTATCCTGGTGTAAAGCAATATATACGCGGGCGTCGTCAAAATAATCGATTGCTTGTTTTTAATGCACTATTGCATAGTCAATATGGCAGATTGAAATGATATCAAACCGATGAACCTTGCATGGATAACACGATTACCTAAACAAGGGATCTAGAAGGACACTTGTATGACACTATATATGATATATAGCATTAAACGTTAGTCAATGAAAAGACCAGAGTATATGATATAGTTGAATTCCAAAGGCTCGACCGTTGTAAATAGACCTTTTATGAACTTTTTCTCTTCGTAAAATGTGTTTTCAGTAATTCGACAATTGTCGAGAAGTCAAAATTTGACTTTATATATGACTATGAGTCCAGTAAGGATCATCTCTTATTGATCCAGTGTTACTACAGGAGGAAGCCTAAACTAAACTAACTTTATTTATAACCAGGGAGCAGCGTATAGCAGCGTCTTCAAACAACTTAGCATCAAATGTAGTATAACAACTGCCTAAAATAGACAAAAACACCTCTCGACGTTTCGACCTGAGGGCCTTCGTCAGGAAAGTTAGTATACTAACTCTCATGACGAAGGCCCTCAGGTCGAAACGTCGAGAAGTGTTTTTGTCTATTTTAGGCAGTTGTTATACTACATTTGATGCTAACCTTATTTATACTGGATAGCTCTATCATTTCTAAATAAACTAACTTTCTAGAGATCCAGTAAGGATCATCTCTTATTGATCCAGTGTTACTAGACGAGGAAACCTAAATTAAACTAACTTTATTTATACTGGATAGCTATATCAGTTCTAAACTGTTCTTCCTAGAGATCCAGTAAGGATCATCTTTTATTGATCCAGTGTTACTACAGCAGGAAACCTAAACTATAAACTAACTTTATTTATACTGGATAGCTCTATCAGTTCTAAATTGTTCTTCTTAGAGTTTCAATAAGGATCATCTTACTGTAAGGCAAATTTTCAGTTCCCTATTAATTACTCGCCACGGACACAATCAGAAAATTAATATGACCTGCATATATACTACAGGACTAAAATCGTGCTAAGTCGCTTCAACCATACAAAAGTATGAAATGAACGATGAAAAGTCTCTCTAAATCTTGACGAATAGACTGATTAATACAAAATTAATCGGGTTTTTTGCCGAAACACTGTCGTAGGCTTCAAAGACTGGGAAACAAAAAATGCACAATTGCACCTTGAGATGCCAAATTGATTTAGTTACTTTCTATATGCTAGCAAAATGCGAGTCGCTATGCAACTTGTTCATTCAACATATATCACACTATAGCTGCTAAAAATATAACTATAGATAAACTTAGAATAAAACGAGATATACAACACTGCATGCATGTACCTTTATAGAACACCAAAAATAAGACGTTTTGTAAAAGCCAAGTGGAACGGTCGAGAGAGCTTCAAGTAAGAGTTTATTCTGCAAGTGATCTTTACCAGGTGTTTTTCAAGATTTATTAAAAGAAATTTGAAGTAATCCATCCGCTGTTCGAGCGTATAATTAAAAACTTTATAAGGTCATTATTAATTGATGCAAAACTGCTGTTCGCATTAAACCAAATAACATTTAAGCTTTGACGTCCGATAAATTAAACGTACGCCTACGATTGTCGGGTATGGTGTACAAATATATTGAATAGACGGAAGGATTTATTACGAAGTGTCATATGGGAATTCAATTTCATTTCACTGGGAGATGAAATACAGTTACATGCATGCAGCATGCCCGCGGTAGAGAATGTTCATTTCGCTTTGGGAAACATGTCGTTGCAAACGAAAGAAATCGAGTTTTTAGTTTTTTTTTTGATAACCAAACAACACATTGTCAAATAGATTTTAATTTCCTCGGAGAGATCCAGAGTAAATTAATTTAACATGACGTTGACGCTGTGATGTATTACTGTGCCTATATAATATATAGGCTTGTCAAAAAATACATATAGCTCTATCAGTTCTAAGCTGTTCTTCGTAGAGGTCCTGTAAGGATCATCTCTTATTGATCCAGTGTTACTACAGGAGGAAACCTACACTAAATTAACTTTATTAATACTGGATAGTTTTATTAGTTCTAAACTGTTCTTCCTAGAGGTCCAGTAAGGATCATCTCTTATTGATCCAGTGTTACTACAGGAGGAACCTAAACTAAACTAACGTTATTTATACTGGATAGCTTTATCAGTTCTAAGCTTCCTAGAGGTCCAGTAAGGATTCAGATCTAAACTGTTCTTTCTGGAGGCCCAGTAAAAATTTTGATGCACTCTGTATAAAAAAAATGAATATAGAAATTCTGTTTATCAACACGGCTTACGAGGCTTGCACGCGTTTGTTCATCACAAATTTCTGTAAAAATAGTTCACGTCAGGAGTTGCTTTGAGATTTTTAGAGCCCAAGCGTTGAGCTGAATTATTGAGTTCACAACTCATTGTCGCGGGAATGAAATTGAACGAGAAACAGTGAATCTCGGCAAAACACTTCATGGCGCAATCTGCAACATTCTTGACGCGAAATTCATTGAAAACAAAGCCTTCGAGTTTATGATTCTCGACACGAGTTGTACTCATGCTCACACAAGCTAAAGAAAAAAACTTTCATTGAATTATATCTACTACTACGTGGCATCTTCAAAGACGAATATTAAGGGTAGGTGGTGGTAGTAGGGTGCAAAGGGGTACACTACGGTTTGTTGCATTGATTACACATGATAATGTAGTACATACCTGTCCGAGAAGAAGATGGAGGAATTGCTGGGAATATAATGAAAAATATCGAGATTTCATAAGGGGTAAACCACTGACCTATTTACTATACTATACCACTGACCTATCTAGTATATATAGGTCAGTGGGGCAAACGCAGAGTTGTAAAAAAGCTGCGGGTACGCGGGTACCATCCGGAGGAAGGTTTGCTTTGAATGAGGTTTGTGAGGAAGGTTCAAAGTTGAACACTCAATTGATCACATGCATGTACCAAAAAACCAAATGCTGGTTGTCACTTGACTCAGTGACGTAACGTCATTTTGAGGTTTTCAAAGCTTAAAATCCTACCGAAGGAAGGTTGAACTCTTTTTGCAACTCTGGGCAAACGAATGGACAATATTGTGACCTCTGTGAGGATTAAAAGTAGACAATATATATACACATATTCTTACCTCGACTATGTGAAGTCGTTGGCATTGGTAGTTGACTCAGCGAAGGCGATGCTACAGTAGAAATCGTAAATTGTTTTCGACTGAAATGTTCTCAAATTGTATTGGTTAAGCACTTTAACCTTAGGCTTAAGGCAATGTTAAACTGTATCACATGTGGTATGTTTATTAATTAATGTAATTAACGTCCCCAAGCAGGATTGGGTGGAACTAAGGGTGTACTTTGCTCTCATGTGTTTTTATTTGACAAACAAAATTTTCCATAAGACTAAAAGTCTCAACAAAAACCCTAAACTTGTTATTTAAGTGTATTCCACTCTACTCAGACATGCTTGATGTTTGATTATTGATAATCATCGGAACGAACTTGGGAGGCGCGGCACCCTCAACCCAACCCCCCCCCATCCCCTTCAGAACGGCCCGGGTTAAACTACGATCCACGAGGTATAAAGACTCTATATCTTAACAAAATCCATTTACCTTTACCATGTAGAGTCGTTGTTTGCGTTTGAAGTCGACTCAAAGAACGAAATGCTACGAGGACAATCAGAGAAGTTTAGTCCCTAAAATTGTTTTAGTTCAACTTAATTGAAACAATGTTAAAACTTTACTGGGACAATCAAATGAACGTTAATATAAACAATGGAATCCAATAAAGAATATATTTTCATATCATTATTACCTTGCAAGGTCGCACCATGGCTATGTGAAGTTGTTTGGGTTGGAACTGGACTCAACGTAGAGGTTGAGGTCGCTTTAGGGAAATTTGAAATGTTCACAAAGTTATTTCGATTTAAGCTTCAAACAATATTGAAATATAATTATATAAATGATTTTATTGTTCCTATAACGGGATTAAACCCCACGAAGTACTTGATGCATGCATTAAAAATCTTGTTTTTTTATCTACTGTACCTGTATCGTGTCTTGATGTTTGTGAAAAACGATTGTTGTCGAGTTTTTCTGTACTGTGGGACAACGTACCTTGTACTAAAAATATAGAATAAATTGAAAAAGTAGGGGGTCTAGACTTTCAATATAGGAGGTCCTTAACTCAGTATATAGTTTAGTTTACTGTTCATGGACGGATTGATTCTACTAGGTATAAAAACCTGGTATAAAAAGTGTACCAGATTTGTATATCGTAAAGCGTTGTATATCTATTTATGCAATATATAATGCAATCTTACCATACTAACTCACGAAATATTGAGCAATCTTACCGTCTGTATTATGTCCAGATGTTTGAGATTGACTCGTCAGAGCCAGAGGAGGTTCTGCAAAGACAATTATATATAAATTGTTTAATCATGCATGTACAGATGAAGGTTTATAAACTCGCGAGTCACTAGTTCCTTGATGTCGACAAAAAAACCCATGCACATGCTAGCCAAGAATTTAAAGAACTAAAGTGGAAAACAATTTCGATAAGACAAGGCATCTTTAGAGTCGATATATCTATATAATTCAAACAAGACATGCACAGGCTAAACTGTATAAAGCCCTGGTCAAACGAGAATGATAGTTGATGAGAGTTGATGAGAGTTGCAACTCTCGCTGGCGTTTGACCGCGAACTCTCATACACTCTCGTGCACTCTCATCAACTCTCATTCTCGTTTGACTGTCGCATTGAGAGTTTGGAAAACTCTCGTGTGAACTCTCGCTTCTCAACTCTCATCAACTATCATTCTCGTTTGACCAGGGCTTAAGTTTTTCGGCTCTATTTTAAAGCCATCTTGAATTTGCGGATAAAAAATCACTTCACAATACATAAAATTTTTAACAGTATTCATGACACTATGCAATTTTAAAAAACTACAAGAAGTGTAGTCGAACTGATACTGTAGCATCTTGTCATTTTGAAGAACCTTGCAATATGGCCGGCGGCCATATATTCTCTTCTTACCTGTATTGTGGACAGATTTTTTCGTCTGTAATTGACTTGATGTAGTCGGATTGTCTGGAAATGCATGGATAAAAATATAAATTTTTAATGTTCACATGTATATTTGATTGTTCAACTGTGATATGTCTTTGTCTTTAAGAAGAGCTATCTGTCAAGTATCAATGTTAGCACTGTGTGACAATTTACACTATAATATTTGTCAGTGATCCGAAAAATATGTTATACCCCATTTAGTATAAATTCTATTACACATCCTTTGCCTTTCTTTAGCTTTTGACAGCTAACTAACAAAATATTGCTCATTTGTAGAACTTCTTACAGACAAAATTAAATCATTTTTTGACATCTTCCAATCATGTGGAGCCGGTTGTACACGAAAGCCGGATATCGCTATCCACCGGATAGTGGTTTTTTCAATCGCTTTAAAATCGCCCGCCGTTGCTATAACTTTGATTAAACCTTAGTGTTCCTAAATTGAGGATCCTTTTTAATAATTGTTGGTTCCAAAGATGAAATTTTATCGCTTGTCGAGCATTTTTAGAACGGTTGAAAAATAACTATCCGGTGGATAGCGCGATCCACGATTTCGTATACAACCGGCCCCAGATGTATAAGGGCACATGCATGTGCTGCCGGGTTTTAAATTGGCATCCAACCTACCGAAGGTCTTTCTGCACCACACTTTCGTTGCCAATTCATCCCTTACCCAAATCCATTGTGCATCTGATGAAATCTTATCAACAGTTTTATTACCATTAGTGGTATACCATATCGTCGTCGGATCATCATTTCTCCCGTACGCAACGGCTTGTTCCCATCCGGGTTGAGCACACGAGCTTTCGCAACCTTTCATATCGGCACATTCCCATGAAGTATCTGTGACCACGCTATTGTTGAATGAGGCAAGTATTCCACCAACTTCGCCTGGATTACGGGCTTTTATTGTCACAGTTTTGGTATCACCACGTAAGGTAAAATGCTCATACGTTTGCCAGTCGCCATTAACAGTACGTTCCTCGCCAGTATTGGTGATTAAACTACCGTAGTTGTCTGTTGTTATGCTTACCGATATGCCATACCCAGCGATCTCTTTAAAAAGTAAACAAAAAAATGCTATTATGGAACTTTACATGAGAAAAACCAGGAAGTAAACGGCTACGATTGCCCGGGACAGAATAGTGCATGAAAACCGAAAACTATATATTGCTCTTCTTTGGAGTATGAAAGTTAAAGCTAGCTGTTTATAAAAAATATGCATGGTCCCGTCTTGTCGACTGGGAAAAATATCATCACACTTACCATAATGCTTTACAAGATAAAATACAACTAAGAGCAGACAAAAGTTCATTTTCCTGTCGTTGTCAATCCAATTTCCACTTGTTTCTCCACTCGCACCAGTACTCGTCTGTGAAGTGTCTAAATATGTTCAACTCTCCGTGGTTATTAACCTAAAAATCGGTAAACTTATATATCGTAGTAACTATCGTAGTAATTTTTTTTGTATTCTGACGTTTGGAACAAGACAATATTCTCGTTATATAGAGCCAGGGTATCTAAAACCGTTACCGGTGGCGCAAAATCAAATGATAATATAAACTCTGTTTTAATTTTTTTCGAAATTTTATAAAAAATTTATATTACTATAGATATAAAAATAAACTGATATAACTCGACGAATATTCGATAATTCTGATTCAATAAATTGGGCATTTCTTTTCATTCTGTCATTTCATGTTAGCTATTCGATAAATTGAATAACTTTAAGTATTAAAACCCCCCGCTATAGAAGATTATTATAATTATAGATCGCGATACTACATGTGCAGGCAATCACCATGGTAGTTGACGAAACTGTTGATGCAAGATTTCTTTAGATGGTTACACACAGATTATTATATTACTCAGTTTCTGTTAATATCACGGAAACATCCTATCCATCGATCGAACTCAAAGAGCCGTTATTATTTTTCGCGAAAATCAATTTTAATATATCTTAATTATCCATTCGTTCGGCCAACTTGCATGCATGCCTAAATTTCTGATCTCACGAAAATTTGGAAACGTTTTTACCTGGATATATGTTAAATAAGCATCGTCCTTTTCGCGTTTTACAACACAAAAATCCGTAATGTCATGGCCGGGACAAATATTGCAAATTCACAAATGGGGATATTATCCTTGTTGATCTTGCTTCCAATAATTTCGCAGCTGCCTAAGTGGCATAGCTAGCGCATGATAGATTTGGCCAATCATTCGATGTTTTTGCGACAGCTATATATATAATGGCAGAGCTTAAAACAAATCAATTAGGCAATTAATTAAACACACGCTTCGTTTCTCAACAACAAAATACAAATTGAGCTTTTAAAAGGAAAAAGAATGCCCTCAGAGAAGCATCATATATTATATAGAAACGATTCATACACCTGTACTGGAATATAACAGCCAGGAAAAGACTGGTCAGTCCAATTTGGATATTAAATGAATTATGACACCAGAATATGTAATTTTCATTCACAGGATATAAGCGGTTTGGACTAAATTCATTATCTTAACTGATTCGTGCGATGTTACATGAATTTGAGGTGACGAAAGTTAACTGTGAAGACGGTGTAAGGGCACGAATCTTGAGTGTACTATCTGTTCAGTAATGTATATCATTGACCTTGTGTTACCACTGAACTGTCACATTGAGCTAAGCTGGATTGATAAAAGTGGCAGACTGATTTCGTATCCAAGGGAAAGAGAGGGACACTGGGCATTGCACTGGACTGTAATGTAGTAATTGTGGATTTGTGGTTGATGGTAGTGGATTTGGGAGTACGTGGAAAACCTGGGAACGAGGATGGGGTTTTGATGATCATTACCAATTCCTTTGCGGCTTTCTTTGCCAGTCAAGAATGGGTAAAAAAAATTTTTGTTGTACAAATACATACTCCCAGCTGAATAAATATACTGTTATAAAGCTATAAATATACTCACAATAATATACAGACTTGTTTTACTACTAAACTATACTAAATCTGACTAATATAGTGGATTGACAGTTTATATACACGTGCGTAGACACGAATGGAACTCATTATAATTGAACTTTGAAACTATGATGACAATATTAGGTATCAAATAGCAATCATAGCATTAGCATATAGACGCACAGCGAGACGGAAAAGGTGTAAATATAACGCATGTTTTGTTAAATAAGTAAATGAAAGAAAGACGGGCTAACCTGAACGATAAACGATGAAATAGACAGCTAAAGGATCTCGCCACAGAAGTAAGACATTGACTTTATATTCTAGTTTGTTTACGCAGAATTTATGCATTGTATGGGTAATTTATACGCCACACGTGCGAACATTTATAGGCTTATATGCATGTTTACTTTAATATTTCTTTGTATTAATTTGCTCTATTTAGATCGAATTGTTATTATATAATTTATAATGCGATTTGCGAGACTTCTTTGGTTTAATGTCTGAGATTACTTGCTAACCGGTCGTCTTGGTTCCGACGAAACATATAGTCTTTCTATACTCCATAGGTCTTTCCCCAGCCTTTGGCCTGGTTTCTACTCAATATAGTAACTGTCGTGAACAAGTCATTTTCACCGATGAGAAATAGTCCGGATGTATAAGTTTGTCTTTATTTCTGCATTCAAATCGGTCATTGTTGACAGCACACACATAGAGATATTCTATCACATCAGCCACCTTGACATGTTCACGACATTCACGACTAACTGGAATGCAGAAAAGTACTTTATATCATCAGTGCATGTCAAGCCCTTGCTTTTCAAATCTTCGTGCATTGCATTTTGAAACCTCTACGTCAGTAACTCTGTTAACGTCTTTGATATCTCGCAGTTAGACGTGTTCTTGATCGCGCGTGATACACGGTGCATTCTGGGAAGGCAGCACACGTCCTATTTCAGTCAGGTAATTATACGTCTTACCTGCATGCGGGTGGGAAGGGTTCAATTGTCAGCGACCTGCGCCTGTTTCCTGCGTTGATTTAGTATATCCAGTGCGTAGACGAGGTCCTCTTCTGGAACCTATGATTAACCAGTCCAGTTACTACTGGGATCAGTTCTAATCTAGAATCATTCCTAAACTGTTCTTCCTAGAGGTCCAGTAAGGATCATCTCTTATTGATCCAGTGTTACTACAGGAGGAAACCTAAACTAAACTAACTTTTTTTATACTGGATAGCTCTATCAGTTCTAAACTGTTCTTCCTAGAGGTCCAGTAAGGATCATCTCTTATTGATCCAGTGTTACTACAGGAGGACGCCTAAACTAAACTAACTTTTTTAATACGGTGAGTATAAAATATATAAATACTTCCTCCTGTTACATACCAATGTGTTTCCAAGATGACACGAACTTATGTAAAAGGTGGTTATTTTTGCCTCCACTAGCGGTTCAGCAATCTGAGCGACCACCCCGTACTCGTCTGTAAAAAAATTGCCAGTAGGTCAATAAACAAGTTGATATACAGCTATCAGGATATCTGGATTCGTATATGTTTTCCACCCTGCATGTAGTTGCTGTATCCAGTGAAATGTCAGATCAGTGGTGATACACCAGTTATGAAACTTACCAAATCCCAGTGGATATTCTCCGATTTTAATGATCCTCCATTGCTCCCGAGACGAACTGGTGTAGAAATAGTTACTCGGTATTCTGAAGAAAATAACATTAAAGAAGTTTGAAGGATAACTGGCTACACACGAGATCGTAATAATCCCATGTCCAGTAAATCCTAAATACACGGGTTAAACTTTTGAGTTTAGGTTAGGATTTGGGTTAGGATTAGCTTTCAGATAAGGTTTATGGCAATGAGCTGTAATAAAACCTGGAACTTGGCGGCCATCTTTGAGGCCAAATTTGAATGTGGTTTTTAAACGTTTAGGACAGACGTAAAGAGTAATTATCTAGGAATGTCTAGAACTATGTAAAATACAATCATTTGCTAATTTTTATAACAATTGAACGAGAAACAGGGTCAAAAACTCGCGGAACTATAGGAATTAGCGTTCCAGTTGATATTACAGTTCACTGGTTTATGTTCAACCGAAATCCTTAATCTAATCCCAATCCTAACCTAATCTCAAGGATTAAATTCGTGTATTTAGGATTTACTGAATCATGAATTGTTACCCACGAGATAATCAAGAGATAATCTACCTTTAAATACTAAACCTGGACTCACCTCGCTAAATCTTTATCATCCAGAACGACTGACAGATCTCCGTCAACCAAAGAGAAATGGAAAAACGTTTCGTATCCCTCAGATGGCGGAGTGCGTGATCTATAAAATTGTGCGTGAAGTTTGAAAGAAATATCCGCCTGCAGGACCTGATTCATTTGAAGAAGCTAATTCGATAAAAATCGTTTACCTCGAGTAAAACATGAGATCAATAAGAGTTGGTATTAGGGACTGAAAATGCTGACTGTTCAGACTGATAACGTGGAATTGGTTCAAAGGGCTGGTGGTGGAATGAATCAACGGGTGACTTTGGCGATCTTATTAAGAAAAAACGATCTTCATTTATTCAAATATTACAAACAAAGTAGCTTAATTTAAATTCGCGATGTATAGCTATATTAAATTTGAGCCGTTGAAAACTGAACTAAAACTTCACTAATTCTTCCTGGAGGTCCTGTAAAAGATCACCTCTCAATGATGCAGTGTTACTACAGAAGTTAAACTAAACTAAACTAAACTAAACTAAACTAAACTAAACTAAACTAAATTAAACTAAACTAAACTTATTTCTTTAGAAGTAATTTGTTTGAAAACTCTTTAATCTTTATCATAAAATTATCGTTTTGCATAACAAAATTTCATGTCACCTGATTGATGTTCATCCACACGTGATTCAAAACACTTCATTCCCGGGGCAAGATTGTGATAACCAGCTTCATCAAATATTTTAAATTTTCCACTCAAACAACGAATGGCATTTGCCAAATCCTGTTGCTTTACCTACACAACAATACACAGCCATTTTGCATTATATGTGTTTATATATTACACTGTAAGTGATTTGAGTGATTGGTTGACTGCTTTATCTTGTGAAAACTAAAAACAGTTTTAGGTGAAAATAGTGAATGTTGTTGTATTTACCAAGATGAAGTCTCCTTGATATGTTGACATGCAAAAAAGAGAAACACCATTGTCAGCTAATGGGACAATGATTGAGTTAACTATCTTGCTTATCCCCATGGCATATCCTGTGCAGTCCATAGCACCAGCAGACACTGTAAGAACGTTCCATAAACAATCCGAACAAGAGAGGCCAGAACTTTTAGGAAGCTCTAAAGGAATTAGGTGATAGTACCTGTAAGCTTGACACAAAAATATGGAACTTTGAGGGGTGAAATGTAATGAATTTTTTACCCAAAAAATGTTAAATCAGGCATAATTAAAATATGAAAATGAAAAGCCCAGCAAATGAATTCAAACTAGACATGAAAAATATGTACAAAATTATTTGCTGAGCTTTAATTTTCATTTCAATTACACACCTTCAAAACATGATTAAAGTACCATCAGTGGCACACAATATAGTTCTACTAACCCAATTTCACCTATTTATTTTCTCAGAAATTGATTTGCCTACCTTGAAATGCTTTTTCTTCCAATGTTATAGAATAGTCCTCCTTTGTTTCAGTAAAGCTGAAAAACCCAGGCCTAGGAAAGAAGACATTGCATTCATGAATTTGTAAAATGTCAGAACTGGCTTTCCATGTTTGACATCATTATGAGGAAGGTCTATTGGGTTTATACAATGTGCATAAAAAAAATTCGAATCCAAATTTTGTGCGCATTTATGCAGAATATATGTGACAAAATTGGCTGATTTTTATACCATTGTTAAGTATTTATTTCTTTCAATTGAAGATATAATTGAAAACCTAATAGGCTAGTCTTTATTGCCATACAAAAATTATATCATTTACTGTAGTATTTTATATACAGCAGTCTGTCAAATTTGAATTCAAATTTGTTTGATACACCCTGTACAATAATCCAAGTAACTTACCTAGAGTCAGGTAACAGGGCAATTTTGATGAGATAATGAGTATAATTTGCAATTTGATCTTTTGTAATTGTTGCCATTCTCAAAGTGTATTGCAGAATGTGAAGTTCCAATCTTGTGTCAATATTTCTCTCAGTTCTCCCATTCTCTGTAGCCATAAATTCTATCAATCAAAGAGAAACATAGAAAAACAACATCATGTACACCAGGTATATTAGGACGATTCTTGGATCAGTACTATGATTAATCAATAATTCTGCTTGCTCAATAATTCTTACACATGTCCTGTAATTATTAAGCAAGCAAGCTTGTGTTATGAAGATGCTTAGGGCAATGCTATATTAGCTTGATTTATATAATAGGAACTCATTTACTGTTTGGACAAACTTGGGTAAAGAGTTATGATCACTGTAGTCTGACAAGGTCACAGATGGTTTAGGTTTGTCAGTTAATCAGTTCCACCAGCTGCTCCGAGAGTCTGTTCACCTGATCCAATTCACTTCTGATAAATGTTTTGTACAGTGTATTGACTTGTGATGAATATATAGACATCAACTAAAGCTAATGTAGTAATGCTTTATCAATCAACAGACTACATTTCATATGACAGAACGTGAATTGGATCTGACAAAATTGGGCAAAACACATGCTGGGCAATGGTGTGTCGCAGTCAAATTATACTTGCAAATTGCAACCGGGGAGAAGGTATTTATGCTGCAAAGGACATTAGTTTTGCAGTCAGCATTGCCAGGCGCTATCAGTAGCAACGATTGAAAGACCAATATCTTAATATTCCAAAGAACAGGCTCATTCTATTCTAAGACACTTTGACTGTACAAATTATTCCCTAAAAACCGTTAGTAATTTGCGAAAACAAACACACGAAAATCAGTTCGACACACTTCAACTCATAATATATTTTTCTCGTAATATACACTATTTCATGCAATAAAACACTATTTTATGCAACAATCTACATTCCCCTACAACTCGAAGGCTCGAAGCTCACCCAAACAAACTTCACGGAAACCATTATTTCTATTTATATCAAAGTAACAACAAAATCTGAGAATTGTCGAACGTTCGATATGTCTGTTACAAACCTCACGTTAATCTTGCTTGAATTCTCCACAAAACCAAGACAAACGATGCGAGAAAACCTTTCTAAAGGCAAGAACAAAACGGCAGTAATCTTTCCGATCTTTCTTGGCCGAGATTTCTGTTGTTTTTGATCTTATCGGGATCACGGGCATTAAAAATTTATGCACATGTTATGCTGGGAAAAACACTTTATCGGGGTAAAGTTCTAACCCCCGTATTTAATATTTAAGATTTTCAGGAGGGAGTTCCGGAGCTGTAGCCTGTAGGAATTGTGCGAAACATGTGCTGCGAAGTATCTCATTTTTGTCTCGACTTACTGTGAAAAATTATAAAAATTGCAGCTTTTATTTCTAAGGCATTTGTGAAAGGTTTGTTGAAATTTTGCTAAATATATATGACCGTCAGATCTACGGTTTTATACCCATTCATGGTACGCATGGCGCCATGGCTTGTGTTTACATTTTGTGAATTTGTACACTTCTCTGTCTTCTCACAAATGTATTGGTGAAAAATGACATGCAGAGAGAAGTCTATTGCATGGAAAGAAGCGGAGTTATTTCCCAATTTGTACGCTGTCAGATACGCAGCTATTTTCATATCTGAATATGAAAGTGTATATGTGAACTTTCATAAGTGAATATGAAACTGCAGAGCCAACCATAAGCCACCATGTATGTAAATTATTATCAGTTTCTTTATGGTATAAACCAGTGTTGCTTCATAGTACTAAAAGAAACATTTAAAATAGGGCCTATTCCAAGGCAGTCGTTCATAGCCTTGATGGCATCCCAAGCAAAGAGGGTGAATCCTGGCAAGATCATAGGCACTCATAACGGAACATTTCATTGTGATGAAGTGTTGGCCTGTTGCATGCTGAAGTTGCTACCGGAATACAGGGATGCAGAGATCTTGAGGACGCGGGAAGAAAATCTTTTAAAGACTTGTGACATTGTTGTTGATGTTGGTGGAAAGTATGAGCCGTCATCTCATAGATATGACCACCACCAGAGGTATATACATACAACATAAGATCACAAATTTAATTACAAATTACTACTTCTTGGGGAAGGTGTAGGTCTGGAGCCAGTTGTAAAAAATACTAGTTAACTTTTAACTGTAGTTAAGGATAGAATTGGCCAATAAGAGTTGTATTTCTGAGTTAACTAGGATTTAACTATGCTAAATGTAGTTAATTAAAAGAGTTTTATACAACTGGCCCCAGATAGACGTTTTTCTTAGAGTAACCACCAGTTACTGATTCTGATATGATAACTGTCATTTTTCACTGGCTATATAACACTGTTCTTTAGGAGTTTCACAGGAACCATGAACTCTTTGGCTGGTATGAAATGGAACATCAAGTTGAGCAGTGCAGGTCTAGTCTACCTTCATTTTGGCAAAGATATTATATCACAGTTAATGAAGAGGGAAAAAGATGACCCAACTGTTGACTTAATTTACGCAAAGGTGTATGAAAATTTCGTTCAAGAAATTGATGCGATTGATAATGGCGTCAACCAGTTCGATGGTGAACCAAGGTAACTTGAGGAAATGTATACTACTCTACATGAGGGTCTGAGATAGATATTGATATATTTTTAAACAATTAAATTATGAAAGTTGAAAACTAATCTTGACTGGATATTTGAAACTAATTGCTCTATTCTGTGTACTAAAATGAAGTTGGGACTATTAAATAGTGTGAAATGAAAGCAAATTAAAATATATACTCGACAACAGTATCATTCTTAGAAGTTGTTTCAATAAAAAAACAGAATGTCTTGAAAAAGTAATGATCACCTTTTTTGTTTGTGTATTTAAATCACTCGATTTGTTTTCACTTTTCAGATATTCTATTTCAACGAATATAAGTTCAAGAGTTGGTTCACTAAATCCAAAATGGAATGACGAAAGTCAGGACTCGGAGGTATACCAAAGACGTCTTAACCCAGTTTGCCTAGGGTGCATAAAAACATCGTTTTTTGAAACAAAATTTGTTTTCCTGGGCCTGGAAGAGGAAATGTTTCTTATCAAATCCAGAATAGGAAACATTTCCTAAGTCCAGGAAACCAGAAATATTTCATGTTCCTGAAATTCGATTCAAGTTACGAGAAACAAAAGTTTAAAACACACTTTTTGGCGATTGCGCAGTGTTTCAGAACTGTTACGAAAAAACCGAAAGCTGCCGTTTTGAGCGGCATTTTGTAGCAGTTCCTGAACATTCCCACATTCAGTTTTCCAACAACATGTAATGTCTTCACTTCCAAATTAAACCAACAACAGGCTGGTTTTGCGAAAGCGATGAAAATGGTTGGGGAAGAGTTTTTGGAGACTGTGAGTTATTTTAAAGACGTTTGGCTTCCTGCGAGGATGATTGTGCAGAAGGCAATAGAGAAAAGATACGAGGTAAAAAAACAAAGCATTTTAGTTTTTACCAATATGTTCGTGAAAGTTCATATCAACGAAATAGAATCGTTTTGTTTTGGCCAGGATATGCATGCAAAATAATTCAGTTTTATCTGAGATTTCCTATATCTCAGGTTGACCCGAGTGGTGAGATAATATTCATCAAAGATATCTGTCCTTGGAAAGATCATTTATTCACCCTGGAAGAGAAACTCAAAGTTGATACACCAATCAAGTTTGCATTGTTCATAGACCAGAATGGAAAATGGAGGATCCAGGTTGGTCGAAATAGTTCTTTCAGTTGCGATAGTAACTTCTAAATTTCACTCTATGCAAGTCTGGTATCATTCATATTTACTAATTTAGCCTCGAGTTTTATCATTTCTCTCCTTTGATGTACTTTAGTGCGTTTCTGTCACGCTGAAATCCTTTGAAAACAGGTAAAATCTTGATGATATTATTCCGATAATGCTCACACATAGTTTTTAAAGGGGTTTAGGCCTAAGGGTCAATCATAAGCATCTCAAATTCAAGCCAGGAACGGCTGAGAAAAATGCGTATTGACGCATTGCGACTAGGCTACAGAGGCAGCTGGTATAAGACCGAGCGTGGTTAGTGTTTGTTTATGATCGTGAAGCCATGTGAAGCTAGATCAGTGATACTTCACTGGATGTAGATTAAGATGTAACTCATGTAAGACTTCCACTGGAAATTAAGACCCTTAAAACCTTTCGATTTTAGAGCGTAGTTTTGTACACCCACCATGAACATTATCGTGCGTATCATAGGTTAGGTCTTCTGGAAGAATGGCGTGGAATTCGCGATGAAGAACTGAGCAAGTTGAGTGGTATTCCTGGCTGTATTTTTGTCCACGCTTCCGGGTTTATAGGTGGAAACGAAAGCAAGGAAGGTGCGCTGGAGATGGCCAGAGTCACGTTACGTCATGCTCGTGAGAGACAGTCGTAAACAAGAAAGAATTTGCGATGACAATCGTCGTGGGGAATGGTCTAATAAAACTTTTACGGCCTCTGATTTTGATTGATCTATCCAGTAAGTGTGCGAGATCAGTTCGTACACTGATCTCATAATACTACACTGGATAGACATCATGTAAACTTGTGAAACGTTTTTGAGCAAGATTCTGTTATTGATCAGAAGGAATCGTTTTGTTGAGTAACAAACACTATATACAAGATAATGGGCCCAACTGGGGAGTGACCATTTGACATTTAATTTATTTCCATCCCAGACATCATTCACTGTCATTAACTTTCTTTTATATAAAAAATAAATATATAAATTCCAATTTGATATATTTTTCGATTCAGACATTTTCTATGCATATCAGTGAAGATAAGTAACTTACGGTTGTGAATTTGTTAAACAACCCGTCAGTTTGTCTCCGTTTGAAAAACAAAGTCGACATCTTCTGCACACAACCTCAGTATGTCATCCTGCGTGTACAGAGAAACACGAAGTAATGACAGGCTGAAATTCTACAGGCCCGTTTACACTTGAAATTTTTGCTGCGATTTTCTTCTTTTGATAGATGTGAACGAGCGAATTAGTAACTGATGTTCAAATAAGAGCTCTTATTAGTCAAAACATTCGTAACTAATTACTCGTTCACATCTGTCAAAAGAAGAATATCGCCCATAAAATAGCAGGAAAAACCGAAAAATTGCAAGTGTAAACGGGCCTTACCATATGAAAGAACATTGGTTTAACGAATGTTGCTATGTGTTTAAAACGGTCCTTACCTCAAGTTTAGAATCTTCAATAGGTCTTGAAAAGTGTTTCCAGTGTAATAATTCAGCCATGGAATAATTTTTGTCCTTAAAGGGGATCAGCAAACGAGCGTTAAGAGCTAGCTGCCTAAAATGACAGCTTGAAAGGGCATTTTATGTTAAAAATGCAAAATTTAAAATTGTAAAAAGAAAACTCTGCAGTTTAATGGTTGTAAGGTGCTTTTCCTAGCGTTGATGTTGTTTTCTACATCAAATTCAGTTGATTGCTAAGAAAGCATAGGTTACCTACCTTGGTGTGTGATTGTGATCTATTTGCTCCTAACTGACATTTCCTTTTGGGAGCAACAAAGTCGGCTCTAACCGAATGTGATGAGACACGGTTTCCAAGTGAATTGTTATATAGAAACTTGTTTCTTAGTCTTCCATGTAACACTAGTTATAAATCTTTTCAACACTCAATTCTTACCTCCGTTCTTGTCTCAATACAGGAGCAATTTAACAGATCATGAGTGAGGCAAGTTGTCTTCGTGTGCAGGGTAAAAAGATCCTATATTTTCGGAAAAAGTCGACAATATATCATTAATTCTATACAAAAAACAGGATGTGATCGAATTTATTTTGAAGTCCAACGATGTGCTCTCTTTACCTTTAAGTCTTCACGAGAGAAATCCTGTGGCTTGGATGAAATATTCGAGTCAGCCACTGCACCACTCAATCCTTGCTTACTAATCTGTCTTTGGTAGATCTTCTCCTCTATGGTTCCCTGAAAAGTTGCAAAGAATCGTAAATACCAAACATTTGATTTCGTTGTGAACAGGGATGGATTTACCAAGGAAGGGGAGGGGGAGGTGTACAACCCCTAGCTGGATTGAATGATGGATTGCCTCCATATTGGATGATGGATTAATTCAGGGAAGTGGGGATCATTGGTTGCACGTAACTAAATAGTTTAAACCCCGAAAAAAAAAACAGTTGAAAGAGTTCCGAGGTTTACCGTTGTCAATAAACGATATATTTTCACTGTCTTCTTCTGTCCGTCTCGCCAAACTCTTGCCATCGCCTAAAAAACAGATTTGTTTGCATTGTCTTCTGTGATCACTCAGGAAGGTCTTCCAGCACGTATCTTACCTGAATGTCATTGGCAGGATTCCAGTCAATATCGTACAGGAGTAGTATGGACCCTCCAGTTAAATTGAGACCAACACCGCCCGCTTTTGAGCTCAGCAGAAATACAACTGCATAGAAAAATTATCAATCGTATCATACTTTTTAGATCATATCCCGCGTTCATGCGATACATCATTTTTTCAGCTTGTGTTGTCGAATGCTTATACTCGGCTTTTGGTGAGTCTAATTTGGTTCCAGTAATGCAATTCCTCATTCATTCATACTCACAATCTTGACTTCCTTTCCTGTTAAAACGCTCAACCAAACTCTGTCTATCGTTTGTGGCCGTCTGCCCGTCAAGACGAAGAAATCGATAACCTCTTTTTTGGCAAAGACCTTGGATCACATTTAATGTCTTCATACATAGAAAATACAAAACAAGGGCAGTTATTTTGTCTTTAAAACATACCGTTCTCATTAGACTAGCAAAAAAAGAACTCGCCCGTGAAATAGCCAGGTTCAGATTTGATGTTCACTACCATAACCATTGGTGGAACATGAACCAATCAAATGAGAGTAGTCTATCAGATTAACCAATCACGAGCGCGAAAGGAGGGAACATAAACCAATCAAATGAGAGTAGTTTATCAGATTAACAAATCACGAGCGCGAAAGATTAGCGAGAGGAGGGAACATAAACCAATCAAATGAGAGTAGTCTATCAGATTAACCAATCACGAGCGGGATAAATAGCGAGAGGAGACAACATAAACCAATCAAATGAGAGAGGTCTATAAGATTAACCAATCACGAACGGGATATATCAGCGAGAGGAGCGGTAGTTCTACTCAAATCTGAATCTAATATATCCTCGTGTGAGGACCACTCGTTAGTCGACTGGTCGAAGACATATTTCTTTACGTACTTGCGTGTAATTTGAAACAACCACGACTCGTTCGGCCGGATTGTTGGCGCAAATTTTGCCGAGGAGATTATCAAGAACTTTCAATTTTCCAGAATGGTCGCTTGAGTTGGGATCAATGTCAGGGGGGTAGTAGGCCTGTAGATCATCATAGAGTGACTCCTGAGGAAAAACGGGGATGATAAAGGAAATATTAGGAATAGTTATCATGAAAGGGAGTATGGAATCTCATGGTCAGGGGGGACTCAAGCTTGGATTTCTAGGAGAAGGGGAACACTAGGGGAATTTATAGGAGAAGGAGGACTTCAGAGGAGCCTAAAGGTATATAATGTAATGTGACATAATTCAGATGTAAATTTTCCGGACCAAAAATACTTAACGATGTGCTGTATAGAAACTGCAGCTTTGAAAAACATGATTTGGCATAGAAATTTTAAGGCCGTCAAAGACGACGTGAAAATAGGATGATGCACCAATTTATAACCGAGCCACACCCACTGATTTGGCCACATGATTTTCACGTTGTCGTAAACGTCTTCAATCGCTAAATGCGTACTTACAGCATCAGTCAAATGTTGTTTTTCAACCTGTTCCGTGGCGTTCCTACGATACAGTAAGCAAGGATGATTGCACAACTTCTTGAGGGCGGAGATGCACATCAAGTGCAGCGAGGAAGCGTAACTTGATGAGAGACAGGACTTGAACCATCGCGATGATGTCAAGTGTTGATAGAGCTGCAGCTGTAAGTGGCTTGCACGACAGAACACCACGCTCTCAACTGTAGAAGATATGTCAATACGTAGTAAAATACATGAGTGTATTTGAAAATTAATTCTGGGAAACCCTTCGTAGAACTGATCAACAATGAAATACAATTATATGAGGAGACCCTGTTAGGGTTTTTGAAAATGGATTATATTTGGATGTTTTATATAGGAAAGGTAACGGATTTTTGACTCAGAAGAAAAACGATTATAGAGTTTGAATTAAAGATTATAGTTCGGATTTTATGATTTAGGGATGCTGATCATAATGATCTCATCAATTAATCGACAATAACTGGTTTAGATCGCGATTTTTGCCAACAAACCCATTGATAATAAATCAAAAGAGTGACCTATTGTTTGCTCGGTGACCTCCATATAATTACACGCAACTGAATAGTGCAATGAGTTATCATTCAAATGTATACCTTTTCTGGGCAAATATTTGTTGTTGATTTCGGAGGTTCTCCGCAAAAGGAACTGACTTGTAAGTCTGTTGAGCTGCAAGGAGATTGACGAAGGAGTATAATTATAACAATGACGTATGAAAGTAGAGGGCAATCAATTCAAGCCTTAGTCCAGATTATACGTACGAAGCTCATCTGACCCGTATGAGCTCGACCCGGTCCCTCGTGCATACCTCGCACGCACGGCTTTCACCAATCTCCTTTTCTTCTGCCGTAGCTCCAGGCTGTCTGCCTCGGACGATCGGTTCTTCGTAGACACGACGAAACGACGCCTGTGTTCCTGGTAAATAAATAATTATACTTAGAAAGACTTCCCGGGAGTCTCTTGATATATTAATTCTCTTCAATTGGGGCAGAATTAAGTGCATTCATTCTGACTTCGTTTTCGAGAGGGAGCCATAGTTGCTTCATCCAGTGTATCAATAGATCAGTGGATACTATAGACTAACAGCCTACTCTACATACGAGATATAAATGCCCATTCACACGATCCAACTTTGTTGGATCCAATTCACTTCTGATGTATGGAATGTAGTTTGTTATTGATAAAGCAGTACCGCATTAGCTTTAGTTGATTTGCTGCTCGTATACATTACAAGCCAACAGACTATAAAACATCCATCAGAAGTGAATTGAATCCAACAAAATTGGATCGTGTGAACCTTTAGACAGCCAAAGACAAGAAAATGTAATCTTCCACCAGTAGGATAAAAACGGGTCAAAATAAAGCTGAGTTTACATGAATGGTTGAATGGTGTCTGGTTTAACTATACTGACCGAAAATTCCAGGGTTGCAAAAATCCGCCAGCGAATAAAATTCGGTAAGATCGTTCTATAAAAGTGAAATTAACAACGTTACCTCCATGCAAGACCCTTTCAGAGTTACCACCCGGGCCTATTTTTTTACCTGAATAGGTGTACCAGTTAACAAGACCTTTCTCTGCACCTTGAGACTTGAGATGTGCTGGAATAAAGACGACACAAGTTAAGAACATTAACGTTGGTGAAAACATATTTTTACCTCTGCATGTGAAAGGTCTTACCATGCTAGTCTTAATGGCAGCATTTTTCAATCTATGCGCCTCATCGCAGATTACCAAATCAAATGTAATTTTTCTGATATCTTCAACGTATCTGACAAACATCTCATAGCTGATAACCATCGCCGGAAACACTGGACTGTGAATGAATTCCTAGGACGAGACTTTCTGTAAGACTTACGGCTATACCCACTGACCTTTATATACACTTAATATATACAGGTCAGTGACTATAGAATTGCCTAAGTTTATCCTTTCTCGTTCGATGAAACAAACACAGACGAGCCCATATCAAATCTTGTCGAACAGTACAACACAATATTCTTGTATGTTTGCATGGTGACAGTCGATAAGTAATTTAGCTTGTAGGTACACCACGTAAGTATTTAATACTGCAAAGCTTTCGGTCCGTTAATCCGGGCCTTATCAGTGCAATTAATGAAGTAAATTAATTTTATCTAATCCAATCCAATCTTATTTAATTTATCTTATTATTATCCCTAATTTGTTTTTAATTGCACTGATAAAGGCCCGGGTTAACGGACCGAAAGCTTCAATGCAGTATTAAATACTTACGTGGTGTACCTACAAGCTAAATTACTCAGTACAACACAAGTTCTTCTGAATTGCAACGGACACACATAGTCATGTACCTGGACTTTTTTTTCAGAATTCACCGTGTAGACTGGCATTCTTTCGTTTCCCAACCATTTGCGAAATTCCGCAGCCCAATTCTAGAAAATGCATTTATTTTTATGAGTGCAAAATCACGCAATATGATTCAAGCATTTTAATCAATTTCTAGCGGTCTGTTACCTACTGTACGGGCCAGCTCGGTTTTGGCGGGAAAACTTGAATTTCAACATTTTGACAAATTTGTGTTAATTTTTTTTAAACTTTTGTTTTGTAAAACTGATTTAAAAGGTTAAAATGTCAAAGGATATATAGGAACCTAAATCGCCTAATGCTTTTTATTATTTAGACGATAAAGATAATTTTTGGAACAACAAAACTCGAAGTTGAACGAAACGTTAATAATAATGAAATCCGTAAAGTTTTACAATTTTGAGACGGTAGTCCTTGTTTTGGCTTTTGACTTTAAACTAACTTATTAACTGTGCTTTTTCGGGCCGTACAGGGAGATACTCCATACTACTCGCTCTTTTACGGTCGACCATTGAGGCCAAATATCATAGTTGGTTATCAAAGCGTTTATTTAGATTACAAATCACCAACCTTAACTAAACTTCCAGGTGTGATTATTAGAAACCGTTTAGCAATCGGTTGGCCACCGTACATTCCTTGCTTAAAAAGTGTCCTAAAATTTATTAGATTGAACGGCATTCATTCGAAGAAACAAAGAGTTTGAAATTCACCAAGCGGTAATATCTTACCAAACAAGGGAAATACACTGCAAAGTTTTCCCGAGACCCATATCATCTCTAGGCACAATTCAAGAAAATAAGGTTAGGATAAAATTTAATTTAGGTAAAATATAGATATGATTAGGTCCAGATAGATCATCTCTTATTGATCGAGTGACAGTGTGTCAATACAGGTGGAAATCTAAACTAAACTAACTTTATTTATACTGGATAGCTCTATCAGTTCTAAACTGTTCTTCCTAGAGGTCCAGTAAGGATCATTTCTTATTGATCCAGTGTTACTACAGGAGGAAACCTAAACTAAACTAACTTTATTTATACTGGATAGCTCTATCAGTTCTAAACTGTTTTTCCTAGAGGAAGAACACACGAGCATAACTCACGCCAGAATAGCTCCGTTTCCAACAAAGGATCGTAATCCCATCACACATTCATATAGAAATGTCACTCCCTCCCGCTGATGTGGACGCAGGATTTTTGAAATGTATGGATCCACGACGACATCAATCACACTCAAATCTTTCTTGTTGTTTTCGAACTGTAAGAAACAAGACGCGACATATCAACTGTAGAGAAAAAAACACTAAGAACAGGCAATTGTAAACTGAGCAATTGGCATAATGTTTTCGCATTTGCAAAAAAGTATACTTATTGATAATATGTTAGAGTTAAGGCTAATTTCCACTCCGGAAAACGAGCAGTGGATCGGATCGGATTTTTTTCCGAGCTGGTCCGATCCATAAAGTGATTTCGGATTGGATAAAAAAAAGTTAAAACTATTTGAACTTTTTTTATCCGGTCTCGGACGCTTTCGGATCAATATAAGCCAAAAATTTCAACAGACGGCGCACGCGCGGATTATCTTTCGTTCCGATCCGATCCGCTGCTCGTTTTCCGGAGTGGAAATTAGCCTTTAGACTACAAAATGAAGACCAGCCCTCACCTGGTGACTTGCACTAGGTCTTGGCATGACCAAAGCGCCTGGGGCAAGCGGATCAAATCTTGGAGTGATCTTTCTTTTATTGAGAGATGACAGTTCTTGGTTGCCTGGAGTTGAACCAGCCTTTTGAGGATTCAAAAATGGCTTTGGTACAACTAAACATTACACAAAAACATATATACCTCAGAGAAATATCTCATAGAAGTTTGAATTGAGAGGCAGGTTTATCCAATGACCTAGTGCAGTATAACTGAACCAACTTTTTTCAATCTCTGTTAGTTCTAAACTGTTCTTCAATCCAGCAAGGTTCTGACATGACTGGCCATTATTAGCCCTTGTTATTTTTCATACAGACAACTTAATTTTCTGTGTGGGGTCAGTATTAAACCTATAAATATGGTTGGTACCTGATTTAGTGAATGAATAATTCTTGGGCGGTGTTGTTTTGGCCTCAGATCCCTGTTGAAAGCATCTACCACTCAGGTAGACATCCTTCTGTAGTTCACCTGTGATCTATTCAAAGAAATAGTGATAATTATGGTACTTGTTAGACTGAGGATGGTGAAGATGCTAGTACACAAACTGGTTAATGGTCATTAGTTGATTGTTTTTTATTGATGGGTTATGGTGATAACCATACCACTTATGCAAAAATGGTATTCATAATGAAAATAATGAATGACCATGCAGGTTATATATGTGGTTATAAATCACAGTCACTGGTAATACCATAGCTTAGTCATGAATATTCTATCATGTTTCAGGAGTTCTACCATTAGACACACCTCAACCTCTTTACCACCAATCAATAATGTTTGCCCCTCGGTAAATTTTGCCAGCTCGTCAGCTTTGTAACCTCTGGCCCTTCCAATCCTGGAAATATGTGCAGTCAATGAAAGTCTTGGCTATAGAGACATGAAATAAAATAGAAATGTTTTCAAAGAAACTAACTCTTTTCCCTCTGTATCTTGTAGTATTGCTGTCCGTTCTTTTGTCACCAAAATACCTAGTAATGAGACCAGACATCATGCCTCATTCAATTTGCAAGTGATTGCTTCGGTCAGGTCAATCACATGCACAATACATACCATCTCCTTCCCATGTTTTGTGCTAAAGAAGAAATTATACTTTATTAGCAATTCATATTATATTATAAAAACCTGACCATTATGAATGTACTTTTCTGATGTTTTGGAAAAGTTATAGTGAAATTACCAACCTTTTTCTTTGATATTTTACACCTACATACAAAAAAACAAACAAAATGTTTATTTACAATCAAAGTAATGTAGGGATCAAATTATTACTGTAAATCAAATAATGATCATTGGGGAATCACATTTCAAAATATTAACAACCCCCAACTCTGGTGAGGAGTCTTCAAACCCCCTGAGGAAGGAGGGGAATTTTCACAACTCAATGCTAATACTGGGCCACTGTATTGGGTGGGGGTTTTAAATGTACATAATCACCGTTTGTATTTTAAATACTGCAACAATGCAATGGTTATGTAATATTGAACCTACCACATAACATTGTAGTAACGGCTGATATCGTTGGTTGAATTATCTTCATTTTTTGTTTCACTGGCTGTGGTAGAAACGGTTAGGCCTGTGCCTCGCACTGGAGTTCTGAATGAACTTATCTTTGGCTTAAATTTTGGAATGTGGACCTTTGGTGAGTTTGGTCGCATCGGAAGACACTGATTCTCTTTGTTAACTTTCTACAAAATGAATTATATTCACTTGTCCACAGTTTGAAAGATGTAAGTCTCGAAAGTCACAGGGTTCCTTTATACCTGCTTGTCTTCAGTGCACAGCTTGTTAGAGATCGATTCCAAGTCATCTTGACGAAATATTTTGGCAGGTGAATCCTCGCTTTCTAAACCATTATTTGGTAAAATTCGCTGTCTTTTCTTACCATTAGGGTTTTGCGAAGGAGCTGCGGAACGTCTCATTGCCCTTACAATGTTAATATCGATAGGTCTTTAGCGATAAATTATATAAAATGTACAAAAATTTACTAAACAAAAATACATCCGATCATTTTGTTTTTAAAAGTCGCGCGCTTTTTTCCGCAAGAAGGACTAGGACCTACTCCACTTTTGACGCGTTCAAAAAATCAAAACCCGCCAATTCTGACCAAAATGTCGAGATATTTCTTTACCTTTTGACTTAAATCGGCGAATTTCTTAATTTTTAAAGAAGAGATAGTATCTAAATGTTGAAAAATTTCCAACAAAAAATGTGAGATAACCCAATGTTATAAAAGCCGACTATATAAAAGACATTTGGCCTTCGATTACTATAGTAACGCTCGTCAGGTGTAACTTCTTGAGGAGATATGAAGTTTCATATATTTAAAAATAGCTATCTATAAATATATTTCTATACACGCTTTCCCCTAACCCACAAGTACGCCTTTACATGGATACCAAAGAATTGTGACACGAATAAATAGCTAATGCATTAGTTTTAGAAGGTCTGTACATCGTTAAAGGTCATCTCATATCCTGGGTGCTTATATCTCGAAGGATACGCTGAGGTCATAGGATGCTGAGTTGTTCCTTGTACTCTGTAAACATTCTCTGTAGTCGCATATTTGTGCCTGTGGTTAAGAAGATAATAACTACTTCAAGTGATCTACAAAAATCTTCACGGACAAATTCAATCAATTAAAGACGACGATATTCTTAAATACATCATTTTATTGCATTGATGAAGGCCTGGGTTAACGGACCGAAAGCTCTGCATATAAAAATACACGTGTGGTGTTTTTAAAAATTGATGATTTAAATTGAAGACACTTACCAATGATTGGAAGAATCTCTCTTAGCAACTCTCTCTTTTGAAATCCCTTGATGTGGGAAAGCAGACGGGATAAGAATGATGCGTTCACAACTGAATCAATCGTTTATCACATAGCATATTTCTCAAATCCTAACAAAACTTACCAAAATATATGGTTCCCATGTTGTAGACCTTTCATTAAAAGACACAAATGAAAAACAAATTACATCGAGACTGGTAAAATGCGGAATACTGTACCAATTCAAGGAAAGGTTAATGTAAAATGGAGGACCCCATTTGAATTCAACCCCAGATGACCAGTTAATTAGGATATAACTGAATGACTGAGAAAGATTGAAGACTATTTACACCCTCTGGGCGACAGCTTTTTACATTTTACAAGTAAATATACATTCAATAGGCTTTTGCCTTTTACCTGAAACTCGGCCCCAGTAACTCGCTACATACATCGCGGAGTCTCGTATCAATTCCTAACAAAACAATAAAGAAAACATTATCGAAGATATAAATCTATGGAAATTTTGTTGCGGCTCACTTACATTCTCATTTTATGTACGATATTCTTCATTTGATAGATGCGAACGAGTTGAAAAGGTTATTAACGTTGATATAAGGGTATGAATACACCAGGCCAGGGGTCGGTTGTATCAAGCCCTTTTAGCTTAAACGGCGGATACGACAAAATTAAATAACATTCTTACATTTCTCTTGAACGAGTCAACTTGAATATTATGCACTGAATATGTAGTTGTAAACAGTATCTTTGTATTATGGTTAAAAACATTTAGTTTGCTTGTTGAATAAAACGATAGACTTGCTTAATTCTATTTTGAACTAATCCACCGTTTAAGCTGAACGGGCTTGATATACAACCGTCCCCAGAACATTCATAACTGTACGCTCGTTTGCATCTGTCACAAAGCCAGAAATCGTACCAGAAATCGCAGAAAAAAAGATGAAACATCTCATCTACAGTGTGCTATGTTTAGAAATTACAGCAATTCACTTAAATTCAATACATTAAAAGTCAAAACACTGGCAATCAAACCTTCTTGTACTAAATATCGGACGTAAGTCATGAACCAGAAATGATACTCCTTCTCAGAGCCAAGCATAAGAGTTGAAGATATCTGATTCTGAAAATACAAAACAGTTTTAGAATTAAATTCACTTTTCTCCTTGCAACAGAAAGGTTCTCTAAGGAATGCACAGGCCCTTTTCAGCAACAAAAAGAGGCTTTTCACAGCAGGAAAAGGTTAGTTAAGGATGTTTACCTCAAGATGACTGATGGTTGCCGTCTGCGGACGAGCAGAACTTGATCGAAATAAGCGACCGACCGGTCGACTGAACCTAAGAAAAATATATGCTAGGTTAGAAACACTTTGTTTGGAAATGACGTTATAATCTGGCGCCATCTTAGTTGGACCTAGTTTATTTCTGATTTTCAAGAGAACAAACTAAGTTTCCCTTTTTCATTGTTTATTTTGCAAGTGTTATAGAGATTATCGCTATTCTACTATATATTGTGTGGCTACTGAAATGAATTAGGTTTAAAGAAATACATTCATATAAAATGAAGAGCACTGGCAAGTATATGTACTTCAGATGATGAATTTCATTCTACCTTGAAGTTTGTCCTTGTAACGTGGCCAGTATCCCATGCGACTTGCTTACTTCGTGCGTGTTGTAACATGATTTGAAATCTGAGTTTAGCTGCAAAGGATCTTCGGGGCTTGATAACTGCACCCTTTATGCGAAAGAATTCGACAATGGATACAATTAAGATCATTCATTTAAATTCGAGAATTTAGGATTTACTCGACATGGAATGATTACCATCAGGTCTTTCAAAAACAAGGGAGTATAGGTTGCAGCGTTCATTTAAATCATGAAGAACTACACGAAACTACAGGAGTGTAGAAACAAACATATTTTCTCACCAAACTCCAAGATCAGCGTTGAATGTGTAAGAAGCTTCAGTGGATAGGGAGATGATTGGGTAACCTTTTTCCGATATCGCTGCCCGAGAAATTGTCACCTCGGAATCTAAACAGTTAAGACAAACACATTTCTAGAGACAAAGCTATCAAGACCTCTCATGAAATATTGAGAGCCATCAAATTGACTGTAAAGTATTATTTTTAAGTGAAAATATTACGTGCTTAAAATGTTGACAATTGACCAGGAAAGATACGAAGTCGATTGGACTAACCTCTTAAAATAGGCTGGACCGATTCATTTTTAACAATTGCAGTTCTTTTTTGAGCGTCCCTAAAATTATGGGTGTAATTCACAACGGCTTTTACGCAATAATTCATTAAACCTGTGGTATTTGGCGATGATCTGAACAGGCGCAGAAATCTACCACATTAAGGTCTCTATATCATATTACATATGACAGTTGATCTTACCATACGTAAACACCACCACGTGACGTCACAACCATGACGTAGAACACGTTGCACTGAAGGATGGAGACAGACGAATCTAGCACAAGGTTCGGGAGGATCCTGGGAAGGCAAGATTGTCACTTGATGAAACAAACTGAATCGGTTCGGAAACCACGTTAGGAGAATTCGACCTTACCTTCGACCGCTGGACGAAAATATGCAAAGCGATCTGTCTTGACACGCAACACAAGCGATGTTTCTACACAAGGAATAAATACATCTATAAGTTCGTGTGAATGAAGGATAAGTGTAATTCAACAGGGGATAGCGGGGGACATCGTGGATCAAACGTTGCTTTTTTTATGTGCTAAACTCGAGACGCATTCTGAACATAAAAATACATAAAAACAATAGATAATTGGGGTACTTTAGTTCCTCGTTGTTCACAGTTCTACCTTCATGCAGACCCTTTGTTGTACGCCATACAGCTCAGTGCCATACGCCTACAGTCATACGCCTACAGTAATATAGCTCAGTGCCCGCGCATCTCAGCCTAGCGACTGGGGAAGAAACAGCTACAAATCTCACCTGTTCCCGGCAAGCGCGATTCCTGGACTTTTTATACAGGTCTCCCAAATCAGTTTTGCTGGTTGCGTACACTTTAGGACGTTAAGATTTGATGCTGTAAAGGGGAATGGATAACGTATATTATTTTGAAACTACGAGTTTCAGTTTGGCCGACAAATGTAAATCCAAAATTTGGAACAAGAAAACCACAACAGTGTCAATGAATTTACGGCTCAATTTCTGCTATCAACAGTTTGAATTTTGAGACAAATTCAATCTTAGTTCTGTCTTCAATAATACCCAGAATATCAAACGAAATATCAAACGAAATACCAACCCGAATGACTGAGATTATTTTCCAATTGCAAAGTGACGGGGCTATCGGGCATCACTCCTGTAATCTGAAATAAAACACCGAGCAATAAATTAGACAAAAAATTGGAAATAAATACGCAGTTATATCTGCACGTACCTTCAATGAAAGTGTTTTCTGAGGGGAAGGATATGGCAGAGCGATGGATTGCGAATTATTAAATGACGTGTCGACTTCATCACGCTCGATTTTATCATCTGAAGATTTCTGTTTTGACTGAGATGCAAAATAAAAAGGTATTCATCAAAATGATGCAATACAAAGTTCATACATCAAGGTAAACATTGGAAATATACACTAGTCGTGGTTCTCATTAGAAATTTTAAATGCAGTCTGAAGTGTTTGGACGATTTTGCGGCTCAACAGTGAACCATTCATGCGAAATTGCACATATTTGCAAACAAACTAAAAACCCGACAGATACGGTGAAGAAGGCAAACACATTATATGCAGTGATATTGTTGTTTCACGCGGGAGACAAAATGACTCCAGCATTCATGGAAACTTGGGAAGATACATATAACGATCACATACACAGCACTACTTACAGCAGAAGACGATGCCGAGACAGTCTTTGGAGCTAGAGATTAAAAAAACTTGCTTAATAATTGATTTCACCTCTCTGAAAAACGTTGAGCCAGTTTTTTTATTTAGTTTTCATATTTGTATCCACCAATGAGTTATACTACGACCAATATCACAGTATTCTAGCATAGGTCAGTGGCGTCCACTAACCTGTCTCCTTGTCCTTCTTCGACCGTTTTGATTGAGATGATGAACTCTCGACTTTTCGTTTCACGGAGATCGTGGCTGGACTGGATGTGGATGAGTTTGACTTTTGGCTGGAGTGAGCGGGCGGTGTTGGTGAAGAGAGAGATGTCACCTTGGAGAGGGTCGCTGTGTTGTTGTTTGTTTTCTTCGCTGGTGAGCTGAAAAACAATGAAGTGTTCTAGTGGGCTATCATTGTCCCAACTGGGGTCATGTTAGTTTTCATGAGACCCCATTAGCCCCTATAAGTTCCCACGTGCTCCAATTAATTCCCATGTGACCCTTAATTAGTTCCCATGTTCCCCCATCAGTTCCTATTAGTTCCCATGTATCCCCGATATTTCCCACGTGGACTAATATGTTCCCACTTGTTCTCATATGACCCCATTAGTTCCCATTACTTTCCACGTGGACCAATACGTTCCCATTTATACTCATGTGGCCCCACTAGTTCCCAATTAGTTCCTATGTATTAGTTCCCAAGAGTGAATTCAAGGTAATCGAAGATTTAAAATATACCGGAAAACATTGCTTACACAATCGCACTCAAAACTGGCGTCTTTTCACTTATTCGGCTTTCCAGTGACGATGTGGGCTAAAATAAAGCAGAAGAGATAACAAACTGATGCGTCGATTCATAAATATTTCATTCTCATGTTATCTGGGGCCAGTTGTATGAAAGCCGGATAGCGCTATCCACCGGATAGTGGTTTTTCAATCGCTTTAAAATCGCCCGTTGTTTGCTATAACTTTGATGCGAGTTATTTGGGAATATGATTGGTCCATAAGCAACAAATACACATATTAGGGCGACGTAAGGATTGGGGAAAGTTTACATGAGTTTACCATATTTGAAGTTACGCTTGATGACTTCAGTGGGGAGCTTCCAAAGGGCACAGGAGGACCTCTATAGATAAAGAGAGACAATGAATGATATACATTGGGTGATACCAGTGCTATAGGTTCCCACGAGCTCATGCAGCATGTTAAAATGAGTGAAATCATAGGGGAGAGAGAGTATAAGTATTAAGCATTGTGTAACAAGTAAGATTTAATAAAACTCGTCATGACTGACCCAATATCAACTTGAGCAGCCACAAACAGAGGAGTTATTCTCCGGCGGCCATCTTTAGTTCTCGTTTCTATCTGCTGTTTTAAAACATCCTGCAAGAAATTTTCCCAAATCCCTTTCAAGGCAACTGGAAGCTTAGCAACATGCAGTACGCTGGCAAGATGACCGCTAATTGACTGAGAGCCGACTGTTGCTACTAATACTAGCCTGACTAGTCTAGTACTTACTGCTTTTCAATGTTTTATTCAGTGTTTCACTTTCAACCTTCCTCAATGTCAGTTGATCATTGCAGTACTGCTAGTCTGACTGAGTGTTGACTGTTGCTACGTTACGCATACTGCTGACTAGTCTAGCTCTTACTGCTTTTCAATGTTTTATTCAGTGTTTCTCTTTCAACCTCCCTCATTGACAATGGACACAACTATTGCTAGTCTGAACGTTTAATTTCCTAAATCTCTGACACTAATGCAACAATTTCAACTAATTTTCGCTATAAAGGATAAACTTACAATTCGTGTCGGTTCAGATCGAACAGGCGAGGTCATGGATGAAGGAGTCAACAAGCTTGTCCCAGGCGAATCTGTAAAAATCAATCAACATGTTAAATAAACAAATTTGTGTTGAGCAGCGAACATTTGCCAACAAGCAGTGAGTGTAAATTATATCATACCTATGGCCGAAGTGTCATCTTTTCGTATTAAAGGAGGTGGTGGTGGTTTTTCGCCTGCGTTCGATTTCTTCTCCAAAGCTTTTTTCATTTTATGCTGTTGTTGGATTTTCAGCATCTCAGGATTCTCAATGATTGAGGTAGCAACGTTCCTGTTAACCGTGGCGATTGACGTCCCATAGATCTTCTTGTGAAGTTGCTCCTTGATTCGGATAGAAAGCAAAAATATAGTTTAGCGCCAGTAAAGATTATTGTTGTGGAGAAAGTGTTCAAATATAAACTGTACTAACGTTATCTATATTGGATAGCTCTGTCAGTTCTAAAGGATATGGTCCAGTAAGGATCATCTCTTATTGATTCAGTGTTACTACAGGAGGAAACCTAAACTAAACTAACTTTATTTATACTGGATAGCTCTATCAGTCCTAAACTGTTCTTCCTAGAGGTCCAGTAAGGATCATCTCTTATTGATCCAATGTTATTACAGGAGGAAACCTAAACTAAACTAACTTTATTTATACTGGATAGCTCTATCAGTTCTAAACTGTTCTTCCTAGAGGTTCAGTAAGGATCATCTCTTATTGATTCAGTGTTACTACAGGAGGAAACCTAAACTAAACTAACTTTATTTATACTGGATAGCTCTATCAGTCCTAAACTGTTCTTCCTAGAGGTTCAGTAAGGATCATCTCTTATTGATCCATGTATTACAGGAGGAAACCTAAACTAAACTAACTTTATTTATACTGGATAGCTCTATCAGTTCTAAACTGTTCTTCCTAGAGGTTCAGTAAGGATCATCTCTTATTGATCCAGTGTTACTACCCGAGGAAACCTAAACTAAACTAACTTTATTTATACTGGATAGCTCTATCAGTTCTAAACTGTTCTTCCTAGAGGTCCAGTAAGGATCATGCAGTAGCTACATACTGTACACTACCATTACTACAGCACTACAAAGTTACAAACCTTGTCCTCGACAGACATAGGATCACCCATTTCTTTTTTCTCAAACTGAAAAAATGCGACTGTCCCATCTGAGGAACAAACTATCATTTCATACCCGCAAGAACTCCTGCAATTAAATTATCAAACATTACCATGACCAAGAAATACCAACAAGTGGTGTGAACCTATCCAGATAAACAAACATTCCAAAAGCTGAACTTGAGTTTAAAGGTATCGCAAAAGCTGTATCCTGATATATACTACACCTATCACAATGTATATCCAATACTTACCACGATATATCCATCACAGATTGGTCAAACAAATCATGCATAACAACCATTGGTCTTTTCAGTGTTGTCATCTGTTGAAAAAACAAACAAACAACTTTAACCAATTATAAACTAAGTAGTTAGTTAGTGGATCTCATTAGTCATATACATGTACCATAATTATAAAATTTATAAGCAACTTCTGAGAGCAAGAATGCTTTTCAATATTTTGACCTATTAGGGACTCCTTCAGGATCTAGAGTTAGCATGAATACTAATTCTCTTGACGAAGGCCTTTAGGTCATTTGATAAGAAGCTATTTAAAAATTCTACCATTTTGCAGATCTCTGGCTCAAGCGTAAACTCACCCAAATTGAAACTGATCTGTCTCGACTGCCAATAGCACAACAACAGAACTGCTGTTACAAAAAAAAGTGATTGAAGACATTTGGAATAACTTGATTTATTAACCTGTACAACCAATGGTACTATGTCAGGTATTAGACATAACAAAATACAGCAAGATCTGTGCAGATTACCAGCTAGTGACAGCTTGTCTACCCATTAACTGACAGCATCCAAGAACTGGTCAAAAAAAAAAACACTCCATGTTTGAAACAAACCTTCAGTTTTGTGGAATCATTGCTTGAGGCTCTTGTAAAAAGCCTGGGATTCCATCTCTATAAGATGTAAAAAAAAATTCTATTACTGATAGCTTAAAATACAAATAGGTATAAAATTTGTGATCTTTTTATGCTGTAGTAACCTGAAGTAGATATCTTGTGAAAAATGGTTCATACTTACCACAACCGTAATAGCCTTTCGATGGCCAGCAAAATCCATACGACACTTCCATCCGTCTCTCTCAACAATCTTAGCAACTGGTCCCCGATTGTTCATTGCATGTGCAGAAACAACATAATGGCCATCAGGTGACCAGCCAAGTCTATATATAGCAATGTACAAATGCAACATATTTTAATGATAAGAAAAGATGAGATGTTTTCATTGTATCATAAAAACAAGGTTAAACATAATCACCAACCTCAAGACATGAGTGGTACCACTACACTCCTCAAAAGGTTCGCTAATCTGGGTCTCAAGTTGCCAATCTGAGGTCCGCCAAACATTCAAGTATTTATCATCCGATTGTGAGGCCATATACTTTCCTATAGGATCCCATGTGACCCCTTTTACCATGCCGGAATGTTGCTTTAGTACAGATGTAACCTCTAAAATTTGAGGAAGAGGAATACAAGAATTATCTTACTAACTAATGGCACTCTTTCAATATAAATATAGGATGAACCAATGTAAAACTAGAACTCTACCAGGGAACTTCTGGGCATTCCATATATAGACGGTGTTATCCACACTGGACGAGGCCAACATTGAATCATCAGGCGACCAGCAAAGGTCTAGGACATCACCAGTATGACCTCTCAAGATATGAACACACCTCCATTGTTCCACATTCATCGCCTTACTGCCGAAACTCGAGGTAATACCCAAATATCTACAAGGGAACAGTAATGGTTCGATGACAATGCTTAAGATGTCTTAGAGACAATAATAGACATTGAAATACAGATTATTAATCTATTTCATAACAGTAAACAAATGGTATTTCAATGAGTAATATCATCCACAATAGATAGAACTGGACAGAAATAACAAGCAGAACAAGCAGATGCTATAAGGTGGCTGTTTGCCTACATACTTGACAGGGGAGAATGCAAGCACAGCTATTAAGTAATGAATCTGCATTTTTTAAACCTACCGGCCGGTTTGCCAGATCATGATTAGTTTATCGTCACCACCTGATGCCAGATACGTACCACTGCATGACCACCGAACACTGTTGACACAAGCTGAAATGATAGCAAACAGAAAAACCCATGATTTGATGTGATAAGAGCAGCACTACCATGGTTTAGAAAACTGCCTTTGGTTATTCACCTGGTGGAAATACCACTTAATTATGGTGAATGAATTGTTAAACTTTGTGTGAGGTGTCAAATATGTGTACAGTAGGGTGCATCTGGGTGCATTTCACGCAAACTGATAACAAACCAACCTTGCAGGCCATGGTTTTGTACCCAATGCTCAGTGTGAGCCATGGAGAATAGGTAGAAAAGCCTGGCTTGCAAGGTTTACAACAAACCTAAATGATTATCCATTTGGCAAAGAAGTTTAGGGATTTCTTTATTGTTCTCCTGGGCTTCAGAACGAACTGGTGCCATGTTCCAGATAACCACTTTGCCTGCATCATCGCCTAAAAATAAACATGTCCATGGTTAAACTATGGATATAAGTAGAGTCATTTTGCAACTTTCCAAACATTCTTGAATAAGAAGTTGATGGTAATGATAATAAGATGATGTTAATTTTTGCAAATCAGTGAACAGTTCAGGGTAAATCAGTTAAAATTTTGTATCAATTTTATAGTTGTAATTATGTAATAAATACCTTGACCTCCTGTAACAAATCTAGACCCATCAGGATGAATATCCACAGAATAAATTGGTTTTCCTGAAATTGATTAGTATAAACTCAGTGTTAAATAGACAGGTCTAGCTATAAACAACACATTCATAGAAGTGTTCATGCCCATATATCAAGGTTCATTCTAAGACAGTCATCCAAGTTGGCATGCAGTCAAAATATGCTGTGATCAGTGGCAAACACTAGTATGAAAGTGAATACACACATGACATGTATCGTCTACTTCGCTTACCCTCTTGAGAGACCCATGCTGGTTTTAAAAGTCTCATTTCCTCTCTCAACAAGACAGATTCCTCAATCAAACCTCATTTTACTTTTTACACGCTTCTAAACTATCAATTCCACCCAATGCAGTGAAGCTGCATCACTTCGATTGCCAGAAAACTTGGAAAGTATACGGTTAGAAATTTCCTCAAATTTTCACTCCTCGTGAGACGCCATCTTGGTCGACCACAACTTCGCGGGCTCGTTTGTCGTTACACTTCGCGAGCATGCGCGTTTGAATAACGCCGATTTTGGGACATTTTGAAAACGTTTCTGATTGGCTGGCGTAGATAGATGCAAAGTACAAACTACCTTCCAATATCAAAGATTACTGACTCGTTGGCCACGCCCAATCTTCCAAGTAGTTTCCCACTAGCTCAAACAAAAAGTTTTGGCACCAAAAAACATCGATTTTCATCCCGAGATTTAATATTTCCCTTTAAAACGACCTTGTTTCCAACTTCTTGTCAAAATAGTTTTTTTTTAATTCAAGCATTTTAATACTAGTAATTGGCCACAAGCTATATCATTTCAGATCAGTTTACGAAAGATTTACATCAGGAGAGAGGAATTGATTTTGTTATCATGAAGCAAGTTTTGATTATTTCGAAGTAAAAGTGTACAAGTTTAAAATTACAGTGTTCTGGGATTTGAACCCAGAGGCCAAACATTCTCGTTTTCAACAAATTCTTGAAGATATAGAAGCGAGTTTTGTCTACAGCATGAAAAACTGGAAACTACCCGACGAACATGGTTTGACCCCAGTCATGGACACTGTTTTTGAAGCCAAACGAAAAGGAGGGAAACCGGAGTGCCCGGCGAAAAACCCTCCTGACCGGCGGTCCGAATTTGGTATTTTTGGTTTTGAGAAAAGCATTTCGAATATTTTGCCATACGCAGCCGGATTTGTCTAGTTTATGTTTAAACCAAATGTTCCACAGACGAGATATGAAGCCGCGGCCCGCAAGTTGAGCCTCTGTCAATCTCTCCTCTGTGCCGCTACCTACAATTCATCTGATGAATCTCAAGAATTGCCATGGAAGGCATGCAAATGTTTACGACCTTTCCCGAGAAAGGTTATAATTACTAAAATTTCAGCTTCTCTTGAGCTTCGTCAAACGCTCCTGGTGGTCCAAAGTAGCCCGGATATCGCTTACGGTAGCACTGGTTATATTTTACTATCATTTGCGAATTGCGAAAACACTATGATTAATTTTCTTGGCATTGCGCGCTTTCGCCTCTGACTTACATTGGCAACAAAAATTGTGTGAGCCGAATGGAAAAAGCTGGGTTTAGGAAAGTATGCGAGGACATGCAAGCACTGGCATTTTTAAATTAAACATAATCAGACAAATAACACTCAAATGCATCTCCCAGACCTAGAGGTCATTTTCAAGACAAACCTATGGATCCTTTGTTCGATTGTGGATCCTTCATTGTTTCACTGTAAATCCCTAATTGTTCTACTATAGATACTTCATTGTCCGACTGTAGATTCTTTGATTGTCCTACTGTAGATCCTCCTTTGTCCTACTGTAGATCCTTCATTGTCCTACTGTAGATCCTTCATTGTCCTGCAGTAGATCCTTCTTTGTCCTACTGTAGATCCTTCTTTCTCCGATTGTACATCTATAATTCGGTCCTACTGTAGATCCACCATTGTCCTACTGTAGATCCTTCCTTGTCCTGCTGTAAGTCCTTCATTGTCCAACATAGATCCTACACATAAATTCTTCATTTCCCTCCCAAACCATTTTCAATTATATTATTCTCAAATACAAAATAGATAGAATACAATGATAGAGTAAACATTACAAAGCAACTATTTTTCGTGCAAACAAATTGTTTCAATCTGTTCTGTGTGTGTGTCTCAGCACAGTTGTAAGCAAGATCTAATTTCATGCATACTTGCAAAATCACTTGTATTGTTACTGCTTTACTCTCCAGACAACATGCAAGGTCTAAACCAGAGGCTTGGAAGGACTAAAACTGCATGCAATCCAAAAATTGAAAATCAAGGAAGTAAACAGAAGAGTGTTTATTGTCAAGCACCGAATAATTCCGGAATTTTGTGGACATTCATTGAGAAATGCATGCTCTAAGTACGGGACACAATTTTTTTGCCAATGTAAATCATCCTAACAGAGCAATTATATGATCATATAATCGCCCTGGTTCACCGTCGCATTCGTATTGGTCTAAATAAGACTAATATGAATTTACTTTCACTTCTTTCGCAGACGCATAGTACAAAAATATCACGAGCAATGCTTTATCTTAGCTGCCGCGCCTATTCTCAACAAACTGCGCGTATGCCTTGCAATGAAATATGCATTTACACACAAGTCACAAGGTGGGATAATTGCTGGAGAGCTGCATATACTTGCTTACGATTGCGAAGCTCGAGCATACATGCGTAGAGTATATATTTTTATATATAATCATTTTCCAAAAGGGAGATATGCCACTTATGTGCAAATGCGTTCAAGGTTGGGCCACCAGGAGAACTCGCGTCCAGAACAACCACTTTATAGTAAGCATGCATTAATTCTATTAGTTCTGGATGCGAGCGGAATCAAAACTATGGTATATATATGAAATGGTATATACCAGAATAAGTGGCTTCCTCTTCCGTTGATGTTGATGCTGCTCTGCCGTCTCCCCGAATCCGCTTGTAGATGCTCTTGAAGATTCGATGGTAGATCCTTCAACGTAAATACAAATGAACGAAAATATCTTATTACCGTTGCAAACGAAATAATGTCACTAAGATGCACTCAAATTAGATAATCAGAACTCAGGAATACTCGCTTTCAAATTAAGAACACTTAGACCATTTAACCAGCATCGTAACATCATAACCAAATCATGGTTATATTGTTTAATGTTTGTATATATATGTATGAGCACGAAACATGCTTGCAACTTAACATATAGGACGAGCATTTGACCATTAAAACAGCGTGGTTATCCATATCAAAATATTTGACATCATAACCAAAGCATGGTTATATTGTTTAATGTTTGTATATGAGCACCAAACATGCTGGAAACTTTACATTGGACAAGCATTTGACCATTAAAACAGCGTGGTTATACATTTCAAAATATTTGACATCATAACCAAAGCATGGTTATATTGTTTAAGGTGGTCTAATACAAAAGATCATGATTCATTCTGTTTTAAAAATTTCAAGGGATGCAAACTTAAATGTATGCCGAAGCGATCCTGAATATTTTTTTCCAAAATAGGCGTAGAGTATGGTATATTTTTTAGGCAAATTTTTTCCATCATGTTACATCAATAATTCCTATAAGATGATACTTAAATGAGCTTACTTTCAACTGGTACACGGTACACCCAACTTCGTTACTGGAAATCCGGTTGCACGCACATCCTCCAACACGCAACTGCATGTGGATCCTTCATCGTACATACACTGAAAACATGAAAAAGAAGAAGTGTCACATGCATACATGCGATAATGCATTCAAATTAGGCCATCAGGAGCACTGGTTCTCAAAGTAAACATGCACTTGCATCAACCATGCATTACTTTCATAGTTCTCGATGTTATATTCAACTATAATACCTTGGTATTATATATATGTAATGGAGTATTACATTTATATGCTTACGTTTGATGACGCACCAACTCCGTCAGTGGAGAAATCCAACTGCAGAGAGATCCCCCAGCATACAGTGGTAGTTTCTTTAACGTCCATATAAAAAATATGATGTTACTGTCAAAAATCATGAATTTCACTTACATTTTTAGTAAATGCATTCAAAAATTTAACCATTAATTAAGAGTAGCCTACTCGTTCCCAAAGCAATCCCTTATATACACTATAAACATGCATTACTTCCATAGTTCCTGTTGTTATATTCAACTAAAATTCTTATGGATTGGCACATGCAATCGCTTACCTGCAACCGATGCACCCAATTCTGTCATCAGAAATCAGCTCGTGGATCCAACGACATCCGACTGTAGATTCTTCGTACTACCTAATTTGAAATAGAATACATGCATATGCAACTCATTAAAACATGTTACTACTAAAAAACGATAAAATTTCACATAAAATAATTGAAAACCCCTGTATAGTTCGAGTCGTCGTCTTCTCGCTCCAAAGCCATTCACATCTCGCACACAAATACAAATGTCTTATTCACTTTCCGGAAGTACGACAAAGCAACAATTTTTCATGCAAACAATTTCATTTAATTATGCACTGCATGCATGTGCTCATCAAATTTTAGAAGCAAGATCTAACTTCATGAATACTTGCATCTTTTTTATTTCCAAAACGTCGTAGACAATAACACACAACTATATTATCTCCCTATAAAGATGTCATTTCATGCATTATTTTAGGTGCTCAGAGAGCGACATTTTTAGCCTACGCCGGACTATCGTCGTTCGAGCATTCAGAAAATACAAGTGATGGGGCCCCAGAATCACTTGTATTTACTTGTTACTCGTAACAACCAGTAACCCAGGGATGGGAGTTGAATAAACTGCATGCAATTCGAAAATTGAAAATGAACGAGGTAAACAGAAGAGTGTAATATGCCTACGCATTATAATACGAAGAGTTTTTGTTTTAGAAAAGACTGAAATTATTTTAAGAGATTTGTATTTGTGTGCATTTAGTGAAGTTCCAGTGTATCATCTCACGACGGCTTGTACGAGGTCTGAAAAGAAAAGAAAGTTTGTGATTAAAAAAATTAGAACTCTGCCTCTGGTTTTAATAATCGATTTTATTGAACCTTTACATTAAGGCTGGATTTCGACTTGTAGAGAAATTTAGCTAGCGAAATATTTCCGTGTATATTTTCCTAGTGAATTTTAAACAGCACAAATCTACGCCTTTTCGATTCAGAACCAGTGCATGCTGTGCGACTTAATATGTTATAATGTTCAAGCAGTTTAACCTATCTCGCACATGGCAGCTTCAAGGGAATTCAAAGGGATGAAACTTTCTGTTCATTGCCGAACAGACTTAGTATAATCTATAAGCAGCATTCTCAGTGGGTGCACAGAAGAGCCGTCAGCTATGTTTTCATTAAGAGTATAATGCGACTGTGTATAGCCAATTAGTTAGGCCAATATAAACCCGAGGCCGGTTGTTCAAAGCTATAGGTTAGCGCCAGCCGTGGGTTAAATTTTACTCCGCTGTTTTGGTTTATAGGCTTCAGCTTCTGCACCGCTGTTTGATTTAAAACTGTACAAAATAAGACTTCTATTGATCCACAGAATATTTATGAGAAAACATGTTCAACTTCATAAACGAGCGATTAAAAAAATTGATGTGAAAATTTGAGTTAACCCTAGGTTAAGCTAACCGGCTTTTAAACAACCGGCCCCAGCTGATGAACAGACGTCTTAATATGATAGCAAGCTAAGTTTTATATTCAGCAACAAAATCCATCACAAAATGCAAATAATTTGTTGAATATACCTTTTCATAAACGTCGAACGCTTGAAGTTTCTCGAGCTACTTTTGCCCCACAGTTCGTTTTAAGTCGGAACTAAAGAAAGAAATACGATGAAGATGAGTTATTCAATTAAACTCGACCAACGCTGATTTGAAATAAAGCTAAACTAAACGAAATATCATGCTGTGTGTGGTATGCCGGTCGCTTAATCTCCTCTCGTTATAAATTCCGATAGATTCGTGCAAAAATTCGAGGACGGTTTAAACGCACAACGTACGTATAACTACAGGATTCTTTGGAAGACATCTTTGACTTCTTTCTCTTCTTAACAGATTTTCCAATTTCTTCGCAAAATATCCTAAAGATTCTTCGTTCCTGCAGACTTCAGTACATCATATAACCGCCCAGTGAAACACAGCAATTTATACTTCGCTATACCGCTTCAACTGACTCGCACCTGGCCGCTTGTGATTGGCCAATGTTCTGGAATCTATTGTTTCTCGCATGATCCTTTGTTTATCACTTTTAAAGATAGGCCGCCAGATTACCCATTAGTGCATGCCATCGAGGAAACAGAAAAACAAAAGCATCCAAACAAAGACTTGCATTGCTAATTTATTCCGGCAGCTATTTGGCAAGCTAATTAAAGGCATGTTTAGATGGAGCGAGTTATCCCGGCTAGGCGAGGTAAAAACTGCATCACATCAAAGGCTTAAACTGATTAGTCTTTCATTGTATGCAGTTTTCACCTCGCCTAGCCCGGATAATTCGCTCCATGTAAACAGGCCCTGAGTCCAACGCCAAGCACCCACTGAACTTTTCAGGTTAGGGTTGCTTCATTGTGTAAGGCCTAGGTTATACGTCGCATTTTGGCCGTGTCGAATGCAATTCACCTCGTTAAGTTCATTGCTTAAAATCGTTTGAAACAATATTCCTTCATGATGATATCTCAACAGCGCAGCTGAATGATACTATTCAAATACCAGGCCAGTGATATGATTAAAACGGTATCTCTGTCCCCAAGATTTTTTCATTTGGTAGATCATGCGGTTAAAGTAATCATACTATCAAAGTCGTGATATATAGTTTGAAGTCGTGACCTGCATGCAAGTCCGGTGTAATGCAAACAAGGCCTTAATGATTGCTGCATGATTACACCCCGAAATCCACTGCAGCGTCCACTTTGCTTTCGATGCCACGCATGCACATCATCTGTATATACAACAAAAGGATCGCTAAACTCGTATATTTAACCCTTAAACGGAGAGTTAAGTAAGATACAAAGTATATTGAGTATATTTATAAGATATCAGTATACAGGTATAGACTCAGCAGGCTAGCATGCTATTTCTGTGAGGCTACTTGGTTGGTTGATTTCAAGGCTAGCGTCTTGCAATAAAGGTTTACATGGATACATCATTGCCACCTTGTGTCAAAAATATGTCTATCCGAGTGCCGGGTGGGAAGTACAATTGGATTAATACGCCACGCAGTGGCTTAGCCAGCATGCATTAATAATTGGGAGGCCAATATTCATATATTTATGTTAACAGACTGTAAAGACCATTAATTTGAAAGGGGATTAAACCTGCGTATCAGTACATCACCACTATCAAAAATATGACAAATAGTGTCAAAAATATGTCGTGTAGTTGATACTAAAACAGTAAACTCATATAAAAGCAGAAATTGAAAACCAAATCTTATATATATAGGCATTAACGGCCCATAAACTTGAGTAAACTTTGTTACTGGCGTTGCAAAACCTAAAGCTAACCTAACCTAAAGTTTTAATTTTTTCACATCAACACGATGAACTTAATGTTCCATCACATTACGAGCGAAACGCTGAATGCTGGTTTAAAAACAAAATCTTCCTTCTTCAATACATGTTAATTAAATGTTTTTACATAACCTATTACAACAAATTTAATTAACATGCATTGAAGGCAGATTTTATTGCACCTAAAATCCAATTCCAAATTACAACCACGAGCTAAAACTACGAGCTAACCATTAATAGACCTTTCTTATAATAACGTAAAACGCGAAATGTCTGATTATACACGAAATTTGATTGGCTCCACATAACTATCGAGCCAATCAGACTTCGTGTAACATCAGACTTTCTGCGTTTGACGCATTATGAAAAAGGTGTATCAAACTAGTAATTCGGCAGTTCAGTTTAAACTGCGCTCTCTTGCGATCCTGTCGAAGGCCGTTCCACGAGTTTCGTCGTCGAGGTTTTTTGCGATATTGCACCTCGCGCGGGACTCATTTGACCCCACGCGTGACGCGAGTTTTTAGGGCGACGACGGCGGAAGATTCCCTTGAACGCTACGCGAAACTTTGGGCTGACGTAACCGTAAAGAAATGGGTTCATGGCCGAGTTAAGGTAGCTCATCGCTTTTAGACAGTCCTTGACGAACGGGTGGAGTTTGGGAACGGTGAACGCGTACATGGTACCCATTATAAAATGGCCAGCCCAACAGATTAGGAATGACGCAATGAGCAGAATCATATACTTGGCCATTCTTATATCTTGCTTCGTGCGATTTGTCGAGGACACATCGATATTTTCCCGCTGTGAGAATTCGAACCTTGATTTCACCTGCGACACGTATATGGTGAGGTAGGCGACAATTATGATCACCGTGGGGATATAATAGGACAATAGGGATATCAGGAGACCGCGTTTCTTCCATACCACGGTGTCGGTAATGAGGATCGTTATTGTGCACGAGTATCCCCATACGAGAGCGACCGCGCACTTTATGCGAAATGGCGTGAGGAAAGCGCGGTGTCGAAATGGCCAGGATATTGCGAGACATCGGTCGATACTGATTGCGCAAAGGTTCCAAATCGACGCAGTGCAAAATGTCAGGTCCGCGCAACGCCAGACTTTGAACAAGGCCAAGCTGAATGGCTTGTAATTGCGAATCCTGTACGCCAACCACATGGGCATCGGGAATGCAGCCGTGAGAAGGTCTGCAAAGGCCAACGAGGCTAGGAAGTAGTTGACTTGTGTTTGAAGTTCCTTGGTTGAGAAGAAAACTACGATCACAATCAGGTTACCAACGAACGCGACGACTATGAAGACGCAGATTATGAGCACGGTGAAAATGTAGTAAAAGTCCACAGCATTTTTCTCGGGTGTGGTGAAATTAGACATGTTTTCAGTAGCGCAGTCGAGGTAGTTCTAGAGGGATTGAGCGCTTTCGTATAGAGAGTTCTGAACACACAATCCTGATACTTCGCCCAGAAGTTGCAAAAAATGTCTTTGGGCGTTGGATCGTAAGGTTAGGATTAGAGTACTCGACACAGATCTTTGCCTGACGTAGAAAGGATGGTGTTTTTTAAGCCGCTAACCAGCGATTCCCGGTCTTGTTATTGTCACAGCAGCAACAAGCCGTTGTAGTGCTGCAGCGCAGTTGTGGATTGGTGAAGCAATTAGCGTTTGGGAGTTAATCCACTTATAAGAGTAGTCGGTTAACACGCGAGTGCCAACTATGTTAGAGATGAGTTTTCGGCTGTTTTTTTTCTTAGCCCGGTAGTTGGGAACAAAAACACGCTGCGTCTGTGAATTGTACAGATCACTGGCGATTTAATATATACCTTAGGAGTCTCACAACTCCTGCCTCAGAGTTTGAATAAAACTCCTTTTGCTTGAAATAGACTTCGATTGACTTTGAATACAACAATTTAATGTAAATTCATCACCTCGAAATCTGCTCCACGCCTTCTCTGAAGAGTTTCACACGATGTTAAAAGTAGGCACTTGATCCACTTACGATGAAGAGATACGGAAGTCTAGGTGCTCGAGAGTTCGACTGACACAATCTGTGCTGTGTTGAACGACCAGTATCTTCAAACTTAATATCCACTTCCACAGTAAGCCAACGAAAATCGCTTCAAATGCGGCTTGAGTTCTCAGCAAATACACACGATTTCAATTGCGTTTGAGACCTGTACTGTTATGGAAGCGCATAGGGTCGGAATTTCAAAAGTTTCATCAGCACCCAATTTGCACGAATTCGTCAATGTTTAATTCAAGAACACCGAAAAGATATTCTCCCACCACCTATAATTATAACCGATTAGCACATTTTAATGGAATTCACGCTCTACACGAGTAAGGCAGCGCAAAGGAGCAAGTTTTAAGCGTTTAATTAAGACAATTTGCAATGGTCCGCCGACGCAGCGAGTCAGTTAGCCAATGTTTATTTCAAAAATATGTCGAAACGTATACGCAATTACGATTTCAAATGCATCGAAGTTTGAAAAAAAAATCAATCACGTTGATGAAATCGTGCAGCACAAATTAGCCTGTTTGCGCTATCTTTCTAGCGCGAATCACTGTCGAATTATTTTATCTGTCAATGCCTGAAAATATTCAAAACGTTTTGAAAATTCGCAGTGCAAGTCGTCATGACCCCTTTGGTGAAAAATCTCAAAGACAGCTTTTTTTCTTTTGAAGATGTTTTACTGAAAGTTTTGTGCACAAAAATATCGCTTTACGAATTTAGAATTCCCACCTCGTTTCAATAAAGTTGAAAATTTTGTCTGCGCTTTTATTGGTGTTAACTCGAGCTTTGTACAAAAAACGGTTGAAAACACAACAAAGTTTCGCACCAAACTCTTTAAGGAATGCCAGAAAAAGTTGACGGTCTAGCTTCGTCCAAGTTTAGCCGTGCCTGATACGGGATGTCGCTCTCGCAATGGCTCGGAGACTAATTAATCCTCGCGCAAAACTGCGCTGTTTTTGTACATCACAGCAGCATGCGAATATATTAGCGAGGTATTCGTCATTTTATCTTCCCCGTCTTCTTTATCGGCTTTTGTGCCACGAAGAAATTATTTGATCGCGCCGGGGAACTGATGTTTAATAAATCGGCAAAAAATAAACAGCTGTGAGTGTTTATATCGAACAGCCCGTTGTAATCGATAATAGCCTTGAGATTACTATATATTTGATTTTAAGAGGAGATTTGGTTCGTTCTGATAAAATAAAGAGCTCTTTTAACACACGTCGCGACAGTATTTAAGCTGTCTGGGAAAAGGCTGCTCTTAATTTAATGGTAAATAAATGGGTGTTTTATGTGGAAATTTGCAAATTATTTTCTCTTAGTCTTAATCAAAACATTTCTCTATATTGAAAATTGAATGCTTCTGTACCGAACAAAATGGATCTTGAAACTAAAGTATGCGGATATGGGCCAGAAAAGCAATGATCCCATCATAATTCTGCTCTCATTTCATTTTGAGTCGAGATTCTTTGAAGTCGTGAGGCGTCTCAAAATCACCCTTCCGTTTGCGCTCCCCCACCTCGATACGTCATGTTATTTACGAAATAACAGGGTCCAGAACAACATGACAGAGAAACTGACTTACTACGGCGAAGTTATTTTAGGACGGGGTTAATTCAAGACCGCAATTGTCGTGCCCTGCCAGAAACTATTTATTTCAATGCATGTTAATTGCAAAGTCTGCTGATGTTGTCCGCAAGTCAAAATAATGTTCCTAAATTTAACATGCGCCAAAACAATTTATGTTGTTGTTTCGATCGACAATTTTGTTGCTCCAGTATTTGCGAGGATGTCGTTTATATAGCTGAAACATGTCGTACAACTTTGATAAATGATGTGATCGATATCGTAAATAGAAAATTGTGGTTGCAGCCGTAGCGCTTGTATGCCGGATAGTACTTATACGAGAATTGAATGTATACAGACAGAACATCCAATATATATTGGATATTTTGGTTGAGACACACAAAAGACTTTGCCAAAGAGTTGCTGCAGTGGCTGTTTGTAAAAAAAAGGCTGTTAATCTTATCCTCTCAATAGTGACAGGATTGGTCAGTCAAAATCGTTAATAGTGACAGGATTGGTCAATCAAAATCGTTAATAGTGACAGGATTGGCCAATAAAAATAGTTCATCTTTGAGTTGAATGCGATTCAACCGACCCAAAGTTTTATACTACAAATGACCCAGCTATGGCGCGCGCGAGAAACACAAAGTGCGCTTTTTCTATATGAAAAGGTTCATCAACACGAGTTTACTCTTAACTGACGTTAAATGCCAGAATTTACTAATCAGAGTCGACTATTTTGCGGTTATAACTATATGATTTAACTATCCAAAATGTAATTAGGATCTCTATAAACAACGGCGACCTGGTGCTACGAACATGATTTCGACCCGGGCTAGCGAACAACAATCTCCCATGGATAGCCGCGAGCTTATAGATTTCCTGGAAAACTTGTTTTGTCTCGGGAAACGTCAGAGGCAATGTTTTTCATCGCCCTATATAGTAAGTAGCAGCGGGCTTCCTTTCGTAGTCAACATTGTTAATCAAATGACCGCAGGGTCATTCTACGCGATAAATAAATGTCTTGTAATGGGGCTGCTTGAGACTATTCAAACGCTGAAAAAATGATTCAATCTTAAAAAAGGCCAGATGATTCACACCGTTAATTTCCTGCTGGGCGTGTCTTCGAGATTGGAATCGGAAAATCCCGCGCATGTGTCCAAAAGCCGCAAATTTGATTTTTAAAATAGCCTCTTCGCATGGAAATGGAATCGCGTCTTCCTCCCTCTTCGTGGTGGCTGTTGCATTTGCGAAGCTTTTTTTGGTCAATATCAGAACGAACATCAAGACCATGTACACGATCCACGTCGGCATTGAATTGCAGTCGGATGATATGTAATTGCAAAAACTCCAAGTATTAAGAGAATGATTGAGTTCATAACTTTGGGCAATGCCTTTGAAAGTTTGACAAATATATATTCCCAAAATCACTCTCAAATTTTTCTGTCTGAAAAATTAATTAAAACTGGAAACGTCAGGAAATGTAACTTGAATTTTAATGTGAAGATATTAGATTTATTATTTCTGTGTTGTGTAAACATGCATGTCACATATTTAATTTGAACTAAAATGGCCCAAGGGTTTGGACTTTTTGTTGGGGCTATCCACACAGGAGAGCGATTTACTCGGAGATCATGTTTAAGACAAAAAAATACCAGCACAGTTTACAAAAGGGAAACACGCCTACCATATACTAATGATACTATATATATATATAATTTAAAGCTACTTGGACAAATCTCAATCCTCTGTCCTCGGTAAATCAAGTATACTTAGGTCGCAACGAAACCCAAGATCTGGATTCAATTAGCACTTATAAAAAATATGAATTCATTATGATTTTACGATTCCCAGATTCAGAAATCATTCCACAGCACGTAACTTAATCAACGGTGAATAGACCAGCACAACTAACCATGCAGTTTCAATAAACTGCGTTTATTTTTCAATAAACTGCCGGTGTTTATTGACCATTCATATTTGGTATACCTTAACGAATTACAAACGAAATTGAAAATTGAAAAGAGACGTTTACGTGAAGAGATTTACTTCAAAACAATCAAACAAGCACAGCTCAAGTGCCAAGCATTTAAAAAACAAAATTGATAATATATCTATCGTACACAATGATTCTATAGACAGAAATTCATCTATTTCTGCCTTATCTTAGTCATAATTATCAACCGTCAAAATATAGCGTGTTAAAACAAGCATTCTAAATGCAAAAAAGAAAAAAAAAGTTGTAATAAACATCTTTTAATATGTCAGTCTGAGATTTATTCATTCCTGGCTTATCTGTATGTTATCTTTATCCAGCAACCGTCGCAGCCAGTTTAAAAAAAGCATTGTAACTACAAAAATGAACTATATATCATTTTAAACATTTCAGACTTGAATCCGTTCCAGAAAGGTTTGACAATCGTCTTAAAATTACTGAATATAGCTGTTTTCTTCCGAGACCAGACTGAAGTCTGATAAACCATTCCAAAGTTATCTTAGTTATACCTTTATCAACACGACATTTTGCATTTCAAAAGGCAAAAGAAATATAATTTATAAGGACCCGAGATACGGAGGCCTATTTATTTCAGGCTATCCGTTTATCAGCTATCGTAACACAACACACCGAATCATTTCAAAAACAAGAGTTGAAAAAAAACAACAATATATATCATCTTTGACGATACTAGAATGAACTAGTAGTCTTTTGGGCTTATCTTAAAATCAACAGAAACGGTTAAAAAACAAGCATCTGTCTTTAAATTCTATTTCATCTGGAGTTTCTCTTGCAGATATAGGTAACAGATTTATTCAGCACGGACGATCAGAAAATGGCTTTTTAATTATTATGCCATCAGGCAACACGTCATGGAGTTAACTCGTTTTTAAGATTGCAAGATTTCGCGTCGACTTAAAAAAAGTGATATATGTTAGGGATATGCAGGTGTTGTGAAATGAACGACTATCTAAACAGGCTGATTAACATACGTTTTGATTACCCAACAACCTGTCAGCATAGATTAAAAAATCACGAACAGTTTGAAATAGTTTTTTTTTGGATACCATGCGCGATAGTGTAATTATGCAATTAAAACGTATTCGAGCAATCTCATTAACATATCTAGCGCCCTATTACCTAAAACTAATCATCATTTTTCACATACTTCCCAAACCATTTTGATAGATCAATGTTAGAATTCCTCTTGTCGTGTGATAATTTCATGTCATTCATGGGAAGTGAAACAATCAGATAAAGAAAAACGCAGTTCATTTGGCTTGGAACTGAACTGGATACAACTGGACCAATACCTTTCTACTGAGGGCACGTGTAACACACGCGCGTAATGTTTCTATCCATCCTCGCGACACTTTGGTTGGTCACTTCTTCTTCAGCATTTTATGTTGCCTCCATTCGTGATGAAGGATTCGATTGATCTCAAAAGCACTCTTTGCATACTTCAAGCCAACGCATTTTATGCTTGCGCGAAGAGACTGGGGCTAGGTTTAAGTTCGCTCCGGGTGCGAGATAGCCTGCTTGAATAATAACATGAAGTGTCTTCCATAACCCGTGGAACTGGAATTACCTACTTACATTGTGGCGTTTAAATAATAGTGTAACACTCACTTAATAACACTATGCCCCGAGGGCCATATTTTTGTATGGTACATTTTGTGGGAAAGGTGCATAGGATTACTGCCTGAGGGGGTTAGGAGGGAAAACGTATGTTGCAGGTACACCCTCGTTTCGAGAGGAGAGAGGGCGTAGAACGAGAGGGAGGACGATCAGATCGAAATTTAGTTGCACTAAGTTGAGAGGAACTTTTAACACATGTTCATACATAGTAATTTCGTCAAAAAGTTATAAACAAAAGAAACTGATTACTGGAATGGCAGACATGCAAGAGAAATGTCACAGCGCTCCTTGTAGTCAATTTAGGAGGATCATTCGGCATGTCATGTCGCTCAGTTGTGTTTCTGAAATAACTTTTGACAGCGGATTACCGACAGTGATTAGAAGTCGGCGAATACTAACGCTATGTCGAAATGAAACGTAAGCTTTTATACCAGATATTTAGAAAACGTGAACAAAAAATTCACGTTAAATCTTTGAAAACTTTCTAGATTATTCCTATACCGATACTTTGTGCGCGATAAAAATCGTTTAAACAAGAGTGAGGACCACGATTATAACGGAAAGGAGTTTCCAAACGAAACGATACGATATCTCGTAGTTTGTTTTCGTGTTTTCCAGAATATCACAGACTATTCCCGTTATCACAATGTTCAAAATATAGGTTCCGTCAATAAATCGATCCAGCGATAACATCACACCCGCAAACTGGACGTTTAATTAAGAACAGGGAAACCGCCAAATACAAGCTGTCCGATTGTAAACACGCTGAATACGTATGCTAAATCACCTGCTGAAATCAAGCCGCCCCACGCAATTGAATATCCAAGTAAATCATGCACTTTCTCATGGAGTATAGCTCTAAGCAAATGTCTGAAACATACGATACAACTTCTCGGCGCTCCGAGCTAGAAGGGCCTAATTCTTTCCTCGGGAAAGTTGGCGTCCCCGTGACAAAAACTTGATATATTTTTGGCGAAGGTCTCCGATAGATTTTCGGCAATTGTTTAACCTATATCACGAGAGGCATTTGAAAAGGTTGGCTTCTAGGAACGTCGAATTTACTTGAAAAAAAAATTCCAAATTTTGCAAGCAGGAGCCAGGCATGTTGTCGAGAAAATCTTTACCATATATATGCATCTGTCATAATCTTTATATATACTATAGTGTTTTAATTTGCGTATGGAAAGACTGTATATATAATCTTTATATATACTATAGTGTTTTAATCTTTATGTATGGAAAGACTGGTTTTCGGACTGAATCAGGTCAGAACTTTGGTAGTAAAAAGTGAATTTCACACTATGATTCTTTACAAATCATAAAATAATTGATGCCGGTTATACTACCAGGCTGTACCCTATTGGTCGTAATGAACTCTTAGACTTTACAATTAGTTTATTTGTACTTATTGTACATAGCACTGTTCAAATAAATCGCATGAGATTGCTGAATGGTTACCGTGTTTGAGCAAAATTCTTCGATACAAAATAAAAATACGAAACATTAGTCATTACAGTCGCCGACAGCGAGATTTGAAATCAGGCCTTTGTAGGCCTTTCCTCTCGATGGTATACTAAATGGGGAGAGTCATGGGCACGGGATTTCCTTCGTATGACACGATATTAGGGAGCTTTAGCAGTGACTACGAGTACAAGATTCGTCATTTTCGCGCCAAGCTTTGTGCTGTTGCTTACGCCATCTGATTTGATGAATAATTTTGTCAAGACGAACTCGTTCTCATAATCGATATTTCAAGAAATATTTCTCTTATTTACAATTCTGAATCCGAAGCAGACACTTCGTTATTCTTTCCATGCAGTCTGACAATTTGTTGCGACAATACCTTGATCTCTTTCAAGGCCGTCAAAGCGTCGACAGCATCAATTGTATCAACTCTCTCGACGCCGTCTTTGGCTTGCATAATGCTCGCCTCTGATTTGCCCTTCGCAACAGATTCCTCGGAACTTTTTTCTTGTTTCTTCATGACGGCATAACCGTTTGGGACACTGTTGTCTTTTCCTGAATAAAAAACGTATGTAAGAACGTTTAGATGCAAAACGGCATTCGCCGAGAACAGCCAAACGATTTCAAGATAGCACTGATGACGAGAACATGATTTGTAAACAATGCCAAGGCTCCCGCTTGCTAAAACTACCATAGGAATTTCAATCCATTATTCATCCATTATTAATCGCAACTTACTTTGGTCAACGAGTTGCTAAATAAGTTATCACTTTTCCGTACGATACGGGGGAAAAACGCCTGAGGTGGAGATCGCATTCATGTAATCACCACCTCTGCAAAGTGAATCCGAAAACTTACTTCGTTGTAATTAATTATTCTTAACAACAGTAAACAAAAGACAGTCTTGACAAATTCGGAATTATAATTGTTTTTCTTTCTCTCAGCCTTAACGCAAAGGTGAAAATATGCGATTTGCATAGAGGAGGTTCTTTATAACGGCGCTTGCATTTGTTTATTGTTTTCAAAAGGTACGAAAAATGTGTCACTCAACAGATTAGAGGTTACTAATCTTACCGGAGACGGGCCGTGATCTCACAACATTACTCCGATCTTCTCGTATTCTGACCATCAGCAGATTCCTTTCCTTCTCAACATCTTTCAACCTCTTCTCAACTCTCGCGAGCCTCTCTCCATATTCTTTCTCGATATTCGCGACCATATTCGAAGCCTGCTGCTTCTCGCGGCTCGCTTGCCTCTCAGAATTCCTCAAAGCGGCCACAGTTTTGGTATGCTCGCGTCGAGCATCGCTCAGTTGCTTCTCCAAGACGGCCAAATCTTGGGCGTTTTTGAGTCTTTCTTCCCCCATCGCTTTCCGGTGTTCTGGGATGGAAATCGCAGAAATCTCAACATAACCATATAGTAATTGACCACAACAAAAAAGATGGCGGATGTACATTTTACCAGAATGCATTGCGGTCAGAAATCGTCTAGAAAAGCGAACTGACGTCTTTTAAAGGACAGGCATAAAACAGAAAGTTATTTTCTTCGCTGTGTTAAAATTTCACGTCATTAGGAGTTTTTCTTGCCATCTTTTTTCAGTCAATCATTCTTAATGCCGGCAATGCATTCTGGTAAATTGTACATGCCGCCATCTTTTTCGTTACGGTCAATTCAGAATATATTTTACCCTGAATTTTTTATTTTGACCGGCAAAAATGGGCGGTCGACCTGCTGTAGGGATGACTCAACTCACCTTCTTCTAAGATAGTTTTTTCTTTACTCAAGGACAGTTTAAGCTCCTCGATTGTTTTCGCAGCTTCTTCAAGTTCCTGGCATTTGGTGTCCGCTTGCTCTTGCAACGAATAAAGTCTTTGTTTGTTTTCAGACTCTGATATTTGGAGCTATATACGAGAATTGTACTTTATTTATACTGGATAACTCTATCAGATCTAAACTGTTCTTCCTAGAGGTCCAGTAAGGATAATGTCTTATTGATCTAGTGTTACTACAGGAGGAAACCTAAACTAAACTAACTTTATTTATACTGGATAGCTCTATCAGTTCTAAACTGTTCTTCCTAGAGGTCCAGTAAGGATAATCTCTTATTGGACCAGTGTTACTACAGGAAGAAACCTAAACTAAACTAACTTTATTTATTCTGGATAGCTCTATCAGTTCTAAACTGTTCTTCCTAGAGGTCTAGCAAGGATCATCTCTTAATGATTCAGTGCTATACTACAGGGGGAAACCTTATTTCACGCTGGATAGCTCTATCAGTTCTATCACGGCTAAAAGGACGAACTGCACACCTTTTCAATATGAATATTTTTTTCCTCAATCATAGTTTCATAGTGTTCCTGTAGTGCGGAGGTCTTTTCTTGCAAGGTTTGGTTGTGTTTCTTTGTCTCGTTCAACAACACTGTTCTCTCTTTCAGAAGTTTTTGGACTTCAGATCTTAAATGCTCTTCATTCTCACGAGGAAACTCGTCTATAGGCGGATTGGAAAAAGTAATGAGAGCCATAGCAAAATATGGACAAATCTTCATCACACTAATTACAACCGTATAGGGAAGGATCCTTCGCGATTTTTATGATGTTCGTATGACAAATCTTACCAGAATTGGTCTGGCTGTCTTGATTAACGGCATCACAAGTCTTTAATTTCTGTTGTGAGTCCCGGTGAGATAAAAACTCTACAAATAAAAACGTCAACACAAATTTAGCTCATACTGTAGGCAAATCCATAAAGCCCGTTTCACTTGTATTAATTTTGCTGCGATTTTCTTCTTTTGAGAGATGTGAACGAGTAATTAGTTAGGAATGCTCTGATGTATAACAGCTCTTATTTGAACATCAGTAACTAATTCACTCGTTCACATCTATCAAAAGAAGAAAATCGCAAGGTGTAATTATACATTACAGGGGAAACGGGGCAAAACCACAATGGTTTTCTGTATGCACGCTCTTTTCAATACATCTTCAAGACGTTGTATACCTGATATAAAAAGAATTCGTGAGGAAGCGAACTTTAATCGTTGATCAAACGAGGCTACTCTGCCAACGGCTTTGTTTAGACATGTCAACGTCGTCGCTACCAGTGCCTCCACTGTTCTCGTAGACCTGTGCAGAGCTTGAATTTGTGTCGACCATTGTTTTTGCCGTTTCTTCAACACGTCGTTTTCCGCAAGAAATTTCTCTTTTTCTTCTGTCAGTTTTACGCGTTTGTTAACTTCCAGTTCAACGGCAGCTTCCTGGTCCGCGAGCTTGTGATTCAGAATGGAAATGCTTCGTTCAGACTCTTGAAATTTGACATTTAAACTTTCAAACTGAAAATCCAAAACGCACGATGAAAAATGCTTGTAATGGAATTTGAGGGTGGAATTATTAGACAATTGTAAATATACTTTAGGACAAAAAGTAATTTGTTTGGGTACAAAATTATTAAAAAACCCCGAACCTTGGCAGTCTCTTTTTGTTTTGTTTCATTTTCGACGATTTTCTGTGACTGCAGTTGCACCATGAGTGCGAACACTTTTTCCCTCCACGTACTCAATACACCCTGCCTATCCCTCACACACCCCGCTACACCCCCGTGCCTGCTCAGTTCCGCTTCTTGAATCGAGACGATTTCCGAAATTGCCGCAAGCCTCACGTTCAGCAGTTTCATTGTCGACGTCAAGACATTGTTCTCCTCCGTGAGTGCTCGTAAGTTGTTCGTGAGCTCTTCGTTGTTTTCGCTCAGTTTCTCAACCTCTCGACTCGGGCGAATCTCTCCGATGTACGAACGAAGTTGCTCGACAGTTTTCGACAGACTTCGGACTTCTTCGTCTTTTTGAAGCAGGTTATCTAAAGCGACAAAAAACACAATAAACGACCAGGAAGAATCACAGAACTAGAAATATACTCTTTCTTAAACCCTTGTTCAAAAGCTGGTTAACAGGTTGTATGAGAACTTGTATGAGAAATAATGCCTTATTCCAATGGAAAAAGGGAAATACCCTGAGAACGAGGTTGGTCTTATTCTGTGAAGTTCAGAAAACAATGGCACAAATATATCAGCAAAAATAGCGCCATTAGCGGGTCGGAAACTTTTGTGTAGAGTTTGACGCGAAAAGTCATTCATTTTCTATACCGCACCTTGGTACTCTTTCCTTTTTTCGCAAAGAATCTGATCTTTTGAATGCATCTCATTTTCTAGTTGTGTCACTTTCATTTTGCATTCGTATTCAATCTCATCCACTTTAGCTTTGCACTCTATCTCCACTCTGCTTAGTTGCTCCTCATTCAACGAAAGAGAAGATCTCAAATCAGATATCACACTATCTTTTTCTTGTAATTCACCTTGCAAGGTGGAACACTTTTTCTTCTCATGTAAAAATCCTTCTTCAATCTTTTTGAGGTTCTCTTCACTTCTCCCAATATCCTCCATTATCCTGACTTTCTCCTCATGCAGCCTTGTTCTATCCTGTTCTATCCCATGTCTTTGCTGTTCCATTTTGCTGACATCCACACACAGCCTTTCAAAATCATTTTGAAACTTATCGTTTCTCCTCTTCAGATTTCCTCAAATCTCCTTCCATTCTGTCTTTGTCAATTTGTAATCTCTTAAACTCCTCTTCGATTCTCATCTTATCCCTCATGATCCTATCATGTTCATCAGTAGCCTACAAGATACATAAAAAACTAAATATGTATATTTTATACAACTAGCCAAATGTAAATTGCCACTAACCTGTCTCTTTTCTTCACTGAGCGTTTTGCACTTTCCTTCCATTTGTGTGAGCATATCAGCTTTTAAATTCCCCTCAGCAGAAACCTCTTTCAGTTTTGCAACTGCCTCACAGATCTCTTGTTCTTTAGCACGAACAACACATTCAAATTCCAAATCTCTAGTCTCAATCTTCCGTTTTAAATAGCAGTTTGTCTCAGCAGAACGCCTGAAATCTTCAACTAACTTTGAATAGTTTTGCTTTAAACTGGAATATTTTCTATCTGTCTCATGCAATTTAGACCTGCAAAGAATAATTAGGGACTATAATACAATGATCAAGAATGGCGAAGCTTATGCGTTAGGTATGTAGCCAATGTAAGTTACAATAGTTGCATTAAGGTTATATACTAATGTTTTCTGCATTAAAAACAAGGTCATGCCAGAGATGGTGACTGGTGAGATTTAGGTTGTCAATGGTTAGGGATCCATGCTTACCTGGCATAACGAAGAGGTGAAGAATCTCTAAGGTACTTCACCATTGAAGCACTTTGAAGATTATGTTACATGTGGTTACATTTTTGCAGGGGAGGGATGTACTGTATGGTGCATTTGTGAGATGCATACCACGGTTAAGCTCCGAGGCGAAATATAATTAAGCCTGCAAATAAACATGTTGTTATAAAACTTCCTATTCTATTGTTATTACCTCATGTCTAAATATTCTTGCCCTTTACCCGAACAAGCTTTCTCCGTTAAATTAAGTTTCTCTCTTGATCTTTTCAAGTCCCTTTTAAGTTGACAAACAACTTCGGAAAGTGCATTCTTGTCTTGTGATTCTTCCTGCAAAATCACAATCTCCCGTTGCAGCTCGCTAATTTTGCGCTTCGCCTTTTGCAATTCATCGTTTAAAAACTCCTCGTTCACAGCGAGATCTGCCGTTTTTTGCAAGCTTTTTAAAGCCGGCTTATGATCACCTTTTTGTTCAACTATTTCGGTTCGTTCAGGCTGTACTTTGCTGCCGATCTTAGCCTTATGGAAAGTTTCATGCTTCTCATAAGTTGACGGAGGTAAAAGCACAGGTTTTGTGCCATCCGCTGTTGTTTTCCTTGCGGGATCTTTGTCTGGTTTCGTAAAATGCGAAGGAGCAAGAAATTTTGGATTTGAGAAACCCGCCATGTTTGTTTACTACTCACCAGTCCTCCTTTCTTGCTCGCGAGCTGTAAATATTATTTTCAAAACTTCTCATATTTCAAAATATATTTTCACTTTTTATTTAAAATTAGCTAAAATATATAACCATTTCCCTCTGCCACTACCAATAGGAAAAATAACTACAAAAATCAAGAAAACAAAGTGCTTATTAATTAATTAAATTACTTATCTCTAAAGTCTAACCTGTAATTCAATTCGTAATAGAAAATCGTGGACAACATGAAGTATCCAAACACGAATCATGGAATCCGCTGCAAAGAATAGGTACTCTGTGGGCTCGTTTTATTTTTTCTAAAAACACGTGAACTTTTACTATTGAAAAAAGAAAAATAAATCGAAATATAGGATAATACAAATATCACCCATGGGAAAACTTCGTAAAAAGGTATTCAAATAAATGTTTATATGGATTACTCACCGCGTACGTTGTGTAGGCGTCGTGATTGCTGGAGCGATCGCATTGTTTACAACATCAAGAATTCTGAACGTATAGCACTCACAATCACCCCTACAAATGTCATATTTAAAACCGTTTATAAGCTGTGAAATCTTGTATTTTCGGAAATCGATTTACTGTTTGCTGAAATACACTGAATTTGCAGTAATTTAAGAGTTTATGTTGTAACTGATAAATCTGACATTGAAATAAATCAAATAATCCCCCAGACTCTATTAAATACTGCATTGAATACGAGATCAAGGGTAGTGTAACTTAAAAAAATTCCCACTAATTCATAGTGTTTATTAACCAGAAATATAGTAGATAGGTACAAAGGAGTCTTACCCAAGTTCCCTTACAGTTGCCATATGAAGTGCCCCATATGAAGTGTCCCATACCATAAGTTTACGTTGAATGTTTACAAATGCTTCCTTTCCATTCTATACTGCTATCTTATTAAATAATAATATAATATCAAACACAATATTCGTTCACTATACTTCAAAATTATTACAACGTAAAGTTTGTATCTAAAAAAGTTCAAAAAATGTCCATTCATCTTACCATTATAACATTACTTTCCTCAATTATTTTAGGGGGAAAGTGGTGCAGCCACTCTTTACATTGCCAGAAACCAGGCACTCACAAAATTACAGCTTAGTTTACCCGACTTCAGGTTGGTTATTCACATCCATCTTTCATAATCAATAGCATATATCTAGGAGAAGGCAGGGTAGGCCTTTTTGTTCCAAAAGATTTCCAAAACTGTTCTTCAAAAAAATGTTTTAATGAAAAATGGAGAAAGGGTTCAACACCCATAATAACAATCACTGATCATAGATCTCCCCAAAGTCAACAGTTTAATTATGCCACCAATACTGGTCCATTTTCTGGAATCCTGTGGGTTCCCTTTGGTATCAAACTGAAGCAAAAAAGTTATCTATACTGGATCTAGAGCAATTTGTGAACAGTTTACAACATGCCATACCATGGATCACAGACAGACAATGACACTGACAATCATAACAAACTTCTTAAAAAGCATCCTCCTTTTGTGTTTCACCATGTTTGATATTTCCTTTTTAAGGCGTTTGTGTATCCTCAAAGGAATTTATCCGGTCGAACCAAAGAATAAAAAGAAAGTAAATAAAGGAAGCAGTGCAAACAGAACATATTATTATGTCAAAGACATTCAATGGCTGGCACATGAGCCAGTGTTGAACAAGTTTAGAGAGTTTAAGGCATTTTTAAAGAAATTAAAGAAAGCAATTGGAAAAGAAGAACCTGGAACTGCTGACAGATTGGAGCAAAATAAACCAGTCTACACCCTTGATCATATTGTGAAAGAAAGGTGAGAGAAGTTGGTGCAGTTCAGTCAATCTGTACTTCATTCATGTCATCAATAAAAGATATGTCAGCTAGTTTGTCACTCCAGCAGATGTGTTTATGGATTAATGTATCAGAGGGTTAACAACAATGTTTAAACATTTAGATATCCAACTTTTATTGATGCGATTCGAGACCTGGATGATGCTTTATCGATGGTGGTTTTATTTTCAACTTTACCACAAACAGACAAAGTTGAGGTAATGTGTCTACTGTGTATACAATGTAAAAAAACCCTGTTGCATTCAAGCTCTTTATGTTTTGGAATGTCATATACATACAGTACAACAGTAAAGTTTTACACATACATTTTTTTTCTCTTTCAAATAGGGAAAAGTTGTGAAAGATTGTAAAAGATTATATGGTTAGTTAGTTCCTAGCTTAGCAGGCACACACACAATCAAATGTTCATGTATATTACATGTGTAACTACAATAGGCATCTGGATAAAAAGTGGATGACAGATATTATTTATCAGAAATAATTAGCTATGGTAGTTTCATATTTAATCTTTGTTTTTAGTGGAGTTCCAACACTACATCTTAGCGTCAAAGTCCTTGAGAAAGGTATATACTATCTGTACTAAAGGGATGACTACATTAGTTTATGTAGAAGATCTACATGTAAGAGTCCTAAATTGCCCCACTGCCTCAAAATAAATATATGATATACAGTATATGTGTTTCTAGGTGTTCTTTTCAATCAAGGGCATATATTACCAAGCTGAAATCTCAGGTCATCCGGTAACCTGGATAACACCTCACACTTTCTGTCAAGATGTAAGTTCGAACATTGATTAACCTCTTTTAGCTTAAAAACAATAATACAGGAATCTGTGTAAGTTTAGATACAATTCATATGCAATAAAAGTATAATCCCTGATATTTAAGAGAGTTTCTAACTACTGAATATAAGCTGTAAAACAATTCTCTTATCACTCTAGATGCCTGCAGATGTTGACTTCAGGATAATGTTGACTTTCATTGAATTTTATACAACATTGATTGGTTTTGTCAATTTTAAACTGTTCAACATGGTCAACTTACTTTACCCTCCCAAGGTAGGCATTATCAAGACCTGTTGTATTAAGCAGTTGTTTTGAACATCATAGAAAGCCAACTTTTTAATTTCAGCTTACCACGGAAAGCACGACAGACAACAACAATTCATACTGTGAAGAATCTGAGCTGGAGACAGAAGTATGACTTTATCCTCATCTTGAACCCACATTTTGTTAAACTGTAGTAAACTTTTTCCCAGTTGCAAAAGTGAAAAGGGGAATGTAAAATTGACCAGATTCACTTGTTTTTCTACTGTCTAGGGTTTAGCAGCTTTAAGTCAATCATTATTAACAGTCCCCAAAGGCAAGTACTAAAACATAATCTTCCAAAACGGCTTCAATTGGACCCAAATATCTAATTGCATTTAACAGTTACTATATCCAGACATTTTTCTCTTGTACAGAATCTGGTGATGATCCAACTATAGACGAATTTCCATTAGAAGCTGAGGTACAGTATATATATATGCAAGCTAGCCCAGGGAGTTGTGGCTTAATAGTGATTTAGCTGTGGCTTAATAGTGATTTACAACCTCATCAAACGAGCACAAGAGTTGCATAAGAATTTTCAGGATACAGTATTACTACAAGTATGAATGTAGGATCAAGTGAGAAAACCTGAACTGACAAACAAGAGTCCTGAGACTTTTTCATTTAAGTTTGCAGTGTGCCAGTGTTTTGTGTATGGCATCAAATTCAACGATAAAATGTAATTTGCAGGCAGATGACGAAATGGCGCAAAAAGTGAAAAAAGAACAAGAAAGTGTGGAAAGATTACTCGAGCTATTTTCCGAATGCACAATATTTTTATCAAGAGAAGTTCCTCGAGAAAGTCTAGTGTTTATAATCAGGTAACGTCTTTCTTTGTTATCTATGGCAAACTTCACTCTTCGCAATTTAAAACAAAATGTTTGCGAATGATTACACTTTAAGAACTACCATTGGTTCGATAAAACGAGACAGTTGAGAGACTATATATAGTCTTCCTGTTTTAGGAGTTTTGGCGGGAAAGTATCGTGGCCAAGTTCAATGGCTCTTGGATCGACATTTGAAGAAACGGACGAAACTATAACACACCACATTATTGACAGACCTTTACAAGGACACAGATTCTTATCCAGGTAACGAGAAGTCTTGGGGGAATGGACTTATGAAGATATCTATATTGTAATATCAACGAAACTTTGCACGAACCATCGTTGTTTCTAGAAGCTATTCAAGTCGAGCTTTTGTAAGGGGCTGTTTACATGAACCCATTGAAATGAGCAGATAACATGATCCTGACAGTCGTATAATCACCACAACAATAGCATGTGCTTGTTTGGTGTCATAAATACTTATTTCAATGCCTCAAAGTCCTCTCACGCTTCGTTGAATCTCGGGTAACCGGGCTCATGTAAACAGCCCCTAAGTTCTGGTTGCCCTGAAGAAGACTGTGATTACAGAACTTGGCTTTGATAGAAGGTTTGTTTACGGACTAATTTTGTGTCTCGTTCAACAGATATTACGTCCAGCCACAGTGGATAGCTGATAGCGTCAACTACAGACGGCTGCTTCCCGTGGAAGATTACTTTCCAGGTGTGGACCTACCCCCCCATCTCTCCCCGTTTGTGAAGGAAGAGGAAGGAGACTATATCCCACCTGAAAGACAGGCCATGTTGGAAGAAATGGACGAGGAAACGAGAGAAAACGACAAGGAAGGTTGGTGTGTTAAAATATGATGCAAAAAATCGATTTATACAACTGATAAGGCCTGTCCAAACTTGGAGCAGAGTTGTGGCGATGCTCTTTGAACCGTTTGTTATATGAATGTGCTTTATCGCTGTTTCTTTTCAACGTTATAAATGGGTTGCATCTTCTTTCAGAAGCAGAGCAGGAGGAGAAACCAACGATGACAAAAGAGGAGAAGAATCTTGCTAAGATGGTGATGCCGAAGAAAAACAAAAGATTGCTGGAAAAAATTGAATATTCCAAGAGGAAAAAGGCCTCACAGGTAAGCACGGGATGACAAAGAAAACGAGAATAACTTTTCTTTTGAATGATGCAAAATTTATCTCAGATAAATACAAAGCACGCTGTATTCTAAAATCTTTCATATACATCAATTTCCTTGTTCCATTATTGTTCAGGTGAAGAAATTACACGAGAAAAGGAAAGCCATCGATGAACAGAAATCATCAAAGAAAATCAAAACAAAACATTGAGGAACCAAAACGAAGAATCCTTTGTCGCATGTTTTTGTGATGGCATGCATGTCGTATAAATAAAAAATGCACAATTACTTGGATGAGAGAAAAATAAAATGGACTATTATAACATAATATAACGATATTATACAGTGTATAGCCATGGATGTGTACAGTTTTCATATTATATATGATTACGAACTTCGTAATCGACGTATGTAAACCTAAAGAAACCAGAAGAAACCATAGGCAGCCCGGTCAATGCGGGTACCATATACTATCTTAGGTATATAATGATACTTATATATAATTATATACATAAGATAGTACCGCATGCAATTGACCGGGCTGCCTATGAAACGTTGCAAAATTATACGATTCAATATTTGTAAAATCCCGGAAATAACAATTATAGACTAAAATTTTAATATTTCCGGTTCGGTTATTTCCGGTTTCGGCGGTTTAGTGTCAGTATTAAAAGTATGACGAAAGACGTATTAAAAGCGAAGCGAAAAAACTTGCAATATTGCCCTGTTTCATCGCAAAGAAAATAGTAAGTTATCTAATTTCCCCCTTTTCCTATAAAATGCTTATCAAAGATTCTATCAAATCTTTGCTGTGAATATTGAAAACAAGAAGACGTCTGCGATGACGCCACTCTTTCAATTTCAAGTTTCTGGACAGAGCGCTTATATACTAGGCCCTCCTTCATATTTATTTAGAAGCGTAGCGAACTTACAGTAATAATATACCTAGTCCTATAATCCCTAAATCTTGTTAGTTATTCAGATAGCATATGCCATAGTATAGAAGTTAAAAACTAAAATATAAAACGTTGCATTCAGTTATTGTATGGAGGTCAGTTGAAAAAAGGCTGAGCTCTATACAGTAACTGAAAGGCTTCAACTGACCTCTATACAATAACTGCAAGTGTAGCGTTAGTGTGAGTGCAACGTTATATATTTTACTGCTAAAGCGCCTGGGTACGAGGCTGAACAAACCGTTTGTTCACGTTCAGACATGACTTCATTTTAAGTTTATAAGTAACCCTATGCCTATAGCGGCTATAGCTATAACTGCGTGTAATATGTCTTCACACTTCATTTTATTGACTTAAAACCTAGGTAAAAAGTTAAGTGGTCTGCGATTAGTGCACTACAATCATTGCGAGACGAAAAATTAGTGATACGATCCAGTGAACTCATTTGTATACTAGATTAACTCGAACCACTGAAATTTTTAATAGGGTATCGCTGCTCTGCATGCGTATAGCGGAACTGCGTGGCCTCTGCTGCGTGGCCTCTGCTGCGTGGCTATTGCTAAGGTGCATGATTGCAGCACAAGTGGCCAGATCGCATGCGCCATGTTTATCTACAGTTGTCGTTCGAGCTGATCGGGCAGTAAACGCTAGTTGTTCACCAATTTTTTTGAATGTTAAAATACATTTTGCACCGAGACAGGATACACACACTTGCGACCACAAATAAAGGCTGTTTTCCACTGATGCGTTTTTCATACGCACGTACACGCACGTAAAAGTCTAAATCCTTGTACATGTTACCTTTGAAAAAGCTAAGTGAATAAATCGAAGGAACTTAGTTTTCTGCATATTTTAGTATGCATTAGTTGACCTAGATGTTACATAATAAAAATTTAAAAGCATTTAAAATTTTCCGTACGTGTACGTGTGTATAAAAAACGTGTAAGTGGAAAGCAGCCTTAAAAAAACCAACCAAAACCGAGGCCAATTTTCAACTCCGTCACAATGAACTTCTTTTCATTCGCATATTCCTGCAGATGTCATCGCCACTGGGAAAGTTTTGGGAAGATACTAAAGCCGTGGTAAAGAACACCGTCATCGCAACTTGCACTTTTGAAAACGATACACAATATCCCGTTGAGATTGTTGACCACGATGGAACACGCACTTTGAATCCAACGGAATCGGAAGGCAACTACCTCGTCAGGGGCTTCAGCGTCGATCTCATCATGAAATTACCAGAAGGAAAGGAAGCCAAGATTAATTTCCCATCAAGTAGATTTGAGAATCGAAGACACAAGATGAGTGTGATTTTTAAAGATCATACAAACGAACGTCCACTGGAGGTACTCGAAACCATTTCCAGCTGGAAATTCCTTTACAACCATCCCGGTGGCTGTGAAATGAAAGTTGAAATGACCAGTAAACACAGCTGGAAGAAAAAACAAGACATTGCCATTGGAGCAGAAGGAGAAGCAAAAATAGGAGCGATGATTAAGGCAATCGAGTTGAGTTCGTCGTTTAAACTTAATACCAAGCTGACTCAAGTCGATGAATGCGAACAACAGATCACTGAAAGCAGCGTCCGCACTTTTAAAAATCCTTGTTACCTCTGGCAGGAGACTGTTGTCATTAAAACGAACCAGCCCCCGCCGTATCACGTGTTGGAAATTCCCACACCCCACACAGAGATGACGACAACACCAAGTGAACCGGGAAGAGACAAGGCCATCTATGCTCGCTGACTCCTTTTCGACTCCAACCGTTTTTGCTACTAATATTTTAACGCTTTTTAATCTTCTAACGTTTCATGGCCTAGCTATTTTAAGTACGTGTATGTAAGCGAAAGCCGAAAGGTGTATTGCAACAATACGTAAACTAATTACTGCGTGCAACAACGATGTTCTAATTCTAAAGAGTTATGAAAACCGATTTTTTGTTGACATCAGAAGCAAAATTCTATAAAGCGAAGGCACGAAGTTGCTTGAGTGTGGTTACTTTAATAAATGATATCATACATAATTTTTTTAAGAGAATTCACAGCCTGCATGGTCATGCTCCACCACAATCGATAAGTAATTAAGCTTGTAGGTACACCACTGTGCAATAATGAAGGCCAGGGTTAACGGACCGAAAGCTTTGCAGTATTAAATACTTACGAGGTGTACCTACAGGCTACAAGCTTAATTACTTAGTTTAGATATGGTTTGATTATTTCAGTTATCATTATTAGATTATTTTGATTATGAATTATTTCGTAGTTTGAATTAATTTAGCATGATCCTATTTGATTTGCATGAGAAGTGATTAGGTGTTAGTGCAATCAAAGAACATTAGAATATTGAATTCATTGTCAGACAAGCGTGCGAGAGAACGATAGTAGAATTTGTGAGTTTGACAATCAGTGGAGATCCACTCTTCAGGTACTGTGAGTTGTGATTAAGTTTGTTTCTATAATAGTTTAGCTGTAATCTAATCAGAATCCAATCAATTTAGAATTTATAATATATTACGAAAAATCTCCATTGGATTGTGTCTGATTTCGCCTAATTAGAAACAAAATTATCAAGCCTCAGTTTGACAGACTTCGGCTTGAAAAAATCTTCATATAATTTTCAACCTCATTCAATTAAATAAAACGTTTCATCGACTGTTTTTTTTATTAAAATGGCGATGAAATGTTCTGATTTTAGTTTCTGCCTTTGAGGCCTGACATGATGCATCTCGAGTTAACATGCATGTTTGAAAAATATCCTTATGTATACACGTATATTATTTAAACATAGTTTGTTTTGTACTATATATAAACATTATAAAATATAAAATATATTAGTCTCTCAATCTAAGTATTAAGTATCAAGATATACCCGAACATATAAAATGAGAGAATGAAACTAAAGATAGCTTTGGGACAGAGGAACGAAAGCTAACAGACTGCTAACTGCTAAACACAATCTACTGTAAGATCTTACCTCAAAAGTCTCCCTTTATAGCTAGCTCTGACAATGCAATTTCTCTTGCTATGAAGTCAATATTTTCATGCGTCGTTCCTCTTCTGCCTTGTCCTTTAACTGCTGTTTACGATCTTCTTTTTTCTGTTCAATGGAACCCAGGACAAGCTCACTGAAATAGATAAATAAATGAAGAAATACAGATTTTCTCTGGTAGTAACACTGGATCAATAAGAGATGACCTTTACTGGAAGAACAGTTTAGAACTGATCCAGTATAAATGAGATGATTCTTTATGGACCTCTAGGAAGAACAGTTTAAAATACATAAAGTTATCCAGTATGAGAGCATGCATTTAGTTCGGGTGTTGTTTTGTGTAGTATAGCTACTTTAAAATATCGACTATAAAGTGCGGCTATGTATATACCCAAATTACCTGTAATTTATTTCACCATCTTTATCTTTGTCCAAAGACTCAACTAACGTAAGCAGTTCAGAATCATTCATGCTTATTCCGGTTTCCTGAAACCATGAAATACAATTAACAATATTATGACATGCAGGCTTCCTTGTGTAGAACCACTGGATCCATAAGAGACGATCCTTTCTCTAGAAGAGCTGCATGAATCAAGACAAGACTGCATGACAGTTTAGAGCAGATAAAATGAACGAACCTGCAAGCCATTTACAAACTCCTGTATGCTAAGACTCATACTCTTATCCTTGTCCATCATGGAGAAGAAGTCATAAAGTCTCATTTGATTGTTCTCGATGTAGTTTTTCAAGATCTTCATCGGAGTTGGACGCTCTTTCGGTTTCTCGTTAGCGCCACCAGAGCCACCGTGCGATATCTTGATGTCGGGTCGACTCTCTTCGATTTCTTTCAAAATTGTTAAAAATTCTTGGTTCACCGTTATATCCTGAAAAGTGCATATTATAGATATTTTAGTTGATAATAGATACCGATATGTCGCTATCTGCTACCTTTTCGATTGCAGAAAGTTATGCCTTTTCTGACAAAAATATACGATGGCAAGTGGAGAAAAAATATGGGCAAAAAGAGGCCAGTTTTTACTCAGAATTGATGTGTCATAACAAATATTTCAGTGTAAATATGTTTTCCTGATGACTGATGCATTTAGTTTCGCAAAAAACTGTCTTTATATAAGACGTCATGCCAGTGACCATCTTTAGTGCACTAAACTCATGGGAAACTCACCATTAATTCAAGTTCTGTTATGCCACAGGATGGGTTGTTTTTGAGCGCGAGCAATAGAGCTGTCGCCCCAGCGCTTTGCAAAGGATTTTTACCCAGCTATATTGGATGAAGATGAAAAAGGTAAAGTGAACCCGAAAAGCAAAAGAAACGGAAGTATGCTCAAGATACGACATCACATTGAATGGATACAAATGAAAACAATATTCCTCTAACCTTGAGGACTTTCAGCGTGTTGTTTACGCCGAAGACTTTTGCAAGACAACCAGCCCCAGCGCAAGATATGCGGTTATTTCTAAGTGGAAAGATTTTAAAAACATTGCAAGGCCTGGCCTGATTTTGATGTGCGCGTTTCACTGCCTATGTCAATACATTCTAGTACCATTAGCCTAGTCTAACAACGGTATACGACCAATAGCTTGCAACTAGCAAAATGTATAGTTATTAAATGAACAGTAGTATTAAAGTCAGCTCATGCACGATTCAATTTTGTCGGATCCAATTCACTTCTGATGGATGTTTTATAATCCGTTGACCTGCCTGGGCGGCAGATCAACTGCAGTACTGCTTTATCGATAACAAACTACATTCATATGTAAGAAATTAATGAGTTGGATCCGAAAAAGTTGGATCGTGTGATCGGGCCTAGCTTTTAATTGAAAACTGGAACACTCGTAAAGAACGAAATGTCCAAAAAAGCCGGTCAGCAATCGTTTGGTAAGTTCTGTTCAGACAATTCACAATGCATTAATTTCAGATTGAAAACAATTAATTATCGTGATGTCTATATATATATGCCTGCATGCATATGCCTGGATACACCCCCACGGCTCCGCGTAAGACTCCTTTGATGGTAGAAAAGATTTTGCAGAAACATTTTTAACATCTTACGTGAGATCAAGCTCTTCCAAAGTTGTGTTAACTTTCAAAGCCTCGCTCATGGCGTAACAGCCGTCATCTCCAAAGCCATTCCAAGATAAGTTCAAGACTTTCAAGTAGGTATTCTCCTTGAAGAAAATATAAAAATGTTTAAAACATAATAGCATACTTCATGAGATGATAAGGATATAGTAACCATGCAATCCAGTTTAGAACTGATATACACAGAATGACTGATAGAGCTATACTCAGAGCTATATTCAGTATGGATAAAGTTAGTTTGCAGTGACATGTATTAATAAGAGAAATAATATGGAGCTACATATCCAGTATAAATAAAGTTAGTTTAGTTTAGGTTTCCTCCTGTAATAACACTGGATCAATAAGAGATGATTCTTACTGGACCTCTAGGAAGAACAGTTTAGAACTGACAGTGCTATAAAAATAAAGTGTTTGTTTGCTCCTAATACTGCATGATCAAAATAAAAATTACCTTTAGAGCGTTTGCAATGGAGTGAGCTCCTTTTCGTCGTAGATGATTCCAAGATAAATTCAGATGACTTAATCCAACGTTGGCAGCTAAAAAGTTTTCAAAAACCATAATTATATATATATATATAAACTCACTGGCCAAAACATTATTATCATTAGAACAGTAGAAAACTTTCAATTAAGTTATGTATGGATCAGTTCCTAGCTCAGAACTATCTAGTAAAAGTTTTACAATGTGCGAAGCTCGTCAACCAGGCCCTACCGATTGCAGCTCCGAGAAATTGTCCTCCAGCTTCACCAAACAGATTCTTGCTCAAATCGAAGTGCCTGAGCGCCGTGGTTTCCTAAAACAACAGAAATTAACCTCTACGCGGTACTGACCGTGTTCTTTACTCTTCATACTGAATAAGTCTGAATTACAGAATGAACGAAGACTGGGAATGTAAGTAAACATTTTGTAAACAGTAAACTCAAGAGTTCACAAGAGGTTTATTTCCGGAGTAGCTATGTTTTATATTATATTTCGCTAAATTGTCTACCGGAAAAGGTTTTTGGGCGGGAAATGGTTAGGGCTATATATTTAGCTGAAAAGGTCGGCTTTTAAACATGGTTCATTGACGAGAAAAACTTGTCGATATCTCGCCAGCAGACCACCAAATAAAACTGTGATATATGTTGAGAAAAGCTTGCTCGTGTCTACAGAACTTCATCCTTCCTGAAATTCACTTCAGTATTATTTAAATTCAGTCTACCTTGATAGCTTCAGCCAAAATACACGCACATTTGTCATCAAAATCGTTAGCTAAAAAAGGAATCAGGTGAGTAACGGGAAAGTGAGGATAGTTAGGACTCAGTTATGGCAGCTAAACTTTTTTCCAATTACCGTGAAAATAGTCTGGCATTAGACACTAGACAGAGGTTGTCTAGTTCAACTGTACCTGGACACAATAAGTATAACCGCGGTGATTGGTTCAAACGTGCTCACCTCTGAGTGTCAATGTTGTGACCACAGAATTCTTGGCCAAAATTTCAACCACAAACTTCGCGCCTTCGCAGCCGAGTTGGTTTTGAGACAAATCCTAAAAATTTAAATTATTGAATGAATTGAAAAATATTTGAAGGCTGGCTGTTGTCATATATGGTGACTAATAATACTTTGTCTCAGATTGATTTGTCGAATGCAAGTAGTTAGTGCTTTAAGACTTACCAGGCTTGATATATAACAGTTTTCTTTCAACATGTCAGCAATGAATCCAACTCCCTCAGGTCCTAAGGAGTTGTCGGCAAGGTTTAGAGACAAAACACACGTGTTGGTCTTGAGGAAGGAAAGAAAGAATCATTGTAAATACCTTTCTTATACTATCATCCCTTTAGTTTTGAATTAAATAATAGGAAACAAAAATTTATGGAGAGTTATTAAAATCAGTGATGGAATAAGAAATCAGGTCAAACTTATAGCCATTGTGGATCCCCTTATATTTTTATTGATATATCCTAAAATAATTCAGTAACATGGAAAATTTTTTTAACCAAACTATCTTACCACTAGAGTTATTGCTATTGGTTTACTGCCGGCTGCTCCAATCCCATGATGCTTCATGTCAACTTCAGGATTTTGTAGATTTCTCAGAAAGAACGAAACAGGAATGACACCGTTGATTTTGCATGCTTGAATGTAGGTAGTTCTCCCAGTGAGGTCATAATCCTCTTTCATTTCTAGGAATTATACGTAGATAAAGATGACAATAATAACTAAATAATTGAATATTGCCTGTTAAGAAGTGTTTCTTGGAAAGGCACATGTTTCTCTTTATCTCCCAACTTTATCTTTCCTTTATTTTGGAAAGCACACCTTTCGCTTTGTAACTTTGGGCAATTGGGTTAAGCATGCATGTGCTTATGTGTCTGTCTCGCATGGGTCTTAGGGTCTCATTCGCACTCTTGCCACTTGAGTATTGTTATCCATAAAAGTTGTTAATAAGTTAGATCCAGCCTATTAATGCTCTGATAAAAACTATCAACTAACTGACCTCCACTAGATAACTGCATGAAGGCAAGTTTATACCATCTTCTGCATGGTATAGGGACAGTTGTACTCTCCATGCTAAGGTGACCCCCCTCAATTACTTTTAACCCCCTCTTACCTTCACATTCAAGGTCAGTATCCCAGCCTTCATCATCTTCAGCCATAGTTTCATTTCTATTCAGGATACCGGACCTCTGGTGGCGTATTTGACTTGCTGAAGTTGTATTTTTTAGTTTCTAAGGAAATGAACAAACTTAGGTTGTCAAGAGCATATATACCAACTGTCCCCAACTGTCCTAATTTGGTACTTGGGTTGCCTAAATACCCCTCTGACCATAAATGGCGTGGCATGTCCATACATAGCCATTTTCCCATCAACGTTCACATCCTCAGGCTAAATCTCCCTAATACATATTCTGTGATGCTATTGTATAATCTCAAACTCTGACAACAGATCACCTGTCAATCAGGCAACTGCACTGTCAGAGATTATTTGACAGTATAAAAATAAACAGCTTTATAGCCATTTTGAGTCAAAATCCCTAGAGTCAAAACATGCATACAACGCTTGTTCTCAGCTTGTTATTAAACTACTCATAGTAAATTTGATCTATAACCTTTTGACTTCATATACCTTGTAATTGAACAAGAACACAAGGTATTAGATCAACTGTTTACTAGTTCAGCACAATGCACTTTGATAGGAAAAACCGCAATATCAATTCAAGCAGAGAACTTTTTCCCGCTAGACTAGTAAAGTAGAGTTTAACTATATCCCAGGCAGTTTATTATTTGTTTGAACACAAAACTGCAAACCTGTTTGGCAACTTCAGCAGATGAGCAACGGCTCAAAGGTTTCTCGTCCGCGACTGTTGGTGAACGAATGGGTGTTGACATTCTTTCCATGTCTACAATACTTCCAAGCTGCTCATATTTCACATAAACCTTTATAATCCTCCTCCTTAAGTTATAAGAATGCGTAGTTTAGTATAAAAATACATTTCTACTACACTACACTAGCTACACTACACGAACGGTTGCCATTGACTTTATTTATGCAAATGTTTTAATTAAAACAATCCAGTTTGTCAAAAATATTTTATACAAAAAATCGTCTAACCACCTTAGAGAGTGCTAAAATTCCACACAATGAAGCATCTGTAGACAATCGTATTAGGCATTTAACTGCATTTAAACTGATTTGTAATGAATTTGATTTTTTTTTAAAAAAAAACTGGTCATATGCATTTTTTGATTTTTATGTTTTTATCTAATAATATTTATATATAGTTCAGTTGCTAATTTACGGTCATTCCCGAACATGACCCGAAGAACAACCGAAGCGTGATTGAAAAATTGCTAAATCATTGAATTTGATATTTCATCAGAAAAATCGCTATATATCGCTCGATCGTGAAGAAGGAAACACGGTTTGTTTTTTTAGTGTTTTAAAGATGCCTCGTGGAAGATCCAGAGCGCGTTCTTCGCCAGGAGGGGGCTTTTCTAGTCGTTCAAACGCACCGGCCCCTCGACCTTCAAGCAGTGTCTCAGCTCCACAAGGCACGAACGTTCAAAGAGGACCAGGTTTATTTGGTCAGATGGCTTCGACGGCCGCGGGAGTTGCCGTAGGATCTACTGTTGTAAGTATTTCTTCGATGATTTTGCATTCCCACTACCATTCAGGAACGTTTATACATAGGAAGCCCAGACAAATGAGTTGAAGTTAATAAAAATCCGTAAAACACTTGAGATATGTGTTAAAATGAATTAAAGTATGTAATATGCTACAAAACTACTGTTAGAACCATGTGTGTAGCGTGCTCCAGAGGCGCTGCCATTTGACTATGCAACTAGTGACGTAACTTACTATATTATTAGGAAGGATGGAAACTCTCACCTCAATTTTCAACATGTTCACAAATTAAAACACAAATTACTATAGTAAAACGGCACGTCGACTGCTAAATGCCTACCCTAGGTTTAAGTTGAATAATCAAACTATACTTTCATCACAAAAATAATGCTGAATTCAAAAGAAAGCGCTGGAAAAACGTACACAAACTTTGTAAATTTGCCGAAATTTTCGTAAATTCATGCGGGATGTAAGTACCTACCCAAAATGGCGGCGGCAGAAGAATCTGATTGGTCGAGAAAGGTAAACAAAGTATGATAAACCAATCTGATTGGTCGAGAAAGGTAAACAAAGAATGATCGACCAATCAGATTCTTCTGCCGCCGCCATTTTGGGTAGGTACTTACATCCCGCATGAATTTACGAAAATTTCGGCAAATTTACAAAGTTTGTGTACGTTTTTCCAGCGCTTTCTTTTGAATTCAGCATTATTTTTGTGATGAAAGTATAGTTTGATTATTCAACTTAAACCTAGGGTAGGCATTTAGCAGTCGACGTGCCGTTTTACTATAGTGATTTGTGTTTTAATTTGTGAACATGTTGAAAATTGAGGTGAGAGTTTCCATCCTTCCTAATAATATAGTAAGTTACGTCACTAGTTGCATAGTCAAATGGCAGCGCCTCTGGAGCACGCTACACACATGGTTCTAACAGTAGTTTTGTAGCATATTACATACTTTAATTCATTTTAACACATATCTCAAGTGTTTTACGGATTTTTATTAACTTCAACTCATTTGTCTGGGCTTCCTATGGTTTATATAGATAGTTTTATAAGTTGCAATTATATAGGTGCTGTCATTTAGTCTAAATTACGTCATTGTAATCAGACCATGACGTCACAATGAACAGCGTAGAACTAGATACAGTACATATCAAATTGTAGTCATATTATGTGAAAATGCATAACAGTAATTTCCATAGGATGAAGATTAGTAGATATCACTATTCTCACCTTACCAAATCTGGTATATTCCATCTTTATAGGGTCATGTGGTTGGTGGCGCTTTAACTGGTGGTTTTCATGACAACCAGAATGCGGCAACATCAGGACAACAGGAACCGACCAGTACAATACAAGGTTCCAATCCATGCCAGTTTGAATTTGAACAGTTTGTCCAGTGTGCTCAAAACCAACATGACATCACATACTGCAAAGGCTTCAATGAAGTCTTGAAACAATGTAAATTGGAACATGGTAGGTTTCGTCATGTTTTATATGCAAATTGTTAAAAAACACGAGTCAACAATGTTGTGCTGCACCCTGTGAACAGAATTGTTAACAATGTTGTTGAACCATGAATATTGTTCCAACTTGTTGCACCAACATTGCATCAACAGTGATGATTCAACAACAATACTGTTCATATGGTGCAGGCTTGCAGTACCACATTCTTCACCTTGGGTGTGACAACCTGACAAATTTTTGGCCATGTAGTTGCACAACTTGTCAATAGAAGATCACTGATTCTTGTCCATGAGGTTACCCTACATATCTGTTGGGTCAAAAATGTACCCTAATAGTGAAAAATAAAATCATTTTACATAGGACTTTGAAAGTGATATACCTAACAACACACATGCAAGTAAAATAGGTCAGATCAACAAGAAACTACATCTGGGTGCAAAGTGTTATTGGGATTGTCCTACCTTGAAAATTGATCTCTGCTTTGTGTTCTGCTTTTTTCAGGTTTGATGTAACTCGACCGCAGATGAAGTTTTGATAAAAAATAACAAAATGCTTGTAAAAGTTTTTATTTATTTGGAAATTATAAAAATATATTCATATTTCATATACACAATTTGTTTCCTCTTTTGTGCAAAAATATTACTGTCTGAAACTTAGACTCTCTGTTTCCCAACCAGCACCTCACCTCATATCCCTCTTAAAGCATGCCCAAAGGGCTGGATATTACCGTTGTTTACAGTGTGTCCTGAATCAACATGTATGTATATACAAAATAATTTAATAATCTAGTTTTTCAAACTGCCTGACGTCATGCTTTGTTGCGCCTGTGCATTTTGTTCAGCGGTATCAATTAGTAATCTACCTTCACCATCTTTTACCCGCAGTCTCCCGGAAGCGTAACGTGTTTCTTGCCGACCATCAGTATAGACTGTTTTCACTGTGCCATCAGGATATTCGCGTTTCTGGAAAAACCTCCACAAATTAATCTCGAGATGTACTTTTGACTGCTTTTTACGGGGGGGGGAGGAGATGCGAGTTATCGCAACTACAGTTAGTGGCTGGTTGAAGATAGAATCAGCGATTTTTGAGAAAACCCAGGATAACAGGACAAAATGGCAGCATGCGTTCAATGAGCAGGAAACATAATTACGCATTACCTTATACAGTTTTGTATATGTCTCCCTCTGTCCATTGGGGAACTCAACTATCCTCTCTCCATCCACACTTATCCTCTCTACCGTGCCATCGGTGAATACGCATTCCTCGGCGCCAGAGGTATAAAGATACTTCACTGTCTGATCAGGGAAGATAATCTCTTTAGTTCCGTCTGGATAATGCTTCTCGATCTGGTTACTAGAAAATGGAATAGAGACGGGTCACGACTCACAACACGTGTTAAAAACAGGGGGGAACTATCTCTGGAATACAATTTCTCCAGTTTAACCTCACCCTCTCCCCAGCAGGTGCCCTCTACCATTGGGAGCAAGTGTGTGTAGGGTTCTGCTTTGCATAAACTGACCTGGGAAATCGGAGAACTTCAAGTCCATCAGGATACGTCGTATGGGTCGTTTGAACTTCGGCGTAGTAATATTCCTATAAAACATGCAACGATACATAATCATCGATGATGACCATCATAATAGATAAAAATGATATAGTACGTGATTTTCATAGACGATAACTCTAATCGGCATGATTATGACCATGAGCATGATGATTATCATTTTCGGTGATAATTATCAAGATGGATAATCATGATAATGATGACCAGGAAGACAATGGTCATTACGATATTGATTATGATTATTTCAATAGTGGATAATCAAGTGATGGTCAGGCTTACGATCTTCATCATTACATACAATCGTGATGATATCGTGATGATCATACACTTGTGATGATCATACAATGCTATAGATGATAACGTGATGATTATACCAATGCTATAGATGATGATGAAAATGTTCAGCTATTAACCACCTTTCCGCGAAAATTAACAACTTACCACCCTCTCGTCAGGGAAGATCTGTTTAATATCACCATTAAAGAACGTCACGACAACAGACAAGCCATCGGCACTGATCTGTTTTCGAGTCCCGTTCGTGAAAGTCACTACACGTGAGCCATCGGGATTGATTGTTTCACGCTAACACAAACAAATGAAAAAAAATATTACATGGAGGATTGACGTCAGCATTGCTTTGTAATTAACAAGTTTCCAATAACAAGTTAATCCGCCCTTGTCAGCAGTGAAAATTGGTGAAAATTACCATTCCCTTTTGACATAAAGCCTTGAACGTACACGGGCGTGATATAAAACATGATCAATATTTAACACTTCTATTATTTTGGCAATCTTAGGGCACCTTTGATGTCGGGTAACCGCGGTGAGTAACGTTTTGAACAACACGAAAAAACAAAAGTGTTTGTGCGAATCAAGTGAAGAATTTTTTTCCCTGGACGGGAAATTACTCTTAGCATAAATAGTTTGTGGAAATAAAGGATTAGAATAGTTTGTAATCTGTTATCACAGAATAACCACTCACCTTTCCATCACTATGAGAAAGCTGTTTAGACGAGATTTCTGCTCCTTTCTCGTCAAGCGCATCGTCCTGGAAGCGAACACATTTTGCTGAGCTGACTTGCTTTGTTGGTGGCGAATGTTCCTTTGATGGTTCACAAGTTGAACTAGAAATGTCAACGGACAGGTTAAGTTAAAGTCGAAGCCCCTGGATACTGTATTTAACCAGTAACAAACAGCTCCTAAGTTATGGGTGAATGTGTAAAGCTTTCATCCAAGGATCTTGTCTTGTAGAACTATCATACAGCAGAGGGTTAGGGTAGATATTTTCATCAACCAAAACTTAACCACTGCCATAAAAGATTTCTCCAGCATAATGACGTCAAAAGCGGGATGCAAATGCAGCAAGAAGTTTGATTGGCTCCGCAAAACTAACGAGCCAATCAAACTTCGTGTAATATCAGGCCTTCCGTCATTATGAGAACGGTCTCTTGTACCTGATGCTTTCCTTTTCATTTTCATCGATTTGCTGAACTTTTCGTGACTTAATGTCAACTTGTTCAACCGTAGTTTTTGCCTCGGAAGGCGAAATATCCTTCGTTGCGAACTGCGAGTTATCGAAGAGCTTTTGTTTCTGTTTATCCAAGGCGTTGGACTTTCCAGTTTCCTCCGGAATATGATCTCTTTCCTGCTGGATAACTGGCGGGTTATTACTTAGCGGACCCCTCTTGGTTGGCATTTCTTTAGAAGAGAAAGTTTCCATAAGGTTTAGTGCATCATTGCGAACAGGCTTACGCAAAAATGCTATGAAAATTGCCGGCTTACCTTCGACCATTTTTAACTTCTTTTTTTCAAAAGCTTTGTGTTCATGAAGTTCACGACTCTAAGCGAGAAAATCACAAGAGATTATTAATGACAGGAGCAAGTCTAGAGAAAACCAAACATGAGCAAAGAAATAAATCTGGGTGGTGTCGCAGCAGCTCCTCGCAAGAATGATTTTCATTGGCTGAACTTTACAATACATTTCTGTTTCAACCAATAGCATAGCTTCGTTCTTTAGAAAGCATAGAAAAGCATTATCCAATTGGACGAAAGCGTCCGAGCACTGCGACATCTTCCATAGATCTCATTTTAGGCATTTTCTGGCCACATGTTTATACTCTGCAACCGTCACCTTAAACTCGTCTACGGCGTTTGTTTACCTTCTGCTGTTCTTTTCGTTGGAAATCCAGATTTTGTTTCTCCAATAGCTTCACCTCCTCTCTCATCTCCCGGTTCTCCCTCTCTAGGTTACCGATGCGATCTTTGTAACGGGTAGCAGCCGCTGACCAGCGAGATTCGCGCAACTTCAAGTCCTCCTGAAGCTCGTTGACCTGCGAGAAAAGTTAAGCTTTGGAATCAGTCATATTTCTCGGGAGATATTTAAGGAGCTCAATAGTGAACTTTAAGTATAGACTGGAACGGTAACTCCGTCAAGACTGTAGCGAAAACATATTGTGGATAACTGTTCATGTAAATAAATCCCAGGGGCCGGTTGTGTCAAACCCGTTTAGCTTAAACGGCGGATAAGTCAAAATTAAATAACACTCATACATCTCTCTTGAATGAGTCAACTTGAATATTATGCACTGAATATGTAGTTGTAAACATTATCTTTGTATTAAGGTTAAAGACATTTTGTTTACTTGTTTAATAAAACGATAGATTCGCTTTCTATTTTGAGCTTATCCACCGTAAACGGGCTTGATACAACCGGCCCCAGGACAAGAACGGACAGGAAAGTTTTCCTTGAATGAAAACCATTTGACCAGTCTTCAACTCCCTTACTCGCTTCGTGTGTGTGTCGAGCAGCATTCTCCTCGAAGAAAGCTACACTTTTGTCGGACAACCAATTTGGATCGTCAGAGTTTCTCTTTTGAAAGGAGAAAACCGCGCACAATCGCTCAAAACGTCCACATACCTTTTCTTTTAGTGCTGTGATTTCTTCCCTCTCTTTCTTATCCGGCAGCGCTCGCGAGGCCTTCTGGTATTGCTCGAATACTTTCTTGTCCCGCCTGAGAGAAGAGAGAGCTATATAAATCAACAAAACGTGCTCGCCCGACCGGAATCGACCCCTGGCGTATGCGATTTTACACGAAATTGCAGCAGCTACTCTTTTCGCCAACGCTAGCCATGCAATAGATCTTTCTCATAATGACGTCAAACGCGGAGAACCTAATGATTGATTGGTCTGCAAAACTATCGAGCCAATCAAACTTCGTGTAACATCGTAACAGGCTTTCCGCGCTGGACGTCATCACAGTGAACTGTAAAAAAACCTGGAACGCTAACTTGGCCGCCATCTTTGAAGTCAAATTTGCATGAAGGTAGTTTTTCTGAATTTTTGTACGCTTTAGACAGACGTAATAAGTAATTATCCAGGTCTATCTAAAACTATGTAAACTACAATCATTTGTTAATTTTGACAAAAAATTGAGATTTTGCAGTGGCGTAGCCAGCCTGACAATTTAGTCATGCTATGTTTAATATTTTGGTGTTCATTGACTGTGAAAACAATGAATTTCTAAAGAAATGAATAATTCTAATGACTTGAAATTTGCATAGCATGACCAAGCCAGGCTGGCTACGCTACTTTTTTTTGCTTCAGTTTTTTGCTTCAACTAAGTATAGCGATGGACTATATAGGAGTTAGCGTTCCAGTTGATATTACAATTCATTGCGTCATCATGAGACAGGTCTAGTCTAGACTCTATAGTTGTTGGCAGATTGAGTAAATCACATCACATCCTTCAGGATGAGAAATACAAGAGAACCTTGCCTAAAAGCCGAAGTCCTCGTTTTAATTCTTGACACGCTGGGACTATCTATTTTAAGTTCACATTGCGTATGCGTACAACAAAATTGAACAAATGATTGTAACAATGATGACAGTATGATTGACAAAAAATATAAATTATGACCAGAGTTACCATCTGGAAATATGAGGCCACCGATTATAAATAACAATGTTGATCATAAATAACATGTTTATAAGATATAAAATGAAATATACTCCGAAAAGATTCAAGTTATAAGAAAGACTAGAGGCAAAATAAGATGTCTTTGTTTATCGGAGTATGTTGCATACTTGGATTCAGTATTCTTTTTTGAAATATGTCAATAAAAACAGTTTTTACGAAATACGTCTATCCTAGAAAATTAGCGGTGGTTTTTACCCCTCATCCTCGCTTCTCCTACGTTCCGCCCCCAACCCACCCTTCCTTCCCCCCACTCACAAAGACCCCCGTCGCTAAGCCTTGCATAATTCAGAGTGTTAAGAGTTGCAACACAGCTTGTCTCGTAATTCAATTAGTTTAAGGTGGCACCATGCGACGGCAGCAAAACAGTTGCTACAAATGCAACCGGTAATATCGTTATATTGAATACAATTCCTTTAAAATATGCTTCTGCGTAAAGAGTCTCGAAGATAAAGGGTCCCAAAAGTGTCCCAATACGACCAACGGAAAAACAAGTTCCAACTCCAATGCTACGATTTTCTGTCGGGTAAATGAGCGATGCCAATATTACTATAAGAGTTGTGTCTGCCATAAGAAAACTTCGAGATAACATCATGACTATGAGTAACGGCATTCTCTGAGTGACGAAGAACAAAGAGATAATAAGTGATAAAGTTGGTAGCAATATAACAGTTAGAAGTACTCTCTTCACTGTGAAAACGTAACAACTTAGAGCAGCTGCGATAACAATCACAAACTCAGGCAGGTTCATCCAGGCCATGACAGAATACAAATGACCGCTTTCTAATGCATCGTCATGTAAACTAGTTGTTAAAGATGTGTCATTGTGATGACTGCTTGCAACGTCTGACGCCGTATAAACTAAATCATAGTACGATAAATCGAGGATAAACGTCGCGATACAAGCGCATATTGTTATTTTCCAATAACCTGATCGAAATAGTTGTGTAAAATCTGCCCTCTGTGTCTCAGGATCGTGTTTCCGAAGTCTTGTGTCGCTGAAATCCATTTCAGGCGCCAAATCTTGTAGAATGTTCAAAGCTTTCTGCTCGTCCCCGGCTGCAAGGTAAAAATGTGGCGATTCTGGAAGAAATACAATACTACCAATAAGAAAAATTGCAGTCGGAAAACACACGGTAGCCAGAGCCCAATGATAACCGATCACCGAAAGCTCCATTGAAACAACAGCCGAAAGTAGAAATCCTAAAGTCCAAAAGACGGTGACAAATAGACAAAAAAGTGATCGAGATTTTGGCGGGAATAATTCCACTATCATAACAGAACTTTGAAATAAAGTAGCCACTCCGAAGCCAACAAAGAAAAGGCTTATCCAAAGCCAGTAATAGTTCATTGAAAACGCGCTCACAAATGCAAAAACAAATATGAACGCCGCACTGCCAATGAATGAACGCTTTCTGCCGTATTTGTCCGACACCCAACCCCAAAATAAAGATCCAGCGATCATTCCGCTAGATATTGAGAGCGTCAATACCCCAGCCATAAATGAGGAGACATTCCATTCTGATTTTATAATCGGAATCACCACGGCCAAAATAGAAATTTCAAGTGAATCTGTCATATTAAGGAAGCCGAGCAGCAGGAAAACTTTCCAATGAAAAAATCGCAAGCCAATTTCATCCTGAATTTCATCGATTGAATGAGATCTGTAAAATTCAGCATTCAAATTCGTTGCTTCGTCCACGTCTGAGATCTCGTCTGAAATATGTTTGTATTTTGCTTCGTTGTATAAACCTTTCTCTGGCTTCAAATTCTCAGAGCTCGCTTCAGAAAGCGACAAGGTTTGAAAGAACTGTTTGAATTTCGTCCACAGTGTCATTTCAAATCATTTGTTTCATTTCAGACGGAGCTGTATTACTGAGTAAAAAAATGTTGGTATGGCGTGATCAAAGAAATTGGTACATGCTTGATCAGTGATGACTGACTAAGATGTCTATTTGCATACCAAATTCGGCAAAGATAAGATAAAATGAAGTCAATGCAAAATTTCAGCTATTTTTACAGTGTGAACACCTGAACTTTACGATTTCGAGCACGGTTCAAAATTCGTCCAGTCCCGTGTAAACGCAATCTAAAAAATGCTATTTTAAGTCCCGCGCACGAGTCAGCAAATGACTTTTGTCTTACAGTTTGATATGAAAACAGCAGATTTCACCATAACTAAATTTCGCGCATATACGAATATCAGTCACAAAAACCAAACTTGAGCAAAGAAATAAACCTCATTTTACACATTTTCTAGCCACACAAAATTAGTGGTTCCAAACACATCACCCCCCCCCAACATACCAAATCCCACCCCCCTTGCATAATTCGGAGGAATTGCAAGTTGCAACAATACTTGATTTGCAACACAGCTTGTCTCGTAATTCAATTAGCTTAAGGTGGCACCATGCGACGGCAGCAAAACAGTTGCTACAAATGCCACTGCTAATATCGTTATGTTGAATACAATTCCTTTGAAATATGCTTTTGCATAAAGTGTCTCGAAGATAAAGGGTCCCAAAAGTGTCCCAATACGACCAACGGAAAAACAAGTTCCAGCTCCAATGCTACGATTTTCTGTCGGGTAAATGAGCGATGTAAATAATACTATAAGTGTTGCGTCTGTCATAAGTAAACTTCGAGATAACATCGTGACTATGAGTAACGGCATTCTCTGAGTGACGAAGAACAAAGAGATAATAAGTGATAAAGTTGGTAGCAATATAACAGTTAGAAGTACTCTCTTCACTGTGAAAACGTAACAACTTAGAGCAGCTGCGATAACAATCACAAACTCAGGCAGGTTCATCCAGGCCATGACAGAATACAAATGACCGCTTTCTAATGCATCGTCATGTAAACTAGTTGTTAAAGATGTGCCATTGCAACTGCTTGCAACGTCTGACGCCGTGTAAACTAAATCATAATACGATAACTCTATGGTAAACGTCGCGATACAAGCGCATATTGTTATTTTCCAATAACCTGATCGAAATAGTTGTGTAAAATCTGCCCTCTGTGTCTCAGGATCGTGTTTCCGAAGTCTTGTGTCGCTGAAATCCATTTCAGGCGCCAAATCTTGTAGAATGTTCAATGCTTTCTGCTCGTCCCCGGCTGCAAGGTAAAAATGTGGTGATTCTGGAAGAAATACTACACTGATAAAAAAAATTGCAGTCGGAAAACACACGGTAGCAAGAGCCCAATGATAACCGATCACCGAAAGCTCCATTGAAACGACAGCCGAAAGTAGAAATCCTAAACTCCAGAAGACAGACCCAAATACACTAAACACAGTTCGATGTTTTGGCGGGAATAATTCCACTATCATAACGTAAATTTGAACTCCTGTACCCAATCCGAAGCCAACAAAGAAAAGGCTTATCCAAAGCCAGTAATAGTTCGTTGAAAACGCGCTCACAAATGCGAAAACAAATACGAACGCCGCCCCGCCAATGAATGAACGCTTTCTACCGTATTTGTCCGACACCCAACCCCAAAATAAAGATCCAGCGATCATTCCGCTAGATATTGAGAGCGTCAATACCCCAGCCATAAATGAGGAGACATTCCATTCTGATTTTATAATCGGAATCACCACGGCCAAAATAGAAATTTCAAGTGAATCTGTCATATTAAGGAAGCCGAGCAGCAGGAAAACTTTCCAATGGAAAAATCGCAATCCAATTTCATCCTGAATTTCATCGATTGAATGAGATCTGTAAAATTCAGCATTCAAATTCGTTGCTTCGTCGACATCTGAGATCTCGTCTGAAATATGTTTGTATTTTGCTTCGTTGTATAAACCTTTCTCTGGCTTCAAATTCTCAGAGCTCGCTTCAGAAAGCGACAAGGTTTGAAAGAACTGTTTGAATTTCGTCCACAGTGTCATTTTAAATCATTTGCTTCATTTCAGATGGAGCTGTATTACTGAGTAATAAATATGTTGGTACGGCGTGATTAAAGAAATTGTACATGACTACATGCTTGATCAGTGATGACTGACTAATAAGATGGTTTATTTGCATATCATATTACAATGAACTGCAGTTGGCCAAGCCCACTGTGGCCTAGCCTGAGTTGCAGCCGCTTGTATTACGGAAGTGTAATTATACTTCAGGCTACAGTTGGCCAAGTGGGCACTTTAGGAGATAAACACTCCTTTGATTGTATCTAATATGAAATATCATGGTACGATATATAAAAGGTGTATTCGTTGTACAAGTAGCCGCTAACGAGTGTATTCATCAAGTGGATATCCTGATGACCGCAGACGTGTGATGATTTCACAAATGCAGCGAATACAACATATTATTATAATTTGCAACTGTTTTTTGCAAACGCGGACGTTTTACACGAGAATAAGTTTAGTCCAAGCGTCGGTAATTTGATCAGACTCGTTTTAGGCAGTAAGTTGGGTAAATTTTCGAATCGAATCCGTGGTGGATTACCCACCAGGCAACGTGGACTGAAGCCGATTGAGACCGTAAGATTGGCGTTCAGGCCAACGCGAAATCTTGAAGTGTGCAACAATTTCTAAGCCTTACAAATCCTGTGATGTTCAGCGGAAGTGTGATAATGTTGCGATAAGACACTGTTGATGCGTTTAGACTTTAGGAGAGCAGCTTTGCACTATGTTTCACGTTTGTCGTATGAAATTTAATGCAGTTGAACGGCTGTGAGTGTTATGCAGTCGTTCAAGCATCAAATTTTACTGTAAACATGAAACACATTACACATAGATTTTCAACGAGTATTTGTCAAAAAAAACTGCATGTATGAAAGACGAGGTACATTCTATCCAACTCAAAAAGCTATGGTTAATTCGATGGAATATAATAACAAAAATTCCCTTTTTTGATAAACTCTGACACAGGGTTGATAATAGATACCGACCCTGAACCAGTGCACCCATTTAGTGCGCATGCTCGGCAGATTGCTGATGAAAACTTGAAAACTCCCTGATCCAAGTGGACTAATATCTAAACGGCAGAAATTCCATAACGCACCATACCTTAATCTTTTTTCTTCCTCCGTCTTGAACTTTTCAAGTCTGTCAAGTTCCTCTCTTTTGTGGCTTTCAAATAACGCCCGTTCCTTTTGCAACTCTTGAAGATCCTGAAGTAATGTGGATGATAAATTGATTCAATATAAAACTCAATGGCTGCATGTCTAGTTTATCAGAAACAAATAAACTTTAAAGATGGAGGATACAGCTGAAGTCGTGAAATCCTTAAAACACTGAATAGTAATATTCAACCTAACACCGCAGAAATTGCTGTTTATCAAGTTTTAACCCGAAAATTGAAAATTGAATCACTGATTCACAATTGTGCATTTCTATATCGCTATCAAAAAGAAAACTATAGAATAACTTTAAAATGTTCCATTTTTCTTCTGAATACGCATTCTGCAATCTTTTGACAATTTATCATGTGCATCTGACAGCTGGAAATGGCCATTTTGAGGCTTAAAGAATACACATTGTTATTAATTCAGACGATTCGTTTTCGCCGTATGCAAGCTTCAAATCTTTTGTGCAAGACATATTTATAAATCTTTTTTCCTACCAGTTTGAAGCCTAAGTATTGAGAACTGCGGTGTGAAAGTCTTACCGGTGTCGTTTTTGCTAAAGTCGTGAAATCTTTAAAAATCATACACAGCGCAACCTTCTGGGTCTAGCATTGCAGTTCTAAAATCAAAAAAGCCACAGTCCCCATACCCGTTCTCTCTCCTCTCTCAATCTATGAAGGCCGATATTCTCTTCTCGAAATTTCTCGATCTCTTTTTCCAACTCCTGAAGTTTGTCTCGAACAGCAACGCTCATTCCAGAACTCGAGCCAGGGTTCAAAGGACCGCCCGCTTCACCTGAACCAATCCCGTCCAGCCCGACTACCTGCTCGGTGGCAGGTGGTGCGGGCTTAAGTTGCTGAGCCTGCGGATGTCTCGAGATAACTTCAACCTTGAAAAAGGAAAAAAATTATGTAGAACTATAAAGATATACAGTATGTAAAAACCTGATTAAAAAAGGTGATTTGATAAACCACTTCGCTTAGATTGCTATGAGGAAACTGCCTTCAAAGATGCGCTAACGGTTTCAAAGCTAGCTAGTTGAACGAATTCAGACCAAAACTCCAAGAGACCTTACCTTATTCTGATTTTTTAACTGAGGGAACAATTTCGTGACAAGTGCAGACGTTGGGGGAGTGGATGATGTATTCTCAGAAACTTTGTTGTGCGCCTGCGCACTTCTTCTCTTCTCGTCTGGGGTTGACGTGTTCAGCACATGCATGACGTCATTAGTGACGTCACTTACATCCAGGATGTCGTGTTCCTCCCACGTTTTCGTGTCGTCGAAGCCGTCGGAAAGCGCGAGGGAAGAACGAACGCTGACGACTGGAATAGAAAAGTGGATGGATGGTTTTTCAGCGTGTCTCAAAAACCTCAGAAATTCAACGGACTCTTTACTGGACATGTGTTTACACTTGCAATTTTTGCAGCGATATTTGGTGCAATCCTTGTCTTTGTGTCTTGTTCACATCTATATGTGAACGAGCGAATAGTAGTTGTTCTGATGAATTCGGAGAGCGCGCCCTCTTATTTGAACATCTGTGACTTATTCACATCCATTAAAAGACGAAAATCGGACAAAAATTTTGCAGCCAAAAGGGTAAACGGACGTTTATGCATCCAGTAGACGATAACACTGGTTGAAACCTCGAACCCAGGGTCTTCTCTTGTATCTCGATAGGAACGTCATTTGAGTGATGGGAACGAGTAAAAGCCCGCACTCATGGTTGCTAAGGGACCAAGCCCAAATTCCGGAAAAATGGTCATGAGGATGTTTTGTTTAAAAGCAAACTAATATCAAGTGAGCCACTTTAGAATTGGCTTGTGCATAGGAAATAATTAAGTCAAATCAACGATTTCCGTAAGTGGAAAAAGCATAGTCTTTCAAAACGAACCACAAGTTATTATAAAATGTAATTATAAAACAAAATATAAATATAAGATTGTTATATTTCAACTATACCCTGATGCGCCCCGAGGAAGCGAGGTTCAGATTTGACTTCCACCAAAAACTGCCGCTACTTTTCAGTAAGGAAACATGGACGAATCAAATGCGAGAGCTCTATCAGGTTGACCAATCAACGAGCGCAATAGGTCAACCTGAGGAAGGGAAAGTGAAATCTGAACCTCGCTAATACTCCTATAGTAACAGTTCCATAATCATAATCATAATCATCAAAACTCAAAAACCCCTTCATCTAACATAGATAGCTTCTATTTGCACGTGTATTTATTTTTCTTTAAAATAATGTATTTGGCTGACTTTCATCTTTTCGTTCGACTTGCAGTTCCTTCATTTGGCCGATCATCGCTTGCATCGCGTTCATAACTACTTCTGCAATCTCATTTTTCATCTCTGCTTTCATTGAATTCATTTCCTCTTGCATTTCCACTTTAATTTCCTCTTTCATTTCTTTAATTTCTCTTCCCATCTCAGCCCTCATTTCACTGATTGCCTCAGCCTCTACGACAACACTTTCATTCATTCTTTCATTCATTTTGTTCATTTCATTTTTCATTTCTTTCACCCCACTTTTTATTCCTTTCGTTTCCTGCTTCAATTCATTTTTCATTGCTTTCATTTCGCTTATCACTTCATCTTTTCCATCCACTTTCGTTTCCTCTTTTGACTCTTTATTCCCACTTCTCAACTCTTCTTTCACTAATTTCATTTCATTTTTCATCACATCTTTCACTCCTTTCATTACATCTTTCATCTCCTTCACTTGATTTTTAATTGCTGCCGTTTCATTGTTAATTGTCTTCATTCCAGTTTTAATTCCTTTCGTTTCCTGCTTCATCTCATTTTTCACCACTTTCATTTCACTTTTCATTTCCTTTGTTTCCGCTTTAATTTCCCCTTTCATTCCCTTCAATTCTTTCTTAACTTCCTCTTTCGAATCACTCACTTCATTTCGAACTTCCACTTTGATTTCCTCTTTCATTTCTTTCATCTCCCTTTTAAACTCCTCCATGATTTCATCCACTTTGTAATGAACGTCCATTTTAACATCTTCTTTCATTCTTTGCATTTCGTTACTAATGCTCTCTTTCGTTTTATTCACGATTCCCTGAACTTCAACTTTGATCTCCTCCCTCACTGCTTTTATCTCTTGTTTTAACGCGTCTTTGATCCTATCTTGACGAGCAAGCATGTGTTTCATCACGTCATTCACACCCAACTTCGTGCATTTCCGGAAATCGCAAACCTCTGCTTCGTGATGAAGTTTGTCTTTCAGATTCACAATAAAATTGCATCCATCATTTGAACATTTCACGGGAGAGAATCCACAACTTTCAACGTGGCCTTTTAGGTGACCAACTTGAACCATTTCAACACATCCTCTGTGGTAAAAATCGCAACGAATGTTCAGTTCGGATAGATAATCCTTCACAATTCTCGAGGCTTCGTTTAGCGTGTCAACCGTGAGTTTCTCGAGACAAGTAGGACAGGACGCCGAGTTTTCCAAATACTTTTTAATGCAGGAGGAGCAATAGTAGTGCTGGTTCTTACACATTACTGGGTCTTTAAGCACGAGGAAACAAATCGGGCAGTGAAATCTTTGACTAACAGCAAGCTCGAAGCGTTCGTCTTCATATCCAACATCGTATTTACTACACGCCATATTTATACGGTTCGTCTAGTAGACGACGTCTACCAACAAACTAACGTAGAGTTATGTAAATACCCAGGGAGTCAAATGAAAGTCGTCCAACGTCTCCCAGCTTACGGACAGCGTGTTGAACAGCGCCAAAACCTTTCTTTCGCTTTCGATTTGAGAATTATTGTTAGTCTATACACGCCCAAAGTTTACGCCTTTGTTGCTGCCGATCGCGATTCGCGACTATAATGCTAAATATATTTACAATTTTAGACAGCCAATCACGTTCCGGAAATATAATTATGGTGACAAGTTGATTGGTTGTTTAAAATGAAATGTAGATCGTTTGCATTAGTTTGCATAAAAACAAAGTCTCATGATGAACAACAACAGGTCACGACCCTTTTGGTCTGAGACGATTGTAGTTCAGACAATATGTCCATGAAAATTGAAGCAAAGCGAGGGACATGGACAGTCGAAAATTTGCAGATTCATTTTCAAATGCGATTTAAAATCTGCCTTTAGCGGTTAGCAGTTAGCCGCGGACGTTAATCTTGAGGTCTCTATAAATTTTACTTTAATCCCAATCATAATTCGCACCCTAATCCTAACCTAACCCCAGTGGTTAAATTCATAAATTTAGGATTTACTGAACGTAAATTTGCATAAATTTTCCTTGTCACCGGTTACCGACAAAACATCGCCGACGTCGGGACGTATGAGAACCAGACTTACTTGGCCTTACCTTCAGGATCTTTCAAAGTATCGTCCCCACTATCATCTGATTTCTCTTCAGTCAATGTCCGGTTAGGATCAGTGTTTGCTTCGACTAATTGCCCACCTGAAAAGAATAGAAAATTTTTTGGGATTGTACTTTATCGAATTTGTACCACCCCCTCCCCGGGCGATGGGAAAGGGGTGGGGGAAAAAACCTTCCTTTTCTTGTTCTTTTCCTTTTCACAGGGACCTATAGTACAACAGACACCCCGATACCACAGAATACCTAACAGAAGTAGAACTCTATACTATTTTTTCGTAAGTGTGATTCGTCATGATTCGTCACTTAGCAAGTGCATTTTTTTGAGGCTGTCACCCCCCTGCCAATATCTAAAATCAGGCCATTTTTAGTACTGGCAGGGGGTGACTACCTCAAAAAAATGCACTTGCTAAGTGACGAATAATGACGAATCACACTTACGAAAAAAGTACAGGAGTTCTACTTCTGTTAGGTATTCTGTGCCGATACAGTCATCTCTCGCTAACCTGTCCGTTTGACGGTCCACATTTGACGCGCAGTGAGCATGTTGTTGTTTACATCGGCTTGCCATTGCTTCTGCTTTGTACCTAAAATTCTTAGCACGGTTGACGAATTTGACGACAGCGAGCAGTTGGCTGCCGCAGCTTCTTCAAGAAGCTCAAATTCATTTAGCTCTTGTTTCTCGACCTAAATGAAAAACACTACTTCCGTCAGTAAAAGATAGAATTCAGGAGCAAAGAACATTCGGAAACAACGCAACACTCACGACTTCTAATTCATCTAATTTCTTCATCTGTTCTTGAAAGGAATCCTGGATGACCTCCTCGCCTTCCCTGGCGATAACACTATCTTCATCCAATTCCTCGTCTTCGGAGCTGCTTTCCGAATGCTCCTCTGAATCATCGTCGATATAGACACCGGGGCCCTGGGATGGTCTGGTGGTAAAATGCACTTTCTTCGGAGAGAACGGCTGCTTTTCCTGGTCAGATTCGTGTCGAAGGCTTCTTCGTGTGACAGGACCTTGGCAAAAAGAATTTAAAGTCAAAGGAGGAAGTGTGAGATTGGCATAAAGCAGTGGAAATCTTTAAAACAATGGAAAGACAATAGAACATTCTGATCTTTGAATCATGACTGGATGACATAGAGAACAGCGAGATTTTCACAAACAATGAAACAGTCTGATCTCTAAATCATAACTGGATGACATGGAGAACAGTACGATTTTCAAAAACATTCTGATCTCTGAATCATGACTGGATGACATGGAGACCAGCGAGATTTTCACAAACAATCAAACATTTTGATCTCTGCATCATGACTGGAATCGTACCTTCAGGTTTCTGGACGTTGATAGGTTTAATCGCTTGTGCCCCTACTGCAGGTGTTCGAGACTGATTAACTGTTGCATAGTCCTTCACCGTTGCAGTTTTTCGCGTGACCGGCACCCTTTCTTCTGAGACACGGTTCTGGAGGTTTTTGTCTTTCATTGTCGCTTGTCCTTGTTTTGTGACTATCTTTGGTTTCATTCCAAATCTCGCAATCCCTTCTCCTTTTCTAAGAAAGGTTTTCTTCGCGGCTGCATTAGTCCTAGTAGGTTGAGCAGGTTCGTTTTCATTCGGACTACGTTGCTAAGACAAGATAGGAATTGTGTTAGCCTATAATCCACATTGCTCTCAACTAACTTTATTGATACTTGGATAGTTCTATCAGTTCTAAACTGTTCTTCCTAGAGGTCCAGTAAAGATAATCTCTTATTGATCCAGTGTTACTACAGGAGGAAACCTAAACTAAACTAACTTTATTTATACTGGATAGCTCAATCAGTTCTAAATTGTTTTTTCTAGAGATCCAGTAAGGATCATCTCTTATTGATCCAGTACATGTTACTACAGGAAGAAACCTAAACTAAACTAACTTTATTTATAAGGATCCATAAGGATCGCCTCTTATTGTTCCAGCGTTACTACAGTAGAATTGACAGACCTAAACTAAACAAACTTCAGTTACATATTGCATATTCTAGCCCTCACTCACCTCAGTCTGCAGTTGCTGATTCAACAGTTCTTCAAAGGTTCTTGTTTGACCACCTGAAAGAATAAAAAACAGCAAAAAGGAATCATTAATTCGACCCTAGTCTTCTTCTGAATTTGGAACTCGTTCTTAAAATACTCACCCAACCCTGGTTTGATTGGAACATCATCAAATGAAGGTTTAGAATGACCACCAAGACCAACATTCTGTAACAAGATATTATTAATGGTAATTTTGCAGTTCCTTGCATTTTGGACAAAATCCATTGTGTTGAAAGCAAAAAGATACACTATCTTTTCTCACTAATTTGTAATTCATTATTCTTATCCACATTAGGACATACTTGAATTGCAAGTTTCCAAAACCTACCTCTTTTGCATCATTGTGATTATCATCATGATTATCAATAATTCCATGATCATCACCATTATCATCAATACCATGATCATTGTCATGATCATCACAATCATCATCAATATTACAATCAATGTCATCAGCGATAACATCAGAATTTCTGATGTTGCCATCAATATATCCTTCAACACTATCAACATCATCATCTTCACCATGGACCAGGGTGTCATTGTTACCATCATCATGGTCCAAATCAGGTGCATCAGACCTAAGGTTGAATTAAGATATTAAACTTGTGAACCTTCGAACAAGTTACCATTTTCATTCAAAACATCTGCAATTCTTCCCACATTTATGGCTATAATAATTAATGCTTAAGTTGTTCTGGTTGATCATTTGATGAAAAAAGGAGTCTAAGGCTTGTTTCAGACGTCGAACTTTTTATGTGCCGATTCAAACGCAAATGAGCTTAAACAATGACTTTGGGTAAAACAAGTTTTGCACATACTTCAGGTCACCATCATCATCGCTTGCTTCGGAAACCTGTGATGGTGTATCCTCTATTGGTTGAATTCCTTCAATACCAGCTACACTTCCACCATCAGATTCTGTGAACTGTGAGAGTTCCTCATCACTGGCCGAGGGTAGTTGCAATCTTTGGGTCATCAACATTGAGCTCTGTGGCTGGGCAAAGTTAGATTTGAAGTTAGAAAATTATGGTACAGTATCTGGACATTTCATTACAGGAAGATAGCAGCTATCACAAGGTACTGACGTTCAAGTAACGGGCATTAGTTTACTAGTTAAAAAGCTTGACTTTACCATATTAGCTGATGTGGCTGTAAAATGTTGTGGAGATAATAGAACATTCTTTGAGTAATTCAATCCAGGAGCAACTGGTCCAACTTCCACAAGACCCCTTGGCAATAGCCTCTCGTTGAAACTGGGAGGTTCAACAGGAAAACAAGTTGCATTGTCAATTCCACTTGTCACCAGGTTGTTATTCTGGAGAATCCTTCTCTGGTACTCTTGAACTGCTTGAAGTCGTTTTTCCTTATCCCGGAGCAAGCTCATTTGCTTCTCCTTGTCTTGTAAAAGATGTTCTTCCTTTTGTTGTCGCCATTGTTGAAGTTGTCTGAGCTTCTGAAGAAGGTCTCCTTGAGTTTTGCGTAGGAGCAGGTTCTCTCCTAAAAAGAAGTACAAAGGGAATCTCAGTAGTAGTTGCTTGTTTAGTTTTTTGAACCTATAAGCATGCTGTTAGCACATCATCAAGCTATATACAATGATTTTAAGAGTCTTGGAGTGCTTTTCCAAGAAGTAATCTTTGGTACAGAGTTGAACGAAATTTTTTATATTAGAAGGATATGTTACAAGATAATTTCAATAAAAATCAATATTTTGGGGGACATAATCAAATGATGGCTCTATATTTTCATACCTTCATTTCTGTTATCCATAGCTTGTTGGTACGTTTCTTCCATCTTCTTGACAAGATTTTGAGCTCAAACACAACTGTATACTAGATCCTGCATGTCTTTAAAATTACCTCATGATATTGTTCATACTTCTCCCAGACCAAAACATCGGTGACAGCTAAAAGCTACCACAAAAAAAGGATCTCAGAACAAGCTAGTAGATATCAATCATATCATATCTGTGAACCACAACATTCGCTCTAAAAAGCCTAATTCCAGCAAATATTTCCCATTTCTCGTCAGAAAAGCGACACCAGTTCTTCTACTTCTTTTCAACTACAGTTTATTTCGTATTTGATGGCTATTTTGGTATTTTTTTCGGAGGTTTAAAACATATTTTTGTTGGAAGAAACAACACAATATTCAATAATTTCAATTCGTCCCGCCATTCCGCGCGAGATTTTTGGAGACTTGAGCTAGTCACTGACCTGATTATATGGCCGTAGTAACTGGAGCAATATCCCCAATAAATGGACCTCTTCTGAAAAATTGAAAAAGCGTCGCCATTATGAACTAATGAACAGAAATGCGTTGCTCATTTGTTTATTTTGTTGTATACCTAAAACCAGAGTAAACACGTTGTAGGCCCGTTTCAGACGTCGAACTTAAGACAAATACTTTAGCTCAGAACGTGAAAAGTTCGAAGTCTGAGACTATGTGCACACCGTAACGTTTACGAGCGTTTTCATTTTCGTTTCCATGCCAAAACGGTTTCAAACACCGTTAATTTACAATAGAAGTTGAAGCTAATTTAATACATTGAGAATATTTTTTATATTTCCTCGATAAACTAGCTCGAAAATTGCATTCGTCGATTTGAATTGCATTCGTCGTTTAACCAAGGATTAATAGTAAAAATTTAAGTAATACTCTCTAATTTTTCCAGGGGCGTGCTGACCAGGGTCAAGACAATGGGAACTCGTTGTGGGACCCTGGCATAATGGGCCCTTTAGACTATAAATTGAAATTTGAAAAAGCGTTAAATACACAACGGTTTATAAAAGCAAACTTTATAGAAGAGTTGTATATTAGCTAAATCATGATGTCCTAGACCTGTATTATTAAGAGCTGTTTTATTTGCATATCAAGTACGTGGCCAAAGTTAGCGTTTCGTTACAGAATCGCGTCACCGTGTAAGGTTACTTGAAGTACTAGCATTCCTGCAACCTTCGCGTCATACAGTATAATAAAGTGGAGACAGTTTGTCTAGTTTGTTTTTGTTTGGATCGCGCCCTTGGGCCTCAAAATGTTACTCATTCGTTGTTCTTCTTGAAGACCCAGCACGCTCCTGAATTTTTCTAAAAGCGTTTAAACTGTGCGTGAAACACAAAACCGTGTATTCAAAAACAATCGTCTATACAATGTTACTTCAATTTAACAATTGCAACATTTACTAGTCTAGTAGTCTAGTAATAATTATTACCTGATTAAAATAGGGTTATATAAATACTAAAAAAGTCACAGTGCATTTTAATGCTATTCCAGTAAACCTGTAAAAGGCCACTAATAAACCTGATATAGAAGGATACCCTGAGATATGTCCCGATTGTGAAAATGCACATAGACTAACTACAATGGTGAATATGTGTTAATTGGTGTTTGAGTTTTTTCCGTTGTGCTGGTGGTTCATTATCAATTCGCGCGCGTAAAAATAAGATCAGTAACTCTGATCATTGACCATTATCATATAACTACCATCTCGTGTTATTAATCCCATGTCCAGAATTCACGAATATAATCCTTAACCTATCTTATTGGGTTATAGTAGTTAGGTAAAGGTTAGGGTCAGGTGTATAGGATTATTCGTGGATTCTAGACATGAAATTGCGCGCCGAATTGCTGCTACCACCCTAGTATCGCATATATTCAGTATATGTTATATATAGTTACAACACTAACTAGTAAAGTACCTATCTACCATTGTTTGAGGTTAGTGTTTAACGTTTAAAAATTCAATATCATTTCTATCAAATTATTCAGAATCTGTACCGTAGAGATTCGGATTCCAAATTAAAGATTCAAAAATAAGTGTTGTTTGAATGGCTATTGGTGTGATCTTGGGTGTACTCATTGTAACTGGGTGGTCTCGATGACCCATTTTGTTGTTGTTTTTGAGTTTGTGAGGGTTCGGACTGCTGTTCGGTCTCTTGTACCTTATTAAAGCAGCACATCGTTTCACGAAGATAGTGTATCAGCTTCTTGATGATTCTGTCGTAAGGCTCTAGAGAGCGTAGCCATATTGGAGCCCAGTTCCAATTCTGCAACGCTCTCGGCAAAACGTGCGGGGCTTTAGTTTGTAGCACATTGATGACGGTGATCACAATGACTGCAAGCACGATCTAGGGAGAGCAGAAATATTGACTTGAAGAACTGCGGTTTATGGGAAACATTGGGACATGCATGTCGCAGCTGTCGGAAGCTTTCGTCCAATTGGATAATGCTTTACTATGCTGTCTAAAGAACGAAGCTATGCTATTGGTTGAAACAGAAATGTATTGTAAAGTTCAGCCAATGAAAATCATTCTTGCGAGGAGCTGCGACCCTACCCAAAACATTAGATAATGAAGACCTTAAGATTGACCTTAACGGCAAACCGCGGTTGCCGGAAGCGACAAACTTTAGCTAAATCACATTTGCAAGTAATCCCTACAGGTTTTCGACATCTTAGTGCACATTTCATGTCTTAATTTTCATAGTCAAGAATTCCCAACATTGAGAAGCTAATTGTGCCAAATAACAATAATATCTTACCGGAACCCCAATTCCAACCAAAACTTGCCATCCAGCGAGCGATAAGGAAAGAACAACAGCAGGGAAAACGAAGAACACAATTACAAGGTACATGAAAGCAAACCAACGGTATTTCGCTGTCGTATTGCCCAAGAACTTCGCACCTTTGATGGGTATGTTTCTCATGAACGGCACAGGATACCAGACTGAAATGCCGGAGATATTGAAAAACAGATGACAGAGGGCAATCTGAAGAGACTCTCGGAACTTCGATGTCGCTGCGAGGGCCGCTAGAATAGATGTTACTGTGGTACCGATGTTTGCACCGAGGGTTAGGGGGTAGGTACGTTCGATGGTGACCACCCCAATTCCGACCAGCGGGGTCAACGCTGACGTAAATATAGAACTGGATTGCACAAGCATTGTCATACCGGCACCCATCAGAATTACAAAATATCCTGTCAACCATTTAAATGGTTTAGGAAAGTCCGAATTGATGCCTTTTTTGATGACCTATATAGGAAGAGGAATAGCATGGTTAAATTAGGGCCACATGCGTTGTATGGTATGTGGTACTATCGTGTGTGGTAGGTATATGGTACTGTATGTAGTGCACGGTAAGAAAAAATCTGGTACCAGCGTATGTTACATATTTAGCACTATGACGTATAGCATTATGGTTTACAATTAGTACTATAGTGTATGGTATGGTACTACAATATATAGTATAGTACTACAATGCATGGTATGGTTCTATTTTTCTTGGCATCATATCCTCGTGTATGTGTGTATGGTATGGTATGGTATGGTATGGTATGGTATGGTATGGTATGGTATGGTATGGTATGGTATGGTATGGCATGGCATGGCATGGCATGGCATGGCATTCTGGAAAAAGTGCTATGCGTGTGTGAGATGGTTCGCCAAGATGTGTTGTGTATGCCGCTATGAATCGAGATTGCATACCGTGGGCGAACGTAATGCTTTATCATTAAACAAATAGAAAACAGTAACCTTGGCAATTTGTCCTTTGAGCATGGAATGAAGCAGTTTAACAATACAAGCAAGACAAACACAAAGAATCACAAGAGCAATGGCCAGCAGGATGCCACCAACTTCTTTATCGCTCATCCCAGTATCGTGAAACAAAAATTCCTCACAAGACTTTTCCGTTGTGCCATTTTTCGGCGCACAGTTTTTGATCAAACTTTTATCACCTACAGAGTGAACGAATGCAAATACGTTAGGAAATCCTACAGTGATACGTTAGCAAATACGTTAGGAATTATATGTACCGAAGAAAAGAATGAATGTTAGTAATAAAACAATCTCTATTATTAAAAGGCGGTTAATATGTGACGTCTTGTCAAGATCCTAAGCGATCATTCGATAGACTTCAATTTTTGACAATATCTAAGTCTGTCTCTATTTCAGTCTGAGTCTATCTCAGGCTCTGCGCCAACAATAATCAATAGGCATGTAAAAAATTTACATGATTCCGTTTAGCCAAGATTAAATGTAGCGTGAGATGACTTTGAGATATTGGAATGAGCGAATAACACGATCTTGGCTGTGTTGCAGTCATCCCGACAATAGCAGGTGCTTTCTTGGTTCCACAGAGGATTTTTTCAAAACCTCAAAATCAATCCCGGGTAACCAGGATCATGGGCAAAGCCCCTTTGACCGCAAAATGATGGTCGTACCTATGTCTTCTCCCTCTGCGATTTTCTGAATGAGTTTCTTGTCAATTTGCACAATAAGGTTGGTGAATGGTTTTGTGATCTTTTTCAGCAATTCAACCTTCTCTCGTTCACCTTCTTTGAGGCCTAACGAGTCCGTGATGGCGCCGCTAAGATGATACAGGTAACCCGTGGCGGCCTCGATTGGAAGAAATATAACCACGCTCAGCCAGTTGAAAACATCGTGAACCGTCGCCCCGGCGAAGGCTCTACGAAACTGATCACGATCGCTGACGTGTCCAGCCGAGACGATGGTGTTCGTCACGGAGGTACCGATGTTAGCACCCATGACTATCGGAATAGCTTGTCGAACATCGAGAACTAGGAAAAATATAATATATATATTGATACTGATACAATATGGGTGCTGTCTTTAACTCCTAATGGTCTGTCCACACGATTCAAAATGCTTGGATCCAATTCATTTTAGCGGTAAGTACTTCTGAGACCGGTTGCCTAAGGCTGGATAGCGCTATCCACCGGATAGTGATTTTTGCAATCTCTATAACGGCTTAAACCTCAGGTTTTTCGATTGTAGATTCTCTTCAGTTAAATATTGTTTGCTCAAACTTTTGAAAGACTGACACCAGGTTAAATCTACGTATACAGTGTTTTTCCTATGAAGTACAAAACATATTTCAAGCAACGAAACTTTTATTTTATCAGATATCGAGTTACTCAGAGAAATTCGGACGCCCTGAGCAAAAATTACTTTTAGGGACCCTTGTCCCAGTCCTACAGGGAACATAATACTCACTTCCTGAGGAAACCATGGCAACGACGATCGAGGTTGACGTGGACGAACTCTGAACCAACACAGTGGCCAGTAAGCCAATTACAACTCCCGCAACAGGATTTGAAAGGACCGATTTCTCTGTAAACACTTCTCCCGCTTTCTTCCCGCCAAGAAGACGGAATGCTGAGCTGAGGAAACTCAGAGAACAGATAAACAAATACAGAAGACCCAGAAGCAGGGCAATCTTTATAAAAGCACCAAGAACTCGCAAAACCTTGCCTTGTGTTGTTAACTCTACAAGGGATATAAAGAAAAGACTATTTAGTAGTGAAATATATATATACTTACTCTGTAAACAGCGTCGCCTTCCCGCTGTGAATCACGAAGTGAACTTTGCAAGTTCACAGCAACCTGGTATAACGGTAATCACAACAGAAGTAGTATGGAAAGCATGGGATGTAGCAAGTTGTCTAGGGCACTGCAGGGGTAGTGCATGTCGCAGCTCCTCGCAAGAATGATTTTCATTAGCTGAACTTTACAATACATTTCTGTTTCAACCAATAGCATAGCTTCGTTCTTTAGAAAGCATAGAAAAGCATTAGCCAATTGGACGAAAGCTTCCGAGAGCTGCGACATGTCCCCACTGCAAAAATAGCTTTGCACTCATGTAGACCGCAGTTAACTTGGACGTTTGTAACTTTAGTTTCAACTCATTTGTCATAAAGGATTTTTGTTTATTTTAGGTAGTTCATATAACATTAGATGCAAAGTCATGTTTAATAACGTCTCAATTATTTATCTAAATTTTATGGGAAGTATACGTGCCTCAATTTTATCAACAATCACAATTTCGCGCTCAACCCCGTACCCAGGGTCTCTGTTTCGCGCCGGTCTCTAACAATAATATCTGATATATACTTTAGGGGTTTAGTTATCAGCATAACATCCGCATAAACAAACCTTCGGGTGACAGAAAGTTTACTACAAACAAGAATGTTTTTTTAACCAAGCTGTGCGCTTAAATATTCGAAGCATATCATGTGCGCTATACCTATTCGTTTTACGCGCGCGCAATATGTTAAATATTTGTAATTGCATTCCAGTATGCATTCTAGTGAATTGAACTCATATGTGAACGCCATATTTCATTTCATCTGAACTATCATAAATTATTCATTTCGATATTCAATTCATATTCGGACTTTAGTCCCAAGTTGCGGTGGCGTGATGCCAGGTCGCCCCCGATGTTAAGCCAATGTCAAGGTTTGATTGTGTCATGAAAAACATCAAACATGGATGTTATTAAAAGAATATCCTTTTAGGCTTTTACCACACACACAAACACGCGGTGAATGCCCCGCGATCGGCGAGATGCTTTAGAAGAGAAAGTCTTTACACATCTGGCGGAAATTGCGGTATGGATTGAGAACGAGAATAAAATACGAGAACCAGGGACTTCGAGACTTTGGGGCAGCAAGAGCAACCTCCCCCTTGCCTTTTACCAGCAGGGCACAGTTTCATAATTGCAATTCGTTGAGACAACGCTAGAAACGCAGCCTAGGCAAAGGGCTTCAAAAATAGCATTATCGTCAGGCTCCACGAGATCATCGCACAAAAAGAATCAAAATGAGAGAAGTTTAACTGCCGATGTTTGCCTAACAGGAAACAACTCACCAGAAAAATTAAAAAATCTAAACAACAATAAAAAATCTAAAGCAAAAATCTAAACAACAATCAAAAATCTAAAGCAAAAATCTAAAGTTGTGTGGAATGTGTGGAATAATAAAAACATGTTCATAAACTTTCAACTTGTTTTCAAAACAATTTCTGTGTTACAACCTAGCTCATATATATCACATTCGACGCGTAAATCTTTTTCAAAACATGGTTGCGTCGTTGCGTCAAACATGATGTTGAAAGTTGTTTCGTGAAACATTACCTTAGCGTTCACTAACATGCCTCGATACACGAAATACTCCACGCACCCTCGCATTGTCTGGCATCCCTGATGGGAACAATAAATTTACCCACATATAAAGCATAACTTTAACTAGATAGTCAGAGGGGATGCATCATTACCCAATACCCAGATGCATTTGAAACGCATCTCTTCTCGACCCTCCCAGAGCGGACACTGACATCAGACCATTCGATGCAAAATTCAATATGTTTTTAAAAAGCACTTAACCCTTCGAGTAAGAGTACAGTTCTAAAAACACACTGTTATTAATATTACGTAAGATGTCACGACTTAAACACGATACATATGTTTACAAGGCTCCCGTTTACAAGTTAACGTAGCATAAATTTTGCAAAAACGTAAATTTTGGGCAAAATACAGAAATATGTACTAGTGTGAGAAATTTTGCTTCGTTAACCGCTTTTGACCGCTAGATAAACCTTCACCGCTTGCATAACGATTATCACGGGTGAAGCAAAAAAACATCTGGAAGATAACTTTTAATGATTATGACGCCAATGCAATGGGTCTATACTCGCATGCAGGTTTTCTTGTTAAAAAACCTGTGTCTATGGAGAGAGACGGTGAAGATGTTGTAGTATGGGGCCTTCTGTTAGACTTTGAGATCCACTGTCGCTGCGGTAGTCATTAACCCAGAGCATGCATTTTATTCTTGACACACTGAAAGAATATGGCTAGAAACGAGTTCTTCATCAAACAAAGACGGTCAGAGAGAGTTATTAAGAAGAACTTTTGGCTTCAACCTGCCGTTTCCGAAACCGCTCACGTGAAAAATAGCCTTCAGGCCTAAGTCTCATTCAGCACAAGTGACAAGGTCATTATCGTTGATTTTCAGCGTAATCCTTATTTTCATTTAATCCAAGAACGCTATCCGGTTCTCGCTGGGGCACGACACCTTTCTATACTTATTTTTTACAGAAGGTATTTGTAAACAGCTTAGACAGAACCTCTGAACTCACTCGCGTAAGGAGGGGTTTTGAAAATAATGACTGCAAGTAAGAATAGGTCCAATACAAGTCCCGGTTTAACTCGCAAAGATTCTGTGATCAAAGGTGAACATTTGCATACTAAACCCTTAAGACCAGTTTACACTTTTTTTCACAGATTTTTTCCTCTTTTGACAGATGTGAACGAGTGTAGTCAGTACTGATGTTCAAATAAGAGCTCTTATTTATCAGAGATACTCGTTTACATCTAAATCTAACTCGCGTGCACAGAAATTCGCACAAAAAATCGTAAGTGTGGACGAGGTTTTAGGGTTGGATACGTCAGAGTTTGGAGGACAAATTTGAAAGGATTAGGTTCGCTTTGGCATACTGAATGCATGGAAAACCGCAAAAGTCGCACGAGATTAGCATATATAGATCTAATGAATTTCATTACACTTTTCAAGTTCAGATGAACAATATCAACGACATATATCACCAGGCAAATATACGTTAAAATGTTGCAGCAAATACTTAAGCACCATAATGTGTATCCCACATGACGTCACTATACTCCAATGACCGCTTAAAATGAGCAAAGCAAATGATTTTGATAACCTTTCAAGATGCTTTCGATAAATTCTACGCAAAAGGCCGCCATGGCGACCAGCGATGTGCCAAAGTCCAAGTTTACATAACTGTTTCATGTGTTTTTAAAAAATAGAGCCTACGAGCTTTCTTTCACACCGCCGGGCGACACACAAGTCGATAAATTCACATTGATATTAACATGCACTTGACTTTTCGCTTGTTACAAAATTTCCCAACGATCAATATTTAGGAACACAAATACAGAAAGAATTTCCGGCCGAAAAAATGTTTAAGAAAAGTATTGCTTGCATTTTTCTTATTCTGTAAACATGCGGTACGATTTCAAAACAGTACACAAATTGAAATTAAAAAGTTGCCCTACAAAAACCTTTAATTTGTCGCGGTATATGTGCATGAGTTTTAGCAATAAACTTCCACAATTTCTGGGCACTGTTGCATTGAATATCCACTTGTAATAGAGTGAAATTGAGGCTACAGGCGATTTTACGTTTCTGTTTGTTATGATAACAATAAAGGGGGAAATAATTCACAAGAAAAATTACAATGAAATGACAAAGCACCAAAGTCCATCGGCGCGAAGAATGAGCAAAATTTCTATAGTTTTGGAGGCAAAACTCCCAAGTAAAATAGATTCTAACCATTAGCGAGATAACGATCGTTTCACAAAGCGCTAATTATTGTCAAGGGGATATAAACCATAATTTTCCGAATGTACAAGATTTAAAACTTGTCAGGGGTTGTATATATCAAAAGCAATGCTTGAAGCGGAGTTGTTTTCGCTCTGGCGTAAACCTGAAGTCAGGATCTGGCGCGCGCCTGATAGGCATTTTGCCCAATTTCTTGTTACAAGAGTAATCATTCAGACTATATATTGAGGCATTATCAAGGGGACTCACTTCAATATGCTGAAATCGAATTTGATTTCAGGCATATGGTTCGAATTGATGTTCCCCTGGTGAGAAAATCTGTCGCACTCCGCTCCTCTCGACAAATCTCTTTTACGCGCGGTTAAAAAGTCATTTGGATTATAATCAACAGCAGGTAGGTATTTAAAACTAGTGTAACTCACCGCTCCAAGGTACACCAGTGTCAGATAATTCCGGCAAACTCCACGGGTCAACTTTCTCTGAAGTGAGATCTTCCTTTTCTTCACCAATTTTTTCTTTTACTTCAATTACGGTCGAGTCAGGTCGAGGTTTTTCCACCTCATTAGCAGCGTTCAATTCGTTGCTAGACGAACGCTATATATATATGAATACAAATCAACACAAATTATGCAATCACATCAAACGAGCAAAAATTCAAAGCATAAATTAAGAGTACTTACATAGCCGGGGTTGTCTTGGGGTAATCCTTGAAGCTCCATGATTTTTTTTAGTCTTCCCGCAGGGAAGTGCTACCATCAATGAGGACAGCTGACGAGTGAGGGAAAGCCGAAGCGCTCGATAAATTTCTAAAGCAATATCACGAACGGTCCACGTGTTCGCTCCAGCTGAGTGCTTCCGATTGGTGCGCTGTCAACGCACCGCACGTGGGAGGAACGTGATATCTAGCATGGACGGGGCATGGCCGACGCGTGATCATTAGCAATTTGAAAAGAAACAGCATTGGGGGTAAAACAGCTCTTGAATGCTTCTTTCACATTCTTGCCGATCTAATTGAACTTCGTTCTCACGGAGGAGGAGAATGTTTTTATCATACATGCCAAGCATTGCTGGTCTCATTCAGGTGTATATGGGCCCTCACCTGGGCTTATCAACACTGGACCAATATGAGATAACCTCTTCCTCGACCTCTTACATTACTCTGCATTACTTAAGGCATTCAAGGTATAACCATGTAAAACACATAACGAGCGTAGCAGCTGAATACTGTAGCTATCGGTACGTGAAAATGTTTTATGTCTGAAAAGATAGACTATACACACGTAATAATCTCATATCTTGTTGACAAGTTGTATTCGTAACAAGCTTGTTGACCAAGTTATAAGTAAAGAATGTTGTTATTTTGTCAAAACGCTAAAAGCTTTTCACTGACACCTTGTTAACAAGTCGTGGAATTGCATAACGATAACAAGTTGATGGAAAAGCTTGTAGCAAGTCTGTAGAAGAATCAACAAGCTTTTAGCAAGTTTACTGCGGGTTTGTACTTTGTAGCAACTTGTCAACAAACCTGGAGCAAACAGTGACTGCGAACAGAGCTTGATATCGGAACAATCTTGTCGCAAGTCTGCTGCAGGTTGGTCACAAGTCAGAACAGTCAGAACTTGTGCGTTTTTGCGCGTGTAGATAGATGGACCATGAACACGGATAAAGTTGGGTGCGCACGCGTACCAATTTTAGTCGTGCCGTGCCTATTTAATGTATAATATTTGGTGCGAAATTCTGTAGTCCTGTAACAAGCGCAGAAAAACCGCAAATAAACGAAAAACCGCAACCGTAAATAAACGTAAAAAATGCACAAAGGGGTTTCGTGAGGAGAGTAATGTATGACAGAAAAAATTCTCTTGACGAAGGCCAGTGATTCAGATAATTAGATTATTCCAACCATCCTACAGTGTGGTTTACTGAATTTCCTCATTCCCGAAACAACTTTATTTTCATTGAAATACTAGCTGATAAAGCCTTATTAATGGGATTGCTGCAAGAAAACTTGAACGAACTTCCGTTTTCAGAGCGTGGGTAAACAGTTTGAAATATCTCTATTTTCATGTTTGAATTATACTTCATTTATTATAGGAATGCACCCAAGTGTACAGTGCATATTTCTACTTCCCTTGCCATTGCCAGATATAATGTTACTTTTGTATTAGGTGCGGAAATGTGCAACTAAATTACCCTGGCCTTGGCCTTATTAAGGTTAGTTTCCACTGAGGAAAAATCTCCTTTGGATCGGAACGGACAGGAAAATTTCCTTTGCCGGTGAGTTCTCAGGCGGCGTTTATAAAAAGAAACTTTCCTGTCCTGTCCGATCCAATTTTCCTAAGTGAAAACTAACCTTGCACACTTCCAGTCGTAATACAAAAGTATACAAAATTAGTGAACTTCGCCTGTCTATATTTCCGTAATTGGCCGTTTTCACACTAGAGACGCATAATGCGTCTTCAATATTTTTTGTCTAGTGTAAAGACGGGACAACTAATCTGGCGAATAAGTCAACGGAAACACGCGCGAATAGATTACATTATATTTCTGGTTGATTTTATCACTTTCTCATTTTCCGGAATTATTCGTCTATGTGCCGTCTTCACACGGGCAGACGAATTATCCGTCTAGACGAACTATCGTTTGTTGCGCGTCTACGAGATGAAGAACTGAACATTAATCGTCTGGACGTATTATGCTATCCTTTATACTGAAGACGAATAACTAGAGAGGAAGATGCTTTATGCGTCTCTAGTGTGAAAACGGCCAATTTACAACAATTAATTCGCAGCCAAACTTGGCAGTTTTACTAATTTCAGTAAGCTCTTTCAAAAAATGTCCTTTTTATTGCCGAGGTAAGAAATTAGTTTAAAGCGCAAGTCGTTCAATGTTAGTGATATGGTTATTTACAGTTTTCCTCTTAGCAGATTAGTGGTTATTGGAAACGTACTCTCCTGACGAGGGTCTTAGGTCGAAAGATTTTCAACTTAATTAAATTAAACGGATAGCCCGATTAGTAGATTAATCTCATTATTGACCGCACCGACGTAGAAATGTTCTACTTTATACGATTAAATGATGAAAACCGGGCATTAGGATTACTGTTTTTTTCCACCGACGCGTTTTTCCTACGCACGCACAAGTCGTAAGGGTCTAAACATATATGCTTATAAAAGTTATCTTTTAAAAAACCAAGTGCATAAATCGCAGCTAAAGCTTTCTGCGTATTTTAGTACGCATTTGTTGATCTGGATAAATAATAAAAAATTAAATTAAAATCATTTAAACCGTTACGTGCGTGAACGAACGTGCAGTGGAAAGCAACCCCTCAGTACAATATATAGTCATGAGGTTATTTAAATTTGTCTTCTAAAGTTCTACTTAGCATTGAATTATGTATTTAAGGTCGAGGTATATCGTTATGTTTTCTGGTATCATATTGCCTCTCAGGATATGTGCTAACTTCTGTGAAACTAACCGCATATACTAAAATGTTGCTAAGGATACTAACCAACAAAGAGAGAAACAGGCTCCAATCTACAAGTGATCTTTTTCTCACGAGTGGCATTACACACTTTGAAATTGATAGCGAGGCACCAATATATTTATCACTCAATCAATTCTCTCACATTGGATAAGGACTATAATAAATTGTACCCTGTTTCTTCAACAACAGCTCTGAGATAGAATCGAAATTCGTAACGTTGTTAGCATCGTGATGTTTGAGCTGTCAATTTCAGAAGATCTTGTTGAATCACAAACGTTAACGATTGCTCTAACACCACCCCCTCCCACACGCAGCAAATGATTTAAAGTGAAATATTTAAAAACAAAGTGCTTAATTGTCATGGTTTCGTTTATAATGCTACTCAGTGAACAGCTGAACCATATTAGTGCATGTGAATTCGAGAAAGCAATAAACTCGTGCCTATTGAAAACGGCACCGTGGCATGTCTTCACATGGTAAACTGCGATATTTGTATAAGGATTATAAAAAGGTAATCCTTTTAAGTAAGTTTACACAGATCTAAAGCAAACAACAGGAAGAGTAAAAAAAAGCCTGCATGTAACTTCATGTTCAAGTTTGCGTCACGGTGACTAATTTGAGAGACATCTCAGAAGTGGTTCATTAATCTATAAAATAAATCTTGTTCCCCGTTGGAGGTAAAATGCATTCTCATTGATAATCTAACTGTAAAAATAACATCAAAATATTCCAAGAGGATCCTAGAGTCCCAATCCCATTTCCCACTTCGAATTTTGGCATAATCCTAGTCCTAATCCTAGTCTTGGACTTTTATAAGAAATCCCAGTCTGCTCTACCATGGTTGCGGTTTTTGAATATATAAAAAAATTTACCGATACATTTTGTTATTGAGACGATGGATTTATAGCATGACATCAAATCGGAAATTTCGGGCAACGATTGACGTCATGTCTGGTAACTTTAAATGTATCGCAAAGTTTTTTTAAAATACTATAATAAAAGTTGCGCAAAAGTAAAATAATTGTTATTGCCAAGTGGAATGTTATGTTAGATCTGTTTTTGCCAACATTATCTTGGAACATGCAATGGACCTAACAAGATAACGCTGAAATGCTCTCTTGTGAAGGAAAGAGAACGGAAACTTTAAATTGTTTGTGCCAAAGGGGAGTCACCAGGTATATAAATAGAGAGCTAAATTGTAGGAGCGGGAGATTTTGAGTAGATTGTCAATAGATTGTGAACTGAACGTGAATAGATTGTTGATTTGGACCGAAAATTGAATGTAAACAGATAGATAATTAAAAGTATAAAAATAAACGAGAATACGAAAGATACAGTCCCTTGAACTAAGAACCAGCGTGTGCAAGCTTCACTGAACGCGATTGTGAAAGTTCGCGAAAAATACCTTATACTTTTGATATAATCAAAATCCACAAATATGGTAAAGGCACTTTAAAGAATATTATTCATTTATATATAAATTTAAAATACTCATTAATATTCAATAGACGTTTTGACCAATCCAATGAACCTTTTTAAACACGTGAGTAGGCTTTTATACACGATAAAGCACTATCAGGACACTGTTTTATATAAAGACACATGTGGCTTTATATAAAGTTCATGTTCAATCCGATTGGTCGCAACGTCTATTGAATATTAATGTCGTATTTTAAGCTATTTAAAACACTCGTAGCTCGTGTTTTATGCGCTATAAACCGCTCGGCTGCGCCTCGCGTTTTCATACCGCATAAAACACTCCTATACCGCATTAAAACACTATTTTTTTAATTAAGCAATACTAAGGCTTAATGGCCGCAGCTCTAAAACTTTTAGAAACTTTAAAAATAAAATACAAATTTGTAAGTTATGTGCTGCAATCTCTGCCGCATTCCGTGTTTCTTTACCGGTTTTAATACTGTAGTTTAATATACGCCAGCAGAAATGGTGGTCGCGGTGAAAGACTATTAATGGTGTCATTCTGGGCCTATGTAAAGTTTCCAGCATGTTTGGTGCTCATATACAAACATTAAACAATATAACCATGCTTTGGTTATGATGTCAAATATTTTGATATGGATAACCACGCTGTTTTAATGATCAAATGCTCGTCCTATGTTAAGTTGCAAGCATGTTTCGTGCTCATACATATATATACAAACATTAAACAATATAATCATGCTTTGGTTATGATGTCAAATATTTTGATATGGATAACCACGCTGTTTTAATGGTCAAATGCTCGTCCTATGTTAAGTTGCAAGCATGTTTCGTGCTCATACATATATATAAAATTAAACAATATAACCATGCTTTGGTTATGATGTCAAATATTTTGATATGGATAACCACGCTGTTTTAATGGTCAAATGCTCGTCCTATGTTAAGTTGCAAGCATGTTTCGTGCTCATACATATATATACAAACATTAAACAATATAACCATGCTTTGGTTATGATGTCAAATATTTTGATATGGATAACCACGCTGTTTTAATGGTCAAATGCTCGTCCTATGTTAAGTTGCAAGCATGTTTCGTGCTCATACATATATATATATATATATATATATATATATATATATATATATATATATATATATATATATATCAAGAGCCAGCCTTTCAACATACTTGTATATACATCAATATACAAAAAAGTAAAATGAAATAATAACTTTATTTTACGTTTCGGGGCAAGCCCCTTCGTCAGAAACGAAATAACAATCTGTTCACCGTCCTTCAAACCTATATAGCCTAATTACCTGGGGCCGGTTGTTCGAAAGGTGTTTAGCTTAAACGGTGGATAAGCCAAAACTTAAAAGTACTCTCATACATCTTGTGAATGACTGAACCTGCATTTTATGCATTAAACATGTACTTTCATTGAAAATTAAGCTATTTACATCGAAATATTCCAGCTCATTTGTCCAGTAAAGAGATCATTTTATTTTTTATTTTGAACTTATCCACCGTTTAAGCTAAACGCCTTTCGAACAACTGACCCATGAAAATTAGCATAACCATACACTTAACAATCTTTCCTCTCATTTAAACCTAATGGCACATAACATTGAATTTTTTCTATCCAAAACCTTTCCCTTTCGGTCGGGTTATTAGCATTTGTATTGTCAATAACTCGAACCATAAAATCTTTTAAACCTGAATGACCTTCCCCATAGAAATGTGCATACAATTGTTGACCGCAAATATTCCTTTTTCCCTCCCCATATCTATTCAAAGAGCTCTTATGGTTATTAAACCTCAATCTGAAAGGTGTTATAGTACAGCCCACATATTGTTTGCCACATTTCCTGCAATTTACTAGATATATAACCCCTTCTGAGTTACAATCAAAGTGATGATTAATGTGAAACGTACGACCCTCTACAAAGCTTTTAAATGTAGAGCCTTCAATAACATTTTGGCAAACTTTACACCTTCTACTTCCACACTTAAACATCCCTCCAATTTCAATCTGCTCCCTAGGCAATTTGGATCGCACTAAATGGTCCTTAAGGTTTTTTGCTCTACGAAAACAAATCATAGGAGGTTCCGGCATGATATTAGAAAAACTGCTAGACCAACCTACAATCTGTTGCAATTCCCTAAAGATACCGTACAGACTTTGTAAAGCCGGATGATAATCAATTACAAAAGTGTTTTTGTTTCCCCTTTCAGCCCTTTGCTTACGTTCTATTAAATCAATCCTGCTAATATTTTTCATCCTACTAAACTGGTTCTCCACAAAATCTCCCTCATAACCCCTCTTAACTAGAAAGCCCTTAAGATCCCCCAATCTTTCCTTTAACTGAGTTTCACTACCGCAAATACGTTTCAGTCTTAAAGCTTGACTATAGGGAATTCCTTTCTTGACATGCGGTGGGTGACAAGATATAAAATTCAAATATTGATGTGCATCAGTAGGTTTAGAATGCACATCAGTTTGAAACGCCCCATCAATATTAGTAATCCGTACATCAAGAAAGGAAATTCCCTCCGAACTAAATTCCCAAGTAAATTTAATGGTTTCATGAAAAGAATTCAATCTTGCGAGAAATTTATTTAATTCCCCCTCACCGTGAAGCCAGATCATGAAAACATCATCAAGGAACCGCCACCAAACCCACGGCTTTAACTCACAACTAATCAAAAATTCCTCTTCCAGACAGCCCATAAAAATATTAGCATAGCCTGGCGCAAACTTAGTCCCAATGGCGGTACCTAATTTCTGTCGAAAGATTTTTTCATCAAACTCAAAATAGTTTTGCTCCAAAACCAACTTAGCTAATGAAATCAAATCTTCAACCGGCATTTCCCTCCCAAATTTATTCATAAATTTCTCTAAAGCTTCCAAACCATCTTTATGTGGGATATGTGGGTATAAACCAACCACATCCATAGTACACATTATTGCAGAGGAAGGAATATGCCCAAGTGCATCCAACCTTTGCAAAAAATGTGTAGTATCCCTTATGATAGAGGGCACATAATCTACCAAAGGTTGTATATGGAAATCTAAAAACTCCGAAACTCGTTCAGTGGCGGTCCCACAATTTGAAATAACTGGCCTACCCGGAACATTTTCAAGTCGCTTATGAATCTTAGGTAAGAGGTAGAATCTACCCAATCGAGGCTTGGGTAAAACCAAATATTTCAAAATTCTCTCAGTAATATATCCTTTGTCAACTAATAGCTGCAAAATATTTTTAATAACCCGATGCTAATAACCCGACCGAAATGCTAATAACCCGACCGAAAGGGAAAGGTTTTGGATAGAAAAAATTCAATGTTATGTGCCATTAGGTTTAAATGAGAGGAAAGATTGTTAAGTGTATGGTTATGCTAATTTTCAGGTAATTAGGCTATATAGGTTTGAAGGACGGTGAACAGATTGTTATTTCGTTTCTGACGAAGGGGCTTGCCCCGAAACGTAAAATAAAGTTATTATTTCATTTTACTTTTTTGTATATTGATGTATATATATATATATATATATATATATATACAAACATTAAACAATATAACCATGCTTTGGTTATGATGTCAAATATTTTGATATGGATAACCACGCTGTTTTAATGGTCAAATGCTCGTCCTATGTTAAGTTGCAAGCATGTTTCGTGCTCATACATATATATACAAACATTAAACAATATAACCATGCTATCATATCCATACGATATGGATAACCACGTTGTTTTAATGGTCAATTGAATGCTTCTCCTAGGTAAAGTTTCTCAGCATTTTAGAAAATCATCAATTTTGAAAGTGAACTTAGTAATTGTTGGCATTATTATGGAACACTATTGATAATTTGATATTAGAAACTGAAAGAAAACAACTTGATTCCTTTCGTGGAATTTTATGGAAATTCAAACATGTTGTTTGTGGAATTTTTTGAAATTCCAGCCTTACTTGATGGAAATTTCAAATTTGAAAGTGAAAATGGAATCCCAGTTCCCATTTTACCGCTTCAAGATCATCCTCTTCCAATGAAGATAGGTATAATTTAAGTTACATGATTTACATGAAGTACCCCAAAATCGCAGGCGCAGAACAATCATTTTAGAAAAAATGTTTTGATCAACAGAAGTTTCCAAGAATATTTTGGAAGAACCAGTCGTGTCGCAAGCTATGTTTAGGAACGATATCATAAATTTGCCGAACTACAATATTTTATTCTTTGTACCAAATATCATAGGTAAGAATCATAGTATTGGCATTAATGAGATGAATTGCAAATTATAATAGGTGATTTATTGAAATTCTTAAAGTCACCCAAAAAATCAGGACATTTTCATCTTATTTTCAGGATATTTTCGAATCGCTCTCGTGGTAGCAGCCTGGTTGAAAATAGACAGTGATCCTATGTTATTTCTCGTTCTTTATGCCGCTTCGGTAACATTGGATGGTGCGTGCTGAGTACTTTAAATGTCGAGACAGTCTATAAAGAGAGACTGTCTAGTCATAATAATGCTTCTAGATACTCCAAAATTTCTTCATCTTTCGAACATTTTCTTTATATTTTATTTACATATATAGCGTTTGATGGGATTGCTGCAAGAAAACTTAACCAAACATCCGTTTTTGGAGCTTGGGTAAACAGTACCATTCCTACAGTTTGCTGACTCAGCTCGTTTATTAGCAACTCACCAAGTACTACAATGAATATTTGTACTTTACTTGCCAATATGCAAGATTATTCTGCTTTCCACCATCAGTTAATGGCTCAATTGATAATATTGTAGTGGATATTTTTCTTATGTTTTAGTTTGATGTGGTCATTGATAATATTGGAAGGGGCATGCTATGGAGTTACATATACCAGGTTGATTATAATCAATAATATTGATGATTTGTTAAAGCTCAGAATGTTATAACAGAATTGCCAACAACCATGTTCATTGGTTGCTGTGAACAACCTTGTTTAAATCAATTTCTTAACGAACAACTATGCATAGACACACAAAAGTTGTAGGCACAAGGGTAGACACTCTTGTATCATACAATGCAATATTTTACACCCTTTTTAGTGGGGATATTTTGTGAGTGCTTTAGAGTGGTTAGTGTTTGTCTGTACTCACACGTACGGAGCTACATGGAAGACTGCTGGGATGGATTCACCTCCATTCTGGGTTGCAGCTATCATGGCAAACAGTATGTAAACAGCACAATGACACCTTATATGGCTGTGTAATGCTAACATGCCCCATATGTTAGGCCTTTCAAATTTAAATACTGCGAGGACTAAGCAGAAGGGTTTACTTTTGTTAACCTGAGAGCTGCAAGTTTGTTAACCTAAATATATCCTGTTTTCTAATTCAGCATTTTCATGACTTATTTTCTTTAATTTGCATTCTGTCAACTAGATTTTAAAACTATTGTTGGTGCCTATGCTATTGCTGGTCTCCATGTCCTGCCAATGTGGCTTTACGGTTTACAGAAAATAGAAATGATTCGCATATACTTTGGAAGTCAGGCATGCACTGGTATTACCGCTTTCTTAGCATCTGGAAGGCTAACTTGTTCACTTGTTGAGGTAGAAATACTTTGTAGTTTTCAAGCAATTGACAAATTTTGTGGTGGAATGAAGACAGATAAGGTGAAGAAACATAGAAGACACTCATTACTCTTTTTTGTTTGTTTGTAGGGTTGGTTTATATGGACACACATAAAAGCTCTATTAACAACTTTCAATGAGCTATGAACCATGTTTGTTTGTTGAACTCTTCTGAGAGTGGCTCTTGGAGCGTGCAGAATTTTTTACAAATTTTACACAGTTAGTGAGGGTGATTATTAGGTGGATGTATAATATAGCTATTTATCTTGAGTTGATATATAAAATATATAGAATATGTAAAATATTAAACAATATTATATTTTATAACAAACATTTGACAAAATAATTAATTTATGAAAAGTAAAGGTGCCTTGTTATTGAAAATGCCTTATAAGCAATTATTTTGATAGGATAGCATTTGATTATTATAACATGTAAGTTCACTAGTCTTATTAAATGCCTCCGGGAAGTAAATATTTTAAACAATAACTCAGCCATAGGTTTTGAACCAATCTCTGAACTAAGCCTTTTCTTGCCCTGTCTATCCTAGTAAGGTTATGAGAGAGCTTCTTAATCTACTTCTAAACTTAATCCATAATCCTGAACCTGCAACCTCTGAAGAGAAACTCCTTCAAAACAATGACAATCTTCCTGGACTGGAATGCCTTTGATATATCCATCCAGTTAAATCTAGGATCACTTAACTGGTCAGTAGTACTGACCTTTGACTTGCCTCACAAGTATGCGGTGATAACCTGGACTGCTGTTAACACTTCACATTACCAGACAACATGGTGTTTGATTGGGTCTTTGAACCATTTTTAAATTTTGGTTTTAATTTTGCTCTTGCTGTTCCTTGCTCTCAAGTGAAAATGGTGGTATTCGTACATCAAACATACTTCCATCTTGTCTTTCAAAGCGAAATGTACCCCTGGAATAGAGACATGATTAAACTAAATGAACAAATGTCATAATTCATCAGACTAAATGGCATAGAATTACCATTGCACACTTAAGTCCAGTCCTTAACCCTGCATTCACACTAACTCCACCTAACTTTAGGTATCAACAACTCACCACATATGCCCGCTTGGGGCATGGAGGGAGACATGGCTGCTGTATTGGAAAGCACTCTGTTGTGGAGTTAACTTTGGTTCCTACAGTAAATGATAGATTTGTGAGAGTTAAATTTACCACTTCTGGAATGGAACCCACAACTTTTTTCGTTTACCATATGTCCAAGTCCGGACAAGAGATTTCTGGATACTTCTACCTCAGGAGGAGTTTGATAGGAGAAATGATTAAATGGATGATACAAATATACTGCACAAACCTGACCAACGACACCACGTCCTCTAACAGTCTCCAATGTCCCAGACAAACTGAATATTTTCCAATATCGTTCTCTAAGTTGGGCTGGAGACGATCCCAAATTTTCAAGCCTGATGCAGTAACGCCACTGAAATTGAAACGAGTGATAATAAAGACCATTAAAATTGTCTTGGTTCAGTTGGTTGGAGAGTAGACATGCAACAGCACTACCAGCTTACCCAATAGTTTGAAATTCCTCGCATTTCCTAAAAAAAATAAATATTTAGAATGTATTACTCGTAACAATTGAAAAGCATAGAAAATACCGAGTGCATACAACACGTTACATGAATATTCACAGTTGTACTATAAAGATCCTATGGTGCCGATGTGAAGATCACTGTACCGCGGGGTTATCCGGGCTATGCATGGATCAGTGACACATCTAGCCAATCAAAGCACTGAATATAATGGAGTATCAAGATGTTGACGAGCGCATTCAAAATTTGACTTCTGAATCTTATGCATGATGACGTAACAAGCTGTGACACCTGCAGGGAATTCTGGTCTTAGTAGTCACGGCGGGAAATTTTTGAAGTTTCAATTTTTCGCCGTGACTACAAAAACCAGAATTCCCTGCGGGCGTCACGGCTTGATACGTCATTATGCATAAGTCTATTATTGATATCGACGTTGCTTACCCTCGATCCCATGTAAAAGGGAATTGCCGTGACTCGTATATCCTCGGTGGTCTCTCGGTGAACATCGGAAAGCTCTAACCAAGCGTGGTTCTTCTCGTGCCATAATCGTAGCGTATCTTGCGGTAAATATCCTGTGAAAAATTCACTGTTCGCCTAACCGAGCGGAGAACTGGCTCTAGTTCGAGCTTGGCGGGAAAAGAAGTTATGCCAACAGGGCATATAAAAGACACAACCCCAACCCCGGGAAAGGTCGGAAGATAAACTAGTCTGTGACTGCATAAGAGTTTTTCGTCTTGGTCGTCAAGGCGATGCATTTTTAATAAAACGAATGAGACCACAAGGTTTCGTTGCAAAAAGTTGTAAAATGTGCTAAATATTACCGCGCAAAGCCAAAGGCTTGTGTATTTACATATTAACGCTTGGAAAGACACCACTGAACCACTTTCGGCCGAAAATTGTACGATTAGCTTGAACAATTGAACAAATATTAATAATAATAAAAATACTAACGTACCTTTCCCGTACGATAATGCAAAGAAGCGTTCAAACAGTTCATGATTGATCGGTTTTGGCTCACTTGGGTTGTAGGGAAGCACATCCTCGTGGCTCACATAATCCAAACCTGCAATGTTGAACGATTGCGGTCAAATCCAATGGCAAGGGCGTACGGGACGGGGGGGGGGGGCAGGGGGGCACTTGTCACGAAGTTGCGCCCGTACGCTTATGATCCGATGTCATTTTGAGCAAAAATTCAGCAAGCACCATTGCAAATGTGTATTATCACACAGACTGTGTTGCCTATACCCCCGGGCGCGCTATCATTTACAGCGGGTACGTATGTATTTTCACCTTGAATGGACAATATTTATAGATCGGCGCTATATTTGGTAAGTAGTTACGAGCATTGAAACTGGATTATTAAGATATGACAAGCGCCTTCAAAACTTGACTTCTTCAATGAACTGGATTCTTTATTGCTATGGCCCTAATGTGGCTCTAATGGAGATTCAATGAATTTTACCAGGAATTGCATACAGTGAGCCGTCTGAGCCACTGCCAAGAAATGTGACTGATTCAACTTGAGCTCTCTAGTGTTGAAAAATAACAAACAGACAGTGTTTTGCAAATCATAACAGGCCATCTCCTCAATCAAGTATGTGATTGAATAAATCAAAAATGACCAACTTACAGTATATGGTGAGTCTCTATTATCCATCAACACTTGATAATAGACTTTAGTTTGCCCTTTCAGCTCTTTGGTTTCCTCATTCTCACTGGGAAAAACACACTTGAAATATCAGAAAGGTGTCTCTTTGGATGTGCCCTAATGGCTGAACATTTCCAGTAAGGTGTTTTTCACAGTGTGTCTTAATATATTTGAAACACGTGTCTCACAACAGGATGAAAATGAAAAACAAATGAATGACAGGAATTTATTTTCCTGTATGTTCTGGGGCATATATATTCAAACTATCTTGAGACAACCCTGGTATGTTATATAGTCCATGTGCAACCTTGTTCTCGGGGTATATTCTTCCCTTTCTCTCCAATGTGAGCAGAGAAATTATCCTGGGATTCAGATTGATCAAATGAGGTTGTTATCTTGGCAAAAATCCTACAAGTTCTAAGGGATATTTAATGCTATTTGTGACCTAGTGTCTGGTTAATTCAAAACATTAGAACATAAATCAAAATCTATTTCACCGAACCTCAACGAGGCACCAGGCTTTTCAACGTCACGGTCGTAAACTCTCGCCAACCATGGGAACAGAACCACTCCTCTATACCCAAAGACGCGATGAAGAAATGGCTGTATAAACAAGGATAATTCAATTGTACCATTTTGCCAGTTATATTTTTCACTTGCCTTATATATAGAATACCTTGGATATTGCATGTGAAAGAAAAAACCTTAGTTTTCTAAAGTTCTTCGGAAATAAAATAAAAATCTTGGTTTTCTATTATTTAAGGGGAGTGTTGGAACTTAGAGAATGGCAATTAACTCGTTCAGCTATTGCTGGCAACGAGCCGAATAGCCAAACAAGACAAATTAACAATAGTAAAACGGTTTTATTTAGCTTTGATTGCCAACAAACAGGTTATCAGAATTGTTTGCCATCATTTGTGTTGAAGCACGAAACAGGTTAAAACGCTTGATAACGTGTGCCAAAGTAATTTGATGTATACACAGGTCAGATAAATGATTGAATATTGACCCTCTTATAACAAACATAAAACGAACTCTACTCGATACAGCATGCCAATAAGGGAGAAGTGAAACAAAACAAGTTTAACAAGGGAACGTAATTGGACATGATCTAACAATAAGGCGTCCATTCCCACCTGTCCAGACGCATATTTTCCTTGCAATTTGGGAATCTCAAAACGACCAACTTCGGAAAGTCTGTGTAAAAATCAAGAATAGAAACAACAATTTAGCGCGATGCAATCGATAAGAATAAAAGCAACAAGACCGTAGCTAACCTTGAATAGTTTCGGACATGAACAAAACTCTGAAATATTCGGTGAAAAGTCTTCAATTTATCTCTAACTCTGGACAACTTTACGGCCATCTTGCATAATAGTGAACCAGCCTTTTTGTTTTTTTTGCCCGCATGAATAAGGCCCGTGTGCAGGCTGCATTATAATTATAGCACATTCTTGGCAATTTTATAGCGCTTTAGCCAATGGGAGTTTAGGAAATGTTTTCGCGGTAACCAATCAGAGAGGAGGGAATCTGCAACGGGAACCAATGTACGTGAAGAATATACGTAAATTCGGTCGGTTTCCTTTGAATTAGAACTTACTAACATGTATCATGGTAACCAAAACACTCATGAAAAAATGTCCAGTCCGAAATTGAATTAGAAGAATCGATAACGCTACGTACTTCAATTAATATAACAATAACTTTTCATCAAAAGCTTCCCACTGCCTAAAATGACAATAAACTTCTCGGCGCGTCGACCCAAAGGCAAACAACTCGAGCATTTTTCTCTATTTACAATTAAAGTAAGACATTTGATCTTTTTGATGAACTAAATTTGACGAGATTTTTTTGAAACGACTCTCACACTGCTCCCCCAATGTAAATGAGAAATTATAGAATAAAATTCGTGTATATTTGTCAAATGTCAGGCATGTGCATGTTTAGTGATAGAAGCCATTTGCCCGTAGAACGTTTGCGAAATTTACAAGCATGTATAATAGCAGTGACCTTTAAAAAATCAACTTTTGCAAGGGAGCACGTTCAAATTAACAACATTGCAAGGGAGCACGTTCATTAAATATTAAAATTGCTTAGCTAAGACAGCACTACAGATGTGTCCAGGAATATTATTTTGGTTTGAAAACATAAACATTCGGCAATGAGGATATCTATAACTTCTGTAAGTTCAGACAAATAATATGACTTCAAATTTAACATAACTAAGGTCCGATTCAACTTATAATTGCGGTTAATGCAATTTGTAAACACGTTAACAATTCCCATGACAAAAATTTGGCTTTAACAAATTGAAAGATTGTAATTTTTTTACACGTATCCATTATCTGGCTGATGAAAATTTAATGAAGACCTGCTTTAAAAGGTTACAGCGTGTAGATAAAACGCATTTCGAATGCAATTTACCAACCACACACTACTTAATAGCTGTGTTGGGAAAACATTATTAAAGTTTTGAAAATCAGGTTTTATTGTAAAGGAATCTAAATACTTAAGGATATTTAACCGCCATTTTGACAGCCGTGTATATTTATTCATGGGAAATAACGATGCCCGCGTCTGGGCCAATGGCTGTTTTGACGTATTTCATTTTGGCCACGCGAATTTTCTACGCCAGGCAAAAGTTATGGGAAGCTATTTGATAGCTGGAGTTCATGGGGACTCGGATATAGCGAGGAACAAAGCGAGTCCTGTTATGGGCGAAAGGGAACGAGCGAAAATCATCTCAGCCGTGAAGTGGGTGGACGAGGTTCGCACTGGTGTTCCGTACGGCGATGTTTTGAAAACGCTGGACGAAAACGCGTGTCAGTTTTGCGTGCACGGGGACGATATAGCGCAGGACGCGAATGGACGTGATATCTACGCGGAATGCAAGGAAAAAGGAAGATTTTGTGAGTGTAAACGCACCGAAGGTATTTCAACAACGCTCATAATAGATAGGATATTGCTCGCCGATGCTGGTGGCCATAAAGAACTTACACATTGGCCACACGTTGGTGGACCCTTATCGCAAATATCGGTGAGTAGTAAGTCAGGTCTTTGTTATTTGATAACGGGACTCCAATCTTGATCAAGTTTCACTGTTTAAAGTAAAAAAATGAAAAAAACCCCGGTTCGATTGTGAACTACAAATACTGTAGCTCACAAGCAAACTATAACTGCTTATAGTTTGGAAATCGTACGACGTATTAACGGTGATTAAATTAGTTCTGCCTGCGAACACGGCTGACCAATTCTGAAACTCAAATTCATTCTTACTGACTAGCGTTACACAGTTAGGTCAGTCCGACACAAGACATAGGTCAGTCCGTTATATCGGCAATGCTTCGGCCTCGATTTTTGCCTATGCAAAATCTATTTGGCCAAAATGCAAAATTAAAAAAAATAAACAACATCGACATTACTAGACAACGCATCGGAGACATTTCAAAAAAAATTAAGTCGGTAACACAAAAGCCAGATTGCGACAAGGCATTTTAGGGTGTGCTTTAATTGTCAAAAAGTTTACTGCATTTTGGCAAATTAGCGATCAATGACGAAGGCAAGCTTTTCATATAATATGAAAAAACAACAAAATGTTGCGCAATCAGGTTGCTTCAGAAAACGTTTACAACTGCACGGGTCCGGAATCCCGCTATAGTCAATTCATACCCAGAAATGACGGATTTATTCCTAAACTAAGCCCTGCACCTTGAGCTAAGCCATACTCGATTATAATCACTTGAAGATTAGATAAAGGTAAAATATTGTTGGATTTTGAAGATGGACCTGTTATTACTTGGATCCAGATATTTTCGCCTATTCCCAACCGGCCGAAACCACTGCATGCATGTTACGTAAATGTACAGCGTCGCGCGAGCTGATGGAATTAATGAAAAAACATTCGTTCTTCGCAGAAGGAAATAGAAAATGAACCGGAGGACGCTCAGAAAAAGAACGAGGAATCGGAAATCCTGAAAGAAAACGACAGCAATGGCTTCGTTCAGCGACGTCTCGAAATGCCAGTGGAGTACTACAGGGAAAAAGTCGACGAATTTTCGTCAAAATCGCGAACACCGGAACGAAACATGAAAGTGATCTACGCACAAGGCGTCTTCGATCTCTTTCACTCAGGACATGTTGACTTTTTAGAGAAGTGCAAAGCCAGCGTTGAGGACGGGTTCTTGGTGGTCGGAGTGTTAACTGATGAAGAAATATCTCGGGTGTACGGGGGATATCCGGTGACTAACACGTACGAACGAGTTCTGGCCTTGTTGTCCTGCAAGTTTGTGGATCAAGTTGAGATCGGAGTGCCTTACGAAATCACTTCGCAGTTTCTCGAAGACATGAAGGTATTTGTGATTTGGTTAAACGTTTGTTTTTTTAAATTGACAGGTAGGGGTCTGTAAAGCTCTAAATTCATTTGTTCCTATTCAAGACGAAAAACGATCAAGGAAACAGCAGAACGCATGATTTCATAGCTACGTAGATAACTACTAAAACCAGGCATACCACAGGTAGAAAGAACATCGTAGACTGAATGAAACTACAAAGTCAAAACAGCAAAGACTTTTCTGGAGGATGTGGAAGCCGATGAGATTGAGAAAATCAAAATTGTTGCTCTAGGACAACTGAAGATGGTCCGTTCATTTTTTTCTTTTAAGATCGAGTATGTATTTCATGGTATGCTCTGGGAGCTGCCCTCTGACCCTTACAAGGCAGTGAGAGATAAGAATATCTTCTATCAAGTGGACAGCGGCAACGACCTCACAACTAGCGCGATCATTGAGAGAATCATTAATAGCAGGTATCATCATAATTCCCAAATAATGATTACAGACATTTATCAACATTTGTGTTTAGTATTAGATCAGCTACTAAAACAATCACTAGCAGCAGTCAGCACTCAATCATCAATCAGTATTGCAATCATCAACTGACATTGAGGAAGGTTGAAAGAGAAACACTGAATAAAACATTGCAAAGCAGTAAGTACTAGACTAGTCAGGCTAGTATTAGTAGCAACAGTCAACACTCAGTCAGACTAGCAGTACTGCAATCATCAACTGACATTGAGGAAGGTTGAAAGTGAAACACTGAATAAAACATTGCAAAGCAGTAAGTACTAGACTAGTCAGGCTAGTATTAGTAGAAAATTTCATCACCCAATCAGACTAGCAGTACTGCAATGATCAACTGACATTGAGGAAGGTTGAAAGTGAAACGCTGAATAAAACATTGCAAAGCAGTAAGAACTAGACTAGTCCATTTGACTAGTCAGGAAACCGTGAATGAACGCATGAACATAGGATTCTTACTCGTGTCAAATACCATGAAAATAAAGGTTATGTTGATTTGATTCTATTTTTTAACTGATCAAGCAAAAAAATAATTATTTTCTCATAGGGAAATGTACAGAGAAAGAAATTCCAAAAAATCAGAGAGTCAATTTTCAAGAGTTCGCCTCCAAGGAAACAAACCCTGAAAAGAATTCAAAAACTCGGACCCACGTTTATATTTTCACGAGATTCTTATTAATGGACATTCTAGGAGGGCGTCTACTAGGAGGGCGTCGCCCCTTCACCATTCCCCCTAGGTGTGTCTGTTACTAAATAATACCATGCTGATGAAGTGTACCTGTTACCTCGTACACTTGAACGTGTCATTCAGTAACACCTCAATATATGGTAATAATTTCGACTAATCTATTTATCAATCAATTATGATTTTCAACAATTTCCTCGATGCACATAAATTCTAGAGGTTTAAAGGGTCGTAATTTCGAGTGGAATTATACACACCTCAAATTCAAGCCAGGAACAGTTGATGGAAGTGAATTGAAATTGAAGTGAATTGAAGTGTGTATAATTCCACTCGATATTAAAGACCCTTTAAACCTCTAGAATTTACCTGCATCGAGTGAAGTGCTGAAAATCATAATTGATTGATACATATATACTTTGGGTTAGGATTAACTACCTCAGTCGTCGGCGAATGTGAGATTACCCGATAATCGGGCAGTGATTAGGTACTAGTCGTATATTTTATGTTAAATGTTGCATGGGTTATTTATTTGTTATTGGAAGACGGGGAACTGGGAAACAGCCATTTGAAATTCACCGCCATGAATATAATCCTTAATCTAATCGTTTAGAGTTAGTAATTGGGTGAGGGCCAGGTTTAGGATTAATGTTAAGATTAGATTTAATTTCGTGGATTCTGAACATGGGATCCGTGACTAACAGTTTAGGATTAGAGATAATCGATTTATGTATTTATTAGAGATAATATTTATTGATTGAATTATTAGGTAATTTCCATGGGAATTTGAAATATAGTAAATTAAAACATTAGATTTTACGTCGATTAATTAACCAGCTATTTAAAAAACTCCCTAATTCCAGTCTTTCGGAAACTTTCCTTTACCTCATGTAAACCCTCCATAGCCCTCTACGAACCCCTCCCATCCTTGAGTGCCCCTCTCCCCTGCAAACCTTGCACAAAGTTTTGGTCAGGGTTTCGTTGAGGGAAGATAATTTCACGCGAAAGCAATCATCTGATAAAACTGTTAAGACTATGTTAGATAGGTACAAACTATATTACGTTTTATGTCAGTTATATTGCATGTGGCACCGAATATATACTAGAGATGATACATACTATAAAATTCGAGTGTGAATGTAAGAAACGTCCAATGATTGCAATAAACATAAAAGTCTCGTAGTTGCCAAACAACTTGGCAAGAAAAATTGCAAGAAAAACTGCACCGTGTAACGGGGACTTTAGTCAAATTTTAAATTTGAAAAATTTAGACAATTGCATATTTTATTTCTCTCATTAAAGTTTTTAGAGAAAATTACAAAATTCCACCCACGAATTCATTTATAACAAACTATCTATAATTATATTATTAGAACTAATTATCTATCAATTAGCGAGGTAGATTGCATACCTTCGTGTACATAGATCCGTGCCTAATATAACCTTGGTCTATATACCATCAAAACAGGGCGATGAGATGATGGTTGCAGGTTTTTAAATTATAGCCTACTGTTAAGGCCAGATTTATATGTCATTAGATTTTTACATAGATTGTAGTGGTATAGTTTAACTAAAGACACCATTATTGCAGCAAGTTGGCATTTCATTATCATTTGCAGCATTTGGTGTCATTTAATCACTCTTGAGGCAAGCAAAGCAGCATTAGCCTCGAATATTTCAGGCTGACCCCCGTTACCCGAGATAAAACGAAGCGTTAGATGATTTTGAGGTATTGAAATAAGTCTTGCTGAGACCAAACAAGCACATGCTATTGTCTGGATGACTACGACAGTGCACGGATCGTATTATTCACTTATTTCAATACCTCAGAGCAACCAGAATCATGCAACGAGGAAGATTCCCCTGGGGTCCCCGGAAGTTCAATAATTCAGGTATATTTTGTCGGCGAATTGTCAAGAACAAATTTACAATTTTAAGCAGCTTTAGCAGCGCGATAATCTGTCCCAAAAGCAAAGGGAACATTTTGCCATTTTGCCTTCCGCGAAATTTTCCGTCGACAGCAAGCAAAATCGTCAAGTGGTTTTAGTGACTCCTGGTTGTCTATCCAGTGAGAAATCACAAGACAGGTTTTGCGGTCAGCAGCACGATGATTTCGTGGGTCGGTCGGATGAACTTAGTGTTAGACGACCTTTCGTACCTTGGTAGAGAAAATCACGTTCAATTTAGGGGCCTGTATGGCGCCGAGGCCGAAACACTTTACTTGTATGATTTTTCCAGCCATTTCCAGGTGATTTCGCGCGCATATTTTAACCAATTTTTTTTCGAAGATCAAATTTCGCAGTATTTAATCAATGACATATTTTGTTAGTCTTATTGAAACCAGTCGAAACTTCGTTATTTTATTTAGTGCTATAAGCTTTATGTTAGTGCTTAGAACTATACCTTTAATGTAAATTTGAACCAAAACAAAGTAATCAAAAGATATTTTAAGTTGTTTGAATCGAGAAAAGGATGTATACTTGACAACTAGTTTCAGTCCTTTCCCGCCATTTCAGAGTACTCGGTCGAGAGTATTCAAACAAGGCAGGAAAATAAACCCTCCCATAAAAATGCGGTTTTGTGTACGGGAAGTCCTAATAATCTAAAACTATATTTCATATTAAGATTATCCCAAAACCACGTCAGTGGATTCGCGTTAGGATTTCGAGCTTGGATTAGAGCTCCGGCTTAGATTGAGTTTAGGGATACGGCTTATTGTTAGTTTCAAGATTATTGGCCCGGTAATATGCTTGAAGGAAAATCGCTCAACGTTGAGTATTTCTGCTAAAAACTCTAGAAAACACTAAAAGGGACTAATTTCAGTCCGCCATGCACGAGTTAACGTTCCAGTTGTAATGTTGTATTCATAGAGTTCACCGTTCATTACTGCTTTTCGCGCGCAAGGCTCATTTTCAAGATACTTTTTAATTCAATAAGCAAAAATCGCCTACCTTGTTTGCTAGGTAAGAGGTCGCTGTTTGACAAGAAGATATAGGAGATCCTTTGAAATAATTCTCCTTAATAAACGAAGAAAACATGTCAATAATGGTCCTCAACATGCATGAAATGAAACGACTTGAAATCACATCCGGACGAGCCTAGTGTTAAAGGGCCCCATAAGTGGAAAACTCTCAAAACGACTCTAGTACTTCACAATTCACTTCCTTAGGCTTTGTTGTTTTCTCGCATCTGTCTTTGTTTTCTTATATTTATATAATTCATGCTAAATCCAAGATGTCCGACAATTCATGACAACTCGTTGCTTTTGGGTGAATATATTTATACTAGAACTAAGCAAAGTATGGAAAATCTAGTAGTGGTAGTTTCGGAGGAGAGATACTTGGCCGAATGTGGTGTTAAAAAGGAGTTGTCTTTCTGCTTTAAGTTTAAACAGGATCTTTTCTTGTCTCTCACAAAGAGGGATTCATCCCAGTCAAGATGGCGAAAGCGAATGTAAATATCAAAAACAAAAAGATGCACACACGAGGGTCGTTTTCGAGCGTTTTCAAAATCATTTTTGTCTATTGTATTGTTTAGACGCCCTGCATCCACACAATCCAAGGAAAAATATGCCCAATATGTTAAACGAGCTTCGCCTTCTATTGTTAATTGACGGCGTTTGAAACAGTTTTGGCATAAAAATGAATATGTGAAAATGCTCGAAAATGTTAATTACCGTTTGCATATAGCCTGAGTAGTTTTGCGATTTTTTTATTTGATACAATTTAAAAACTTGTGCTAAAAACGCACGTCGAAAGTCACTAAGAAAGCACTAAGTCTAAAAATGCACATAAAAACTTATCATGAAAACACTAACCAATATTTGTTCCAGTTTTACTGGATGTTTCAAAAACTTCAGCACTGCGACCTGGAGTGAAAGTTTATACATCAAAGTTTCGCTTGGAAGTTTATTTACTGCATAGGACATTTAAATTAAACAGGATTAAGCGTTGAAAGATGACACATCAGCCCTTCGTAGATAAAGCACTGCAAATTTTGCATATAACTCTTGTATGCATGGAGATTAGTCCAATTACACCCCATAATGACAATTATCTATTATATTAGATCAGTATGTCTATGATGATGTACAACAGGGCTCAAAATAAAGGTGGTGATATCTCCGGTCAAAGACAAAGACACAAAGTGACCGTCCAACGTCATTTTAGCTCGGTCACAATCGGTTTTTGTCCGGTCACTAATTCACAACAGTTTTCAAAATTCAACATAACGAAATCAAGAACCAAGACACCGGATTCTTCTTTATAGTGTACAGTATGTTAATAGTATAGTGCTTTTTCAAGAGATTTATGTACTGTATGGTAATTAACGTTGATCAAATGCAATATTAAGTTGATAAATAGGCCAAGCGAATCATGAATCAAACTTGACCGGTCTGAAATGACCGGCATGGAAAAAATTTAACCGGTCAACAAGCATTGTCGGCCAGTCATTGTCCGTTGATCGGCTGTTATTTTGAGCCCTGTTACAACAATAATGACTAGCAACCACTAAGAGCAGTTTCATATAGTTTGAGATCCATATGAGTAGTCTTGTATAGCTGCCAAGAATACCATCAACACTGTATCTCAACTGATAGACCTTCTCGGTAATTACGTCACAACATTATCGTTTTAAATTTAGAACCACCTTAAATGAGATGGATTTCAAGTTTTACTCTCACAAGCTATGTGGAAAGATGCAAAACATCCTTCTACAACCCGTGCATGAAAAATAATTTTTCATTTTGACTAATAAGTATGGAAATAAGCCATAACGCGGGAACGAGGCTCGCGGTCTTGGCCCCTCAGCCTCGTTCTCGTGTTAAGCCTTATTTCCACATTTATTGGTCAAAACAAAAAAGATTTTTTATGCATGTGTTGAAGAAGGATGTTTTGCATATTTCCACATAGCTTGTGAGAGTAAAACTTGAAATACATTTCATTTAAGGTTGTTCAAAATTTAAAATGTTGTGATGTTAAAATGTTGTGACGTAATTACCGAAAAGGTAATGATGAGCAGTAACAAATATATATATATATATCAGAAATAAGATCAATGAAATACAGCACTGGAGCACATCTTCCCCCCCCCTCCCCTACAGGGATTGTGTGCCTAATGAATACCTCTGCACCCCAGAAAGCTTGGAGCCAATAACACATTGTCCCAAACACATTTAGGGCAGCCTTGGGCAAGGTGATCCATATCCCAGGGGTCATATAATATTAATAATAATATTTCCATACCTCTAGCATACCCTTCTACAGAATCTTTAGAAACAGCTCTCGTCTTTATTTCATCCTCAATCAGATCAAGTTTTGTACCACAAATATATATTTTACATTTCTAAACAAAATAGATAGTCAACAATTTATTTTACTCTGTCTAATGTCAGACAATTTTACACAAAACTCTCTGTAAGCATCTCTTGTTAACCCATTAGCTTGCAATGCACCCACATGTATTCTATTTTGCATTTTACTCTGTCTAATGCCAGATGATTTTACTCTTCTGGAGAGGAGTGCTATCAGTTAACGAGTTAGGGCATGAAATATAGATTATAGCAATCCCATGCAATATTGCATGGTATTGTTAATGATTTATGGTAAATAAAATATCAAATCCATGCACAACTATTTGGGAAAGTGAAATTACCGGTTCATTTTCCAATATTTGTTTAACCCAATAATCTGCTTTCTCAAAACTTGATATCTCTGACAAGTCTAAAACAGGCAATTTATAGTTACTTCTAGAAAGAATTTTGGAGAAAACAACTATACAAATCAATGGATGTCGATCGCTGCTTCAAACTCACCAAAGCAAATGATAGCCGCCTTCGCATTCCTGTAATACATAGAGCTCATTGCTTGGTATCTTTCAGCTCCAGCTGTGTCCTAAGAAAAAGATTGTAACACATTAACTCAACTATCTTTATTCAAACTCATAAGTCGGGCCAATTTTCCTTGCTGTAAAGGTATGCAGGGAAATGCAATTTAAAACCTTGATAAGACCAGTAAATTCACACTTGTTAGTGGGAAGTATATTTTGCAAGATGGTCTTTAATATAGTAACAAGAATAGCCTCTAACATGATGATGTAGGAATTAGTATTCTAAGAAAAAATACATAAAGTACAGACCCAAATAGCAAGCGATATGAGTTGGCCTTCCACATTGATGTCCTTTCTGCAAAATGCTGCCCCTATTGTCTGAAAAACAATGATTTTGTGTGAGGAGTGCTTGTGGCAAATTCATACAAGATAAATGCATATTATAATCATCATGTCTAAATATTGGCACGGCAATGTTAACTTCCTAGAAATACACATTACTGTTAGTTTACAGTAGCTATAAAAATAAGAAATGGCCTACTTTTTTATAGAATAGATTTTGATGTCACTATTGCATAATATTGCTACATCCCATATGAAAGTTACAATTTGCAAGAATATACTAATATTTATTGCAACTCTTTAGAACAACGATTAGTAGATTTAAATGGCAATTAATTGGATGTAAAAACATCCCACAAGTTTTGTGGGAATTAGCTTAAATAATTTCATATGGAATGCCAATTTTAATCGTATTTTTCGAACAGGTAAGCGCATCTGTTTGCAAGAAATCCCTTAAATACAATCTTCAATATAATTGGGAAAGAAAAACAGCAAAAATTTGGACTGAAACATCAATCTTACCGAAGGCTGTTCAGGGCTGAATGTATCTGTAATATATCGCGTCACAAGGCATGTCTTTCCACTGTTTACCTTGCCCAAAAGAACAACTTTCAAATAGACTTTCTCACTCATTCGCACGCCGCGATTTTGCACGCCTTCTGCTGCTTTTGAAGACGCAAACTTTCTTCAATTTTAAATTTCCCTGCCAATTCTCGTTTTCATTTTGTTCGTGTTACCGTGTACCGACTACCGAGTACCGACCGCGTTCGTAAACACAACACACAGGTGGTTTGGGACGAGTATTCGCTCGCTTGAACCAATCACGTGTGATGCACATGAGTGATCACATGAGTAATGATGGTTCTTATTATAACACGTACGTACAGGGGTACTATTAGCATTTAGTATACACCCGACTATTGTCTATTACAAATCCTACATTTTGATTGGCTACTCAACCATTGTCTATTCGTGATGGTGAACGTTTGGGAAAAATTCGCTCGCGCGACCGTATAAAATTGAATTAATTAAATTATTTTTCGGTGTAATTGCGGTGTATCGATTATTTTCTCGAAATTAATATAACTAGGTACAGGGTGTATACTAAAACAATTAGGCAACTCGCCTTCGTTGTCTATGAGCGAATAGTCAACTCGGACTCGTTGTCTAATTGTTAATTGGTACCAACCTCGTACACAGGTTTTTCTTCGTAGAGGATGCTCTTGTCAGTTATCATAGCGCCTTGCATTGTGGTTATAATAATAGGGGGATCCTCTATTGTCCGGTTCATGGCATTGTTTATGGAAGGATATAAAAAAATCAGTGGTTCAGGAGGAGCCTGGTGACAGGTGTAAAGCGTGGCCTATCTCTTTGGTTTTTGATTAAACCATATATACAGGCAATCCCCTTACCCCCGTCCCCCTTTTCGGGGAAGGAGTTCGGTTAGCATGTCCACACCACACCAAGTACGCATTCTCGTACCCAGGGTTTTTTCGGCGAAAAATTCGGATGCCGGTAATCGCAGGCTCACTCCTTAGGGTGCGAGATTGCGTGCTCTATACTGTTTCCGATGTCACAAGAAAACAAGAACTGTGATCAAACCGAGATTCGTTCGATATCGTGAGCCCCGAAACACGAAGATCCAACACAGAATGAACTAGCTTTCGGCGCACGAATGAATATTTTATCAACACAAACAAGGTTGGTGTTTCTCTACAGTAAATCATTATGTTAAGTGGTAGAGTAGTAAGGCTTTGATATGTTGTTATCAATGCAATGCCCGACCGTACCATGTTTCAAAATAAAACGCTATTTTTGATCACAGCTTATATATTTTCAATGCGTTCGGGGCAAAAACGATTCTCAAATTGCAATTGGGCATTTATTTCGCGCCGTTTTACTTGACTGAACATACAGGCAAATACAAAGGCTTTAGAAAATGTCGCCTTCAGGCTATGCGGTTTTGACCGAATATCATTTTCCGGCACCTTGACTTCATGACGTCTATTTGACGCAATTAACGTATGTCTCGAAGGATGCCCTTTGAAATCGAAATAGAATACCACAGAGGAATACTTGACCTTGGAGCCGGAACGACTTTGACCGACAATATTATTCCGTCAGAGAAGACGAGACTTTAGACACGTTTTTCAAAGCAGGTCTTAAACAAATGATGGCCACCGTATGGTTAGTCAGTTACGTAAACTAAAGCACTAAGTTTAAGTAATCTTGTGGTTTAAAGCTTTAAAAATGCTAACGTCTGTGATACTCTAAGTCTTATTCAGTGAGAAATACTCCTGACACTATAGCCTATCATGTTTGAGATATCTTTTTTCGACGGATCATCATGTTGCAGAATACTACCTACACTGAATCACCACGTTTGAGATATCTTTCTCAGGTAGTTCAGACACAAACCACAACAGCTTATTATAGAATACTACCTACACTGAATCACCACGTTTGAGATATATTTCTCAGGTAGTTCAGACACAAACCGCAACAACTTATTGTGAGAATACTACCTACACTGGACCACCACGTTTGAGATATCTTTCTCACGTAGTTCACACACAAACCACGACACATTTATTTAACGTGCTTGTTCAGCGGTCTCAAACTAATCTAACATTGGACTACTGCGTTTTTAAGCCCAACCCTCACCTCCCTCTCTTACCCCCTCTAAGTGGTTTCCGAGCACGTCGTTGCTCGAACAAAATGAAGTTCTTTTTCCTTTGTTGCAAAAACCATCTCCTAAAAGCTCAATGTTCATTCAGTCAAAATAAGTTTCTAATTTCAATTTGATCGAGAGCGAACGCAGAGGTTAAGACCCTGGGTACGTTGTTGGGGGAACGGAGGCTCAGCCCTCGTTCAAGTATCATCATTATTTCATGACTGCACGTAATTGATTGAGAGGCTCCTTTGTTAAACAACAAGACCTTACACATCAAAATCTTTCATGGCATCATTTAACTCTTACTATTTAGTTAGTGTCTGTTGAGTGCCAAATAGCCATAATAATTATTATAGGCGTATTAAAAAAGGTGGATTAAAAAAAAACGCAACTCTGACTATTCATAAACATTCGCTTCTTTTCAATAACAAAAGATGTTATAGACCCTTGAAATGTTGCGGGGTTTTTATACACCCTGTATTTTAGCTTTGCTCGACCGAAAGACTTGAAAGCGCTTGCGGATTCCTGGCGCGATTCAGTCGGCGCTGCGACGGAATTTCCAACTCAAATTTCCAGAATTTACGAAAGTAAATATCATCAGATATCCATGGAAATGAACGCGGAATGTTATGGCGCGCGCTCTATGTCGAATGCAATTTACTATTTAGAGAAGTAATAGAAGAGAAATTGAGTTGATAAGCCCCATTAACTCTCATTATCATCTCATTGTTTATTGTCCTTGCTTGCACTGGCGCGACTGGTGAGTCTCGTCTGGAACACGGCAAAAACATATTTCAGGGATTGAAGTCAGTTCGGCGGTGATTTTCCGGACGCTAAGAAGTGATTAGGATCGCAAGAATGGGACGAAATCCTCTGCCAACGAGGTTAATCTGATGAGTTAATAGGTTATTTGAGTGCTATCGAAATAGTCACCAATATAATATAAACATTCTTGACAAAGCTATATTCGCAGTAACACAAATTCTGCACCAACAATTGGCACGATTCATACGAGAATTGTGAACGCTCGATAAAGGAGACTCTACATGGAAGTGTAAGATAAAAGACATATATACACAAGTTCGTATTGTCAGGTAGGATGAAATATTACTAATAGAGACAGTACGAGGCTATTCTATTTATAGTGATGGAATCTTGCAAATTTTAAGTATCATTGGTGAACAGCCTGAAGTCTTTTTGTAACATAAACCAAACCGTATTTTGTTACATTAAAATTTCATATCATCACATTGAGTTTCCTGAAGGTCACCATAGGGCTCATAGCTGGGTCAAAACGTAGAAATCACGAAGCGTGGTTTATCTTTTGCGTTTTATATTTCATGAAAATACTTGTGCAATCACGGGTGCAATAAATGTCGTGTTTTGTTGGTGGACGGTCCTTGAAAGCCATAGCCCCCTGAAGACGTAAGGGCATTCGCCAGGAGAGTTAAATCATATATAATAATGCCTCAAGGGTAGAGAGCCCCCCGCTTTTAGGCTTTTAGCAAAATTCCCACTAACACCTTCCCGCTACCTAAATCATCCCAACCAATACCTCCCGCTACCCAAATTCACCCCCCCCCCACCTTCCGGGCTTGGCAAGCAGTTCCTAAGCTAAAGGATTTCTGACCAACGTAGCACAGCAAATAATCCGGAATACGAAATACGATACTTCTGATGATGGGTGCTTTGAGCATTTGCATGATCGTGCAATTTTCCATGCAAGATTGCTTCCTTTGAGACAAAGTTACGTAATGCCGATTTATCCAAAATAATATACACACGACACATTTCTGTATTTCCTGCATCGCGTGTTTAGAAGTTCAAGATTCGGAGACAATTTGTTGAAAACAGTGAGTTTTTGCACACTGTGGTTTTTGAAATTAGATTTTGAACCTACCGTTGAAGTATGGAAACGAGATAATCTTTTATCACTCGGCTATATATACGCAATAATTACAATTGTGCGGTTTACATATTTAGCAGTCTAGCTAGATGTATTTGACGACAAACGGCGCCATACATTTGATACGTTTTTTTACAACAACAACGTATGCATTTTAATGTCGTGTTAACACAGTTGCGACCTTTAGGCGTATGTAAAATGATAATTTGGTCCCAATAGACAAGCGTGTTTTTTTATGCGTGTTTTTTTAGCACAACTCTACGAACGGATTCGTCACAAGCTACAGACTTCATAGCCAGACAAGGTGAGTACGTACTCACTCAAGTAATATTAGGTTATCGCGTTTGGCTATGATGATATAATAATATTTGTTGAATTTATATCGTTAAAGCGAAATAATCAACTGGATTATATGAATATATACAGCTAATTCTAACCCCTAACTTTTGATCGAATTAATCTGACCTCGCGGTCAACTATTGTTCTGGTTTGATGATACTATGGTTAGACCACGATGATTTGAGTGAAACAAGGCAATACAATCACGCATGCATTTTCTTCATTCAAAGATTGAGGTTTTTTCATTCAGGTATTATGTCACACACCAGAGAAATTTAAGATTTTGTTTAGTTTTATTCCGCAAATTGTTACATAACCACAACTCTTCGTTTTCAATTACGACTAACGATTATTTTTTTACTGTACTACCATTGGGTCGAAAGCGTAGTCAGTACTACCTTCCCCTGCAATCGAGCGGTAAAGACTAAAGTCTAAACGGCTGTAAAAATGATTGCAAACTGCAGTCAGAAAAGTAGTTCGTTTCGCACACCCAGATATATGCATTTGCCAGGAACCACGTACGGACGAAAGCGCGTTTGAATTTTTATCCAAAACATATTTTTATCCACCCCCAACAAAAATATCGGCGGTGTTTTCCAGCTGTTTTTCATCGAAGTAAAGAGATATTGTTATTGAAAAAGATTGATACAATGCCGATAGACGCTTTCAACACGGCCTCAATATATATTATTTTATAGCTATGCCCGCGAGGTATATATAGCTATAGACATAGTATAGAGCGCTTTTATTGTCGTCGTAGTCTAGTCAAAGTTCATCGCGTTTACAAAGTACATTTTATAAATGAAATAAATGAAATGCTAAAATACTAGGAGTGTGGATGTATGTATAGAAAGGCATACTAAATTTCGCATATAGCATACTAAAATTTCGTTAGATAATAGAGACGTTTTAGATAATAGAGATAACGGCGAACGTTTGACTTCAAGTAATAGAGGGACTTTTCGCACTTTCTTGGTCATCAACTTGTCTCTTGTCTTTGTGTTTCAAACATAATGAACCATTCTCTTGACCTTAAAAACCTGGCATTTGGTTTAAAAATTCGAAATGAGTATTGCCATTTGCGTCTCCCATATATTATGACCAGCGGCGTTGTGCCGACAAAATCAAAGCTTTGAAAACATGACACTCAACAGCCCATGGCATAGGGAGTTTTGTCTTAGCAGTTGGCATGCCATGCACTGGTACTATTTTCAGCTACATACCCTTCCAATGCAAGGCAAAAAGAACAACAAAGCAATTCCGCCGGAATATGCAAGACTCGGAAATAAAGCATTATTATGGACTGTTTGTATGTGCCGAACCCGAAATTGGCGCAAATTATCTTTGACGATAGATTGTTTCAATTAACTATATCCAGTAACACTCCGAGTTTCGCAACACTGAACGAAAGTCGCTACATTTCTTGTTCAGCTGAGAAAGATCACACGACCTCAAATGGGCAAGCTAGACTGGGTTAGAACCATTCTTTAATACCTTTGTAGGGTGCCCTGCATACTACTCGACAGCGGTGGCCTTGCGGCAACATAACAAGAGGAAAGCTGTCGACTTGACCCCACAACTCGCAAATAGAAACAATTTTCCTACCATAGTTTCGCGTGTAGTCTATAGAGATTAAGTGTTTGAAAAATTTATGCATGACAGCTTTCGCGTTGGGCTTTGTCGGGATAAACAGCGATGTAAACAATACAAATTTCACCTTTCGGGTTTGGTATTTTTGATTGGCAGTTTCATTTCAAGCACATAACGTCGCCACAATAACAAGCGTTGTACGACTATATTACACAGGGCATTCAGAGTCGCGTTTCAAATCTGCCTCGAATGCAAATCGCATGCGGATATATTGATGCCGAGCACTATTATGGTCGAATTTAAAAATGCCCATAGGGTCATGCTGTGTAATTTGAGACGGAAGGTAATTTAACACTCCGAAAGCCTCAAGGCAGACATCGTTCTGAGCAGTAGACTTCGGTTTATCCCGTAATTTATAGCAAAACTTTCGAAATACAAAAGGTTATAGTACACGAGGGCGCATCGCCCCGTCGAAATTAACGCCACTCGAGTGAATTCGGCGCTGAAACGCGAACGTGCAAACAACAGCTAAATCTGATTGTGCAACTATGGCAATTATTAAGAAACGTGTGGATTCCCGCAGAGTGGTGGGTTTACATACTTAAGCTGACGAACCATGCGAAGGTAAAAGTGATTTTTAACCGCGTAAAAGAGGCGGCTAGTTCGCTATGAAGTCGTTTTATCGACACATATGAGGACTGTGTCGCCTTAGAACCGAATGATATTGTGCGAAAGTCGTAAATCAAGTCAATTGATCCATAATGCCAGAAATTATGCAAGGCATCTTGCATAATTATACGCACCAATAACTGGCCAGAGTTGAGTGTATTTGCCATTTACCTGACAGCTTGCTATTTGATATTATTTAGATAAGGCGATTCGTACCAACAGCAACCATCTCAAACTTACTGGTATCGTCAAAAAATGCCTAAGGCAGGCGAACTAGACGAAGGAGATGAGCTCAGGGCTGCGAAACCAAAGCCCAAATCGAATCGAAAAGGCAAGGGAACGAACTCGAACGGACACGATTGTCATATATGTCGTAAGAGCAATATGACTTTGTCTGGCTTGAAAATACATCTTCTCACACACACGGGAGAGAAACCTTACCTTTGCACCGTCTGTGACAAGCGATTCACTTGTTCATCGAATTTGAAAAAGCATCAAAGGATTCACAACAAGGACTACATTTACGAATGCGAAGTGTGCGGGAAAACGTGCAGCGATCCGAGCAATATGAAGAAACACATGACGGTGCATTCGGGCGAGAAAGCGTACGTTTGCCCGTCTTGTGGCAAAAGCTACAGCTACGCTCAGAGCCTGAGACAACACATGGACGACGTCCACGTGGGAAACGGCGAAAAACGACCAAAGAATAAACGAAAAGGCCATTTTCCCTGCCCCGAATGTGGCAAGGTTTTTGGCTACTATTGGCGCTGTTCCCTACACCAGGCTCGCGTGCACGCTGTCGACAGACCCTACAAATGCCCAGAGTGTGGGAAAAGTTTCGCGAGGGAGACGATACTCAACAAACACCTGCAAACTCACGAGAAACCGTATTCGTGCGCCGAGTGCGATAGAAAGTTCAGCTTTCGCGATCAGCTTCAGAAGCACAAGAGAACGCATAGCGGAGAGCGGCCGTATCAGTGCGAGACGTGTCTTCGCTCGTTCAGCCAACGAGGGAGTTTGAACGAGCACAAAAGGACGCACACTGGAGTCAAGCCGTACGTCTGTCAAATTTGCGGCGTGAAATTTTCCTCGAGTAGTAGTCTTCGGCGTCATGAGCGCAAGGTGAAGTCCTGCTTCCCAGCACCCGAGGGGGAAGAGATCCCCATGCGAAGTCTGTACCCTCGGAGGCCGATATACGTACCCACACCCCCGATAAGCATAGCCAGAGTCGAAACCGCACCGGTGAATGAATCCCATGGCTTAAAGTGGGTGCAAAAACCCTATACACCTACAAGTACCATGCACAATGGGATTTCTACCGCTGATTCGTTTTCAACTGAAAATGGGTTGACTCGAAGTGGCTCAACCACAGAATTGGGTGATGTTCATCATGCAGCTGGTGAAATTTATGATGGTAATGGTAATCTAGATGCGACAATGGTACCAACCAGTCAAATTTCTATGGTTGTGAAGTGCGATAAGAATGGTATGATATCTGTGGTACCAGTTACACTTCAGGCTGTGAATGGCATTGCACAATTGGCACCCAGCAATGGCACACCCAATGATTCGGAACATTGTGAACCTGTTGCCTTGGCAACATCAAACCAACCATGCTCCTCTGCACAGATTCGTCGACCAACTTTTGCAGAACCTTCCAACAATTTTGCTGTTGCATCAACAAACCACCAACTATACCCCACCAGCCATTCAGTTGCAACGGAAACAGCAAACTTTGACCCAAGTAGACTAACCTCAGTGGCAAGTGATGCCACTGTTGCCATGGAGACAATGCACAACAGTCAACATGGTGATCCTAACGAACCAAATTTCGGCAGTGAAGCGGACAATGTCGAAGCTGATATCCCACCAGAATACCCAAGTATGTCCACCATTTCCATGAAACCACGCTTTATTGAGAATGGTGAATACAGTCAAGATGAAATGAGAAATGGTCACGAGACATCCTCCAACCCAACCCTAGCTGATGCCCACCATAGAGTAATGACCAAGCATTCACCATCACCTAACGACCACCAGAGTACCAATATCTATGGTACTTCAGCAGAAACCAGCCCCAACCCAAATGTTACTCCTGTATTGTCTCCACCCCAGCACCAGCTACTCACCAAACACAAACCACCAACCTCAATGACCAGTATCACTTTGAATGGTCAGTATTCTAATCACCACCCACCAATCACCACCAGTCTCATGTGTGAACCATTATCTGCTGACATCAACAACAATATGATGAGAGAAAATGCTAACAACCATATGCCTGTTAGATGCCTCACTATCATGCACAGCCCTGAGAGAACAGCCCCTCTCCAACCCACAAGTGGGTCCTGCATGCATGGTGATGGTATGGAGCATAATGTACCAAGGACAGTATCATCAACCAACGAGTACCATGCGCAATCACCTCCGCATATCTTACTGCCAAGTACCATGATAAAATCACAGTTAACTGACATGGAACCAAAAGATATCAAACCTATTCTGGGTGTTGATGTACCAGTATACAAGTGATATCACAGGTACCATGGTCTGTTTCTCGAAGCTTCAAAAAACTTTGTTGGTAACCTTGGATTTTTTCATATTATGTGAGAACTTTCAATTTTTTTTGGATATTGTGTGACAATGCTTCAGTTATTATTATGAAGTGTTTTGGTTATTTTCAACATATATTCACTGTTGGACTTGTTCCCATTCATTTATTTGGATATTATGAACTGATTGACTAATTTTGTTGAGTGGCTTAAGTTAAAATATATATTTTATGCGGATATTATGAACTGATTGACTAATGTTCTTGAGTGGCTTGAGATAAAGATGCAAAGAATTCTCGTGTCGATGTATATTATGCGGATATTATGAACTAATTGGCTCAATTCCAATATCAATGGTGTGAGATTTTCACAATGTCTTTGAGACTGTACCGCTAATACCACCCCAGTTACTGGAGTTAAAGTGTGACAGTGTATTGAGTTGGTAAATACTATGTGGATATTATTGATCGAATGGGTTATTTTCAACATTAATAGTTGTGGAACTTTGAAAAGCTTGTATGGGAACTGTATGGCTGAAATACACACCTTTCTGGGATTTATTGTGTGAAAGATGTTGACCTTCACTGATGTATATTACGTGTGGATTATGAACTGATTGGGCTTATTTTGTACATTAATAATAGTGTGGAACTTTGTTGATTTCTTGGAAATTGTGTGACTCAAGTAGTTATGGTAGACATTGTCATCTGGATTCTATATTGATGGCTAACTCTCTATGGTACCATTTACTGACTGCAACATTTGTGTACAACTATTGTGTTTATAATTTTGAAAACGGATGTCAATTTAGGGCATCACATGTGCAAGTTTGACAGTATCGCTTGGACTGGACTGGACGGTCTTGAATGGTACTGTATGGTGAGTTATTAATGGTACTCTATTGGGTAATCATCACTTAGACATTGGTGTTGAACTAATCTGAACTAATGTGTATTCGTACCATGGGCAAGGCATATGGTCGGGGATAAAAAGTTAATAATTTGTTTAAAAATAATGGTGTCGAGTTCTATACTACAAAAAGACAGTTAAGTATGTATAGCATTAGTTGCATGAATTTCCAATTCAAAATTTTAGCAGCTCCCCTCCTGGTGGAACTGAATTTTTGATTGGGACATCAATTGATAAAGACACCCTTGCTTTTTTAAACACATTTATATGACATAGTTTGTCAAAATATGATTTGCTTTGGCTGGTCTATTTCCGTAGTTAGAATAATTTTGCGCCGCCAATAAAATGTAAAATCATACAAGACAAATGAATCATGTAAATCTCTGCATATTTTTCTACAGCATGCATTTTGATATATTTATAATAATTTTGTATTCATTTTTCATATATTTATAGTAAAATATAAAGTGGAAGTGATGTCTGTGTAGGTAAACAAAAGGTTAGATCAACCAAATACCCATCCATGGTTTTCCTTTGTTAAATTGTTATGACATGCAAAACTAGCATGTAGAACAGATATGACTTCCACCTTAATGTTTTTGAAACGGATTTGGATAATATACAATTTGTTACGTAATTACGGCAATGTATTTCATTAATATTTTATATTCAATTTTTGCAACACTTTTACTTATTATATATTCATATGATATTGGTTTGTTTTGTATTATATATTCATATGATATTGTGTGTTTTAAACCTCCCTTCTATATCTTCAGGCATTATGGGAGCGAGTCATGACACTCTTATTTCATATAAAACCCCTTACCCTTATCTCATGCCACCCTTCATGCTGTGTTTGAGTAACCAACCCCTGATGCTACATGTTTGAGTAACCCACCCCTCATGCTACATGTTTGAGTAACCCACCCCTCATGCTATGTTTGAGTAACCCACCCCTTAAGTATTCTGTGTTTGAGTAACCCACCCCTCATTCTGTGTTTGAATAACCCACCCCTCATGCTATGTTTGAGTAACCCACCCCTCATGCTATGTTTCAGTAACCCACCCCTCATGCTACATGTTTGAGCAACCCACCCCTCATGCTATGTTTGAGCAACCCACCCCTCATTCTGTGTTTGAGTAACCCACCCCTCATTCTGTGTTCGAGTAACCTACCCCTCATGCTACATGTTTGAGTAACCCATCCCTCATGCTACATGTTTGAACAACCCACCCCTCATGCTACATGTTTGAGTAACCCACCCCTCATGTTATGTTTGAGTAACCCCCCCCCATTCTGTGTTTGAGTAACCCACCTCTCATGCTACATGTTTGAGTAACCCACCCCTCATGCTACATTTGAGTAACCCACCCCTCATGCTACGTTTGAGTAACCCACCCCTCATGTTATGTTTGAGTAACCCACCCCTCATGCTATGTTTCAATAACCCACCCCTCATTCCATAGAATGATTGAGTAATTTAGTTGGGGGGTAGCATGCTCCCTAGACTAGATCAGAGGGGGTGTAATTGGTGTCAATTATAGTGATTATGTATGAAATCCAATTATAATTTTTTTTAGTGCACTAGAAAGTTCCCTAAAGTTTATATGAGTCACTGACCGTCTAAGTAGCACCCTATGAAGTATGCATTCTAATATTCTCCACAGCTGGCACATGCACCTGAAACCATACCAGGCTACCCCTCTCAACAAAACCACACTGGCCCAGCACTTTCAAATAGGCAAAATCACAGGTAGTTAATCTACCCCTTGATATTTGAAGCACTTGAAGTGCTTGCCAAAGAAAACTCAAAATCAATATGACATCAACTAATCCAATTATTAAACAAGCAGTACCGTCATTTGCCATATTTTCAAACTACACTTTGAAAGTTTGAAGTTTATTTCAAACTACACTTTGAAAACCCCGTTTTTTTCCATGTGTCTTTAGCAGGAAACTGAAGAAAGTCCCTTCATTTCACAGTTTTCCCGTTTATTTTTATTCCTTCCTCCGTTGGAGGACGAAATCAATTTGTTGATAGCTGATGGGCTTATTTTAAGCACATTTATTACGTGAACTGTGTTGAAACACAGAAAACGAGAGTACGAAACTAGGTAACAAATCATTTTACACACCAAAAATACATACCTTTCTTACTCTTATATTTCTTTTTTTCTTTCATCCTTGAACAGCTGATGCACAGGAAAACGTATCCACGTTTAGGAGTGTATAAATCGTGAAATTACTTGGCAAAAGCATTGCTGGAAACCAAAAACATATTTAAAATTTTCCAGCCATTTTGAAATGTTCTATCGCGGATACTTCATGTAAGATAAAGCTAGGATTGACATGTGAAGTATACATTGTTCAGAATCCACTAATATAATCCTAACTTTAATCCTAAACCTCACCCTAAGCACACTGTGCCCTAAGCCAACTACTAACCCTAAAGGATTATATTAAGGATTAAAGATATTGGTTATATCGTACTAGAAATAACAACAAGACTTAATCCAGGTTATATCACAGAACGATTGGAAAGGAATAGCCGCCCAGCCATTGTAAACTATGCGATTTTTTCGTATACGATTCTTACCCTGGCGTATGTGAACGTATAGATACAAACACAAATGTGACGTTTTAAATTTCTTCCTGAAAGGAAAGAGGGAAGATTGTGGTATGGGCGGGCCTTCTTTTGCATTCGTCAGAATGATAATTGCCACGCCATGTCAAGACCGGTGTGCAAGACACTCCAGTTATATAAAGATTTCTTTGTTTATTAACTATTGACTATTCAATGTACATGTATTTCTCGTTGAAATTTTGATATACAGGCAAGTGAAATGGAATTTTTTATGGAATGAAAAACTTATGGAAATTCTATAGAACTTTCAACATTTTCTTTCTTCAATTAAAATCATAGAGCTCAGTGATTATTATACAACCCAATATTTCCAACGACATAAAGAGACTTTGCGATGGCAATTTACTTTGTTTAAGTTTGTTTATGTAATTCATCTTCGAACACTTGGTATGGATAACCATACATTGTTTTAATATAGTCAATTACTAATCCCGAGACCCGAGAAGTCTCTTCATTTTAACATTATTTTTTGATTATGTAGTAAACATACTTTTTTGGTACTCTTGGGGTTTGCAAAACCTTTTTAGCGTTGAAAATTTTGGTACTTTTGCATGCTAATATAAGTGAGGTTTTGAGCACATTTTACGCGACATAGAAAAATATCTCCTCTTAACCAGATGTCAATATTCAATCAGACTATCCATTGACAGTGTGTTGTTTCCAGGTCAAATGTATGGGTAAAACATGTATTGAGTATGAAATAAATTTGTTTGTCTAACGATAAAAAGTTCTGTAAAATATCCTTCTAAACTTATCACATTTATCTGACATAGTTACCCTGTCCAGTACAACGTGAAGACTTTTGATAGATGTGAACGAGTGGATAAGTTACGGATGTTCAAACAAGTGCACTTGTTGAGTTCCGTACCTTGGAACATTCGCAACCATTTTCTCTTTCACATCTATCAAAAGAAGAGAATCGCGTGTAAACTGGCCGTCACAATTCCCGCTGATTATTGATCATTTTGTCGAATCCTCGTCGGAAGATAGCTTTCGACGCTTAGAAGAAGTGGCCGATGATTGGTCGGAGTCCGTCGCTTCTTTTCGCTTTGTCACCTATAAGGTAAGAGCGTAGTTGGTTACTGTGGCAATTGACTTCATGCATAATGACGTCAAAAGCCGTCACGTCTGCACAGAAATTTGGTCTCAGTAGTCCCGGCGGGAAACTCAAACTTCAAAATTTCCCGTTGGACTACAAGGACCAGAATTCCTTGCAGGCGTCACAGCTTGTGACGTCATTATGCATTGAAGGTCTATTTCAATGCGCTAGACCCATTGAACTGGCTAAACCTAAATAACTAGATATCTGAGCGAGACACTTTCTACCCATCTTACTACCCATTAATTTTAAAACTGTTCCTCGTAGAGTCCAGTGAGGATCAAGTAAAAAATATCAAGTAAAAAATATCGTTCGATTCTATCGAAAAATTCAGCCCAGTGGAAAAACGCTATCCAGAGTTTAGTCAGATCAGCGGGAGGTGATCAGTGACTGCATGTGACCAGATTGTTTGCAAATGTCTTCTATTTAGTCACCAGTCAGTCAGTCATGCAAGTTTTGCAAGCGAGAAAACCTGTGACCAGGGGCCGGTTGTATAAAACTGTTCCTGGCTTGAATTTGAAGTATGTATTTTGTATAAATCCATTCGAAATTAAGACCCTTTAAACCCCTAGAATTTACATTTTGCATAGTTAAATCCTAGTTAACTCAGAAATACACAACTCTGATTGGCCAATTCTGTCCTTACAGTTAAAAGTTAGCTAGTCTTTTATGTCCCAGTCACAATTTGCAAGCGAGAAAATTTGAAGCAGTTTTTACAAACTATGTCGATTTTTGGAACGAGTTCTGAGGTTGCGTTTTAATTTTAGCCTCATGTAAATAAGTAAATTTAAACTCGATCCGATTTTCTTGTTCCAGTTCTTCTTGCTCTCATTTCTTTGTTTTGAGCCATTTCTGCAGCCTTTTGACCCCTTCGTCGCCGCCTCCCATCAAACTTCAATATCACTATTCCACTTACCAATTTCTTCGTCGTTTACGCCCTCAGAAAAATTTTTCGCTTCGATCTCGCGTCTCAGTTGATTTATTTCAGATAACTTTTTGTTAATAGTGTCCACATGTCTAACGATTACTTGTTCCTTCCAATTATTTATTGCAGTTTCAGTCTTCACAATCGCTATTTTTAGCTGTGTTGTCTTTGTCTCAATCGCCATAACTTTTGTTTTGGAGGGCATCTTGTTTAGACTAACTTTGGTCTTTGTTTAGACTAATCTTTGTTTCTGGACGCAAATAGCATCGATTTTCAAAGGTTTTACTCACGTTTCTTCCCAAGGTCACGTTTTCTTCGTCAGCGTCCCAACGGGGATTCCAGGTGCTGGCAGTTTCGATTACGTATGCCAGGTCACGCAGTAGTTTAATTTTTAGTTTTTTTTTAATATAATTTCGTATAAAAATAATTTTCACAATTCAGAATATGCTACTAGGCCTATGGAAAGAAACCCTTCACGACAAAAATTAACAATACAATTCCGTTTTTATAAGGTCAACCATTGAGAGTTTTCGACGGCAGTTTTACGTAACTATGTCGATTTTTGGAACGAGTTCTGAGAAGCCCAAAGCAAGTAGGGGAATAAAGAATCAAATAAAATACAAACGTATTCCAGACGAAATCTCAGATGATTTTCGTAAATCTCGTTCAATCGACGAAATTCTGGATGAAACAGGATTAAGATTTTTTCATTGGAAAGTGTTCCTCTTAATTTGTGTTCAACATACGGCAGGCGCACTTGGAGATTCCATTTTATCCGTGATACTTCCGAGTCTAAAATCAGACTGGAATATGTCTTCAATCATGGCTGGGGTATTGACACTCTCGATATCAGCCGGTATAATAGCAGGTATTTCGTTTTGGGGTTGGGTATCGGACAAATACGGGAGAAAATGTTCACTTATTGGTAGTACGACATTCATGTTTGTTTTCGCCTTAACGAGCGCGATTTCAATGAACTATTACTGGCTTTGGATAAGCCTTTTCTTTGTTGGCTTCGGAGTAGCAACTGTAGATCTGAGTTATGTCATCATCTTGGAGTTTTTCCCGCCAAAACTTCGAACTATGTTTTCTGTTTTTGTCTCCGTCTTCTGGAGTCTGGGTTTTCTACTTATGGCTGTCGTTTCAATGGAGCTTTCGGTGATCGGTTATCATTGGGCTCTGGCTACCGTGTGTTTTCCGACTGCAATTTTCCTTATCGGTAGTATAGTATTTCTTCCAGAATCGCCACATTTTTACCTTGCAGCTGGGGACGAGCAGAAAGCTTTGGACATTCTACAAGATTTGGCGCCTGAAATGGATTTCAGCGACACACGACTTCGGAAACACGGTCCTGAGACACAGAGGGCAGATTTCACACAGCTATTTCGATCAGGTTATTGGAAAATCACAATATGCGCCTGTATTGCGTGCTTCGGAACCCTGATGATGTATGACGGTTTAATATACACCGCGTCTGACGTTGCAGGCAGTCAAAATTTTACATTTTTAACGAATGACACGCGTAACCGCGAAAATATGAATTCCATTATGACCTGGATGAACTTGCCTGAGGTTGTTATCGTCTTCATAACTGGATTAAGTTGCTACGTTTTAAGATTAAAAAAATTAACCTTAATCATTATAGTCTTGGCACTTTTATCACAGATTATCGCTTTGTTTGTCGTAAACCATAGAATGCCATTACTCATAGCCACAATGTTATCTCGAAGTTTCCTCGCGACAAACACAACTCTAATGGAGCTATTTGCATCGCTGGTTTACCCGACAGAAAATCGTAGCATTGGAGTTGGAGCTTGTGTGTGTGTTGGACACATTGGGACGATTCTAGGACCGTTCATCTTCGAGACATTCTTTGCCCAAAATTATCTTAATGGAATTATATTTAATCTTGCGATATTAATGGTGACATTTATAGCAACTGTCCTGCTGCCGTCGCAAAGCACCACCTTAAGTTAGGTTATATCAGTCAAATTTATATTTGATATTTCAAAATAATTGTCGTTAATTTGTGTGTCCACACTAACTCTCGAAGTTTTTGATATCAGAGTTGAATGTTAGAATTGTTCTAAATACTATTATAATATAACATTTATAGTACGCGCGTGCTGATTGGTCGAGAAGCGTGTTTCTATAACTGTATAGAAACACGGGAATTTTCCCGCCGAACTTGACAAGCGAAGCGATGTAATGAGAATTTGTAATTGAATCGAATCATAATATTTGTACAAAATCTTTTTATTGAGTTATATTATAAAAGAAATAGAAAACATTTTTTCCTGTGTTTCTATACAGTTATAGAAACACTTGTGGGAGTTTGGGAGAACTCGAAATAACGTGGAAAAACTCGCCCTACGGGCTCGTTTTCCCACTGATTATTTCTCGTTCTCCCAAACTCCCACGCGTGTTTCTATAACTGTATAGAAACACGGAAAATGTTTTCTATTTCTTAAATATTAAATGTTTGAGAGTCTTCGACGGCAGTTCTTAAAAAACTATGTCGATTTTTGGAACGAGTTCTAAGAAGCCCAAAGCAAGTGGAAGTATAAAGGATCAAACAAAATACCAACGTATTCCAGACGAAATCTCAGACGCCGATGAAGAAAAACACAAATTTGAACGCTGATGTTCTTATTTATTACAGTTTCTTTCCGATTATTTATTGCAGTTTCAGTCTTCACAATTGCTATTTTTAGTTGTGTTGTCTTTGTCCAATCGCCATAACTTTTGTTTTGGGGGGCATCTTGTTTACACTAACGTCTTTGCTTCTGGATGCAAATAGCATCGATTTTCAAAGGTTTTACTCACGTTTCTTCGCAAAGTCCCGTTTTCTTCGTTAGCGTCCCAACGGGGTTGCCAGGTGCTGGCAGTTTCGATTACGTATGCCAAACAAGTCACACAATAGTTTAATTTTTAGTTGGTTTTTTTATATAGAATTTCGTTTTTTTAATATAATTTCAATTCACAATTCAGAATATGCTACTTTGGAAAGAAACCCCTAACGACAAAAATTGACAACAACAATTTTTGTTTTTAAAGTAAATACCTTGCACTGATCAAAGAAACCGTCTTCATAAGGCTTAACTATATATAGCTATATTGTATCATGAATATATTCGTGTAGAAAACGTATAGTGTGTGTGTAAACTCTGTTTATCTTCGTAGCGGTCCAGTTAGGGATCATCTATTGCAGGTTCAGTGTGGGGCTCGCGTGATGTATCAATTCTTTTCGATTGCTCGACTCCGGAATTACTGGACACTCCGGAATTATTGGACACTCCAGAATTACTGGAGACCCTCACTGCAGTTCTCCGAAAATATCGTTCGATCAAAAAATCAGCCTAATGGAAAACCGCCTCTGGTTTCGTTTAGGATATAGGATATAGCTTCGTCTATCCATTGTTTTATCAAATCAACGGCAGGTGATCAGTGACTGCATGTGACCAGATTGTTTGCAAATGTCCTTTATTTAGACACCAGTCAGTCAGTCAGGCATGCAAGTTTTGAAACCAAAGAAAAATATTTTCCAATAAAGATCAAACTGTTATCAACGAAGTTGTTCATAGAAATGGATTAACGGACCAATTTGAAGCAGTTCTTAAAAACTATGTCGATTTCTGGAACGGGTTCTGATAAGCCTAGAGCAAGTGGAAGTATAAGAATCAAACAAAATACAAACGTATTCCAGACGAAATCTCAGACGTCGATGAAGAAACCACAAATTTGAATGATGATTTTCTTAAATCTCTTTCAATCGACGAAATTCTGGATGAAACAGGATTGAGGTTTTTTCATTGGAAAGTGTTCCTCTTAATTTGTGTTCAACATACGGCAGGTGCGCTTGGATTTTCCATTTTATCCGTGATACTTCCGAGTCTAAAATCAGACTGGGATACGTCTTCAATCATGGCTGGGGTATTGACACTCTCGATATCAGCCGGTATAATAGCAGGCGTTTCGTTTTGGGGTTGGGTGTCGGACAAATACGGGAGAAAATTTTCACTTATTGGTAGT